CTAAAAAAAAATATTTTTTTTTTTTTTTTTTGGGCGCTGTGCAAATCATACCTAATAAAAAAACTTTTATATTTTCCCTTTTTTTTTTAAAAAAACCCCCCCCCCCCCCCCCCCCCCCAGTTCACTGACAGACATTGACAGAATTAGCAGTCCTCGTCCAGCTCTCACGTAGCGGCCAATGGCTTTTCGAGATTAGCCAATGCCTTCGAAGTATTTGGCCAAGCCGCAATGTACGGCATCAGCCTACCTCGCGTTGCCAGCCGCTCGACATTAGCGGATCTCGTTTCCTCCAGTAAAATCCGACTGTTAATAACCACCATGTAGGCATCCTCTATGTTGAGCGCCCAGGACGCCTCAATTGACATGTTTAGGACTGAATTCAGTGAATTCACGTACACCGCATAGACGGCTGCTAGGATGATGACGCTCTAAGGGCCAAGAGACGTTATAGACATTGATCAGGGATGCAACCCGTGGCATGGCGTCCGTGTCTCATCTTTCCGTATGAGGAGCCCTCGGAATAGCATGCCACTGCAAATCAACCGATTCTTGGCTCACTTAATATCATATAATGGCACAGATCTCCTCTTCCAGTGCAGAAACTTGCTCAGAGTTTCCTGTTGTTCAATGTAACTGCTCCGCTCAGCCTTGTACTCCCCCCTAATACCCTTGGCTTCTTTGAAGCCGTCCGATCGTTAATTTCTAATGGGTTTTCTCAAGTCTTGCTGCAGCCTAGCCGGAGAGCTCTCATCAAGCGCACAGAACGGGTAAGTCAATGTACCTATCTAATCTACCTTGAAGCTCAAGTCCCATAATAGTTCCTGACCAATTGTCTCCAGAAAGTCGTTTTGGGGTACCTTCCTAGCTCCAACACTTCCACTCTGGATATTACAGAATGGCGGCCGAGGTGATGGACATAAAGATTGCCCATGGGGCAACAAGATGGCCAACACGAATAATCCTTATACCGATGCACCACAGACGGGAATAACTCGAAGCTATGACTTTAATATCAGTCGAGGTGTTATTGCACCGGACGGCTATGAGAAGCGGGTGCTTCTCGTTAACGACCAGTTCCCCGGGCCGTTGATCGAAGCTAACTGGGGCGATTGGATCGAAGTGAGAGTCACCAACTCGATTACTGACGACCCACCGGAAGGTACCACGATCCACTGGCACGGCTTTTTACAGACTGGATCACCATGGATGGATGGTGTACCTGGAGTGTCCCAGTGTCCAATTCCCCCGGGCAGTAGCTTCACGTACAGGTTTAGAGCAGAGCTTTATGGATCGTCGTGGTATCATTCCCATTACTCGGCTCAGTATGCCGGTGGCCTTCAAGGTCCTATCGTCATACACGGCCCGAGGAATGTGGATTACGATATCGACCTTGGCCCGGTAATGGTCGGTGGTATGTATTACTCAGGTAAATGCCGTGAAATTGCAGCTAACACTGTACAGACTGGTGGCATCGTGACTATTACGCTGTCGTAAAGGAAGTTATGACCCCCGGAGGTGTCGGCTTGACGACCTCCGACAACAACTTGATCAATGGGAAGATGAACTTCGACTGTTCAACTGTAAAGGAAGGCGATGATGCTCCTTGCACGGACGATGCCGGACTTTCTAAGTTCAGTTTCGAGGCGGGCAAGACTCACCGGCTCCGCTTCATAAACTCGGGCGCGGAGGGTACACAGCGTATCTCCATTGATGAGCACAACATGACGGTCATCGCAAACGACTTCGTCACCATCGAACCTTATGAAACCCAAGTTCTCACCCTTGGTGTAGGGCAACGAGTAGACGTCCTCGTCTACGCTCACGCTGAACCAGGATCTGCTTTTTGGCTGCGTGCTAATATGACGTCTTGCTCTAATACTAACCAGCCATTGGCCCTTGCTGCAATCTATTACGATGGTGCCGACAATAATTCTATGCCGGCGAGTACTGCATGGGATGTACCAGATCCAGGTGACTGCGCCAACGATGACCTGTCTGTTACTAAGCCATACTATTCTATGTCCTTGCCCGAGCCCTCATTCACTCACCATATGGACATCGGCACTACTACAAATTCTAGCGGCAACTTTCTCTGGGAATTCGGTGTAAGTGCAATTTATTCAATCCATGAAAGTCATATATAATACTCACATATTAAAATCTAGGGTGTCGCCGCGCACGTTAATTACAATGACCCCCCTCTCCTGCGAGCTGGTCACGGACACGCCGAATTCGACCCGAAATATAATGTGGTTAATTACGGCACTAATTCTTCCGTCCGGATCGTAGTGAATAATCCAGGTCCCTCGTAAGTTACTTCACCGCATCACGTCTCACACAAACAATCCAATCATTCTCCTAATCACCAACATGCAGGCCCCACCCCATGCACATCCACGGCATGAACATGTTCGTCCTAGCCGCCGGGACGGGTAACTACTCCGCCGAGACAACCGTGCTCAACACGCATAACCCCATGCGCCGCGACGTGCAAATGGTCGTCGCCAAGGGCTTCATCGTCGTGCAACTAGACGCGTCGCGGAACCCAGGCGCGTGGCCGTTCCACTGCCACGTCACGTGGCACGCATCCGCCGGCTTCTTCTCGCAGATGCTCTTCCGACCCGATCTCTTGCAGAAGCCGGCTTTCAACATCCCGCACGACGTCCGCCAGACGTGTAAGGACTGGGCTAGATTTACGAAGACCGTCGCGCTGGACCAAATCGATAGCGGTTTGTGAGGCGGAGGCGAATATACGAACAGAATGAATTAGAGCGAGGGGAGATTGCGAATAATGACAAAATGGCGTTCTCTACGGAGTAGTAATCGGATTGGGAGTGTGTTATCTACGTCTAATGTCTAACACATACAGCATAGACTATTGCTCTTTTGTTTTTGTTTTTTTCGGGCTACATATTGCATAGAAAGTGGCGTTGGGTCAAAGAGAGAGGGTAGCGCACCCTCCCCCGAACGAATTGGGCTTGCAGACGATTGGCGTCAACATAATGACTGTTTTTCAATGTATTTACTTCTATATAATGAGATAGATGGAAGGATGGAGTCTGCGTAAATGAAATACCTAGGTATTAGCGCGATCGATGGGATGGGAATATAATGGCCTCGACGCTCCTACAAAGACTGCTGTTTTTCATTGTGACTCTAATTAGAGGGGTTCTTTGAAAGATAGCGCTAATACCGCTATTCTTATCGGGCAATTTTTAGCACACTGTTAGGTACAGATTTCAGCTGTGTGGCTAACAATTTTTACTTCCAGGCTACTTAGGTACCTACCTTGTATGAAACGCAGTGTGAAATTAATGAAAGCCATTACCTAGATATCTCTGGTTGGGCGGTTTCAGGCATGTCGCGCACCATACATTCAGCGCATTATCCCGGGCTGCGAGATCAGAAAATCTCGGACTTAATAGAGACTTAAATGCCCTAAATGGAAATGCCTAATCTCCTGGAAATCGGGGTTTCGCCGCCGAACCCAGCAGCCCAAGCTCCCTGTTACTTTCATTTCTTCAGGCGGCTTTTAGGCGCGATGATATTGCGTGGTGATTATCCGCCAATTACGACTCGCCATATGGGGATGACAGCGTCTTTCTCTTGGGCTAAGATAGATGGAGAAGTGCGCTATCGCAAAGTACGAATTTCCTTTCTTTTGTTTTTCTAAAGCAGCTGCTCTGGCTGCTATGATTAGATCTGAAGAGCTTAAGATCAAAAGATTGGGTCATGCGCTGCGACGCAGAGTCGTGTAAATTAAAATAATGGATCCATATATCCCCTGTCACGTTGTTTTAGTGGTTAAGCCCCTGAAAATGGCTTAATTTATAACGATTATCCACTAGAATCCAGCGGGTATTGGGCAAGGGATGTGGCTGATGGTCCAAAAATTTGACCCAAAGCTTCAGCTTAGACCTAATGGATCCTTAGAAGCGATGTGTCCGCTAAGCTTTAGTGGATAACCACCATAACTCTAAGAGTTTAGCCACTAAAGAAAAACGCTACACCATGCGAGGATATATGAATAGATCTTTATAATACACTATAATAAATATAATATATGTAGAGTCTTAACTTATAAGAAAATGCTTTAAATAAAGATTCCCGAATATAATTACATCATGACTCTGATCAATTTACGAGTTGATTTCTTTATTCTACACCACTGTGCTCAAAGTCTTGGTGCAATTATTTAGGTCCACTTTTATACCCCTTTTCATAACCCCTTACACCTTCCTACCTGGTATGTAAGTCAGATCAATTCGCGATTATAAAATCGAACACTCTACTGAAACATTTATACTAGATCACTTGAGTGGTGGTTTTATGGAAATGATTGACATTGGCGAGAGTACCTAGGCGACCTCTACTTAAAATATAGCACTCAGGCTAGTAAACGCTAGAATGTACACTACGTAGGTGGTGGCATCTCACACTCTTACGCTTTCTTCAAAAATGTAATCGAATCCATCTGCTCCAAAGCTCCCACACCAAGGCTGATTTCCTTGAACTCTTCCAAGTCTTTCTTAATATTTTCGATATCTAATGAAATCATACCAAAAGCGTCCGCGCCAAAGGGGATTCGGATTGGAATTCGCTTCCCCTCGCTCACAAGTTTATATATAGCAGTCGCAACAGCATCAGGCCTAGTCCAATGCTTGCGATTCTCTGCATTTCGCATATGCGAGAGCAGAGAATTTGTTGGATATTTCGGATTCGTATAGGCTGGGTGTCTGTGAGACATCTCCCTCAATGACGACGTCGCAAAGTTCGTCTCCGTACCACCTGGCTCGATGATGCAAAAGTGGACTGCGTGGATATTAATGTCAGCAAGTTATCCAAAAAGGAGAATAAACCATCAGGAAAATAGCATACTGTTCCATTCCGTGGGAAGTTCCTTCGCTACTGATTCCGTCCAGCCTTCGACCGCGAACTTTGACGCGTGGTAGAAGGCGCCGCCTGGAAATCCCATAAAACCTCCCATAGAACTAACGTTAATGATGACACCTCCTTGCTGTCCGCCATTCTTAGGGTTCTCGTCTCTCATGATGCCCAGAACTATCTTGGTGGCGTTGACAGTACCCCAAAAGTTTGTGTTCATCTCTAGATGGGCCTCTTCATCAGTAGATGACTCCGTATCGCCAATAAGTTCAAACCCTGCATTGTTTACGAGGACATCGATGCGACCAAACTTAGCAAGAGTCTTGCTAATGGCTTCCTCGATCGCTGTCTTTGATGTAACATCTAGTGTAAGCTTGAGAGTATCAGGTCCATCTTCGATATATGACAGAGATGCTGGGTTTCGAGCCGTGGCTACAAGACGGTTGGGTGACCGCGCAATGAGCTTCGCCAATGATTCTCCGATGCCAGATGAGCAACCGGTAACTACATGTAGACACTCAGTACCTATCTGCAGATAGAAGCTTGTAATTAAGGTAGGCAGGTACTTACTGAACCATACTGCATCTGAAGGAAGGTTGTAAGGCTTTGTGTTTGAGGCATCCATCTTTATCGAGCTTTCTTTGGTATCCAGGCAAATATTCTATTTGATCTGTGAATTCTGATTTTCTTGATTATGAAGAATTGCTTCCCTATTATATATTCGCTCTCACAGGTCGTTAGGAAGACTACAGATACGGCCAAATTCGTAATAGTATTTCAGATTTATTCTATATGACGTCTAAAACAATTATCACCTCCCCTTGCATCGTTATGTACAATAATAAATTCTACCTTGGATAACTAATGTGTTGCTGGAGATTAAGCGCCTAAGGTCCAGGCCTTGCATTAAGTCCGAAAAATCCGACAGCCGTCACATAAAGGAGGTCTTTGTCATAAACTATTCCCAAATATGAAAAGCCCAATGGAAATACACTAGGCATCAATCTATCACTTATTTGGTAATATTTAGAATCACCCATGTTAACACATCCAATGCTTTATTTTTATGAAATTTACATGTGCTAGGTTAGGCTTGTTGTGATGTTTACTTCGAGTAAGAATTCGTAATGTAGGTAACTATGCGTCGTAACCATCAGTACACTCATGCCACTCCCCCTTCCTGCTCGTAAACGGGCTTATAATTACCTAGGTACTATCACGCCAATAGCTCAGCAATAGATTGCTACTTTGAGTTGAGCTCATTTTCGTAACGGATGATCTTGACTGCCAAAGCCGTTGTCAATCCACGGTTTCCGATACAAGCCCCTATCTTTCCAAAGCGGTAAATATGCCCCGCTGGCCAGCCGCCGTCCTCCTCCTGTAAGGACTTAAGGATTTGAAGGTCATTCTTATAGCACAACTTGTCGATTCCAATCGATTGGCAAGCGGAGATACGTAAGGCAAGTGCCAATGCGTTAGTCGGTAGGTTGATCCGCTCCAGTAGTGCCTCTTTAATATATCCTAAATCTTTCCTAAGAGCCTCCTGGTTGCATTCCACGTATAGTCGAGTGACCAGATAGAGAAACACTTCTGGAGTAGAGTAATATCTGGTTCCATTGACATATGATCTGTTTCTGAGACATCGAATTACCCACTCCTGGGTCTTCTTTGTGCGCGGGTCAATTCCCTGCTTATAACCGAAACGATAGAAGACGCGTAGGATATTGCAACAGACCTCTGGGCTTGTCCTCGGTCTGCCCTCTATGAAATATGTCTGTAGGATTCCATCAGAGTCGGTATTCATAGCCATCTTTTCCATGACTAGTTGAACGTCTGCCATCTCTCCGAAATGGTTTGCGGGAATAGACAGATAAGCGATAGACGTCGTATCTGCATCAGCTGGGAACTCTCGGGTTGTGAGGACTGGCTGATCACACCAAAAATTCCATAGCCCATTCTCAACGTTTCTATCGATAGAGTCGCCAATGCTAGCCGCGCCATGAGAGATAACGCTGGCATCCTGGATTTTTCCGGATGGCCACTTCAGGAAAATTATGTCAGCATCACCCGTTAGTTCCCAGATCAGTAGCTGCGAGAAATTCTCCCTAATATGCAAATTTTGGCCCTCAACGATGCTAATATGGTTACCAGCATTGTTTTTCATGTACATCTGAGCCTTAGATACGGAGTCGAATAACATGTTTTTCAGAACTTGACCAATTTCAAGAGAAGAGCGGCTGTCGACCAAGATTCCATGAATCCCGATAGTTCGAGCAGCATGAATGTTTTCGACCCGATCATCGACCATGACCACATCGCTAGGATGGACGCCGATCTTATCAATGACATGTTGGAAGAAGCATAGATCTGGCTTCCTCATGCCGACGGCACCTGACGCGAAGGTAAAGTTGAAGAGTGACCACGGTAGATGTAGACGTTGTACAAGTCGAAAATGCTCCTTCAAACTTGTAAGTTGCGTTCTAATGTTTAGCAGACTACTACGTACCTGGGATATGTTCGACATAACTACAAGCTGCAAATTTTCATCTGATGCTCGAAGCTCTTTCACTGTTTGGGCTAAGTCGGTATCAACCTCTAGAGATTGTTGGGCTTCATCGAGACCATGTTCGATGGTTTGGGCATCGATGCCCACAAGCTTGCTGAGATTCTACATTGAATGAGCAACTATTGAAGAAAAGTCGTGAGAACGGTACTCACCTGGCATGCCTCTTGCAGTGTGAGGTGTCCTCTTTCTAGGTCAAACCAAACAGGTGAATCCATCATCGTTTGAAGTTGACTCGGTGATAGATCAGTGACAACTTCACTGTTCCAATGGAGCAGAACGCCACCAAGGTCGAATATAATAGCCTTGAACTTTGAAGTCATGGTGTCTAATAGAGGATGGTTTCAATAGGGAAATCTGCACTTGAATGATCAGTTGTCTTGTTAGAATACTCAGAAGTATGCTAACGAACATGCAAGCTCTTAAATATACCATGGCAATTATTCCTACTGGAGAATAGATGGAGTTACCGTGGGAGGCATCCCTGACCTCCCAAGCCATGATCTAAAGTATGACTTACACAGAAGCTGATCACGTAGCAATAGAATGTTCTTTCATCCGAAGGATTTAAAATCCTTCGTAATCCTCCATTTTTTCACAAGGGTGTTAGAATTAGCCATACCGGGTTTATTTACTCGGTATGGCCATTGGTTAGAATAGTAATATACCTATCAATCTCACCTAGCATGATTTCGGTACATGTATCATTCTTTCGAATATTTAAGTATATACTTCCATAATACCTGTTTATGAAGAAAGATATATATGACACTTACGGCTATCTTGATTTTATTATTTTTCTTGTTAATGTTCGCCGCAATGCTAATGTAGTAAGCATATTGGATATGGATATCTTGAGCAACAATGTCTCTGAAATCCGTACCTCCATCCCGTTACGTTAGTGAATGGTCTCAAGTTACCTGGATAGATATCGAGAAAGAATAAATCTATAATTCGATGATATAACCCCTGATGAAATGGTATTGTTCTAATAAGATCTAGATTTAGCCATGTTCCATTTTCATAGCGTGGAGTTTTGTATTAGCTCAATTTAAAGTCACAAATCAAGGCATATCTTACGAGGTTTCTGAAGACAATCGTCCCAAAACTACCAACCTATCCTAGAACACGGTATAATTACTATCACTAGGTACCTATCCTCCTACCGTCATGCCAAAAGCAATATAAAGCATATGGCATTTTCTTATGTAATTCATAGATAGGTTATTTATTCACCGCTCAATTTCCTTGTGGTAGTTATCATGGTGGCGTAGTAAGAAATTGTCATCACGTTTAGTCAATTGAAAGTAATTCGAGGATGAGGCCATCTGAGATCTATTTTAACTTAGTAAATGTGTAAAGTGTTGTTGCTTCTTATGTCCTATTCTAGAGAAATGACAAAGATATGTACTTAGTAGGTAAATATAGAACTCCATTAAACTACATAGGCAGATGAAGGTGGCCGGGCTTACTTGAATACCTACCTAGGTACCTATGTACCTAGTATACATCTATAGCTAGTTACCAAACCATCTTTTTTAATATTCGTAATGCTATGTAAGCGTATTTAGGTATTAAAAGTGTAGTTTTGGTGAATGCCTAGAGGGTGCTAGTACTGGGTACGTTAAAGCTCTCTTGGCACCACCTAAGGGGTGATGCGTTTTAATCAGCAAAGTATTTTTATAGAAAATATTCTGCACGATATACCTACATGTAAGAGTACTTGCTTAAACTCTTACTTCAATATGCGACTTGAGTTTGAGGTAGAATTTCTCTTAATAGAGTAGATTGCTAATCAAACCTAAGGAGGTGCCAAGCGAACTCCAATGTAGCCCGCACCAGTTCTTAGAGATCGACAGGGTTATGATATACGACACTACTAATTGGGATTGATTACTTACCTATCGAGTGTCTACATGTAGGTCTTCAATTAGGTGCCTACCTAGGTGATTGTGAAATATTCAGCAGTTTGTAAATTATGTCACAGCCGTCTTTCTCATTTAATTAAAACTTCATGTCAGTTCTAAGGTTTATTTAAAATTATATTGCTAGTTAGAACTCTAAATCAATGTAAGTGAGATCTGTATTAAGAAGGCATTGGGACTAATTACTTACGAGTAATAGTAGCTTCCCACTTGGCATACCCTTCTTCAAGTTGGGCTACTGCTATAGTGACGTCGTCTCGCAACATTCGTAATGTTCCAGTATTATCTAGAATAATCTGAAGTTGCTGGAAAGTCTCGATAGCCGAGGCCCGTTCTCTGGATAGAAGAATCATACGATTCAATGAACTTAAAATTTCTGCGTTTGCAGGTTCTACGAGCTCATAGATACCGTTGGACCTGAGTGCTGCTGCGCCTAAAGCACGCAGGGTTTGCTTGGCAATATCACTACCCCATCGACCTCGTACCGTAGTCAAAAAACTTGAAAGTTGCTTTCGGTCAAGTAGGTGATAAGAAACTTCACCAAGTGCACAAAAGAATTCGTTCGAAAGCTGCTGGAAACCAACACCTTTGCGCTGTGTGATGAATCGGTCAAATACGTAAGTTATGAGATGCTGGTTAATTCCAGGATCACGGTATTCGCCTGCGTCATGGGATTCCTGCATACTTTTGAGGAGCCCAAGTATGCCTGGCGCTGTCTTGGTTTGACATTCCGGGCAGCGCTTCTTATTGTCCAGAGGGAGGTAAGAGAAATTTACCCCAATACGAGATTTTGGCAGCTCGTGGCCACATTTAAAAGCCGACATTGTGTAAGTTTATCCTCGAGAGATATTAAATACAATCTACCTACACTTTAGATGTGTAGCTTGTGATTGCCAAGGAAAGCTGTCCCTCATGTGGTGAATGCCTATTTCATGTCCCCACCAGCATCCTTTTATACTACTGGTGAATTAAAACTTGATATATCTTTGTTTCGGAACACACTTTGTGTTTCTAACAAATTCCTTCTCCTTGCCTATTAACATAAAGAATATTCTTGAACAAGGAGAAACGTTAGTAATCTGTCATAATAACATTATCAGGCATTGCAGGTGAACAACTTAGAATATTCTAACTAATGAATACCTACTAGGTAGCTAGGTACTAGTTAGAAATAGGTTAGCCATAGGTAGCCTTAAGGTCGGGGTCGAAGGTCAGTTAGAAAAGGAGCTCCATGTGCTAACCTTACTGTATCACACTGTGACTCTTCATATCCCACGTTACACAAGGAACACCTATTACTAATCATAACATTTATAAGTCACCTACCTACTGGGTACTTGGGTGGAATAGGGATATTCATTAGTAGAATGAGTACTTAGGGCACTTTTACTGAATCTATTTTGCCAGTTTTACAACGCCACTACTAAGAGGCATGTGTTTTCTACTTTCTTTGAGATCCCAATGACTTTTGCAACCCTTGAAATCGGATCCTGGACCTCTCTATCTTGAGGAGGTAAGGTTCTTATCACGTAGGTACCGGCCCTCGTATATTCAACCCATTCTCAAAACTTTCTGGGAACCTGGCAATAAGCAACCGGATTGCACAATATTTTCATAGCCAACCATAAAGACCAAAACCAACCAACTGCCGGAAAATTCGAAGTGTTGGTTCCTGTACAGCTTACAAGTGACTCAGCTTACCTAGGTGTGTGTTTCAAGGCACAACCTCCCGAGTCATTACGTACCTACCTAGTACATAAAGGTATCCAAGTCACCGTATCAATATTTGAGTTTGTGATCTTCTTATTCTGCAATTAATATAACATCTTGTTTTAGACATAGGAATTTTGAATGTTTGTTAAATTATCTTCCATTATAAACCCAATTGCATTCTTAGACTATTGCTTGGAACCAAGACTGAGAACTTCAGAGCTATTTTCGAGAATATGGATGTGGCCACTGGTACAGCTTGGGGCACACCGGGGCAGGCGGCATATGATTTTCGCTCAGATTATGTTACAACTCCCAACGCAGCTATGCTCCAGTCAATCATAAACACAAGCCTTCTTGACGACGTCATGATGGAGGATCCTACTACAAACTCTTTCCAGGTTTTCATGGCGGGGATTACCGGTCACGAGGACTCCCTCCTCGTTCTATCGGGAACTATGGGTAATCAAGTTGCCCTTCGCTCTGCTTTATGTTCTCCACCTTATAGCATCCTTTGCGATATTCGCAGTCATATCATACGAATGGAAGCAGGAGGTGCGGCCACATTATGTGGAGCATTTATGGAAGGAATCGCACCTTCTAATGGACATCATCTCACCCTTGATGATGTGAAGAAGCATGCAACAGTTCGAGAGGATGTTTATGATTGCCCAACACGAGTCATCAGCCTAGAGAACACTCTTTCAGGAACTATCATGCCACTTGAAGACATTCGCGCAATATCCAATTGGGCACATAGTTCAGATCCGCCCATTCACATGCATTTAGACGGTGCTCGTCTCTGGGAAGCTGTGGCCGCTGGAGCAGGTAGCCTGAAAGATTATGCTTCGTGCTTTGATAGCTTGTCGCTATGCTTCACGAAGGGGCTAGGAGCGCCGATAGGATCGATCGTCATCGGGAGTTCATCCTTTATCAAACGTGCCCGGTGGATGCGCAAGCTGCTTGGCGGGGGATTACGCCAAGCCGGGGTCATTGCCGCCCCTGCGAGAATCGCTGTCGAACAAATATTTCTAAGCGGACGTCTTCGCGAAGGTCAACAAACCGCGAAAAGGATTTCCGAGATGTGGGCTAAGATGGGCGGTAAATTACAACATCCGACCGAGACCAATATGATTTGGCTAGATCTTGAAGCTGCAGGTGTAGATAAGGATCACTTCGCCGACATGGCCGAAAATGTAGGGATAAAGACAATGCGAGGCCACTTGCAAGGACGGCTAGTTGTCCACTATCAGATATGTCCAGACGCTTTGGATTCCTTAGCTTCTCTGTTTGCCGAAATCCACAAGGTAAAGCTGGAAAAAATCGGAGTGTCTTTGAATGGTTGAAACATAAAGTCTTGATTAATTCCACTGTATTAGGCACTGTACACCAAGACTGTTCATGGAAACTTGTAAGGGGAGAAAATATTTTTTTCTGCACGCATAAAGGACGTAATTAGAATACTATAGATAAAGACACTCAATATTTCTATAATTCATACATGAAAGACAAGAACCTCTATTACATCAGTTGATCCGTCCTTCCTCGGGGTTTCCATCGCTAGCAAATTTCAGTGGGGTTTCCCCTTTCGGAGGATTGGTTTGCGTTGATTGGCCCGTCACCTCGTGCTACTCCTGGTGTCCAGGGCGCTTTCCTTGATTATATCTAATTGAGGGTTCTTATTGAGGTGTATATGCATTATTAACAGATAATAATACGATTGTGCTAGTTATAAATTAGAAAAAGTCTTAATAACATAGCTCTACGAAGCATCTAAGAGAGGAGTTAGGTACTTCCAAGTTAAAATACCACTCACTGCTCCCTTGATGAAGTCAATGGTGTCAAAAAGGATAGGAAATACCTCCCAACTCACAAGTATTGCATAAATTCGTATTATATCCTACCTAGATTTATTATGCGAAATGATGGCTCTCTTTTTTTGTGATGTGTACTTTCTAGCAATCGGAGTTCGTTACGAGTCCGATTAGTCCGGCTAGTCCGATGCCGACAGCATATTATGTCCGACTACGCCGGATAGACCGAGTTCCTTCCAACATCTTACAGACGTCTAGGAACACTACGCTACATCAACATATCTGAGTATGTCAACTGCAAGTCGTCGCCGTAACGGTTCTCAAGCTTCTTGCGAACGGTGTCGGAAATCTAAGATTCGCTGTGATCACCTTAAACCTATTTGTGGTCCGTGTCAGCGCCGGGGGCTAGAGTCTCAGTGCTGGTATCATCCCGCACCCCTCACCAAACGACGAAACTCTCGATCAACCCCGCCAACTCACCCCCAAGCTGATAGTATTGATCAAGATGAGTTTAACCATGATACTTCGGAGACCAATCCAGTCAATCCATTCTCAGATTTCCTTACATGGCCTTCTATCTTAAACCATCCTAACTACGCGTTATCGCGCGTTCCCATATACGAATCTCTCAACGAGAAGGGGCAACAAGGGCACTTGGCCACCACAGAGGAAATTGTCGCTCAATTGAAGTATCTCCCCTTTATTGAGAAGCTTTTCGATGAATTCTTCTCATTCAGTCAAATTGCACTTGTTCCAAGACGAATATTTTTGAGACTTGTTAAGTCGGTTCGCAATAACCTCACAATATCGGAGCAAAATCCCGAAAAGACGGTAGAATGTGGTCATGGCATTTCACAACTTGCCAAGGATGTACTACATTCCTCTTCGTCCCAGGTCAACATTACGTCGTCGTTAGACCCTGACAGTTTCTGCGCATTATTTTCTGGGAATAATTTGCGTGTGGAGACGCTGGGTCTTCTTTACACAACCGCTGCGCGCTCATACTTATGCGGCATGGTATATGACGAAAGTAAACATGATGGATTCATTCAGGCAATGATACGATGTAGTAACCTGAGTTTACAACTCGCCCGAGATCTTTCGACACAGACGAATGATTTCATCATCTGGTTAGCTCACGATAACCTACAGCTTACCACACTCGTTGAAGGGGAGCCAAGTAAGCAAATCCTTTCTAAAATCAATCACCAATATGCTGATAAACCTTTTGAGGTCTGGGTGTTTGGCGACGACTAGGAGATCTAGCAACGGACTTATTCGCCTTAGGCCTCCATCGCGAATCAACATACTCCACCGATACGACGCCGTTCTTCCTGGCGGAGTGTCGCAGGAAGACCTTCGCTACCGCATACCATAACGATAAGTTTTTCATGGCCGTTTTCAATCGACCCCCACGGATACCGGCTCGGTTCGTAGATTTCAATCTACCTCTTGATTTATCCGAGGACGAAATCTTCGCAACCTCATCCGAGATGCTAGAGCAAGCGCGAAGCAAGCTGTCACTGGATGGCTGGGGCACAGACGGGGGTTATAGAGCCACAACGTGGGCGCGAGTAGGTACGCTATATTCTAGCTGGGTTGCGGGAAGAAGCTATTGAATATCAATTTCGATCCGTACAATCTGTTGACCCTGATCAGATTAGGTAAACTTGCTCCCATTATTAGTATTATGCACATAGTAACGTGTCTAAGGTATCTACTAACTCGATCCCACGAGACATGGGAAGCTCTTCCCCGCCATCTTCGATACGATCCGGATTGCTGGACGTCCAATCTATCGTCTGCAATTTGCCTTATGCTTGGAAGGATATATATCTCATATCTCCACATTCAGTTTCAGCTGCTACGGTTACTTGGACAGGGAGACATAACCCCTCAACCAGAGTTGATTCAAGTTTCCGCAAATATGCTTGAGACGGTTATACGGATGGCAAAGGCTCGCAGCAGGGCCATTTTCTTTCCTCGAGATCTCCCCGTATTGGTAAGAACCATATCCTATCCCATCTTCCTCTGGGATCTCTCAATTGACAGCTGCAAGGTGCTATCATATGGTCTACCTAGCGCAATGGTTCTTATCGCAGCATTGAGAGAAACTACGCAAAGTCCATCAACCAATTTCCCACTCGAAGTAAATCGTTCTCGTCTCATACGAAATCTCTCGGTCTTCGTGTCTCAACTCGATAGCATATCGAGTCCCAAGGAAACGACTCACGAGTTCTGCATTCAAGCAGCGAAGATCATTTCGCGCAAGCTTGACATGGTCTTGGATAATCTCGCGGTCTCGACTCATGTGGAACCCCTAGATGTCGCACCGGGTTCAAATGAGAGCCCGAAGTTGATGCCGAACCAACCAATACCAGCTAATGGTACGTCTACCCCTGGATCTGCAAGTCTTGAGACCATCAATTTCGACGATATGGATGGGCTCGATCTTGATTCTTGGCCGTTGAGTTTTGATTTTGACGCAATCAATAACGAGTGGAATACTCCATAGAGTGCAGTATTTTATGCCAATATATCCTCTTTGTATCTAGATACATTCGCCTTTTCGTTTTCTTTTCAAACCGATTACATAACCATAATTACATAATTATGATTACCTAATATTCTTGGATTACATAACGTAGCTGAGATTACATAACTGATATTGCCGCCGGGCGACGCCACCATTGAAGGTGTCACCGTCATTATATAAGCCCAGACTAAGCACTTACATAATACTGTTTGTATTAGATAATTGGTTACACTGAGTGACTCTAGACGATTAGGTAAGTGATCAGGTATCTGATAGGAAACCGAGTAGTTTCATAGCGCTACTTGACTCAAGCAAGCACTTATTCACAGATTGGGCTAGACACCAGGAGTTAACGCGCGCCGAATAGTAAAAGCTGCGGTTAGATTGCTGTAGATGAGAAGGATCTGACTATTCAGAAAGGGGCGCTAAGGGATAGGTAAACATCGAATATGGAAAGAAGAATGGGGATGGATGAAGAATGAAGTCGTAATTCTTCAGATATGCGTGGTATATATGAAGGCGTTGTTTGAATCATTTATCTGTAAGTAGTGTGTTGATGAATTTCGTCATGCGTGGCGAAAGGGGCTAGTTGCAACGGGTCAAACCCGAAGCTCCTGAATTGAACAAAACGAATTCGATTAGTTTTTGACTATGTCTTCGATTCCTCTTAGTCTGTACCAACTCGACCGGTCGTTCCCCGGTCCACGACAAAGGAAAAACGAGAGCCGTCGGAGCGGCTTGACTACCGCCATCGCAAGGCCATTCTCGTTGTAGCTTCACTCGTCTACCCATACTAGAAAAATAACAAATAGGCTCTTTCGAGTCCTATTCTCTCATCAGCAGTATACCGTCCCTTGTAATTATAAAAACAGATAACAAGTCCAAATGCCGACTTATGTGCGCAGAAGAGAAGGGAATAAATATATGTACATGGAAAAGGGGGCTCCTCAGATGGTACAAAATAGGGTTCGTCAAACACAATCTGGCGTACTGTGCTGTAAGTACAGCTGAAAAGAAAAGGGGAATATTCTCATGGTCCCAGACTCCTGCGCTTGTCCACGGCCGGTAAAGAAGGAAATTCGTGTCGAGTTTGTGGGTGTCGATCCGTCTCGGTATTACATGACAACACATTTGGAATCACCCTCGCCACTGGGTTTGACGCTGAGGGCTACTCGGGCAGCCTCGGTAAAGGCTTCGTTCACGCCGCGATTTCTCATGGCCGAACACTCGAGGTACCTCATCGCTTTAATACGTCGTGCAACGTCTAACCCTTGGTTGTAGTCGATCATCGGCTTCTTTTCTCGTTGGGGACCGTCCGTTCCGCTAGCACCCCCTTCTTCATCCTCTTCCCCGTTCTCTCGCAGATCACACTTTAGGGCTACCAAGACTAACTTGACGCCGGGGCAATTCTCCTGGATCTCGCCGACCCATTTGCTTTCCACGTTTTCTAACGAATCTTTGCTATCGACACTGAAGCAGAGTACGACGACGTCGGTATTATCGTAGGAGAGACTTCGCAAACGGTCGAATTCTTCTTGACCCGCGGTATCCCATAATGACAGCTCGATATGCACGTTATCCACAAAGATATCTGAATCCTAGTAAGTTTCAGGTTCAAGAAGAAGTTATTCCAATCCCATAATATTGTGATAATAAGTATGCGAATGAAAATCCATGCCTGAACACAATATGTTCTCCTAGGCTTGGCACGTACCGTGAACGTAGTTTTCGAAGACCGTAGGCTCATAAACTGTCGGGAAGTATCCTCTCGTGAAGACGTTCAGTAACGATGTCTTTCCGCAAGCACCATCACCTCTGTCGAGTTGTCAATATTAATTAGTGTTTCAGCATGACTTAGGCGCGATTCAACACGCGACAGGAGACCGTGAATTTGGTAGGACGTACAGAAGTACTAGCTTTCGCTGAACGGTCTTGGACCCTCCTAATCCACAAAGCGACGGCATTTTTATTTCGCCGCTAGAATTTCAACAGAATATAGGCGTGGGGGAAAAATGTAAACTTCAGGCAAACACTAAGGGGGCGATTTAAAGGTTGATCGAATTGATGGGCTCGGCGATGCGACTGGAAGGTTGCAGTGCAGGCAAGGGGGTGATATCGGTCGATTCGAGGGCCGGCTCAATCCTCAATCCCGCTGAAAAGATTAATTGAGAAGTGACAAGAGTCGAAAGAAGTCGAAAGAAGTCAAAAAGAGCCAAAACGGCTTCGTAGATCGAAGTTGAAGAATGTATATTGTCTCTTAAGATGGCGAATTTGGAGTTGGAATGCGGAAGAGGAAACGTGAAAAGGGTAATGATCGCAACTGGTAATTGTAACTAATCTGGAGGTAATCACAAGCCTCATCAACTTGTCGAAGGGGGTTTAGCGGTTCTGTGGCGTTTGTGGACTAGCCGAGGTCACGGACCACCATAAGGTCCCTCGGCGCCATGTTAGCGCTATATTTAGAGATTTATTATGTAGGTACTTTGTGTGTATGGGTAACATAAAGTACCTTGGCTGCTTAGGTACAAACGGAACAAGACTAACAGCACTAAGTTCTAACAACTCATGAGGTCTTGGTATGGACTTACATGAGAGTTGACAACGTGTTTGATAGACGTGTAAGATGTATCCATGAATGTCTTATTCTTACATCTCGGCCTTCGCATCCTCAAGACAGGAAGCTGTTATTACTATATTTGTTTGTGTCCAAGCATTACTACGAAGTAAGTTCCAACAATACCTAATAGCTGAGGTCTCTCCCAATATATGGGTACTTAGGTGAGGTTGTACAGTCCCTCCGACAAGGAGTTGCCTGCAATTAACCTTAAGGGATACCCCACTAATGGATATTCCCTATGGATACATTCTCTCCAATCTAAAATGTTACCTTGTTTGTTTATTTGCTTAATTGATTCAACCTTGAAATCAAGCTCATGAATAGGAGATTTTCTTCGGAAATTCTTCGTCGAATTTAACATATCGCTCCATTGCGCCTCGATATCTAAGATCCTCGTCCTGAGACTCCTATTACAATGCAGCCCCAAGGTCGCGGGTCAATATGTGGCGAGAGCTGATGAATCGATTGTCATGAGGATCTTCATAAGCCACCCGGCATTTCTTCTAATTGGCTGCAATGCAACAGAAGCTCGCGGCTAACTGGGTCTACAGTTACATTCCCTGAGATTTCAATTAATTACCTATCTAATACCAGTCAGCCAGTCTACTCGCCTCACTCCTTTACAACCTGTCGACTGAAAATTGTGGCTGAACATTGCTTGACCGCTATGCGTTTAGAGTCTTTAGATGAAGCGTCATCTAAGACTCGAGCGCCGTAACTTCCAAAAACTTGGAAGTTTGTGAATCCACCCCAATGAATATGACGGACCTGGGGTACTGAACGCATGCAAGCAGCCGCTAGAACGTCTGCAAAGAAGATCCTCCACCGTGACACCGCTAGTCCCTCATTGGATCATCAGCTATTCTCGCGCCAGCACAGTCAGCTACAAAGTCCTCATAGCCTTTAAAGGAAATAGCCGAGGACACGTATTTTATTCATCAGCTGTGTCATTGTGGCATAGTTGCAAAAGCACAGCATGAACACCTGAACATAGCTATCTACTCAACGTATACTTCGTACATGTTCTAGATACGGCGCGGCGAAATTCCGTCTAGAACTTGAAACTCAACAACGCAAGCCACAGTTCATCTGTCGGGACCAACTTCATGTGAGATTCTCCGCATGGCAAGTTTCGGACATACGATATGTCCATCTAGAGGTAGGTACATACATAATCTGCAATGTAAGCAGGTAAGGTCGGGACGGATCCTCCCCACTTCCAGGTTACTCTCGATTCTCGAATAGATAGGAGCTCATAGATAGATATCATAGCACGGCGTGATTGCGCGATAAGCTCCCGAAAAGTAGCTCACAGCTCACAGTTCATCGGCCGGCCGGATCTCGCATATCATACACTCGTCATAAGCTCACCTCCATGCGTCCATGAAGTATACGATCAAACCCTAATCAAGTCGCAAACCGGGTATTCTCATCATTAAAAGCCCAATTAAAGAGGGGCCATCCCGAGCGAGCTGTTTAGCTCAGCTGAGTCAATTCGGGGAATCCGGAATCTGACGTCTTTGTCCTATCTATCGGTAACGCCCAGCCCCAAGCCCGTGATTGATCGCGTGCGCTCCCTGCTCCCGCAAGCAAAGACCATTCTCGCCAACGCGCCATACGTACCTATCTACGTAACACCAAACCCCCAGCTTTTAAAAAAAGAAAAAGAAAAAGAAATAAGCAAACCTCTCGCCGCCACCACCATGCTCAAGCGCATGAACGCGCCGCGGCGACCAACCCCGGTCGTCGTCCCCGAGGTCCGCGCAACACCCTCCCGATGCCCGCCCCTGCCCCTCGAGATATGGACACAGATAATGCGCACACTAGTGCACAGCGAGGACCTACCCGAGCTATGGACGGGTCTGCGTCTGCTCTCGCACACCATCAAAGCAGCGCTCGAAACCGCGTTCGTAGACGAACACCTCGCGCGTCTGCGCGGCTGGCTCTACGTCGGCGAGCCGCAGCTCGACACGCGACGGCCGTGGAGCATGCCGGGCGCAAAACGCATCGTCCCATTACAGCTCGTGCTCTCGCGCTTCTCCCCCGATCGCCGGCGCGCGTACTTCGTCTCCCTGCTGCACCGCAACGACCCCTCGCTGAAAATCAGCCCGAGCTTCTCGGACTGCAGCGATAACACTGTTGTCGCGGAGTGGTTGCGTTCCGCGCGCGGGGTGCCGCCGCCGGGGGCTGGGCCGACGGAGGGGCGGTTAAGGTTGACGATTGGCCCGGATTGCGCGTGGACGCATTGGAAACACCATGTTATCGGTAGCGATGGGTTTGTTGTTGAGAGTCGGAATATCACGTTTGAGGACGAGGACGCGGATGAGAGCGGGAGCGACGATAGTGGTGAGCGTAGGGCGGCGCAGGGGAAGGCGGTGCGCGCGATTGGGCTCGAGGTCGATCGTACGAAGTGCGAGGTTTCGCTTGAGTGGACGACGTTGGTTAGTTGTGTGTTTGCTCGGCCGAGGAAGACTTTTGGGGAGGCTTTCCATGGTCGGTGAGGATAGGATTAGAGTTGTGGCCTTGATTTTGGGGATGGGTAGATTGTAAAGATAGTGCGACGGGATGTCTTGGTTTGGGATTAGAGCGGATGGTGGATATGCATATAATAGACGGTATATACGTGCAGGATTATCTAGAGGCTGGGCTGGGGAGGCAACTGGCGATATTAGGTTTGTAACGGAAATCATCCGCGGATACAGACTTAAGGTTGACTTAGCGGTCGATTGACGTTTTTATACACTTCATTTACATAGTAATTCGGATTTAATATCCGTTGATCTCATAGATAGATTAGATTTAGAATCGCATTCTAACTTGACCTACATCTAAGTTCAAATCGACATCTCGATATTCTAGACATTCACGTAGTGAAACCGGATAAAAATCATACGAATAATGCAGGGTACTTGTTTATTTGTGGTGACCTATCACTCTATTTCATGCAGTGACTGGATGCCTATGACATAACTCCGGAGCAGCTTCAAAAGGTGAAATTCCCAGTCCTTGCCCGCCTATCATCGACGTAATTGTAATCATCTTCTTTATTAGCATGCATTTCCATGCTAGTAGTCGAGTGATTCTTACCAACGATAGATCCCCATGTCCCAGTTCCATGTGCGATTGAGGGTGATTTCATTTAAGTCACTATTGGCCATCGATGGACCATAGCCCCCCAAGAGTTCCTAGAGCGCCAATTCGCGATTGAAGGAGTACTTCGGGATAATTCCTCTTGTCAATAATTCCGTACACCTTCAACCAATGACTTTCCTCCTTAAACTATTGACGAATTCTCCATCACCGTATTTGCCCGAACGCTCTCGAGCTTTGTCGTCTGCCTCTCGTTCCGAACGTTCCCTTTCAGTTATCTCGGCTAATCGCTTCTCCCGGTCTTGATCAAGCTCGGATGCCGCCTCTTGCATGGCTGCGAGTTTTCGTGCTCGTTCTTCTGCGGCAGCTTCTGTGGAACCACCAGCACCACCAGCACCACTAGCCTTGTTGTCGCGACCGTTACTGGGTCTATCCTTGTATGGGCGTCGATCGCGATAATCTCGTCTGTCGTCTTTATCGTCAGGGTAACGTCGCCGCCCTCGTGGAGGTTCATTGGAGTAATCGCGGCGTTGTCGATATCCGTCATCTCTTGTATCGCCGCGACGTGGGCTTCGGGATCGACCTCTACGTGGTCTATCATTGTCCCTAGGATCATTTCTAGAGACCGATCGCTTTCGGTCGTAACGGTCGGTACGATGCTCCTTTCTAGAACTGTATCGCTCTCTGCTCTCAGACCTCTCTCTTGAATCAGATCGACGGTGTCTGTGTCGGTGTTCTCTCGAATCGTTCCTCTCCCTAGAGTCGGTTCGACGGTGTCGGCGGTGGCGATGTTCTCTTGAATGAGACCTATGCCTGTGTCGCTTGGAGTGTCTGTCTTCCTTCTTGCGGGAAGGCTTTTCGTCTTCTTGACCCATCGATGCAAGAAGTTGTCTTCTCTTAATGGGGTCGTTCATCATCGCTTCGTAAGCGGCTTGTTCTTGCTTCTTGATGGCTAAAAGAGGGTCTTCTCGAATCTTCATTGCTGTATCTCTCTCGGTATTCGCATTTTGTAAGGCCATAAAACTCTCTTGCCCTGCTGACTTCTTGAGATTATCTTGTTCGGGTCCTTTGGTCAAAATATTATCGATGCGTCGCTTTCCCAGTAAATAGCCCTCGAGCTCTTCAGTAGTGCCAGTTTGGCCATCGCTGGGACCTTGGTACATCCATTCGACACGATCGACGACTTTGCGGCCTCCGGAGATGGCAAGTTGCTTTTGAAGCTCTTCCTTGGCACGTTCTTCCTTGATTTCCTGGATACGAGACTCGGTCTTCTTGCGCTCTTCCAAGGCTTTCTGCTCCTCCTCGTAAACACGCCGCTGATTCTTCAGCAGCGCGGGGTGATAAGATTTCTTTAGTTGCAACATTGCGGCGACTTAATTGATGAGAGGCTGTCGCAATGATGCAAATGGGTGATAAGAAGTTGAAATGGATAAATATGGTTTCTATGTTTGGTTAACGGTTTAGACCCAAATATTTTAGTTGCCACCGAATTACCTACCACAGGCTACCAGCCACACGAAATTGCAGGGATATGGATAGATAGTGGGTACAATTGCGGGGAGTCTATCTGGTACGTACCTTTTGACCCACATAGCCCCACGATCAATTCACATATGTAAAGCTCCGATAAGATAAACAGACGGTACCTACCACATCCCGCTCAACTGCAGCTGTAGCCTTGTAACATTGAATTCTAGCGGCCACTTATGACAAACAACAGAAGCTACAACCTTGAAGCGTTCTGATCATTAACTAAATTCTACAGAGAGGAAGGAGACATTTGTCTTTAAATTACTACATCTTCCGTGTTCCTCATTTTGCTATTCTTTCTATTCGCATTCCAACGACCCTCCATCCACTCCATATTCTACTAGTTACCCACATACAATATTAGTTCCCCCGAATATCGTCAAGATGTCCGACGACGATTTCATGCAAGAGTCGGACGACGAACAGTACGAACCGAGCCCTATTTCAAATACCTCGATAGCTAATTTCTACTAGATATGACTTTGAATACGAGGATGACGATGGCGACGATTCCGGCGATGTCGATATCGAGAACAAGTATTACAACGCCAAACAGATGAAGTCCAGCGACCCAGAAGAAGCCATAGATGAATTCTTAGGCATTCCAGCTCTCGAAGAGGAGAAAGGAGATTGGGGATTCAAAGGACTGAAGCAAGCAATCAAGTTAGAGTTTCGACTTGGAAGATGGGAACAGGTCAGACTTCTACCAATCAAGAAACTGCTCGTTCTAGCATATACCTAACCGTGAACCAAGGCCGTTGAACATTACACAGAACTACTGACCTATGTCAAATCGGCCGTCACTCGTAACTACTCGGAGAAATCCATCAACAACATGTTAGACTACATCGAGAAGGAGTCAGAAAACGAGGGAGCTCAGAAGGCGATGGAACAGTTCTACTCATTGACACTGAACTGCTTCCAGAGTACGAACAACGAGCGCCTATGGCTTAAGACAAACATTAAACTAGCCAAGCTTCTACTCGATCGAAAACAATACCTATCGGTCACCAAGAAACTGCGAGAGTTACAGAAAGCTTGCCAAAAGGAAGACGGTACCGACGATCCCACCAAGGGTACCTACTCCCTCGAGATCTATGCGCTGGAGATTCAAATGTACGCCGAGACGCGCAACAACAAACAACTCAAGGTGCTTTATCAAAGAGCGCTTAAGGTACGCTCCGCCGTACCACATCCGAAGATCATGGGTATCATTCGTGAGTGTGGAGGCAAGATGCATATGAGTGAAGAGAACTGGAAAGATGCGCAAAGTGACTTCTTTGAATCGTTCCGAAACTACGATGAGGCCGGAGATCTACAACGAATACAGGTCCTCAAATATCTTCTCCTAACCACCATGCTTATGAAGTCCGACATCAACCCGTTCGACTCTCAAGAGACAAAGCCATACCGTAACGATCCTCGGATTGCCGCGATGACCGAGCTAGTAGACGCTTACCAGCGAGATGACATGCATACCTACGTCAGCGTACTGCAGAAGAACCAAGACATCTTAGCCGACCCCTTCATCGCGGAAAATATAGACGAGGTGACCCGCAACATGCGTACCAAGGCTATAGTTAAGCTAATCGCACCATATACACGGATGAACCTCGCATGGATTGCGCGCCAACTCAAGATATCCGAGACCGAAGTACAAGATATCCTAGGATTCCTGATCGTGGATGGCAAGATTAAAGGCAAGATTGATCAGCAAACCGGCGTACTCGAGATCGAGTCGGATGGGGACGCAGAGCGTGTGAAGGCTCTGAAATCTTGGGCCGAAGCTATGGCCGGACTGTATGCCACCATGTTTAAAGATGGCGACGGATATAAGTTAGCCGATACCCACGCCCAGACGGACGATACGACAATCACATCTATGTTTGCCGAAGGTAGCCGCCAAAGAGCTCTCGGGGGTAAGGGTAAGAAAGGCATTTCTAAGGGCCACTACGCTTAGCGCTCGTAATTTTCCTCCGATATCATGCATTACTTTCGCGGTTTGGAGGAATGTTTAGGAAGTTGGTGGCTGGGCGGATATGGTGACTAACAGCTGTCGCTAAAACGTCGCGTCCAGTTCCCTTACGGATATCGGGTTGATACCCCGAACCCCTTGGATTGTTAGTGTCTTGCGCAATCGTATGCTTTGCTAACAGTCGCTACGACGCATTCTAGATAGACACATGATACCTCATAAATAACAACTGGATTACATTTGAGACGATGGGCTATCCGAAGTAGATGCTTACGCTCTTCTATTAGGTTGACCATGCCAACCCAACGTCCTTGCACCACCATTACAATTGCTTTCCCTACTAAATCAGATCTAGGTATAGCTACATGTTATCTTTGACGATGAGAGGCTTACTAATCACTAACTATTAAATGAACCCGGGGTCCGTCGCACTCACTTCTCCAGAAGAATCATGCTTCTTCCACCAGTGCGTCGTCCAACTCGACGGGGTTTGACTTATATTTCGCAAACCCCATATTATAATGACGATACCTGTTATAACTGCAACCGCGAGCTTCACGGGGTTGGATCGTCTCCCGTTCCGAAATCCGACTCCGCTGCCGACATGCTTCCGATGTATTTCAGACTTTTGATGGCGCTCTTCAGCATTCTTATAAAGCAGAGTACCATTAAATGCGGCACGAATATCTTCGCTGCGCATAATACCGTTGTGGGGCCAGAGGAATAGGTACAGGGTCAGCCCTTCATTAATGTCAGTACAACATGATTTTACGGCAACAGGATTGACTCACATTCGAAGACAGCGATATTCCAGCCGTAGACATTATACTCGGCTCTCTGCTCATTCCAAAAATGCACGAGGTCTCGAAATGCAAGCCCGCCTTTATTACTCTTATCGTACTTGGTGAGAATGCTCTCGCATGCTCTATTGCGCCTAAGGCGTCCTTTTTCGTCGTACGAGGTCTTGTACCCACCGAACCCGCTGCGATGGGTATTGTCGTAGTAAATCCGGGAATGCAGGTCGGGCATGTACCCCGAGCATGTCGGATAGGAGAATATCAAGTGAATGGCGAACATGGCGAAACTGGAGGACAGGATACCCCATCCTGGATTTTTTTTAGCATATATTCACATCGCACTAATCCTTTTCGCACGCACCTAGTTTCCTGAATCCTTTAAACGTATCTTCCGGACGAATAACCCCGTCTTGATCAACATCAAAGTACTCAGCGCATTTTCGCATGAGGTACGTCGGCTCATAAGTCGTAATCGACCAATTCCCCATAACCAAGTTTCCTGGCAAGTCCCTTAATGGTATCGGGATGTTTTGACCCAAGTCAAGAGGCTGTGATAGTCTCCTCTCCGATCTCTCCGGCACGGGCAGCATATTCGTTTTAGCCGGACCCCCTCCATGCGTACTCTGGTTCAATAAAACGTTCTCCGGCAGAGACTTCCTATGTATTCGAAGTGGAGGTGGAGTGGTATCATTCGGAATATTTTCGTCTGTCCTAGCCACCGACGTTCGCCTCCTTCCTGGTCCTAGGTTTGCATGTCGACTCACCGCAATCTCGGCGGCAGTATGAGGAACCCTCCGGGAAGGAGGCAGCTTCTGTTCCTCTCTCTCGTGGACACTTAATCTGCGAGTTCTCAGACGCTGTAAATGCTCGCCGGATTCTTCGGCTGGTGTTCGACCTCCATGCGAGCGCCTTCTACTATCCATCATATTAATAATGTCTCTTTTGGATTGTTTACAAGACCGACAACAAAAAATGGTTATCATAAATGGCCATTGAATTTTATATCTAATGCCGATATCCATAGTGGCGTAGCTAATACCCACCTACTATGATTCATGATGTTCTCGGCGTCTATTAGCCCGTGGAATAGGGGTATTCGCCAACACCGGCGACCAAATACTTCTCCATAACCGCAATCATGACATATGCGACCATGGCTTTTGCGAAATGATATCATCAGAATGGAATAAGTTGGAATTGGTGAATATCCGGTGGATGGTCTAGTGAACGCCTAGTCCCGACGGCAGAGGTTCCGTTAGAAGCGGCGTCAAGGCCGACTTTAGCTAAGTGAACTTTATATCCCACCCCATATAATCAATTCAAATAGTTGATAAACAATTATGCTTATTTTATCAGACTCTAGCGCTTTCCTCAACCCCTTTATTTCTCACGGGGCTACGACGGCTACTTAGGGGATAATGGTGAACTACCCCCATACATCAAGAGCCGCAATTGAATCACAAAAGAAATCCATTCATTCTAAATCGACCTAAAGGTAACTACCCATAACAGCAATTTGACCATCCCGCTCATATCATCATAACCATCCCACAACCTCACAACCTCCCCGTCCGCTTATCCTCCGTAATCTTCAAAACATGCGCAATCCTCTCCGGCTGGACCCTTTCCCACAGCGTGCCCAACCCCGCCTTAACCCCCTTCTCCTCCTCGTGTCTAAAAAACTCCTCCGCGCTCCTAACCCTCGCAGGGTGGATCTCATCCAACAACGCATAATCCCGCCTCACCAAGCCCGTGTTCCCACCTGAGTTCCTCCACACATTCCAAAACGCAGTAAAGTTCTCCCGCACAGTCATCGTCGCGGGGTCGCTCAGGTCCGCGTTATACCCCGCCGCATGCTCCGGGTCCTGTAACCACACTTTACCAAAGTACTCCTCGAACCCCACATCCACCGCGCGCGCCGGCCGACCCGTCACTTTCTCAAACGCGCCGCTGAGGTCTGAGCGCGTGATATGCGCGATGCCGACTTCGAGGTCGAGTCCGTTCGCGCGCGAAGGGTGCTCGAATAGCCATTTGACGTACACCCCGCAGTCGTCGAGCGCGACGAACGGGATCGCCCCGTCTTGCATTGGTAGACGCCAGGTCGCGACCCCCGAGTCCATGGTTACTGCCATTGGTGTGTGTGCTGAGATCGTCATCTCCATGTATGGCCCCGTGGTTAGGAGTGCCGCTTGCATGCGTCCGTGGTTCGCTTGGTTTTGCTGCAGGATCCATTCCCCGATGCGGCCTTTGCCGTCGTAGTGGCCGGCGCTGGGTTGGGGGGGCGGTGTTAGTGTGTTGTTTGGTTCTAAGTAGGGTGTTGGGAATAGGGGTACGTGGGTGTTTTGTAAAGGGGCTGTCACGGGGTAACTCACTGGAACTCGGGTTTATACCCGCTTTTCTTATAGACGTAGTCGAGGTTGCCGAGGATGAAAAACTTGACGCCCTCCTCGATAGCTAGCTCGTATGCGCGGATGGTCCAGAACATCTCGGCTTTCTCGCCGGAGTTGAAGCCGTCGATGTTTACGAATGCGCCCCATGCGCCGCGGAAGGTGGCTCGCAGGTCTTTCTCTGATGCAAATGTGCCGATGACGGGTTCCACGGACCCGAATGATTGCAGTTCCCGGAATCGGGCGCTGGAGGCGTCCCGTGTTAGAGCTCGCACTTTGTAGGACCCGGATTGGACGAGTTCTCGTACGACGGGGATGCCTTGCGCTCCCGTGGCACCGATTACTGCGATTAGGCGAGGTGCAGACATATTGGTTTAGTACTAGTATGTAAATATAGTGTTTCTTTAAGGCTATGCGATAGGTGTTAAGTCGTTTGATGGGGTTTACTGCTTTGACTTTTCTAATCTTTGATCGATCATCGTTTTTATATTCAGATATATAGTTTTCTAGAATCATCATCCCGCGATACGTACCTAGTATGGCGCATTACTAACGAGGAGTTGTCAACATTGAGTTACATTGCAAGGCGATCTCAGGGGTATTTTCTGATTATTCTATCATAACGCAGCCACCATCAGTAATTGGATCTCTCAGCACCTGATGGCAGATTTAGGTACTACGCAGAATTTACTAGCAATAAAGCTAAATTATCTACAAGTACGACGTAAGGGGACTCCCTTTTTAGGTTACCGCAGGGTGCTTCGTGTACCAGGCGACGCTAGAAGGGCTAGTCCACCCGACTTCAACTCGGCAACATGATTACTCATACTCAAGTCGGCGACCATATAACAGCGGTGAGTTGCCGATCACTAAACACATGGTAGCTATTATTGACTATAGCGAATAATGTTAGAGATCCCCATTATCTATTTATTTGTCATAAATAATCAATGAAGGAAAATTCGCATTGCTACTTACTTGATACTCAGAGTTAAAGGATATATGTTTGATTATTCAGTGGTTGAGTAACGATACCTATACATGAACACATTAATCATTCATATTCGAAGACAGCGAACCTCAAGTCTAAGTATTGGATTAGTTATCAATCTATCTAATTTGCCACGGTAATGGCCCTGAACGTAAAACATATATCTAAACAGGATACCGCATCTTCTAATTCTAGAGGTACAGTCCTCGGGTGACCACAATCTACACAATGGGTATTGAACAGCAGGAAATCTATGCGAACAACACGATAATGAGGAAACGTCCCGACGTCTATCTCTCTGCTTTGGGCGCTGCATCGGCGAAGAAGCTTACAAATCTGCGATTTGCTAAGCTTATAGCTTGAACTGCTTGGCACATTCTATTCCCTCCGCGAATGTGCCTACTCGTGCGTCGATTGCGTAGCCTTCGGCTTCGAACCTCTTGCACTCGTCATACAGCTTGGTAAGCGGGACCAGGAAGACTTCGATGAACTCGTCTTCTTCCAGCTCGGGCTGGAGGTTCTGATTCTCAGGTAGGCTCATGTCAACGGTAACGTGGACCATCCGCAGGTTGGTATTACAGAAGCCCGGGTCTGCGAATTAGTCAGTAAGATCCTTAGAAGTCTAGATGTGGACTCCCTCTCCATCTTGTCTAGTGGCGGAATGGCTTTTTAGGGGTTACTCATAATGTCCTAAGACTTTGATGAAGTCTTTGAAGAGGGGTTGGGGTTTTGTTTACCATTGAACATCATGGGAGAGGTCTCGGAAGGCTTAGCGACATAGCCGGTTTCTTCCTTCAGCTCTCGAATGGCAGCTTCCTCGACAGTTTCACCCTCATCAATGAGGCCTGCCGGAACCTCGATGGTGACCTTATCAATAGGCGCACGGTACTAATATGTATGCAGTGTTAGTATGGATAACTGAAGCGTCATTCAGGTACCACAGGAAAGCAGATCAAATAGGGGTCTGATAGACACAAGTCTAGTACCACAACATCCAGAATCCCGAAATAGATGGAAATGACTAGGTGGAAATGACTAGGTAGGCAATCGATGTCTATGACTGACCTGTTTTTGAAGCACGATCTCAGGACCGGTGGGTTTCTCTAAGATGGCTACAATTCCCACGCCATCGATGTCGCTATTCTTTGGCCTCGTAGTACGCTCGGCCGATTCCCAAGTACGGGTCTGACTCTTCGAATCAGTGTAAGTCAGCCTAAGTACGTAATGTCAGTATAACGAATTGAAGCTCACTAGGAGACATTTCATCCTGCCTACTTCACCAGTTTGGCCCACTCCGCATCGCTGTTCTTCTGCTCCGATTGTTAGAAGATCGCATACAGACTCAATTGGGTTAGGCGGAACAGGACACTCACCAGGGGCTCTACAGACAGAACTTTGGCATTTGAGAACGACATGATGGAGTATGAATGCGCCGTGGATGTTGGAATTATTAATTATCTCGTTAATTCGTTTATTGAAGTAATTGTGAAGAATTGCGAACGGAAATAAAATTTGTGCGATGTGTTGTTCACTGGGCGTCACCGATATTTTGCCAACTGGAGCTAGGGACTGCCAAGTGGCGCCAGCTGCTCAATCTCGATTGTAGCCCCTTTTTCATGGCATGTGGACCCCCTTTAAACAAGATACCATGCCAATAGGGGCTGTAGTGGATCTGGATCAAAAAGTTGTTCCTCTACGGATTTAACACCTAGGGAAATCCTATTATTAAGTAGGAAATGACAGCAAAGTAATATTTATTACCGTTTGGTGATTGCTGTCGACTAGCCCCTTTTCAATTTCTTACGGCTTCCGTGCCCATGCAGTTATGACAAGTAATGACAGGACTGTCAAAACATAACCCCATTCGGACCCATCTCCCCTCTTCCATTCCATTAATCCAGCTTTAGGTTCTTAAGCCTCTTAGCCTCAGGGAGGTAGTCATCGACGCCTGCCTCCCCCATCACATCGTCGACATCCTCGTCACCTTGTTGTTCGGCGGGGCGGGTGGCATCCCCCTCTCCACTCTCGTCTCCTTCCGCGGAGACAGGCTCCCTGTACTCCCTGAAGGAATCGTACTTTCGTACACCCCCCATACCCTTCGGAGATTCCCAACCCTTTAGAGTCCCGCTCTTCTCGTGGACGGTATCGTCCAGGAAGGCGTCGCGATGGCTGGTTCGGCATTCCGTGTCGTAGAAGAAGAGCTCTTCGTCGGGGACCTTCGACAGGGCTATCGCTTCGAAATGCTCCCCGATCGCGGCGCCAGCTTCCCGCGCAGGTCGCTGGATCTCCTCCATATCTAGTACGAGCTTGTCGGTCCCGTCTCCTTGACCCTCGTGGTGAGTTAGGTGGTGCGGGAAGTACTTGTCGAACACGGGCTTGTTCAGGCTGACTTCGTCCTCCGCCAGCTCCAGGTTCTCTTGGCAGATCTTGTCGCCTTTCTGCAAGACATCGGTTTGGTGGATGGGGTAGTACCGCAAGAACTCGTCCAGGAATCGGTCGAGGGCTTGTGCGAGAGGCTGTCCGGCGGGAGGTTCTTCGCCTGGGCGTAGAGTCACGTTTAGGAAGATGGCGCGGGCGTGGAACGCTTTGTAGGTGAACGCCCAGAACGCGTGGTCGTTGATTTTGCTAGACCAGGCGAATGAGTTTTTTGCTCGTGCGAAGAATTCTTCGGGCTCGAAGTCACGACAGAGTTCGATTTTCTCGGCGGCGAATTCGTAGACATGCGAAAGCGCTAGACTGATAATGGTTCGATTGGTCGTGTTCAGCTCCCTCGCCAGTACTTTGGCGAGATGTATGGAGTGTGGATGGTGGAGTAGGAAGCGATGCTTCTTTAATTCGCGTCTCAACCGCTCATCGTAAACGTCCTTCGCTTGTGTCTGCCAATGAAGGCCGCTGTTGAAGCCCCTGTGGAAGAGTTGTTGGAGAGACAACTGCTTGCGCGGCATGCTGTATGTCGTACTGGTGGCTTGATGGTATATAAGGTTTTTGGGTGGATGAAAAAAAAAGATGTTGTGAATAACTTGTCGGATACGTAAATGTCTATGGGGATGATTTGGTGTATATGGGGGAGAGGCGAGAGAATTTTATGTATGAGGGACGTACGAATATTTCCATAAGTTCTACGGCCATGCAATGTGTAGTATAGTGGTAGGTAACGAAAACTGCATGCAACCTTGGAAGTTGAATGGGAAACATGAGTACCTACCTAGGTAGTAAGTAGGTTGGCAAGGTAGGTAGGCGCCTGTGCAGTAGTGGAATGAATAAAGTATTTCTATGGATGGTAGGAGGTAGTTATGATACGGTGGTGGACATCATTGGCTAATTCGTAGATGAACAATACTGAACTGGGGTATCAAACATATATATATAAATTAGGCACCTGCCACTCCAAGGGTGGTTGGTGCAGTGGTCACGGCATCAACAGTTCAGTTTCAGGGCAACCTGATATTGGAAAGACTAAGGGTTCGAATCCCTCTGAGAACGCATCTTACGATTTCTAAGGTCGCCTTTTCCACGACTGAGGGCCCCTACCCAACTTGGGAGTCCGCCTATGGATCGCGACATGTAGGCTTATGGCGTCTGACCACCGGTCCGCGGGCTCTTCCTTAGAATGACATTTGAGCTAGTATCATACTGGAGGCGGGATGGCCAAAATCTTTTTTGATAACTTTTGTTACCTCAATTTCTTTTTTTTTTTTTTTTTTCCACGAGTAATTTCCTCTCGTCGCGTCTCAAGTCGTTCGACATTCAAATTCACCTTGTGCTCCAATATTTATTCCTCTTCAATTCATGATTTTGAAGCCTTAATTGAGTATTAGTTAGAAGTATATGATGTCCGTAAGCTTTGTAAACAGTCCATAGGGCATAATGCTACACCTAGCTTGGCGTCCGTAATCCGGGTATCCAGCCGGAGAGCCGGGTTACACGGGAGCAGTTGTAAGCCGCTCTTCACTCTACAATACCAGGTAAGTACTTCCAGATCGACGGATCCTAATTCATTTTGGGTCAACTAATCGTTGACAATACTCATCATAACTTTCTCAATATGGCTTTATGTTCTTACCTGCATACTTACCTTGTACTTATAGGTACCTAGGTAGGCTTTAAGCAAGTATTGTAATATTCCAATACCATCGCTACCACTCAGCTTAGTAAGTATATTACTAAGCCGGACAGTGTTTCAATAGCTCCCAATATATAATTTCAGCTCTGGCGAATGACATGATTGTGGCTATGGAGGAGGCGTCGGGGTTATGAATTCGAGCCCTCTTTCCCCGCTTCTGTTAAACCTGAACCTGAACCTCAACCTGTTCCCCAACTTCTCGAACTCGCGCTAGTAACGATCCATACTGTGATGGCACATACTAATTTACCAGGGACTCCTAACCCGCCGCTAAGGATTTTATCTCTAGGTAAATAAAAAGCCTTATCTGCAGTATGTCTATTGCGCTAATAGGTGCAGATGGAGGTGGGATCCGTGGCAAGTCAAGCCTTCTAATCCTAGAAAATATCATGGAAGGTATTCGCAGAGAAAAATGTCTCGATCAGGTTCCAAAACCATGCGAACACTTCGACTTCATTGGAGGCACAAGCACTGGAGGGTACAATCATTCATATCATCCGTCTCTCTTGTTTGTTTCTGACATCATGCAGAATCATAGCTATCATGCTTGGAAGATTGGGAATGACCGTGGACGAGTGCATACGATCATATGATAAGGTCGCCCAAGCAGCTTTTACACCAAAGCGGAATCGCCTTCGCAAAATTTCAGGAAAGAGTACCTTCTCTGCTCAAGCTCTCGAGGGTGTAACCAAACAGGTTGTGAGGGAGTTCTGTACCGATGAGTTATGTGTCAAGCGACGGTCTGACGGCCATTCTTCAGCCGAGACATGTTCACATAGCAATCTTGAATTGCGCCATACATCATGTACTAAGACGTGAGTCCCAATACAGAGCAAATAGACGATACGCATGGAAATTCATTGACACTCGACAGGGCTGTCCTCGCCATAACGAAAGATAACGTCGATGCGCCGCCTACGATCATATCAACGTATGACACGTCTGCGCCTCTCAAAGGCTGTACTATCTGGGAAGTTGTCCGTGCCACTTCTGCTGCTACGACATTCTTTAAGTCTATTCAACTTGGCCGGGATAACATCGAGTTCATCGACGCGGGGTTCGGTCATAATAACCCTTGCGACATCCTCATCACAGAAGCTCAAAAACAATACCCTGGGTATGACCAATTACTGGTGCTTAGCATTGGCACTGGGCTTAATGGCGTTGCAACTGTTAGAGACAATGTATTTTCAATTGTTAAGGCCTTAACAAAGATGGCGACAAGCTCAAATCGGGTAGCAGAACGTTTGAGTAGACGATATGGCGATGGCATCCAATATTTTAGATTCGACGTTGACCGAGGGTTGGATAACATCCCATTGTCCCATTGGGAGAAGAGTAGCAAAATCTCTGCGCATACAATTAATTACCTCAATCAAAACCAGAGGAAAATCAAGCGATTCGTGGATAGCCTTGTTCACGGTACAGGTACAGGGCCAGAAATATTATCACAGGCTATAGAGAATGAGCCCAGTTAGTGCAGCAACAGTTTTGCCGTTGTTTAACTAAAACTAACCTCATCGTAGATCGCGTGTACTTCGAGGTCCCCTTCCCCCAGAATAAACGGTTCGTCGGACGGAGTTCAATACTCGATCAACTAGAGCAGATGCTATTCATAGAGCGATGTTCAAAAGTCGCCCTCGTCGGATTAGGCGGCATTGGTAAAACGCAAGTCGCTCTACAGTTTGCATACTGGGTGAAGAAGAACAAGCTAGAATACTCTGTCTTCTGGGTGCCAGCATTAAGCAACGCAACCTTCGAACAGGCTTACGGTGAAATAGCGAGGAAACTTCTCATACAGAGACCTGGGGAGAAAGACACGAGAGTCGCAGTACGAGATTATCTGAGCTCGAACGAATCAGGCAAATGGCTTCTCATCATCGACAATGCAGATGAAACAGGTTTACTTTTCGGGCGTCACGACGAATCTACAGGCATCAGCCAATATCTCCCAAGAAGCGACAACGGCCTTACTCTACTTACCACTCGTTTTGGGGAGGTAGCTCAATCTTTCGCAGAAAACGACAAGATTGAGCTGTCAGAAATGGGTGAGAATGAGGCTCTTGGCCTCCTCAAGAGGTCGCTTGATCGTGATAGATCGCATCATGACGAGCCGACAGCAAAAGAGCTTGTGCATGAACTTTCTTACCTCCCCCTAGCAATTAAACAAGCAGTAGCTTATCTAAATACCAAAAAACTTCCAATTGCAGAATACTTGAGGCTCCTGCGAAAGACTGAAAAGGATATGACTAGTTTGATGAGCAAGGAATTCCGGGACGAATCCCGTTATTCGAACTCGGCGAATGCTGTGGCGACAACCTGGCTTGTATCCTTCGACCAAATACGTGAAGCCGACAAGGAGGCTACGTTTTTACTAGAATTCATATCTTGCCTTGAGCCGAGGGCGATACCTCAATCAATACTCCCCATTTCTCAAACTGAATCGCAATTGGCCGATGCAGTTGGCACTTTATGCGCTTACAGTTTCCTCACTAGAAGAGATGACGATAAAACATTCGACATGCACCGTCTTGTGCATCTAGGGGCTCGTATTTGGGTCCAAAGACATGACCGCACAGTAGAGATGCTGGACAAAACGATGATTCATCTCGAGGAGATATTCCCGCCATACAGGGATTTTACGGGGCGGAACCGAAGATTATGGCACGCCTACGCGCCACATGCCCTCAGGGCCATAAATCATATCAGAGAACACAATCTTCAGGAGAAGTATCAATTGCTTTTTACTGTTAGCGAGTGGCTAATAAACTTTGGCCGGTATGAAGAATGTATAGGGATTCTTGAAGAGGTTTACCAGTGGGGACGAGTGCAACTTCCTGAAGACGAACGTTTTCGACTAAATATAGAAGATATTCTTTCGTGGGCTTACTCACGAGACATGCGATATACAGAAGCAATCGAAATGAGAGAAGGCATCATGAAGGTCGTAGAAAAGTTATATCCAAAGAACAATAAGTATCGACTACGATTAGAAAGAGAGCTCGCAGATATTTATTACAGGTCTAGACAATACGACGAGGCAACCGAAATATTGCGACGCATCATGCCAATTTATGCAACAATGAATGACGACAATAACCGGCGACGCGCAGAAAAAGTACTTGCTTCAGTATATAGTCGTACCGGAAAAAATAAAGAGGCGATTGAACTATTAGAAGAAATTGTCACGCGACAGGCCGCAACGCTTCCGCAAGATGACTTTAGTCGATTGCATTCGGAACACGAGCTCGGTCGCTTATACATCAATAGTGGCTGCCATGAGGAGGCAATTGCATTACTAGAACATGCTGTGGCGGAGAAGCAAAAGGTATATTCAGGAAACAACTCGAATCGATTGGCGTCCGAATACGAACTTGGCAGGGCATATTTAGAAGGGGGTCGAGTTGAAGAAGCAATCGAAATATTAGAGCATGTTACAACTATACGGAAAGCTTTACCAGAAAACAACTCGAATCGATTAGCGTCCGAATACGAACTTGGCAGGGCATATTTAAAAGGGGGTCGAGTTGAAGAAGCAATCGAAATATTGGAGCATGTCACGGAAGTGGAGAGTAGGGTCCTAGAAGATGGTATAGAAAGGACAGTATCAGTATTCCTGCTTGCTAAGGCATATCTCAAGGATGGGCGTGTTGAAAAAGCAATTAAATTATTCGAGCACGTCATAGAAGTGGAAAAAAGAATATTGGACGAAAATAACGCTAGTCGATTAACATCAGAACATGAACTTGGCAGAGCATATTTAAAAGGGGGTCGGGTTAAAGAAGCAATCGAAATATTAGAGCATGTCACGGAAGTAGAGAGCAGGGTCCTAGAAGATGGTATAGAGAGGACAGTATCAGTATTCCTGCTTGCTAAGGCATATGTCAAGGATGGGCGTGTTGAAAAAGCAATTAAATTATTCGAGCACGTCGCAGAAGTGGAAAAAAGAACATTGGACGAAAATGATCCAAGCATAATCATCACAGAAGAATGTCTTGAATCTGCATACGCTAAACTCAAGGAAAATGCGAAACGCGAGCCAAGCGAGGATCATGATGGGGTGAACAGGGGCAACCGCCGAGGAGATGTCTAGCGGGATAATGTCTTGATCTTCGCTACACCTGCATCTGGAAATGGGCACAGCACACTTCTCCAGCTTCCCGAGCTCCTCCTCTACTCCTATTTACCTAACCCCATCCGCACCAACCCCCCTTCCCACAGACGGAAGTACGAGCTCTGCAACCCAGCTATACGGCGGGTCTCCTCCGCGTCTCACATCTCGAGATGTGGTACATAGGTACCGTTAGGATATTAGACGGACGAGGGTTAGTTCGGGATACTTTCACGGGATATGAATTGGCTTTTGGGTTACGGAAGGTTGGCTGTGTTGGTTTGGGGTATTCGGTATTTACTGGTGGGTTTGGTTATAGGTTTGATGGTAGAATAAGGGGATGGGGTTTGAGGTGTGCTTTCCGGGGGAGTAGGAGTTGCGGAGTTGGATGACGGTTCGGTGGGGTGCATGGGAGTGAGGCGTTTATAGATGTATACCCTTTGTTTTTTGTGAGATTTATGACTTCTATAGCCTCGAATTTATGTTATTCGTTGATAGTACAATGCGCTTAGTCTTTAAGTGATCCTAGATTCCTTCTAGACTTTCACGGGAGACGTCGTATATCGGCGTTTTAGAGAATTTGGGGTGATGGGGAGGGAAATAATGGGTTGAGTAAAGAAGGTATATAATCAGTCGATAAATATTAGAAGGAAACATTCAATTGAAGGAAGGGTGTAGAGCTGGCGGATGCATGCAGGTATCTAGGTACATACCTAGTAGGTTGTAAATTGTTCCATAAGGGAATCTCCACATCAAAGGTACATACCTAGTATCAGTCACACCGGCACTCAAACTTGATCCCTTTGAAAAACTCAGCCTCATACCGGAAATCACTTCAGTACAGGTTTCGGTGTGCAAAGCTGCAAAGCTGCAGATCTCGGACTTGACGTGGGGTTGCAATATATTTCTTAAGTACTAGGTACTTCAAGTAGCAGGCCTACATAAGCCCCCGAAGCACCAGCAATCAGCCCTCAAAGCGGGAGGCATCTTAAAAAAGTACCTGTACATCTCCTTCCACATCACTCATCATCGAGGACCAATTCCGCGAATGAGATATCGATCCACCGTCAGATCCCCAGCTGTCCGTTGCACTCACCTAGAGCGACGGGTGTCCTTGCATGACCTTAACCACGACATCCGTAACAGACTCTCCCCCTGCGTCGTCGCGATCCGCTCTCCAAGTCCAGCGGCGGCTCGCGATATCCTTACCCGCTTGCCACTGCGCATCGAGACTTAAGACCAGCTGACCGTCCACGTCGTCTGTGATGTCGATGCGGGCCTCTTTATCATCGCTACCTTTCACACCTGGGCCTCGTATCGTCTCGTTAAAGTCTATGTCGTCCCTGTGTAGCTTTTCCCTGGCCTCTTCAGCTAACTTCTGAACCAGGGCGCGGATTGCCGCTTGTCGAATATAGTGTGTGGCTTCCTTGGCGTTGGGATACTGTTCAACGGGCGGGTACATAGTCTCTAGCGGGTTTGGTGGACCCTTCTCCTTCTCAGAGGCGGTATTGTTGTTATTCTCGCCGCCACTGTTCTGGACAGAAAACGGGACGAGGGAAATACGGAAGACCATCCCATTATGCGGTACTATGAGGATGTGACCACGAGCGAATATCCGAGCTTCTGGAGTAATTGTCAATTCGAATAAAGATTCGAGGCGACCGGCGAGGTGATTGACGAAGTTAAGCTCTGTCTTGGCGTTCTGGCGGGTCGAGTTGCCCTGCAGGAGAGCTGGAAGGAGGGGTTGAGAGGCTGATTTACAAGCAGCTGTTGAAATGCCAGCACGTTTCAAAGTAAATACCATATCTTCTAAGAAGTTAGCCACGATTTTACCGTGCCTAAAGTATTCATTATTCGCGATCACAGCGCGGATGATGGTATACGGTTGGTGTAAGGCCCCGCGGTTAGGCGGGAGCTGCGTCATTGTGGTACGCCGGTGGTAGTTTTGCCTATGTCCTTGAAATAGGAGAAATTGCATGTAGACGTAGTGTGCAGTGCATGAGCACTGAGTGTTGGAGATCTTCTCATACTTGTTATCCGGTTCGGCGAGGTCTTCAAGGGTAAAGATCATCTGCGTTTCCGAATCTTGTTTCCAAATAATGCATGATGAATCGGAGTAAACGTCCGACGAGAGGAGAGTGCGAGCTTCTCGGTTTATTTCATACCATAGCTCTTGGTGGAACGCCGTATTTCTAGCCTCAAGCACTCGGTCTTCTAGAGGCGCATCATCCGGTGTTCGTCGAGGTAAGGGTGACTGGTCTACAATTTGGCCGTTCTTTTTCAACGTAACTCTAACCCTCTGCGAACCGCCACCAACACGACCAAGATCTAGTCGAACAGTTCCGTCATCGTTGCGTCTCAGGGGAGCAATACTGGTATTTCGGAACTCGGGCGCAGACTCAGCAAACCCAAATCGAACACCGAGTGTATGGGGCTCTTGGGGCAGAGCACAGACAGACCAGCCATTCTCGCTGACGGCCAATATATCTGCCCAGTATTTCGCCTCTAGCTCCATTTCTTTTTCTAACTTCTCAGCAGCCGCCACGACAGAATCCACCATATTGTTAATACCCATGAGTCTCCATCCAGTGGCAATAGCAAGATCGTCTTGCTTTCGTGGCTCTGTTATGTTCGATGCATTTACCTTAGCGGCTCCTAGGGATCCTATTGGTACTAGCTCTCGTAGCGTGGGTGAGAGAGAGGCCATGGCTTCTTCTCGCTTCTCAATCTCTCTTTGCTTGTTAGGATCGTGCAGCTTGTTTTTAGAACATAAGAGGGAGATAAAATCGAGGCCTAGCATAGCCGATTGATGCGCAAACCTAAGTAGTTTCAGTTAGAATAATTATCCCCATACGCCGTTTTTTTCGCAAGATCACTCACTCAAGGTTTTTCAAGAACTCCTCTCTCGTGATCATAACGTTCTTTGGCTTATCCGTATCGGTCTCTTCTTCCTCTTCCCCGTCCGAAGAGCGGTCGACTTCGATGTGGCCATCTTCCTGAGCGGCGATTTCCTCGCGCAACTCTGTCTCGGTCATGTTACGGAAGCCACCTCGTTCGGCGTTGACGCGCGTGATGAATTCGCTTAGGTTCTTCGGCTTTTTGTCGCCAGTTGGCCAAGGGCGCAGGGAAAAGGGCGAGCCGGAGGACGCCATTATGATGGGTTGTCAGCAAGATTTGTACTTTTCGTGCAAGTTATTTCGTATTGATCGCGGTCTGGTAAACGTACGTGATTGTGCACGTATCGATAGGTTATTTTGTTGAAGATGTTAAATACCAAGATAGAGGTCAACTTGGTGTCAATTGACGTTAGTAGCAAATATTTGCGGGTCCGTAGCTGGCCTTTTAGCAGGCAGTAAGCCTGGACTTCCAAGGTTATCACCTGTAAGCTTTCGGACTTTTAAAGTTTAGTGGTATGGACCCACTTCAAGCTACCCCCTGTAACAGATCATTCAATGTTGTAACTAAGTTTTCCCCTTTCACAATTCCAATCTTCTACCATTAATCTACGTACTCGAAATCAATTGAGCTGCCTACCTACTAGGTAGGTAGCTATTATAATCCTCTCTACGGACATCAACGATCTCTAGATTTATGGCATGATATACGTTACTCAAGTGTTCCCCCAATATACAGGACGATTACAAGGAAATCTGGTGATGTCGCCTAAGACGATGTCTTGTATTGACATCCAGCCCGAAGTCATTCGAGAATATACAGCATCTCGATCTTATCATACTATCACGTATCATTAGTTAAATTCTAATGTGACATTTCCGGGTTTATACTACTGCCGGATCAGCAGGTTGAAGTTTATCTCGAGAAGTACTACAACAGCGGCATGCTTCGAGATGTAATCAGCCTATCGGACATCGGCTAGGGACCGCATGGAGGGTACTAGTTCACAGAGAAGACAGGTGTAATTGCTACCGGCTATCGTTTCGCGTAGCCCAGTCCTCGCGAAGGCTCACCTATGACTGCGGGAATTTCTGCATGCACCTATGGATTAGGTAGGTGTTAGATATTATTTCTAAGGTAAGAAGAATACCATACCTCATCCTATAGCTCAACTAATTCACCAGGGGTGGTGATTTTCTGAAGACGCTACTAGGTACATCGACCACTATGTCATGATGAGTTAAGCATTGACCTCCTTCGCATGGATATCTCTTGTTGCCAAGTACCTACCAAAGAGAGTGCATCCAAGAACATATTTAAAAGAGCTTAGAGATGAGGCCATAAGTTATCATACCTACTACCTACTAGGTAGGTAGGATTTGAATAATCAAGTGCTGCATGGGAAGAGATAATTAAAAAGGGCTCAACAAACTTGAAAGGTAAAAATAACTCAGGAGTACCTAGTAGCCTCACCACTCAGCTATGAAACAATAAATATTGGGGGGATCTGATAGGTACGGAGTACGGAGCAGTGAGGGGTTTATTGTTACTTCCGTCGCCTACGAAGCTACGTAAGCGGGGTTATACATATTTTCATACAGTGGGACGGATGGACTTGCCTCTACGCTACCAACTACGTAACTTGGAAGTAGGTAATAGCTCCCCCTCATTGATAATTGATAAGAGCTTCTTTTTGTTCACCAAAATTGGTGTAGATTTTTTCTTCTCCTAAACAATGACATACTGATAGGTGAGGACCTAGTGTGGGTAAGCAGTCTTTTTCCCCTCGTCACATTCATCATACATTTATGTACTACAACCTGCCGGACCACGAACCAGTGAACGGTCCGATTGCTGTCTCTTAATTGAGATCGATTTATAGGTACCTATCTCCTGACACCTTCGTTCCAAGGTCGATGCTGTGGGCTGATTTCGACATGAAAAGAACGCACTACAGGTCCTTGTTATTATAATATCTCTTGCTCACCCACATTCGCATCTACCCGTCCAACTTATTAGCTCAGCTTTTCCTCGACCTTAGATGCATGCATCTACCTTCCTATGATACATACTTTAACTATACCCTTTCCAACCTTGATCTAGTGAAACTCGGGTTTCCGATTTCCTACCCTATTCCACTCCTACGTCGCCTTTCGAACCAAAACCTCTTTTCAAATAGTTATTCCTATTCCAATCAATATATCCAATATGGCGACACCAAAGAAGAAGATCGCCGTCATGACATCCGGTGGTGATTCACCTGGAATGAACGCCGTTGTTCGAGCCGTCGTACGTATGGCAATCCACGTAGGATGCGATCCGTATTGCGTCTATGAGGGTTACGAGGGCTTGGTTCAGGGCGGCAACTTCATCAGAAAGATGGAATGGAACGATGTCCGGGGATACCTTTCCGAAGGTGGTACATTAATAGGCACCGCAAGGTGTATGGCCTTCTATGAGCGCCCGGGCCGTCTAACTGCTGCTAAGCACTTAATACTTAACGGCATTGATGCTCTCATCATATGTGGTGGTGATGGCTCTCTTACTGGTGCTGACAGATTCCGAGCCGAATGGCCCTCCCTACTCGAAGAACTCGTTTCCACCGGTCAGCTAAATGCGAAGCAGGTTGAGCCCTACCGATACCTCAACATTGTTGGACTCGTCGGCTCGATTGACAATGATCTTTCTGGAACCGACGCCACCATTGGTGCCTATTCCGCCTTAGCACGTATTTGCGAAATGGTCGATTATATTGAAGCCACTGCTTCCTCTCACTCGCGAGCCTTTGTTATAGAGGTGATGGGGAGACACTGTGGTTGGCTTGCCTTAATGGCAGGTGTAGCTACCGGTGCTGATTTTATATTCATTCCGGAGAAACCTAGGGAGGACAACTGGAAAGAAGAGATGAATCAAGTCATTAGAAAGGTATGGATTCCGCCTTGAAAGTCCAACGTGATGACGAATAAAACTAAATTTCCAAGCACCGGGATTGGGGGAAACGTAAAACCATCGTTATCATCGCCGAAGGTGCCCTAGATAGGCACGGAACCAAGATCACACCCGATATGGTAAAGGACTTGCTGGCCGACAAATCTGGCCTGGCCCTCGACACCCGTATCACCACCCTCGGCCATGTCCAAAGAGGTGGCACCGCAGTGGCATATGACAGGATGCTCGCTACTTTACAAGGAGTAGAGGCTGTCAAGGCTGTCCTCGAGGCAACACCGGAAACTGAGACTTGTGTCATCGCTATTACCGAGAACAAGATAGTCCGAAAACCCTTGATGAAAGCTGTGCAAGAAACCAAGCAGGTAGCCAAGGCTATCGAAGCCCAGGACTTTGACAAAGCTATGTCCCTGCGCGATACTGAATTCTCTGACCAATATAAGTCATATATGATGACTACGACTATGGGCCTTGACCAGGACATACACCTAGAAGATAGTAAAGTATGTCATTTCGAGAACACAGCGTTGGTTTCAACGGATGCTGACTCTTTATAGCGAATGAAGATTGGTTTTATTAATGTGGGAGCACCCGCTGGTGGTATGAACGCCGCAATTCGTGCAGGAGTAGCTTATTGCCGATCCCGTAAGATAATTTTGCTACTATTTATTCTCATATGAGACGTGGATGCTAATCTAGATCTTATAGGGGGGCATGAGCCGCTTGCAATCCACAACGGGTTCGCTGGCTTTGCTCGACATCATGGCGATAAGCCTCTTGGTGCTGTACGGAAATTTGACTGGCTAGAGGTCGACGGGTGGGCAAGCAAGGGAGGCTCAGAAATAGGCACAAACCGTGAACTTCCGGAAGAGTCTGGCATAGAACTAATCGCCAAGCTGATCGAAAAGTATGAGTTTGACGCGCTCTTCTTAATTGGTGGATTCGAGGCTTTCCACTCTGTATCGCAGCTCCGCAAAGCCAGATCCAGGTTCCCCTCGCTTTGCATTCCTATGACCCTATTACCGGCGACCATTTCCAACAACGTCCCCGGTACAGAATATTCCCTGGGATCTGACACTTGTTTAAATGAACTCGTCGCGTACTGCGACAAGATCAAACAGTCTGCCTCGGCAACCCGGAGACGAGTTTTCGTTATTGAAACCCAAGGTGGTCGGTGCGGATATGTCGCAATTCTAGGAGGGCTAGGCGTTGGCGCAAGCGCCGTCTACATTCCAGAAGAGGGCATCAGTCTGGAAATGCTCACCGCAGATGTTAAGCATCTGAAAGAGGTTTTCAAGAAGGACAGGGGTCAATCACGTGCGGGACGACTAATTCTTGTTAATGAAAAGGCAAGCAAGGTCTTCTCGGCCAAGCTCATCGCGGATATCATCCGCGAAGAAGCTCACGACCGATTCGAGTCTCGAGACAGCATTCCCGGCCACGTTCAACAGGGTGGTGTCCCATCCGCGATGGATAGGTGCCGTGCCGTTAGACTGGCTATCAAGTGCATACAGCATCTTGAGAAGTACGGACCGAAACCACAGAAGAACCCCGAGAAAATAAGCAAGGACCCCTTAAGTGCCTCCGTCATCGGTATACAAGGTGCGGATGTAGTATTCTCGCCCATGGAGGCTCTAGAAGAGAATGAAACGGACTGGAAGAACCGACGGCCCACGGTGGCACACTGGCTAGATAACAAGGAAGTTGTAGACATCCTTGGTGGACGTCCGGAGTACCCACTACCGGAAAAGAGCCTGGTCGGGCTCATTGCCAAAGACGCCAAGCGCGGACTTATCAAAGATTAGAAAGGCTAAAAAGAACGACGGGCTGTTGGCTAAGGTAGGATTAAGGGACTAGAACATCGGGTCGATACCTAGGTAGATAGATTGGGATGGGTCCGGGTGCATTGTTATGATTCTCCTACATGGCTAAGGAAATACTGATATTTTATGATTAAATTCTGTGGTCATATTGCTGTGATGCCTAGAACCAACCTGAGACTTGAGTGCCTTAATCCCGGCCAAGATACCTATGTAGGCCGAGACAGAGGTAATTACTGTAGGTCTCTCCGTTGACCTATCATCACATAATAGGCTTCATATAAAATAAATAATGGATCATACAGCTCGCTTACATATAGGTTGCCAGACTGTTTCACGTGTAGAGAAGTTCTAGAAACATATAACCGAACATAGCATAGTTAAGGGTGTCGGGTCTCGATTAGCATGTTCCGCCGTCGAAGCTCCGTACACACGGGCAGCTGCACCGCATTCCCCCTATGTTAAGGGGTGCATTTTGATTGGTAGCCCATGTAGGGTAGGTATGTTGGTATAATCCTTCTACTTCTAGAATGAGCTGAGAAGGATGCTTGGCACGTGGATTATGTGAAGATCTACGTTAAATGGAACACGCATGTAACCGTATGGTGACCCCAGGACCGGCTTCTCCATAGCTCGAAGATCAAGGGGACGACGCATCGGTAGCTGATATGTTGTTGTGTCCAAGGTATGGGATGTAAGGCCTACAAGAGATCGGATTCTCAGGATCGCGATCCTGGCCCATCCCAAACGCATCTCGACAGTATCCGTACCTAGGTATGTACGTCAAGATTTAGATACTCCGGGGTAGCAATCGCGATTGATTGGATAAACCGAATAATTCTGCGCATTGCGTTTCAACGGAATCTCAAACATCGTCTGATCTCTTGGGATATACCGCATCGGAAATCCAGAGCTTCGGGACCGTATTTCTCGTCTACATCCCGAATGAAATTGGCAACGCGGGTAGGGGCACGAGCCGCACTCTGGATGTGACGGACGCTAACTGTGGGTAGATGGCGGGGAAGCGATCGCGCGATTTTATAAGAGGATTTTGAATCCTTGGTGGTGTTTCTTGAACTAGCTGTTGGTATTTCTTGGTTAAAAATATCGGCCTTCTAAATGATAGTTGATATATACATAATGTAGATGATTTGGTATTTTGGAATTCTAGTAATATCGAGAGAAGATAAGATAAAAAGCTCCAAGATTTGTTGAGACAGCTGTTGAAGGTCTTGTTTCGCCACAATATCTCATCCGTGCATTTTTCACAAGCCACAGTCTTAAAGGGGTAAGGATCGATGTCATGGGTGCCCGGAAAGCCCGTGCGAATCTTCGTCCCGTTTGGTGCAGTCTGATGCCAGCCTCATTTATTCTTGGTATCAGCTTATGTACGGACCCTGTTAGCGATAACAAATTCTTGGTAAAGAAAAAAATACTTAAAAATTTGGAGGCTATTGTCATTCAATCACATGTGTATACAACCTTGAACTAGGTTTCTAGTACTATAGGTGACATACATATTCTATACCTTCATGAGTTAAAGCTAGAGAAAGATGTATACCCCAACCACCCAAATATCGCCCAGAATAAGTCCCTGTATTTCAACGCTACTCTTTTGGCTCGACGTGAGGCACGACAATTCATCCGATATCTCTGAAACGGTCCGTTTCATCTGTCCTACCATCCATCTATGTTGTTTAGTGATCATTCGCTATTAAATCGTCCGTAGTTTCTTGTAGTCGCGATGTCTCTAATACCAGATGCAATTAGCTCACCCTCTATACTACATACATTTAACTAGGTACCTTTTACTATATTTATTCACCAAAAGCTATGTCTAGTTGCGGCATTGCAAGGTGATAGGCTCTGCATAATTCCCATTATCTCGCTTACAGCTTTCATGAGTTAGACGTTTACTCCAGAGCTGTCGATGTAGGTATAGCCCTGAATCCTTCCCGATGCAACATTGACTGCGGACCCGGACCCGAGAAATGATGAGCTTAAGAATTAAGATCAATGAGAATGCCTGTCCGATCTAAAGGTCAGGCTTGCCAATTCGAGACCCGTTCGAGACCCGTTCAGGACCAGGCCTCATCTGTTCAAATTAGGACATAATTCCCTACGAGGTATGGACCCCTGCAGCTGCGACAGCTGTAGCTGTATGGCTGACGAGAGATCCCAATATCAATTGGGTTAATAAGATCTTTCACCTGTCCCGCTTCACATGAACTTCTATTTTCCTGACCTCTTATTTTTTTTGCATTTGCCAATCTTCACCTCTTTTTTACTCTCTTGCAAAAATCTTCATTCCTTTTCCCCCATTCCTTTTCATATTTTAGTCCTTTTTGGTATGTATATTCGGGTCTTGATACTATCATGAGCGCCGTTATCCTGTGCTAGCACTCGACCCCACTACCTAGAAGGATATACAAAAAAAACCCAAAAACCTACGCGCTGTCTCAAAAAATGGCGAAACTCACGTCGCTTTTTCAAATATCAATATGGCTTCTAGCTGAGCGGGTGTCGTGCGGCTCGATCGCAGCGTGGTGGAATTCGAGAGGACCTAGTTTCATAATGCAGGACGACGACACGGGCGGTATACGATATAGTCTCTGCAACGGCAACCACACGCCAATATTCCCAGACGACAAAACTCTCGCCGCCCCTTTCTACAATTTCATTCCCAAGAACAAGACGAGTTTGGCCGCGTCCGGGTGGACGGATAGCGAGACCGCCTGGGTGAGTTGAGGCCAAGACGCTCCCATCATCGTGAGATGAGCTAAGTGGAGCCGGTGAGATTGTACGAGACTTGCTGACGCCAGCGAATAGGCCTCTATCTTCTATATGGACAACAACGACGAAATTGTCAATGCGCTGCTGAAATGCGATTGGAACACGGGGCATTGGATAAACACGGGCGAATATGTCACTTCGGGAGGCTCGCCTAAGGTTTCACCCACCTCAGCATTATCAGTCGTCCTGCTAGGGTCCGTGGATGGATATCGCCTTTACTATAACGACCTCGAGGGATCTCTGCACCAGATTGGCTACACCACCGCCACCTCCTGGGCATACTATGGCCTCGTCTCCAACGACAAGACGTCGTCCCAAGCCATCGGGACCACCTTTTCCAAGAAGAACATCACGGTCGTGAGGCCAAGAGATGACAACAATATAGGGGTGTCGCGTCTATACAGCGACAACCTATGGCATCTCTGTAAGTCCCCCCTCGCGACTTTACTTACCCACAACCCAACTAACACAACCCCAGCCACCTTCCCAGCACCCCTAGCAGGAAGCAACGCAACCAACATAACGCAATCATCAAACCTAGCACCCAACACAACCGCCGCAAACTTCACCCTCCCCTCCTGGAGCGGCAGCGCATCCGCGCTCGCAGTGAGCATCGACAGCGCGTACACGCGCAGCGTCTTCTACATCGGCGGCGACCGCGCGATCCACCAAGTCGGGAACAAGAACTACGCATGGAGCGTCTTCGAGCAGACGAGCGCCACCGCGTGGCCGCTTGCCGATACCGCGGGCGGGGCCATCGGGATCGCGAACGCGTTTGGAAACGATGCGTTAAGGCTTTATTATGTTAGTAACGGAAGCGTTGTTGAGGCGAATGGGGATGGAGGGACTTGGTCTGATGCGACTGTGCTAGCGACTTTCAACGCGAGCCAGGCTGCGGGTTCCACGACGTCGGGGGCGGCGGGGAATACGACGGCTGAGGGGGCCGGGGCCGGGGGTGAGGGGTTGAGTGATGGGGCGAAGGTCGGGATTAGTGTTGGTGTGACACTTGGCGTTATCGCGGTCGCGGGGATGGGTGTGACGGTTTGGTTCCTGAGGTACCGGCAGCGGAAACTGGATGAGAAGAACGCGGCCGCGGGGGGCGAGGGACCCGCTTTGGTTGCGGGCGCGGTGAGTCCCGGGAGCGCGTATGTCGGGACCTCGGATAAGACGGTGGGGAGCCGTGATGATGGATATGCGGCCGTGCCGCAGGGGTATAATGGGCAGAATGTGTACGCGCAGCAAGCGTACTCGCCGCAGCAGGGCGCGGAGGGGTACGTGTATCCCCAGCAAGGGCAGGATGGAGCGTGGGTGTATGGGGGGGCGAATGGGGAGTATAATGCCCAGCAACAACAGCAGTATTATTACCAGCAGCAGCAACAGCAACATCCGCACGAGTTGGCGGAGCCGGAGAGGCCGGCGGAGTTGATGGGGGAAGGGCATTATAAGGAGGTGCCGTGAGACCTACCCACCTACTTACCTGACTATTAAATTTAAAGGATGAAAAGGGGTGAGGAGTTGTGTGGTGGGAGGTAATACCGTTTCTTGAAGATACCTGCGGAGAAAAGTTGATGGCGTTTATCTTTTCCTCATGGTATCTGATATCCAGTAGGGACATTCAGGCGCAATGCGGGAGCGAGTTTAAATTTATGGTGAGAAAGGCCTGCGGAGAGGTGGCTTGCGTCTGGAGATATACCTAAATGCCTCTTAGCATGACGTTGCATAGCGTTTCATACATACATATATAATAGAATGGTGTATAATGAATACTGGAATTGTTCGTGCTTATCATTGTTAGGTGATATTTATGGTAGTATTCCCCCCTTTTGGGTTCGTGCAACTTGAGCTTAAATCCACCGTACGTAAACATCAAGGTAAACTTACCTAAGAAAGAAAAGAAATTAAAAAAAATCGGTCAATTAATTGCTACCATCCTGATGCCATACTCCGATTAATTCCCGTTTTTGGGATTGAGTCTCGTTATAAGAGTGATGATGTTGCTTAGGTACCTAGTAGGTTAATGATTAAGGCGGGTAGCCCAAACAGCAAGCGAGGAGAGTTGCCATCGACATGGGGTTACCTCTTCAAAACGCCAGACCTAACTAGGGAGATACTCATCTAGTGCTCATTGTATCGGATTGATCATAAATCGCCAAATAGCACTTAGGTAAACACTACCTAGTTGGTTGGAGGTTAGAGTGAATAAAATGATGGGTCTGAGGAAGAACGTTCTCAAAGCACACGTTATGGAGCAAGCACATCCTCAACTTGACAAGAATATATCGCCGCTAGTATCCCTTCATCAATTTCATACCTGTATATAAATATTTCCGTTGCTCGTTAGCTTATAGATGAATGAGATGATGAAGTCCTAACATTAGGTGCTACCTGGTAGGCATCAACAATAACAGAAACGCCGACAATACCTCTGTAAAATTGGCGTCCATCCAGTCCAACGATATTATCCAAAAGTCAACCGGAGTCTCCTCAATATCACTGAATGTACCCATTGACGATAGCCTAGTAGGCCCAGATAGTAGTATAAGCCATTGCACGAGGTTTAGCACAACAACGGGAGTCGGAGTGCTTTCCACTAACGCCACCAACCAACACACTACACACGCTGGCGACAGTAATGTGTTAGACTATTGACCTCTTGTACTCCGAATACGATTATCCAGTTTCTATCCACTAAGAGACGGAAACATATGCGTGGGATGCTATGAGAGTTATAACATCACAATAACTCCGGCATAAGCGGACAATGGCCTGATATAAACCGGGCCTTCGTATATCATTTCCGCCTTCAAACGTGTTCCTGATTCTCGACTGCAGCTTCTGCGGTTAACAGAAGTTTCGACAGTCGCGGACTAATAGTAATAGAGTTCGAACCGCCCAAGATATATCAGCCTCCGGCTCGGCCCGTGAACTCTGAAGTGTGGATCGGAGTATAATTGGGCAATTGGCTTTGGCGACAGAAAGGACAACAAATCGAGCGTATCCTGTATCCAATAAAATTCAAACTCGCGATGGATTCTCTGTTAGATCCAGGGGTATTCGGATCCAGGGTTTGAGAGCCTCTCATTCATCAGTGATGAATAGACTACATCCCTAGATGCATTCATATCTATATTTGATGCCCGACGACTAGGTCGTGAATCAGATATAGTTCCTGTTTATATATGGAGATTGTGATGAGTGCCCGACAGTCCGGGGAATCCTTGTATAACTTAGATATCCTCCACAATATTTTCCCTTGCGATCTCGTAAATTTCCATGTTTTTATGAAGATTCAGACATTACCTAATCTCATTAATATCGATGATATTGGTACGAAGTTACATTTCGTGAAGATCATCACGAGGTGGTCTAAGCTTAGTTCACGATGGAGGCCTTACGAAACTAGGATTGGACTGCATCATTGCGTCAGCGTCCTCCCCACTGGTTTCGACCCCACCATCTCTTCCTATCCGTCACAGTTTACCAACCTCGCTAACCACTCATTAACAGGTCTCGGTACCCCTCAGACTTGGCAGCTGGAATATGCAACAGGTTCTGCGTATGATGCATTCGATCTATCTTCGATCTCTTTCTATAAACACGATGAAAGAAAAATAGGAAGAATAGGAATAGAAGGGGGAAAAAACAAGTCTGGCGTAAATTCGGCGAAAATTTACTCTCCCGGGTTCGGCAACTCTGACGCAGGCGCAGACGGATAGTACTGGCATAATAGTATCGTGAGCAGATGTGGCGCGTGGCATTATCCGGCTAGGTATCGCATGGTCGATATTACATAGACGGCATGCACCTGGCACTGTTTTGAAGGCGCAGCCTACTCATTTTAGCTGCCCAACTACGTCCGGCTGTTTGTCTCACATACAGAAAGTGGTCCTGCTGTCTCACGAGGGCCACCAGTCATGCTCAGCCCGCAGCGTCCTGCTGAGTGAGTAAGCGAACGGGATCCTCTGCTACATACGCATAATACCGTGTCTGCTACAGTATTAGTCCTCCTCATTCGGAGGGTCTGTTCCCATTGAACACACGATGGGGCGAAGCTACACTATGAATGCACCATTCCATCAATATCATAATGTTTTTTTATCTATTGATACTTCTTTAGTTACTAGTTGTCCTTCCTTGGCCTTCTCTCCTGATTCCGTGACGTTCTTCTCGTTACAACACCGGCAACCCCCCGTTCTCCCTCGTACCCTATGGTAGCATCGTCCAGGTTGAGGGGATCCTAGTTTAGTTTGCCAGCCCTAGCCTGCCTTGATTCCCCCCTCCAGAACCTCCACCGCTCCAAGCCAACCCCCCTGCCTTTTTCATCTGCTTTATTAGTCTCGGCCTGCCCAGTTACTGGTGTGGTATGACGACGTTTGTCTCTCTTAGCTTCTATCCAGCTTTCCAGAACAGAAATTACATGTTTAAACGTTTTGACTCCCGACGAGATCTCGCATTTTCCCGTCTCTGAATTTATCTGTTTGTACGCACATACATACATATATGTATACATACAGTACGACTGTTTTGACACCCAATCCGACTCATCCTCACTAGCTTACCAGCAACCGCGCCAGTCCGGGATTCAAAATCGTGTGACCCTCCATTATCTTCCGCGTCCTTCTGACACTTTTCAGCTTTAATACTGTACCTGCTCTAATAACTCACCCAAACCCTACCTACTTACACATTCTTCCAACCCCTTTCGCTTAACATCAAATACCTCCCGCTAGGGAATAACGCCTCAAGATCAAAAAGCACATCTTAGCGAGCTGCAGGAAGCTACACAGCGCTACACAGCTATATTCTAGCGTCGATCATTTCCCAATCCGCTCATCATTATTGAAGTTCCCTTCTACCCCGCTGCCGCTGCAGGAGTGACGCATTACAGCGGTGAAATCTTCACCACCCCCAATTGATAGGTTCATCCTTTTGCCTATCCTTTACACCATCCTCTTGAGTGTAAAAACGGAAAGTCAAGCGCAAGACTCGAGGAGATGGCGTACAGAAGTAGTAGGAGCGATTTAAGTGACAGAGGGGATTATACCCCTCGGAGAGCGCCGGCTCGAGAAGTCGACGACTTTGAGATCTATGATCGAAGAGAACGCCGCGCTTCGCCGCGACGAGTATCCGTGAGAGAGTATGAGGATCTGGACCGGGAACGCGGCAGAGTAGACCGCACCCCCGCATTTCTCAAAGACGATGCGAGGAGGGTAGAGGCCGGACAATTAGTCCTACGTCAGCGTGAGGTCGAAACCGTCGACCGTCGACGCCGTAGTCCTAGCCCTGTCCGGTACCATGAGCGCATCGTCGACAGGGAGCGTGAACGGGCACCTTCGATGCCGCCAGAGCGCCGTCCCAGATTCATCGAACGATCCCCCTCGCCACCCCCGACAGCCGTGAGAGTAGAATCTCGCACAATTGAGCGACGACGAGAACGGTCACCAACTCCGGATAGAGAAAGAGAAAGAGACCGCGAACTAATCCGCCTACGCATCGAGCGTGAAAAAGAGCGATCTCCGTCTCCTAGCCCGTCGCCCCCACCTCCACCCCCTCCTCCGGTCATCCGAGGCCCGACGATCGAGCGTGAGGTCATCACCCACTATCGCGATATCGACCACGGTATGTCTAACAACGCCACAAGCCATGTCTCAGACAAAGATAAGGTCACCCACGCTAACATTTCCCCCCGTATCTAGGTCTCGTACGAGCAAAACCGCCAACCCCACCACCACCACCACGCACCGCCCCACCTCAAATCCGCGAGCGTGATCTCGACATCGACATCGACATCCGGGGCCGCGAAACCGACGTCGACATCCGGGAGCGCACACGCTCGAAGTCGCGGCCCCGGGAACGACCGCGTCCGCTGCTCCGGCCATCCTACTACGACGACGACGACCTCGTCATCGAAAAAGACCGCGAAATCGTGCGGCTGTCCGACACCAGACGGCGAGCGCACAGCGCAGCACCGCCGCGCGCAGAGTGGGAGGACGAGGCAGAGTATATCACGGACAAGATCGATTCGCGCGGCCGCATGGGCGAGGCCTGGCACGGCGCGACGAAAGACTGGACGATCGTCGACGTGCCGCCGGGCACCGAGCGCGTGAAGATGGACGGCGTGGGGGGAGGCGGCGCGGAGGTGAACTGGAGCCGGTACAGCGGGGTGCGGCGGTCGAAGTTTGTGCCTGAGCGGGACGGGACACCCGTCAGTGCGATCAGCGAGCCGATGCGAGAGCGTGAACCCTCGCGGGAGCGGGAGCGCGAGAGGTTGAGTATCCAGGTGTTCGACAAGCGGGAGAGGTCGCGGGACCGGGACGTGGAGATCGAGGAGATCCAGGACCGCCGCATCTCGATCCGCGACGGGGACCGCGCGCCGCCGCCGCGGAAGAGGAGTGAGATGTGGACGGAGATCACGAAGGATTTGGTCATTCGCGAGGCGATCGAACATATGGGGTATGAGTACGAGGAGACGGAGTGGTTCTTCTACGTCATGCAGTACCTGCGCTACGTGAGTCTTACCCCATCCATCCATCCATTCCCTATTTCCCGACGACGGTGTGACATTGTCGTCGCACAATTCCTACCTACCTACTTAGGTTAATGTGCTGATGTGTGGTGTGTGTGTAGGAGGACGTGCTCGAGCTGGTTAATTTGTCGGATACGATCCGTCGCAACCGCAGACGCAGGACGCAGGAGCTGGAGCGCGAGCGCGATTATGAACGTCGCTACCGCAACCGTCGCTCGGTGAATTGGGATAAGCTTGATGACGAGCGCATTGTTGAGCGTGAGGTCGTGTATGATCGCCCCAGCCACCGCGGATATGTCCGCTAAGCAAGTGGCGTTACTACGTTCGGGCGGAAGGGTGTTGAGTAAGTACCTAGCCGCGATGCCTCGATGCTGCTTGTGGGGATGAGCGGATCGCGACGGCGGAGGTTGGATCTGGGAAACACGCCGCTCTGATGGGTGGCCCGTCTGCCTTTCTAATCATATACACGATGTTGGCGGGTCGTCCCTGGGGATATCGCGTCTCGCGTGTCTCGGCGGCGGTTCTGGGATGAGGTGGTTGGCGGGTATACGTTTTCATTTGTCGTTTCCATATCATATCACCATATCATATCATGAACGAAGTTACGGGGCTACGAAGGCGATCTAAATGAAAGTATTCAATTCATGAGCAGAGCAGAGCAGAGCGGAGGTAATTCTGATGCTTTTTTTTTCTTCTTTTGATGCCTTTGGTTGGAGAGGGGAGGAGAGGAAGTTATGAATGAATGGTACTTTTGTTGTTGTTGTTGTTGTTGTTGTTGTTGTTGTTGTTGTTGTTGTCTTTGTATCTAGACTGTTGAGTGAGTAGGCGGTACGGAAATTGATCACGATTTATGACTATGATATGTTGGTGTTATCTGCTATGCTCATGCTCGAAGCGTATCATATTTATCTCAAAGGATCACATAGACCTTATTACTGCCTAGGTATATTCTAAATTGCTCTATAAGTGTAACTTGACATAGAGAAAGGGTGTTGGTTGGGAAGAGGTAAGAAGTAAATCAGTTTGAAATAACTGAAATCTTTAACACTATGAAGGAATCTCCTCCGAACTAATCGGCGTTTCCAGCAACCAGTTCTTGGTCTTCAAGACCGTACGAGTTACAGTAGTAATCTTCAAAAGGGTCTGTCCCGATATGTGATCTCGATACCTCCATGAACTCTTCCAGCGACTCAATAGCGGCTTCAATCATCTCCTCCTTAATTTGAACATCGATGGCTCGAAACGTTCGGTACTCCGCTGGAATATTCCACTTTATTTTCTCTTCGATGACATATTTCAAGGTCTCTCGTGCAAGCGTGCAATTGTGCTCCTTTAGATGTGTGATTATTGTTTCCAATGTCAGAATCTCGGCGTTTAGATAGCGATCCCTCACGCCGCTAAGCAACTCCCCAAATGCCTTGATATCATCGTCGCTCGGTGTTTCAAATAAGCCAGGTAATGGTGATGTATTCATCCTCCATTCGAACATGTCCAATGGAGTGTAGCCGCCGACATCTCGCCATCGCACATCTATTGTGAACTCAGCTTCACCTATAAAACCCATCGTTTCTGCATGAGCAAACAGTGCGATCCATGGCAAGTCATTCCGGTCTTCTGAGGTGTCGTTGAATTTACAGCCAGCATTCATCAGTAGATGAGCCATAGTTATATTATTATGTGATAATGCCTCACCTAGCGGTGTACGGCCATAGCGGTTTTGCTCCTCGACATTCAAACCAGCATGAACGAGTAGTTGGAACTTTTCCGCTATTTCGGCTGCCTGGGGGTATTGCGCAAGTGTATGCAATGCTAAATTTCCTAAATTGGATTTGCGGGCGAGGTTGGCCCCATTTTCTAAAAGGTATTTAGCGCTCTCTGCCGAACCTTCTTTCTCGGATGCAACGAGGCAATGGAATGCATGATAAGAATGTGGCCTAGACATATTTATGTCGTATCCGCCATTGACCAAAGCTTGGATACAATCATGACGCCCATATTTTGCGGCTAGTATTAGCGGAGTCGAACAAGATACGTCGAGGGTATCAGGATTTGCGCCGTGGGATAATAAATGTCCAATCGCGTTCACGTTGTTGTTGAATACGGCCAAATGTAAAGGTGATATACCAAAATTATCACGCGAGTCGATGCCTTCGGAGGAATCTCTCAAAATTGCGGCTAGATTACCGTCTTGTTGTATCGCCTCGTGAATGGGTGATGGGTAGTCGTTCGTATCTTCATCTAATGCTACTACTCCTTGAAGCATAGTTTTCTCCCTCTCAGAGACTCGACAACGATGCAATTGAGCCCTTGCAAAGACTGCCAAGCGTCTAAAATATAGAGACTACCTATTAGTTGCAATTATACAACCAAGAGCCTTTGGGTACTTACTTTAAGGCATCTGTGTCTCGAAGAATTGATGTCGTGTCTTGCAAGAGAAGCGCCAATATATCAAGTTTATGTTCATACGCAGCCATCTAATATGTATTATTAATGCGGTTTCCTTTGCTATCAGCATACCAACATACTTACTTCTATAATACAAATAGTGCCTTCAAAAACGTCAATAGGGGAAATTTCTCCGCGAGAAAACCGCTGGCGTACCATATCAATCTTATTCAGTCGTATTTCATAAGTGATGCTCGAATTTAATGGAATTATACGTGCTACACGTAGATGAAGCGAGGCGCCAACGCCAACGACACTGTTCAAAGACAGGGTTGCCTCAAGCATTCTAGAATAGAATGGGAGTGGAAGGCGTATATTGACGCGAACCGGCGAGCAAGCCCGTCGACATGTAGATACATCGCAACGCCGTGTATCGACCCGTGGAATGATATTATAGGCGGATTTGAGCCAGCCATATATGGGTGAGACGAGTGGGTTCGGCTGGGTTCGAGATGTAGGTGAATGGCATTGGCATTGACAGTATTTACATGATCTTGACAACGTAGCCACCAGTTGGATCGGTGGTTCTTGGGGTGCCCTCTCGGTGGGAGATAATTGTGGCAAGGTGCCTTTAACCATTTGCAGGCTATGTTCATTGGATCCCTCAAGCTCTGTGTCAACAGCATAAGATAATGCTGCGCCAATGTATCGCGATTGGCTTGGAGGTTGCAGTGAGGATAACTGGGATCCATGAGGGTGCGCTTGGTTCATCACTACCGTGTGAATATCTATAATCATCCTCCCATGAGCTCTGTGAGGGGTCAACATATGAATTCCATAGGTCATGAGAAAGGATGGGGGTTGACATACGTCGTAGCAAAAAAAGAAGACAGGCTCAATATAGTCTGTAGGTCGTTACAGTTCTTTCTTGCTCTTTCGCTCAACGAAGCGATTTGACTTTTGTGGTGTAACCATTTTAATCTGGTGATTTTCGTCTGGCTATTCCCCTTCCCCTTCCCCTTTCCTCCCTGCTGGCATTTGTGGGCAAGCTCTTCAAGCCGCGGCACGATCGATGCTAGATCTGCTCGGACGCGTTCGGCTAGTAAGAAACTAAGTTGCGGGATTCGAAACTTGGCTTTGGAGTCATTATCTAGATTGTCCATTGTTTCCCTAATGAAGATCCCCAATGAATTCAGGAGTTCCACCTAGAAAGTCAGCACGCCGCATCGATGGATAAAGGGATATTGGACTAACATCGTTGACTAATTGAAGCAATTCCTGCCTAGCCTCAACTACCGATCTAAATATGTCAATTATCTTTGGAATAGCGGCAAGAGCCTGTCCGATAGAAATGAAGCTACCAATTGCGCTGATGACATCCATTTTGGAACTATTTCATAGGAACACCGATGGGAATGATGAGTTCCAAGCTATCTTTCGCTATACATGCCCCAGTTCGTAGAAATAAATCGTTAGGATTGAGGCAGCCTGACGAAACCGTGGGCATCGATAAGTATTAGGATAATACGGGCAGATGATAGTGTAACTCTCACCTCAGGCGAAGCCAGAGAAAATATGCAAGATTGGGCACGGAAACCTCTGATTCAAGACCATTCGCCTAACAATATGCCTCGCATATCCTTCGCGGTGCGTTTCGACTAGCCTATCAACAACAACAATAACAACCACCCCCAACGCAAGGTATTTTTAAACTCTCAAAATAATTAGTCGCAAAGAAGGCTTAGCCGGAGCCTACCTACATAGGCGTTGTCCAAGGCTGCAAGATATCAGGTAGGTGATGAGCCTTTGGGTAGGCAATGCTCGATAGATACAATAATACGAGTGAGTATGATTCGCGCTTGTGGTCGGGTTAGCACAAAAAAACGGATAATGAGTCCCTATTCACAATCAGCAAGAGTGAATTATTCAGATTAACGGTGCCTTTCATTCGTTCCTGTCAAAGTGTAACCGAGTCCGACGCCATTACCATTCCGCATTTCCTCAAACCAACGCCATCAAATGCATCATCCCCATCACCGCGGGTGCGGCTACCGATTTACCATCCGAGCAGACAAACGGTCTGACCCCATAGAACTCCGAAACTCGCAGCGAGAAATGACATAGCCTTCCCAAGAGGCTTAGGCGTGTCTCTCGCGGGCTGCTTCGAACTGCTGTCTCTGTAGCTCCTCCAGCTCCTCCAGCGTCATCCCACTCTCCTCGAACTTGTTGCCGCGCTTCTCTCGGACCTGTTATGCTTAGTATGTACACCGCGACTCTTGATCTCGTCAAGGTTGGACGTACCTTCTGAGTCTCTTTGTGTTGTGCAGCAGCCTCGAGGACGGCAGGGATGTAGTCGCTGAATCCCAGAGTCTCCAGAGCCTTAGTAATGTGGTCGCAGGCAATGGTCTTCTTTGCCTCCTTCTCCGAGATCTCGTTCGCCTCGGAAGACACGAGAGTGATGAATTCCACGCAGCATTCTATGAGTAGATCGCGGGCCTCCTTGGAGAAGGAGACGCCGCTTGATGACGGGAGAATCTCACTGACGATCTTCTGGACGGTTGCTAATCTATGTCAGTACATGGTGAATGGGGTCTTGTAATAGTGAGAGTTGCGAGAACTAGTTATGTGAATAACTTAGATTGCATACCTTTAGGGAGGGATAGATCATCATTGCCTAAATAGTAAATGATTAGTAAAATTGAGCTTCATATGCTAGGAGAAAGAAATGTAGAACAAGGTGAAAGGATAGGAAGCTTAGTTCTAGGACAATACCAATCTTAGGTCGACCCATCTTAAAAGTTGAAAGAGAGATATGTATGTGTAAAGTAGGCAATCTTGAGATTTGGTGCACCTAAGTGATGTGCTGGATGAAACTCCTTTCTCTTGAAAGAAGCAGAGACATATAACGATGGGGAAACAAGAACTTGGAGGTTGCGCCAGTGTCTCGAGGATGTTACTCGGTGACCATCAGAGAGTGAGTAATGTATGCTTTTTCCATTGTTGCTATCAAAGTCATGCGCTTGACAGACTAAGAAAGAAAATAAGGCTTAGACGACTATCCGTACTGCTCATATCCAGACTGTGACAGTGACAATGTCCACCTTAGTCATATCGAGCGATGTTTGCTGCCTTCCTAGTAGGATTGTGACGATTCATAGAAATCATGATCGCATTTACATCGAATAGGTGGGCCTGGGCGCATCGTGATTTTTAAGTAAATATAACTTACCGCCGTACTCGTGATCCGACATATTGGATGAAGATGAGATCGAAAATCAATCTAGTGATAGGATTCGCGGTGGAGAAGATTTAAGGCCTCGCTGTATTATTCGCTTAAATGATTTTTTATTTAGATTTGAGACCTCTATAGAACCAAGATAGTTGTTTTTATAACCGGATATCAAGTATCTGGATAGATGAGAGTAAGAAATATGAAGCCTCTGCTTTCTTTGAATTGGGAGGAATCAACCATCTTTTGTATCGCACTTGCAGCCTCAGACAGCCGGCGCGCCATCCGGAGTGGAGAGTGTGGCTGATACCGGTCTACGCGCCTGCGCGCTAAGACATCGCCGTGGCGCAAATGACCCAATTTAATTCTTTAGTTTTCATCAATTTTTTTCTTCTCCATTTTATTCTCTTCACCAATTCCTTTCAACGTTGGCATTGCACATTTAACAATGATTGACTTGCGACAAAGATAATGCGCAGGTCTTAGCATCCCGCGGGTATTGAATGTATGTATACTTCTATTCTCTACTCCTCCCTCACAATGATGAACACGTTGTCGCCCCAGTCTTACTATGCCAATTGGCAATATGGTGATCGACACGTCAAAGCCAAACGACATCTCTGAGTTTACCAGAAATGAAGTCTTTCAAATTTGACATTACTTCTCTTATTCATCTACTAACAATAGATTTATAGGTTATTCCATGACGAAAAGGTATCTATGACAATACTTCTCTATCAATACTACGGACATGATGCCGAATACCAAGTACTATCAAATACCGACTTAACCTGACGGACACCATTATTTTCTGACCGATTTACACCATTCCTATTATACTACATTGTATTAAGAACGGGACTTAGAATACTAATAGGTCTAGTAAAAGAGTTTAGTAGGTACTGTTTCAAATTGGCCTTGGTAAAACCCGTGGGCAACATGACTTCTATCTGCGGATTTTAGGCTGAACTGTAAGGTACGTCAAACATCTCGAATCTCGTGTGTCTGCTAGTGATGAATATTGTTACGACCGAATCTTTATGTTGAAAATTATCAAGTCTTTTCATCTTTCGCCTGAAGCAACGTTTCTCTTTTTCCTACGTAGCAAATAGACCATTCATTCGGGCTAACTTGCTATATAGCCAGTACTTTCGTTTTATTTCGTCTTGCCTCATGAAGCCCGGAAGTTAGCCAGCTCGGCTGCGTTCCAACTGCTCAAATATTAGTATATTAGCATCCAGGAAATGGTTTCCCACATACCGGAAGTATTTACCACTGAGATCGCTAGTGGCGCCTTCGACCAGTTTGGCTATCACATCGCCTGGCTGCTTGGGGTCTAGAAATTGGCCGTTCTTATATTCGTCTACAAAGCTTGCGTAGACCTCTGGCGCCATTCCGGTTTTGCCATCATTTCTTATCTGCTTCTGCATGTCGGTGTCGACCTTACCGGGCGAAACCGCAACACTAATGATGGAAGGCTCCTCTACAGCTAGGTGGGTAGAAAGGTGAGTAAGGGCTGCCTTGGAGGTACCGTATGATCCCCACCCGGCGTATGCGCCAAAAGCTGCTCCCGACGAGACGAATACGACTCGGCCCTGTGACTTTCGAAGTTCGGGAATGGCTTCTTTGACCTGTGATCATAATCAGCCTAGCCATTATGGCACTTCTTGCAATCTAGGGTCTTGGCATACAAGTGCTAGTGCACTAAAGACATTGATATCATAGGCGTGTCTCCATTCCTCCACACTAGATTCAGATATCTTGGTGATTGGAGCCAAGACACCATGGTTTACCACGATCCCATCTATCTTGCCAAAGGCTTTGACAGTTGATTCGATGACTTTTGGGGCAACCTATCACGGATATGAGCGATTTGATTATATAAGGATGCTGAGCCATGGAGTCCAAGCATACCTTCCAGTCTGCTAGATCAGCAGTTATGAAATCGACAGATGTAGCATGTTGCGTTTTCAACTCTTGCAAGTTCTTCTCTGTTCTAGCGACGAGGAAGACTTTGTGCGAAGCTTGAATTAATGCTTGTGCTATGGCGAAGCCAATACCTCGACTAGCGCCAGTCACTATGAACACTTTTGACATTGTAAACGAGGTAGTTCAACTCAAGATATGAATTGTACTGAGAATATGGATAATACTATAAGTCAGGTGAGTGTGATAATAAGTGACCAAGAGGGAACAAGAAGATGAAAGAATAAATTCTCTATCTTATCGGAGCTTGGCTTCACTAGCGGTGGGGGGGGTTTATTTAATATGAGGGGCAAGAAGCTACCTGGTATGTACCAAGGTAGACAAGCGTCATCTAGCCTCCGTTATAGCAATGACTTGGATTGCGACACCACTTACTCTGCACACCACACCATCTTGCATATAATCCTCTTTCCCCAACATCCTGCAGGAGTAACAGTCGCAGGATCAGTAACCATGGCCACAACCGTCATCCTAGGCACAGGCATCATCGGCACATCGACAGCATACTACCTCTCCAAGCACCAGCCCGCATCCAGCATCCACCTCGTCGAGCCGTCCCCTGAACTCTTCGCCTCTGCCTCCGGGTTCGCAGGTGGGTTCCTGGCTAAAGACTGGTTCTCTCCCGCCTCCGCCGAGCTGGGCGCCCTTAGCTTCGAGGAACACCGCAAGCTTGCCGAGAAAGAGGACGGGAGGAATAGATGGGGGTACGCAGCTAGCACGTCCGTCAGCTTGTCCCCGCCCACGGATAAGAAGAGGGTCGATGTTTGGTGCCGCGTAGGCGCGAGCCGTGCTGAGGCTGCCAGCGGGGCGACGACGGCGGGGGTGGCGCCTGAGTGGTTGGATGGGAAGGGACTGGTGGTCGAGGTTATTAGTGATGAGGGGACCGCGGCGCAAGTGTGAGTTCGTGGTTGAGGTTTTCTTTTTTCTCTGCTATTTCTACACAGATATACCTATATTACTGGACGCCTAGGTACGTGGGGATCCTAACTACATGGTCTAGAGATCCGTTGCAGTTATCGCAATTCTTACTCCAGAAGTGTCTCGACGCGGGCGTGCGGCTGCACCACCCCGCCAAGGCGATCTCTATCCAGACAGACGTGCGGAACGAAGTCTCGAGCATATGTATTGCGGACACGCAGTCTAGCACCGAGACGGACATCCCGTGCACGAATATCGTGATCGCGGCTGGCGCGTGGTCGCCTCAGGTCTTCGCCACGCTGTTCCCGACTTCGGGGTTCAAGCTGCCCGTTACGAGTCTTGCGGGGCATTCACTCGTGGTGAAATCGCCGAAGTGGACGAAGGAGCACGAGGACCAGGGTTGCCACGCCGTCTTCATGGAGAGCCAGCCTGGGTATTGCCCTGAGATTTTCTCGAGGGTAGGCGGGCATATCTACGTCGCGGGATTGAATTCGGCGACGGAGCCACTCCCTGCGCTGGCTACTGATTCGAAGAGCAATATCTCAAGACCCGCTATCGAGAAGTTGCGCGAGACGGCTAAGAAGGTGCTCGGAGAAGACGAAGTGGAGGTGGTGAGGGAAGCTTTGTGTTTCCGCCCGGCGACCGATCGGGGTACCCCGATCCTGGGTCGTATCCCGGATAGCTGTCTTGGACCCGCTACGAACACGAGACCTAGCCCCGAGGGGGGAGTGTATCTTGCGGCTGGGCATGGGCCGTGGGGCATCAGTATGAGTCTTGGGACGGGAAAGGTCATGGCTGAGATGATTCAGGGGAGGGGGTTGAGCGCCGATGTGTCTGGGCTGGGGCTAGATGTCTGATCGGGAGACCGCGCCATCGAGGTGTTTTGGACCCTTTTTATCGTGGAATGATCTCGATGCTGGATATTTATCAGCCCTGGGAGAATTCCGTGTTCGAGATACGCCTGGTTGTTGATAGCGTGTAGCCATAATGTCTTTAGCTGGTTTGCTAGCTTATGACATATTTACCCCTACTACACATTCACTGAAAGTATAGGTACGCAAGGATCTAATATTTTTTTTCAACTTGGAGAAAAAAAGGAGTAAGAAAAATTCCATTATTCAATCCTTCGTCAATAGACTAGTCTATCATAAAATAGATACACCCGTATCACAAACAAAATCCTCATTGAATTACCCAATTGCCTAATTGAGCCTTTTCACGTAGCCAGCTGACCAAGTGTAGCCCTAAGAGGTATCGAACGTGTCACATAAAAAGCAGTGACACTTCCGAACGGTTCCTGGCTAAAGTAGTTACCTACCTACCTACCTACCTAATCACAAAAAAATCCGAGACTTTTAGAGTCCGACGATTGCTCACATGGCCTCTCATACCAGCGACATGGTTTCCGAACAATTGAACCAAACCCTGTGAGACCTGCGCTGCGGTGATAGTGATATTGGTTAAGGGTGAATCAATCGTGAGTCATCAACCCCCCACGACGAACACCCACACCCATCACGAATACCTACCGTAGTGAAGAACAGGCATCCCACTCTCCTTGCATCGAAATCTCGATCCCATAACTTCTGCGCGGAGGGGTTGAGTCCGATAACGCTGGTATATACATACGTACATGAACGTGGCGTCGCATGTGATGACGGTGGCGTATCTTCTTGTGTGACGCGAGAGCTCAAAGTGAAGCTTAGCTGCTTAGGTGGGTGGGCAGAAACACTTACGCCTATCGCTCGCTCAAAGTAGGTACTTAGGTAGGTAGGTAGATCTCGGAGCTAGCCTGGCACGCGAGATCGAGAAGCTCGTCTGTCCATCGTGTCTCAGCCGAGCAGGCGAGACAGGTACCGTCGTCGGGGACTTAGGCAGGGGCCGGGCGCACATACATGTAGATGGAAGTAAGTTACGTCCGGATTGTGTCTTGTCTGCTACGTGGTGTCTGTCTTGTCTCACGCTGTGGACTTACGAGTGGGTGAGTTTGGTGGGGAGGGGAGGTAGATAGGTAGGTTGGAGGTATGTATGTACGCACTTTAACGCTGCGAACGCCTCCGAGATGGGGGGTGCGTGAGACAGGTTGGTGAGACACTGGGTTTGGGTGGGTTACGCAAACGTCAGCCGCTACGGTTGCGCTGTTTCTCCGCTTCGTGGGTTGGTTTGCACGTTGGGTTGTCGTGGCGGAGGGTAAGCTGCTGAGGGTTTTCAGCTTTGGTGGGTTTCGAGACATAATACGGATGAATTGGTAACTAAGTCACGATGAAGATTGGAAATCAATTGGGAGTTGGTAGGTTAGATGATGAGGCTTTTGGTAGCTTTTAGTTTGAATTAGATGATGCTAGTTATACAGTGATAGTGTGTTGGAAGAGCAAATATGAAACATCAAAAGGTATCTTTATCCTTGCACCGATTACACCCCGAAAATGCAGCCCTAATATGATGATATATACAAGAAGATATGGATAGGTAGGTGTTTAAGAGAATCCTTCTCTTTAATTGGTCGTCAAGCTCATGCGTAGTTCCGTGCTGATGTCGTCCAGCACAAATGATCCAGGTGCTGGTAGTTGAAGTAATTGTGATAATAAAACATAAGGTGAAAAAGAATGAGATATTTGTTTGTCGTGATAGTGTAGGTAGGTAGGTAGGTAATAAGTTTAGCATTCAGGCAACTCAAAGTGCTGTTCTTGTTCTTGATTGGTTTCTTCGTCGAGATGGAAGACGATTCCTCTTCGCTTCCAATCGCCCCGCTTCAGCATAGCATCACTTTCATGCATCCAATTGGTAGGTCGGCGATGATTCGTGGGTTGGGGTGGTACGACTGCCGACGAAGCCGGAGAACTCAGCTCGGCTAGACCGGGAGGGATCGCCTGCCAATCCTTGAGGGGCCATTGCCCGCTCTGATCATAAACATATGGTCGTGCTTCTGATGGCCTTCTGAGATAACAATTACGGCTCTTGATGGGTGAATACTCGGTCGAGTCTTGTAAATGATCTTCGACATGCTGTGTTTGACGGAAGAAGCGGTGCTCCCGCTCTGCCTCGTCCCTAGCCTCATCGAACTCCGAAATCATATGTGGTGATGAGTTTAGACTTAGAGGCGGGTGTAAAGAGAGCGGATCATATAGCCTATCGTGTGAGGCCGTTGATGATGCCTGAGAGGCGGTGCTCGAAGTACTCCATTTTCGGGAATGTTGAGTAGTTTGCTCATCAATGCTGTCTTTTCTACTTTGTAGATTGTTTTTGGATTTCTTGGAAAAGAGTGACGATCGACTTAAACTACGCATGATGGATGAGATATAATGGTATGGGCTCTTACACGAGAAGATGAAGAAGGATTGTGAGAAAGGAAGGAGTAAATATTATTCTATGTTGTAGTTGTAGCTTATGGGTGAGAATTAAGTCTTTGCTTAGGTAAGGCCGGGAATATCACCAACAGTTAGACTGATAGCTGGATATCCCAAAGAGTTGGGATACAATTAGAGAACCGAACTGAGCTTCATAATATGTGTGTCGGCTCGGGGATGCGGGAGGATGTAATACTTTAATACCATTCCACGAACCGGCCGGATCGTCCCTGAAGATCTGCTTGCGAAGAGAAAAGAGGAGACCTGGTGCCTTGCAGATAGCTTGGATCTTTTAGCACTTGCAATATGCGGACGAGCCGCGTCTTAGCAGGGAAACTGACTCCATGAGAGTTAATAGAAGACGGATAGAGTAAAAAGCTTATTATCCACACAACCGGTACACGAGACTACCACGATCCCTGGACGCTAAGCCTGTGATGGTGTGGACGAATGCGTCATTGATCAATAGTGGCATGTGGCCGCATTTCTATTGCGTCCCGTCATAGGTACCGCCAATCATTGGGTCCTGTGTCTCAGAAGCCCGGTTGAACCTTGGTACTATGTAGATTGGTGGGGAGGGAATCCGAGGGATAGACCTGTGAGGGGTGAAGAGTGAAAATTTCCAAGGCTGGGAGGAATGTGAAAAATGCGGATTATGAGATCTCACCGGATCTCTCTCGTGTTCAGGTGTAGTTCTTACTAGAATGCTAACAGGCGAATTGTATCGCCCGTTTAGCGTTACTGTATTTCGTATTGTGAAGACGAGAGTGCGCTGCACAGCGCAGGGCAGGCAAAGCTAGCTATCTACCCATGTCGTACCTATGATCCCATGTGTTTGGATGATCTTGTAGATCTTCCATTGCGGATCAGCGATTACAACGCTGGTTGGATGATGTGGGGATGACCAAGCCCGGCTTAAGTTCTTAAGGCACAAGGTCAATTCCAAGTTTGCAGCCGGTCTTGGTTTTTAAGAACTTTTTTTTCGTCCCATCCGAACTATTTCGAGAACTATAATGAGCTAAAGTACCTAATATTTTCAGCTTCATTTGTGCTCATAACTAATTTCTTTTACGCTGAATTTTTTTTTTTCGCTAATCTCATCAGCGAGAACGCGTGACCGATTATGGCGGGGAGGCCTTAAATGACTGCGAAGCAATGTAGGATAGGTGCCCAGGTATGTAATGTTACGTCGGGTGCAGCACTGGCTGTCAATATTCCAAGGGAGTTTCAGGAGTATCGCTGAGTAATCTGCGCTGATGTCACCTGTTGTGGAATATGCACTCACTTCTTCTGTATGTAACTTAAGGACACGACTCTTATCACATTATTGGATCTGCGTCGTTACCTTGGCAGCTCTTAGTTGGTTGGAGTTTCATTTATCCTTCCTCTATTTCATTCTTCCTTAGCTTCCGAAAGCAAGTGAGATATCGATGTTCGAGTAAGTCGGCAGGTTAGATGCTTTACCCAACGGGGAGCTCGCCAACTTAGACCGGCTCGTAAGCTTCGTAGGGCTAAGCGTCTGATCTGCATAATTGGATGCCGAATTTCTAACCGATAACCTTAAATGATGCTTATAAATAAATAGACTACTTATAAAAGAGAGGTACGAGTCAAGTCGGTACTGAGGCGGATCTACTTAAAACGGTTATCCCAACTTGAAGAGAGTATTGGTGGTAGAGATGTATGCAGTGTTCCCTAATGTCAAATTCTATTTCAAGCCCAATACAACGACCTAAATGTTTATTTAGGTACCTAGGAAGCTAGGATGAATGTAATCGGAGAACAGATGGAACCTACTTAGATCTAGAACCCCTGAAGTGCTTTAGTGTCTTGGATTTCCTCGAACCAGCAGTTTAAAACAATAATCTTATGCTCTAGGTAAAGGACATTACCAACTCCAATCGTCAAGATACTCTTAAAAAGTGATCATAATGACAGCCTAATTCGGTAGGACCATAGATTCTCCTGCTTGGGTATTCGATAGCATTATTGAATGTATTGCGTATGCCTCGAACTCTGTATCACAGGTCTATCGTCAGCAATTTATGCATGTCCCTCCAAATCACCTCGGCGCCGGAGAGCAAGGAGGAACAAAGTATCTGAACCTTAATGACGTCCATGTTCAGTTTATCTAGGTGTCAAACTACCTACATAGGTGGAGAACACATTGCTGAAGACTTAAGTACAGCCGAGTAGATATTTTAATATCGCATTGAGTAACGATGTTTTCAGGGGTTCAATCGAATCGCGGAATCCCGCACGTTCTGTTTCTTGATGCGTTGACATCCGGATTAAAGATGATGTCCCGAAAATATAAACCGATGGTCCCATTTTCATGTATGGGCACCAATCTAACTTCCCGTTATTCGCAAAGTTATACCCGTTAGCGGGCTAAATATATTGTTCCGACGATTCGGACTGAGGATCTTCGTGATGCGGATCACCTAGAGTTTGGTCGAGCAATTTGAAGGTTCATTCCGATTCTAGATTTCACTCTTTATAGGACGCCATCATGCTCACCCGGAAGTCTTTTCACTCGTTGCTGCTCCCAGTTATCGATGTCTTTCGCAGCTAGCCTCTGTTTACGCACGCCTGTATTAGTATAGGGATTTAAATATGCGCTGTACAAGATTATATGCAAGCTTAATAAATAGGATGCTTACATAGTATTCATCTTTCATATTCACTCTCCGAGCTGATTTGCTGATTCCTAATTCCTCTTCCCGAGTCAATTGTCTCACTCGTCGATCATGTTTTTCGTATCGTATAGCCGTGGCAGGTGTCAGCACGAAGGAACCTGCTACGATGACGGTCATGAATGGTAGTCCGAATAGTAAAAAGGGACGTTTTGCCATCCATATGCGATATTTTGCTGCGAATGTACCGGTATCACTACTACCTCGAAATTTCTTGGCTTGAAATACTCCCATCGCGAAGGGATCGGACGACTCTCGTTGGAGTTATCGAACTTGATATCGGTTGCTGAGTTTTGGTTTCGGCAATTTATGGGGAAAAGCTGATGTTGATTGCTTATGGTGGCATTGGAACCGAGGCGGGATGACGACGATGTAGATGTAGATATAAATGTAGATGTAAGAATATCGCATGACATCAATCGTAAATGCGCCGTCGTAATCGTTCTAGACAGGGGTACTTAGGTACCTGGAGGCCGGGTCTGGCCGTTAAGACCCACATTGTTCCGAATGCTACCGATTGGCCAGTGCCAAAATTTCTCTTTGGTGTGCGATTTAAATTGATTAGATTGGAATCACATGACTTCGCGACAACTTAATTCGCGTCAAACGCGCTGCTAACTTCTCATCCGAAAGTTTCCCGCTTCTTCTTTCGTCCGAAATATACCGATCATAGGTAATGATCACAAAGCTATGGCTCCCACGTCCCATGGAATAGCCGGACCGAATGGCCGTGAGACTTTTGCAAATGGCTCTCTAAATGGTAACAGCAATGGCCCACCACCGTCCACTCTGGCAGCTCAATTAGTAGAAAACATCTCGGCTTCGACGCGTTCCTCTCGGCCGGATGAGACAGCCGAGCTAAAGAGATTCTTCGGAATCATCGAGGAGGTTAAGAATCAACCCGATATATTGAAAACTCCAAAAGAACGAATGGAGCACAACCATATGTTGATTTATGTATATACTCGAGTCGTTCTGGAGACTTTAAGGTGGGATGACCCCTTTGCCGACAGGATTCAGCTACGCGCAGATGCGTCAAGAGCTGTCGACTTTCTCAAAATCACTATTAGAGAGACTCCGGATGTCCTTTCTGCTAAATCCGAACCGGGCTTGTTCCTCTTTAGGGGGGATGAACCTCTTTGGTTATGGATCTTTCCAAAAGTCCTGAAGATGCTTGGCAGTGGTTATTGCACTGACCTGAGAGATGAGATCGACCTATTTTTTCGTGATGTACTGCTTATAGCATCCCGTACGGGAAGCCAGTGGTCGCTTTTACCACAGTTTCTTGCATATTTTAGATCAAGCTTTAACGGTATGTGTGTGATCGTTATCTCTTCGTGAGATGGATATTCAGCTGACGAATTACGAAGCTATAATTAACTACTTCAAAGAGCTAAAGTCTCCTTCTGCAAACCGAGATGTTCCTGTTCAATTACAGCTGCCTCCAGATTGGTTCCTAGCGTCGATCGCCGATGGTGAGCTAAAGCCACTTCTACAGCAATGCACATACGATATAGCATTAGCATCGCATGCTCTGCACCATGCGTCTGGTCTCTTGTCGATCATGGCAATGCCTTTGCTGCATCACTCTTCGGAATTTGACATCGTGTCCTCTTTCCAAGAGTACATTCCATGGCTTTTTGATGCGTACTTTCACCTCCACGAAACCCAGGTTCAATGGCGGTCCACGTTGCCTGGTATCCTGCCTCTATTCTTAGAGAACAGCTTGCAATTTCTTGACGTACTTGAAGCTGCAAGCAGCGTTGATTCCTGTGTCGAGCAAAAAGTGTCAACTTCATTGGTCCTCCTCTGCATGGAAATGTCGACTCAATCTTTAGGGGTTCTCATAGCCGATGGGCAAGGGAACTCGGACTACAAATTACTTTGCCTATCTCTGGCTAGAGTGGCTAAGTCTTGCCTACACTCAAAACCAATCTCACGCCTCGTCACGTCGCAACTGATCCCCGCGTTAGAGAAACCGATCATAGGTAGTGAAGCTCATATAGCCGAGACCGATTTTTGGGTAAGTATTGCGCTCACACGAGAGAGGGACTACTACTAACGTGGGATTAGAGATGTCTAGAGCTTCTCCGAAAAGTTGTCACTGATCCTGTGCCTACGTCATTAGGTGCCGAGATACGGCCTGACAAGTTTTCGGACGAAGGCCTTCGCCAGCAGGTCAATAGGCTGAATATGGAACCTAATGACGTTACAGACGCAGAACGACAATCAAAACGCAGGAAGGTGTCGGCCAATCTGTCGTCGCTTCGGACAGTAACCACGCAGCTTCACCACCTCTTAGGGACGGATCCTGGAACGAATTTTGTTGATTTGAAAGCTGTATTAGAGTACGTGGATCAATTGTCAGACATCGAGTTTTTGATAGTTACTCACAATGACAGAAATAAATTCCAGAAACTTCCCGAAGCTGAAGTGTGTCGAATTATTAGCCTTCTCGGGTACGTCTGCTGTGCTGCGGATGACACTCTTTCGATTCATGGTAAAGAGGATGATGGAACCATGTGGCTCGACTGCCGGCATTGTCAGACTCAGAGCCCAAATCACGCACCACTCTGCCTAGACCTTGTGGCGAAACGAGCAATTCAAGAGATATTCGCTTCCCTGGTTCAATTACCTGTCTTTCTTGAATCGCGAAAGCCACGTGTAACTGCGATGACTGCTATAAGACGCATTGCAAAACATTGTATCGACTCCGAATTCCTGGACATAGAGGTTTCTGTGATTGCACAGTGGTGCTTAAAGTCACTTCAGAGTTCCGTCAGAGAGCTCCGCATTGCTTCTGGGTGAGTTGGCTTCGAGAACACACCAATAACTTAATACATCTAACGAATTTATAGACGTACCGTCGCAACGTTCTTATCTGGACAGAATCAGTCGGGCGCTACTTCAAAGATCGTGCAAAAAAATCGAGCGAATGTTCTTAGCATACTTCGTTCACTCTCAGAGCAAGCCTTACCTCAGCTAACGGAGACCTGTATCTTAGCTTGGTCTCATGTCGGAAGGTAAGTTTAGACCCCTGATATCATAGACAAGCATTTGCTGAGAATTTATGTTAGTGTTATATTTGATGACCAGTTGAATCTGGTACTGGTAAAACTTGTTGAATATCTTGGCTCTGAAAGTATAATCACGTCAGCGGCTGCGTTTGCCGAGGTACGAATGTCTACTTGCCATTTTTTCCCCTACTCTACCTACTCTACCTACTTTACCCAGAATGCTCACGCCATGTAGATAGTGAAACTTGCCCGCTCTCGAGGCATGACCACACGGCAGTTTTTTGAACCATTTTGGAGATTTTTAGCATTCTCGGCAACAAAGGACCTTACTTCTCGACCGAAGCTGACTCGATTACTGGCAGAGTTGCTAGATATGACTATTGCGGAATTGCTGCTTTACTTGCAAAAATATGCCTTGCCCTGGCTTGTACTCACGAAAAAACGAGATGTCATTCAGAGAATCGCCGAAGCTAGAAACGAGGAAGAAATATGGCGTCCTTGCCTCGACGAGAGTAATCTAGGCCCAATATTAGCTCTTCTGCTAACTCAGGACGCCCCTGATATTCAGCAATATTGTATGGACTTGCTGGGAAATATCTCTCCTCATCTTAACCAATCAGGGGGTCTTCTAGAACTATTGCGAATAGAGCCTATCGGGACTACCTTGGAGCTTCTGAAAGCAGCAGGCGATGCTGATGAAGACCGCAAAACCCATGTAAGTGAATGACGCAACATTCTTTATCTTCAACAGGATTCTGATTTTTTTCTTCGTTAGATTTTTGGTGTGCTGAATAAGGTAGCAAGCTTAATGTTGAAAGGAAGTGGGGAATTAAAATCGAAAAAGGTTCACGCATCAGGCCCCTTTCTACAGAGGTACGCTCTAGCCCTAATGGCTGGGCTAACCCAAGCTATCAACGACGTATCAAATAGGACCCCATCACAGGAGCGTAAACGCCACATAAAAGCCATGGAGGAGATGATTCGGATAGGGAAACACTATATTCGTATTGCCCGACCGCAGGTAAGGTTATCGGCTTGACGCTATGTTCAATGCATGCTGATTTTGCCGTAGATTTCCGCTTGTCTTCAGGCGGCCATGTTATACGATGATCTTCGCTCTGCGGCTTTTTCATGTTGGGCTACCATGCTCCTTTACCTAGAGGATGTCGAAGCTCTCATCGAAACGACGTTTTTCCTTATCAGCCATTATTGGTCTTCGTTTGATGAAGAAACGCAGAAACGTTCCCGAGATTTGATCGAATCTCTGTTAGAAAAGGAGGGTTCTTTCTTGGAAGCAACTATAAGCAAGCTACCGTCTTTCAGCCACATTAATTATCTATCCGATATAGAAGGGAAACTCAGCAAACTTCGTCAGCCCGTCGATAGCAGAACAGCGTTCTCTTTGCTGGCAGAAAGAATAAGTCATGAAAACGACGGAGTTGTCCTGCTTGCTTTGAGGGAGCTTGCATCCTATTTGCAGAGACAGCAAGAATACCTACAAGCATCTGCCGTAAGCGAACAGCCCGACTCGGTTGTATCTACTCTCGCTCGCTCACTTCTTGATTGCTCGTCGAGATTTAACGGCATTCATGGTGAAATTAGCGACCTCTGTATTCAATGTTTAGGTTTAGTGGGCTGTCTCGATCCAAACCGCGTAGAGACGGTTCGCGCCGAAAGACAGATGGTCGTCAAAAGCAACTTCGAGCATTCGGAAGAGACTACTGACTTTGTGGTCTATTTACTAGAGGAGGTGCTTGTCAAGTCGTTCCTCTCTGCAACTGATACGAAGCTACAAGGCTTCCTCTCATATGCTATGCAAGAGCTTCTTGAAAGGGCCGACATCAAGGTTGCGGTGCAAATGGAGGGGTCAAAAGATGCAGCCCCTATCTATCGAAAATGGCTCTCGATGTCCGTGACTGCTCGGGAGGTGCTAATACCTTTTCTGACTTCAAGATACGTTGTCCAACCAATGGCGCCACAGCAGACGGAATACCCAATCTTCAGGCCTGGTAAAACGAGATATGCCAACTGGATGCGGAGCTTTACTCTCGACCTTATGCGTAAACCGCAAGCTCCATTTGCCGAACTCATTTTTGAGCCTCTATGCCGAGTTATTCGGATCAAAGATCTGTCCACTGTGGAATTTCTTTTTCCATACGTAACTCTTCACATCGTGGTCGGTGAAGATACTACGAAAGAGCAGCGCTTAAATGTGCTAAATGAATTGCTCAATGTGCTCCGGCATGAAGTGCCAGATAATTCAAGTTACGAAGAGAGGGAAAACCAAAAATTGTATTGTGAGGTAAAGTACAACTATCTTCTTTTAATGCACTTCGTACTGACCATAACAGGCTGTGTTTCGATTCATTGACTATGCCATGCGCTGGCTGCAGCTGAAGAGGGCCGGGGGTAACCTTGGTCCTCGGGACGTGGCGGCAATGGAGATGCTGCAAGGCTTGCTTGACTCTATCCCTGCTGAATTAATTTCGCAACGAGCTGTTGACTGTAAAGCTTACGCGCGAGCCTTATTTCATCTCGAGCGACACATTCGTCAAGTAGATGAAGAGAAGACAGGCACTGAGGAGAGAGACCGACTACTTCAAAGACTCCAAGACATATATACCCAAATAGATGAGCCGGATGGACTGGAGGGTATATCTGCACACCTACATGTACTCGACGTCAATCAACAGGTTCTGAGTCACCGAAAAGCCGGGCGATGGGCAGCAGCACAGACTTGGTATGAGATCAAGTTGGCGGAGGATCCTGATAATGTCGAAATTCAGATCGATCTTCTGACCTGTCTCAAGGAATCGGGACAACACGGTTCGTACTTATCCGCTTACGTGCTCGTATGGAGTGCTAACAGATGTTATAGACGTTCTCTTAAACTATGTCGAAGGTATCGAGAAGCATACTGGTGTCGCGACAATTAATCGGATAGTTCCCTATGCTGTCGAAGCTTCTTGGGCGACAGGAAGATGGCGGACCATGGAAAAATTCATTACGAAGTATCAGGGAGACCGGACAGAAAACTTCAACGTTTCCATTGCACAAGCTCTCCTTTACTTGAGAAAGGGTTGGACCAAAGCCTTCGTCGATGAAATGAGAATTTTGAGAGACAGAGTCAACGCCTCTATGAACTTCTCAATTACGTCGTCTTTGCAAGCTTGCCACGAGCCGATGTTAAAATGCCACGTATTAACCGATCTGGAATTGATTGCTGGTATTAACAACGATGGTAATCAACACCCCCAAGAGGTTTTAAAGACACTCAATAGACGCCTTGAAGTTCTCGGATCGTATGTCAACGATAAGCAGTTCGTGTTAAGCATACGGCGCGCAGCCATGGAGCTGATGCGGTAAGTTATCTAATCTCACATCAGCCACCAAAAAACTAATTCAATTAGACCAAGATTTGGTGATTTTGATATATCGGCCCTTTGGCTGTCTAGTGCTCGACTAGCAAGAAAGACGAATTCTACGCATCAATCATTCAATGCGGTACTCCATGCCTCTCAGCTTGGCGACGATTCCGCGACCATCGAAAATGCCCGGTTACTATGGAAAGAAGGACATAACAGAAAGGCTATACAAACCCTCAAAAGCGCCATCGACAGCAAAGCATTCACGAGCCAGAGCTTTATGGAACACGAGTCATCCGAGAAGAATCTTGAATCACAGCAGAATATGTTGACTGCGCGTGCTCAATTGCTTCTCGCAAAATGGCTTGATAGTGCAGGCCAGACGCATGCAACCGCACTACGAGAGCATTACCGGAGTGTCCCAAAAAACTACGGCACGTGGGAAAAGGGCCACTATTATCTCGGCCGACATTATAAAAAAGTACTCGAATCCGAAAGAACGTTAAAGCCGGACGACCAGAGCGACGAATACCTGACTGGGGAGACGGCTAAACTCGTGATCGAGAACTACATGAGATCATTAAACTACGGAGTCAAATACCTCTATCAGACCCTTCCCAGAGTCTTGACTCTCTGGCTTGAGCTTGGTGCCCAAGTCAACAAAGCACCAGAAGGCAAAATTTCGCTTTCGAAAGAGCTTCATCATCGTCGTAAGATACAGCTTGAATCACTGCACAAATACCTCAACAAATGCATTTTTCGACTACCTGCGTATATTTTCTACACGGCCCTACCTCAACTTGTGGCTCGTATCGCGCATCCTAACATGGAGGTCTTCATGCTACTCGAGGAAATCATATTCAGAGTTGTCGAAGCCCATCCGCGACAGGCTTTATGGAGCTTATTTGCCGCCACGACTTCTCGACAAACTAATCCAGAACGGAGAGCACGTGGCCATCGGATGATGCAGAAGATCAGAGATAGGAGTAAGAAGGTAGAAAGTGGATCGATGGAATTGAAGACCCTACTGCGCATGGGTGAGAAGCTGGCAGAGCAGCTCCTCCTTGCTTGCAATAACGGGGATTTCCAGAGCAATAGAACGACAACAGCAAGCATCACCCGAGATCTGAATTTTAACCACAAATGCACGCCATGTCCCCTTGTCGTCCCAATCGAGATCTGTCTTACAGCCACGCTCCCTACTCTCACGGACAACGTCAAGAAGCACAAAGCGTTTTCTCGAGATGTCATCCTAGTCCAGTCATTTTTGGACCATGTTTTAGTGCTGGGCTCCCTAGCTAAGCCTCGAAAGCTTACGGCTCGCGGATCCAACGGAGTGAACTACGGCCTCTTGATCAAACCAAAGGACGATCTCCGCACAGATCAACGTCTTATGGAGTTTAACGGGATGATCAACCGATCATTGAAACGAGATGCCGAGTCTAGTAGGAGACAGCTTTACATTAAAACTTATGCTGTCACGCCGCTGAACGAGGAGTGCGGTATCATCGAGTGGGTTGACGGACTTAAAACACTCCGGGATATTCTACTTAATATCTATCGATCTCGCGGGATTGTGCCTAATTATCAACATCTCGCACAGATGATGAAGGATGCCGCCTCGGGAGACAAGAATACTGCGATCTTCTCGGAAAGGGTAATCGGGATGTTCCCACCAGTGCTACCTAATTGGTTCATTGCGCAATTCCCGAACCCTTCGGCCTGGTTCGCAGCCCGACTTAGGTATACGAGATCGTGTGCTGTCATGTCAATGGTTGGTACGATCTTGGGGCTTGGTGATCGCCACGGCGAGAACGTGCTTCTCGAAGAAGGCAATGGCGGCGTTTTTCATGTGGATTTCAACTGCCTCTTCGACAAGGGCCTCACATTCGCGCAACCCGAGCGAGTACCATTCCGCTTAACTCACAACATGGTAGCAGCTATGGGTATCTACGGATATGAAGGACCATTCAGACAATGCTCGGAGTTAACATTGAGCATTTTGAGGCAGCAAGAGGAAACACTAATGACGATTCTAGAAGCGTTCATCTACGACCCGACACTGGACCTACAACGAGACAAGCGTAAGAAGAATGAAGTAGTCAAGCTCAATCCACAGAGCGTTGTGGATAGTATCAAGAGGAAGGTACGGGGTTTGCTACCAGACGAAAGCATCCCACTGGGAGTTGAAGGACAAGTGGAAGAACTGATCAAACAGGCGGTCAACCCAAAGAACCTGACGGCTATGTATATTGGATGGTGTCCTTTTCTCTGAAGGAACAGAGTGGCGTTAGGGAGTCACTGGAAATGGATCATTCATATGGTTATGTCTACTTGTTTGGATGTTCGAGTAAATAGTTCATACTTTGTCTCGAGTACGATGTTATGATGACTTACTATTTTGACACGGGCTATTTTCTTCAAAAACGAATTTAAAAACGCATATACATAACCGTCTTGAGGGTGGGATATGTGTTCAGAGTACTAACTAGGGGAGAGAGACAGGCAAACAAGAAGAAAATTTTGATATGCATGAAAATCGAGTTTTTTTCAGGTAGGCGATCGTCTCTTTCCAGGCAGAATTCAGGGGTGTGCGAATGGCGCAGTACTCCAGGGCTGTACTGTATGGTATGGTATGGTCCAATAGGCTAGTACGATAGTGGACGGCAAGTACGTTAGGTGTCCAGCTGATTTTTTAGCGAGTTAACCTCCACTATGCACTACGACTGCCGCCTAAATTAGGCACTACCTACCTGTAATATTAGCGTTAGCAGTTGCTAGGTTGACAGTTGGAGTGTACGCGCTCCCACGCGTTTCAATTTTCAACCCCTCGACTTCTTCTCCAATTATTTCACCTCGACTCTTACGACCCTCTTCTTCCATCTTTTCTCGACATCTAAACTTCTCTTCTCCCGTCTCCCTCGCATTCTTTCTTCCCTTTTTCCACTCGAATTTAATGATTTACATCTGAATTATCATTAAAAATTCCTGAAGAAATATTTCATCAAGTTCGCTTGGGTAACATATCACAATTTCCCTAGCAGCTTTGATTGAATCGTTTCTAAACTACCTAGCCGATTCCGTCTCGCAGTGTACTGCTAAAAAAAGGGATTGCCATCTCACCACCTAATTCTTTGTCACCTTCCCTAACCTAAACATCATCTCAACTTTCCAAATCTCACAAACATTCGCGCGTCTATTTTCGAAATAGTCTCGTAGTCAGCATGTCTTATCGAATTGGTAGGTTTTTACTCTCACCGTCATTCCCTCCCAGCCTTCTCGAACATGACATGTCACATCCTACAGTGCAACTTTCATCGTCACTGTTGTCGCACAGATCTTCTATCCAATCTCCTAGGCAGCAATGACTAACCATATTTTTAGAGCTCGCTTCCAGCGCCCGTGCTGGTTGCCAAGATACTCAATGCAAAGCTGAGCAGGCGAAGATTCCCAAAGGTGATCTTCGCTTCGGCAGTTGGGTTGAGATGCAAGACCATGGCTCGTTCAAATGGCGACACTGGTATGATATTATCACTCTAAATAATCATGAGAATCGCTTCGCTAACTAATTCGTAGGGGCTGCGTCTCTGGATTATCTATCAGCAACCTCCAGGAAGCTATTAGTGATGGCAATGGCGGTTTTCAGTGGGACATGATTGATGGCTACGATGAATTGGAGTAAATACTTCCAGATCATACCATATTCTTTATTTCTACTAACATATCGCCCATAGATCTCATCCTGATATCCAGGAGAAGATTCGACGTGTCATCACTCAAGGCCACATTGATCCCGATGATTTTAAGGGTGTAAGTTATCATCACGTCTATCTCGTGAAGCTTCAGCTGATTATCAACAGGACCCCGAATTCAACAAGCCTGGCCAAAAGGCTATTCGTGGGCGCGCCAAAAAGGCAAAGAAGAACGTAGATGAGGTAAGTACATTTTGGAGTTTTTGTTTTATCTAGTGCTCACGTCTTCCCACAGGACGAAGAGGGTGAAGGCTCTCCTAAGGCTCCCAAGAAGAAGTCTGCCAAGCGTGGTCGCAAGAAGGGCGAGGACAACGATGAGGATGAAGAAGATGTTAAGCCCGCCAAGAAAAAGGCCAAGGGCAGTCGCAAGGCCGCATCGCCCCCAGACGAGGAAGATGAGGAAGAGGCGGAAGAGCCAGAGGTCCAGGCCGCCCCGGCCAAAGCCCCTGCCAAATCATCGGCTAAGGCTTCCGCTAAGAACACCTCTAAGACTACTGCCAAGACTGCTGCTAAAGCCTCTACTAAGAAGGCTGCAAGCAAGAAGGTAGCCGAGGTTCCTGCCGACGATATCGAGGCTGGCAGCGACGACGAGGAACAGGTAGAGGAAGAAGCTGCTCCTTCGAAAGCCAAGGCTAAGGCGAAGCCAAAGGCTAAGAGCGCCCCTAAGGCGAAGGCTAAGGCCGCTAAGGTCGCCGCGGCTGATGAAGACGAGGAAGACGAGGAACCCGCTCCGAAGCCAGCTCCTAAGGCAAAGGGCCGTAAAGCTAAAGCTAAGGTCGTCGAACCCGAAGAACCAGAGGAAGCTAAAGATGAGGAGGGAGAGGAAGAGGAAGTAGAAGCTCCCGTCGCCCCTAAGCGTGGACGCACTCGAGGCCGCCCCAAGAAGGCGTAAATCACTAGCTCCCATTCGACGATATGACGATTATCGACAAAAATTGAGTAGAAACGATGAGGTTTGTAGGTTTTCGTTAGCTTTATTCCGGTTCAGCGCGAGAGGCTGTTGTCCCGACTAGCTCATTGAAAACCTTCATATCCATCATCTACTCTCACATCGGAAACCGCGGAAGTCTTCTGGTTAAGGGACTTCGGCAACGATTACATGTGCTTTTTTCATTTAGCAGGTTTATGAGTCTGCACGGAAATATTGAGGAATATTGAGATGAGAGAGTTTTCCTTTTCTCGCTTCTCTCGCTTTTATGGTATCCGTAATCTCAGAAGATGGTGGAGTGCGCAGATGGGAGTTTTTGCTGCGAGAGATACCAATTGATGCTTTACATGCTTGCTGTTACGTCAAGATTGGTATCTGATCTGTACCTACATAGTTGCACTTCGCGATGAATACAGAACATGACACGGCCGTGCTATCGGGATTCGAGAATCGTGATCTTGTGAACTCACCCCTGAATAGACATTTGGCGCTAATTGTTGCTCTATTACCTCACTACTGCATATAGCTATTATGCGCATATATCATTACGTAATTTGGTGATGTAATATACCTGTTCTATGCATGTACCTATGTAAGCATTGTATCATAGTGGATCCCTAATCCCGTCCAAGATCGATCGATAGCTGACAACTCACAACTTACAACTCGCAACTAAACAGCGGGTATCTTAGCTAGACGACCAGACGAACCGCGATGTCCGAGATCATTTAACACGATATTTTCGGTCAAATCACCATCCGATAGCGTTGAGATACCTCAGCGCATCTACCAAAGATGCATATACCGGTGCAGACGCTGTCAATCGCGGTACTGCTAGCTCTACCAGCAGCCGTGCGCGCCGTCTTCAAGGACGAAGTCGGCCACATCGACTACCACCACGAGCTCCTCGGCGTGCCCCAACGCGAAACCACATTCTTCCACCGCCCTAGACCGCAAGAGAAAGCGAGCTTACTATACACCCTCAGCGACCTAGGCGTCCTCGGCGCCGTCAACCCGGGCAATGGCGCCGTCGTGTGGCGGCAGCTGCTAAGCAATAATATCACGAACGGAGGAGGCCATCTCCGAGCCGGAGAGGACGAGACGTGGCTTGCTAGCGCGCTAGGCAGCTCTGTGCATGCCTGGGACGCTATCAGCGGACGTAATGTGTGGACGTTGGATTTCGGGGGCGAGGTTAAGGACTTGGAGGTCATGGAGATGACGGCGAATAACCACAAGGATGTTCTAGCACTACACCAAGAAGACGGTGCAACTGTCACGCGGAGAATAGATGGGACGGAGGGACGCGTGGTTTGGGAGTTCAGGGAGGTCACGGGCGATGTGCCCCTGCAGGTCAGCACGAATCTCGAGAAGGTGTTTGTTGTTACTCTACACGGATCGCTGCTCTCGTATAACCTAAAGGTGCTTGTCCTGGATACCTTGACTGGGAAGAAACTCGACGAGATCGTTATCGGCACGAAAGGCGAGGTGCAGAAGCCGGAAGACGTGCAGTTCGTCGGCGCCAATTCCGCTGCCCCGGTTGTTGCTTGGACGGACAATACCCTGACGAAGCTCAAGGTCAATGTTCTTGGGTCTAAGAACAGGCAGGAATTTCCTCTTATACCTGATGCTGTGGGCGTGGAGGTTCATGCCCCGCATACGACGCGCTCGTCGCCGCATTTCCTCGTGCATACCCGCACTGCGAAGGGGAGTAAGGCGGATGTGTTCCACGTCGATCTTAAGAGTAATGCTATTACTAAGGCTTACGACTTGCCGTTGCTTGAGGGGGGAAGCGCTTTCTCTACTAGTTCGTCTGATGCGAATGTCTACTTTACTCGGGTTACTGCCGATGAGGTTATCGTCACCTCATCTGTTTCTCACGGCATCTTAGGCCGTTGGCCTTTGAAATCTACGGCGGAGAAGCTTATTGCTGTGCATTGTGTCTCTGAGGTTATTAAGAAGGCGGAGGATAACTACGCTGTGAGATCAGTTGTTGTCACGGATGCCGATGATTGGTCTCAGATCGTCAATGGTGATGTATCCTGGACTCGACCTGAAGGTTTGAGTGGCGCTGTTGCTGCTACGTGGGCGGAGATTCCCGAGTCGGAAGATTTAGCGAAGACTTTGGAAGCTGAGGCGCACACCGACCCCTGGTCTGCTTTTGTTCACCGGTTGACTCGTCATATCGACGAATTGCAGTACTTGCCCGCGTTCTTGCAGACTATTCCCCAACGGCTTTTCGCTAGCATTCTCGGCTCGGAGACTTCCGCGTTTAGTGGTACACTTTCGCGCGACAGCTTTGGGTTCAACAAGCTTGTTGTTCTAGCGACGAAGCGTGGTAAGCTGTATGGTCTTGATGCTGGAAACCATGGACGGATTGTCTGGTCCAAGTCGGCGAACGAAACGCCTGGGAGCAAGCCTTGGGATGTCAAGGCTATCTATGCCGATGATGCAAAGGGACTTGTCACCGTCCGCGGTGCTCAGGGCGAATTCATCATTGTCAAGTCGGATACTGGGAAGACTATTGAGTCGTTACCAGTTGGCTTATTCCCATCGGTTGAGAGTGCTGTTCTAGTGGATAGCGATGCTGGTCCTTGGCTGTTGCCTATCGGCGAAGGTGGAAAGATTGCTGAGGTGCAGAGTTCGTTCGCCCCTAAGGAGACTGTTGTTACGAGAACAAGTGATGGTGGAATCAGAGGTGTGAAGTTTGTCTCGAAGGGCGAGCTAGCTGTCGAGGTCCCAACATGGATTTTCACACCCCCTACTGGACAGAAAATTGTCGAAGTGGCGAGTCGTTCTGAACACGACCCGATTGCATCGATTGGCCGAGTGCTAGGAGATCGTACTGTCAAATACAAGTACTTGAACCCGAACACTCTTGTAGTTGCCGCAATTGACGAACAGGCAACTTCGCTTACGGTCTACCTCCTAGATACAGTATCCGGACAAGTCCTAACCTCATCAACATACGAAGGCGTCGACCCAACGAAAGACATCACCTGCGCCGTAGCCGAGAACTGGTTCCTCTGCTCGTTCTTCGGCCAATACAAACTCCGCGACGCGCAACCACAGCAACTTAAAGGCTACCAAATCGTCGTATCCGACCTCTACGAATCAGACGAAGCCAACAACCGCGGGCCCCTCGGCGACGCAGTTAACTTCTCGTCCCTAGACCCGGTCGATACACCCACAGGCCCATACCTCCCCTCCGTCGTATCCAAGACATTTATCCTATCCAGCCCCATCACCTCTCTCGCCGTAACCAAAACCCGCCAGGGCATCACGAGCAGACAGCTCCTAGCCTACCTCCCCGAATCCCGCTCCATCGTCGGCATCCCCCGCCTCGCCCTCGAGCCCCGCCGTCCCGTAGGCCGCGACCCAACACCCGCGGAAATGGAAGAGGGGTTGTCGAAGTACTTCCCCGCCATTGAACTTAACCCACAGATGCAGATTACACACCAGAGAGAAGTGCTAGGTGTAAAGGAAATTATCACCACGCCTGCGGCTCTGGAGAGCACGTGCTTGGTTTTTGCCTACGGCGTGGATGTGTTTGGGACTAGGGTCGCGCCGAGTCTCGCTTTCGATGTCTTAGGGAAGGGGTTTAATAAGCTGGCGTTGCTGGGCACGGTGGTGGCGCTTGTGTTGGGGGTTGGGGGGTTGAGGGGTTTGGTAAGTGATCTTCTAGAGAAATAAGAGGGGATTATGCTAACGTTTCATTAATCACAGGTTCGCAAGAAGCAGATCGATGCAAGGTGGAAGATGTAAATCACCGTCGCGATTATGATAGGGTTAAATATCGAGCGGGGGTAAATAGGTACCTACCAGTTAGATTTCGCCTAGGAATCGGAAAAGGGGTATGAGAAATAGATAGCAGGGGAAGGAGATATGACTGGGAATAGGGATAACGAGGTCGTAATGTATACTATTTTTTCATAGGAGGTAGTAGGTATTTGAGGGTCAATCGGTTGAGGTTGGCTCGTAGATGGGTATCGAATCCATGTTTCGTATTGACTTTTACCTATGAATTCTATTAACTATGCACGTTCCATCAGCATATCTTTCGTATCTCGTCACAAAGCAGGAAATCAGCCGCCAATACTGAAACTTTCTTTTATTCTTCATACCATATCGAGCATCATCTATATCTCTATCGTACCACATTCGATCCCTTCTTTTCTCCCATCCTCTCCATAGGAGGCACTATTCAGGGCACGCAAAACCGTCCCCCTTCAATTCCCTTTAAAACCCTATCAGTTCTCTATCCCAACCCAAGAAACTCTAAGGCGTCAACCTCTTCGGCGTTCGCGGGTAATAACTAGCGAGATGCACGCTCGGCAAATTCAAGTACCATGCAACCACACGGTCCAACCCAATACCACCTCCACCATGCGGCGGCACACCCGCGGACCTGAACACGTCGACGTATTCTTTGATACCATTGCTCTTAGGGTCGATGCCCTTCTTACGTAGACGAGCCTCTAGTAGGTCCGGGATATGGATACGCTGGCCACCCGACAGGATCTCCTGGCCACGCATGAAGAAATCGTACGCGTTAGTCACCTTCGGGTTCTCCGGGTCCTCAATCGTGTAGAACGGACGAGCGCCCTCTGGGAACTTATCAAGGACGTAGAAGTCGGTGCCGAACTTCTTGCGCACGAGGGCGCCGAGGGCTTTTTCTTGGGGCGTGCTCATATCCTCGTCGTCTGACACGTTGCGGTATTCCTCGGGTCCTTCTTCGCGGAGCAGTTTTTGGCCTTCGGCGAAGGTGAGGCGGACTTCCTTGCCGGGCTCGGGGAGGAGGAATTCTTCGGACGGGTAGATGGCGCGGATGAGTTCGATTTGGTCTTTGCAGCGCTCTTGTAGGCCGCGGAAGATGTATAACATGACGCCTTCGATCATGTGTAGGACCTCGTGGTAGTGGTCCTCGATTTCCATTTCCAGATCGAGACCGGTGAACTGTGAAATACTGTTAGCTATTTGTATAAATAGATGGGATGATAAAAATTGGTTACCTCAGTCATGTGTCTTGGTGTGTTGCTGTTCTCCGCTCTGAATACGGGTCCAATGCAGTAAACACGCTTTCGGCCGCCGGCAATCTCGAATTGCTTGTAGAATTGGGGCGATTGCGCAAGGAAGGCTTGTTTGTCGAAGTATGGCAGGGAGAAGACGTTTGCGCCACCCTCAGAAGCAGCGCCAATTAAGCAGGGAGGTTCAAATTGGACGAAGTCCTTAGACTCAAGGTATTCGCTAAAAAGTTTTCTTACAGTCATTCGGACATCGGCAATCGCCTGTTGTACGGGTGCTCGCTTGTGCATAGCCGGGTTGTTGAGATGCGTGGACAAGCTTGCTGAGGGCGCGGCAGCTGAATCGGCAATAGATAGGTTCTCAACGCCCTCGGCGGGTGCTGCTGCGGGTGCTTGGGGGTCCTCATCGTCGAAACTGGCGATAGCACGGTTTGCGGCGTTGAGACCTAGAGGGAGAACTTCGGGACCGGGGGAAATTAGGTAGACCTTGGTTGGATGTAATTCGTAGTCGCTAACACGGCAGCTCTTAACGGGCTCGAGAGGCTTCTGGACAGTAGCTTCGACGAGAACGAAGCTCTCTAGTCGCAGAGCACCAACCCATTTAACCATTTGTTTGCTAACTGGCTTTCCCTCGGCGCTGGCAGAAACAACACCCTGTATGGTCCAGTTTCGCTCTTCTCGCAGCTCAACGAACGCCATCTTGGCGCCCTGCATACGGGCATTTTGAATCCACGCTCGTAGCTTCACCGTCTTTCCAACATGCTCGTCGCCTAAGTTTTTGAGTTGTACTTTGTCGGCAGCGACTCTAGTAGTATGGTGAATATCGCCATAGTTGTCTTTGGCAAGATCTTCGTTTCCACCAGATGCAGCCTTTTGAGCAGCAGCGGCAGCTTCTCTTTCAGCAGCTTTTCGTGCCTTCTCGGCTTCTTTCTTAGCCTTGGCTTCGGCCTTCTTTGCGCCCTTCTTGGACTGGGCGGGAGACTCATCATCGGCCGGAGGGACAGCGCCCGAAGCCTGAGCTGGATCGACTGGAGCTTCAGACATGATGTGGTGCGGTTCTTGTAGGGGAATTAGAGTAAATTGAACTCAATTGAAAAGAAAACGAAAGACAATGACTTCGTATTACCCCCTATTTATGTCGTAGGAGCGATGCGCAACGTACGATGAATAGGTGACAAGAATGAGAAAGTTGTGACTCTTCCGGTCAACTTCGAACGTGTGACGCGGGGCAATTTTCAACTTTCCGGCGGCTTGCGGCGTGGAGGGGTTGTATTACCTAATAATTGAATATACCCATATTGGTAATGGATAAACGCATATTCACATATAAGCTAGATCGTCAATGCTTAACTGAATTTTCTTCTTCACTCTCAAATCTCATCAACCAATTTTCATCTCAAACACATACCTCTCAACTTTATACCGCCCTCCAATTGAAATTAAATTTCAATTTAGAAATTCGGAATACTATATCACAGCTACGATAATGTCTGAAGGAAAAGTAGTAAAGAGAAGACCAGCAGCGCCGAAAGCCAAATCCAAGAAACGCCGCCAAGACGATGAGAGCGGATCTCGGAAACGAAGAAAGCCAACTGCTTATGAAGAGGATGAGGAATATCTCGACCTCGACGCCGGTGTGAATAAGAAGATCTCTCTAGTTGACAACTTATTACTTGCCGATCACCTTGCCAAGAAGATTAGGAGATTCGGGACCGATTTAAGCCCCGTTGAGCTCAGCCAACTAGACATATCACGTATATTCTCATCGTTTTATCGGTTTCGAACGTTTAAACTAATTCACAACCCAGCAAGCTATATCACAGATACCACGTCATTTCAAGAGATACGAACTCTAGACAATCTCCCCAATTTTCTAGAAAAATTCATAGACCCGAAAAAGCTTGGTGAGGCGCCAAAGCAGAATGGTTCACCTCACACTCTCATCGTCACTGGTGCCGGCTTAAGAGCCGCGGATCTCGTTAGGTATGGCTTCCGATCCAACCTCCTTCTAGCATAATTACTGACAAGTTATAGATCCATTCGAAAATATCAGACGAAAACCAACGCCATCGCGAAACTGGTATGAGACTCATTCTTTTTAGAGATTTCGGCCCCATCAACTAACACTTGTCCCAGTTCGCCAAGCACATAAAGGTTGAGGAAAGCGTGCAATTCCTTGAGAAGCACCGCACGGGAATTGCTGTAGGCACGCCCGTACGACTGTCCGATCTAGTCGATAAATGTAAATCTCCTTTCCCATTCACCTTCTCATAAGTATTTATTCAATTCTAATAACCAACTAGCCGCCCTAAAATTAGACAAGCTCGAGCGTCTAGTCGTCGATGCCTCTCATATCGATCAGAAGAAGCGCGGCGTCATGGATATGAAAGAGACCATGCTGCCGCTAGCTCGCTGGTTAGCGCGCCACGAGTTCAAGGAGCGATACGCCGATCCCGAGAAAAGCTTACAGTTGCTATTCTATTAAGAAGAGAATATGGAGTTGCGGTCAGGTTATAGATAAAAGGTTAGGCCCTTCCTCGAGAATGTATATATGAAGATGGTCACACATGATACCCAAGAAATCGATAGACTATTCCATAATAAGTCAAGTTATCATCACATCCGCGACGCGCCCCCTTGACATACTCACAAAATAAGGAATAGTTGAATCAATTGTGTTTAGCTAATATTATAGACAATTGCCAGCATGATTACTTTATGCAGGTGATCATTAACACACTAACATTCGTCTTCATTCCATCCATAATAGTGAGTTCCATATCCGCATTATAAAAAAGCCAACAATAATGTTCGCCTAACCCCAATAGCCATTCACCCAATAATCCATTATGACAACTACACATACCCATACCACCAATCCGAAGTACGACGGCTCCATTCGAAGAGCCCTTGAGACGGGGATGATCCATGGCCGGCTAACGGATGTAGTCGATACCACGGCTAGTGAAGTCGTCTCGAGGAATGCAGTAGGGGTTGGGGAGATCGTGGTCGGCGAGTATGACACAGTTACGATAGCTGTAACCATGGTTGTGACGGTTGTAGTTTCTCCGAAGGCGATACTTTCTTGTCGCAATTGCATGCCAGGAAGGTTTGCGACTTCGCGACCGGCGAGGTAGTCATCCTCACGAGATCGCAACAGTTCGTTGTCGACAGTAACTGGGGCCACCATGTAGATCTCAGCGCCGAGGCTCATGCAGAGCGAGATCGCATGGCTAAGAGCTGGGCCATAGTGATTCGAGTCGCATTGCGAATAAAGACACTGAAAGAGGGACTATATGCGAAGCAGTCAGCTAATTACAGTTAGCCAAATGTTTCTCGGAAAAGGCGGCTGACCTTCTGGTAGTCTTTTTGGTTGCAGAGGCATCTTGTGTCGAGGCACTGGGTCACGAACATGCTGTCGACTATACAACGAGAAGCGCAACCTCGAAAAATGTCAGCTCCGGAACTAATTCCCGAAAGGAGACTCGAGGATGAATTTACCTGGTGGTCCGACGGAAGGCTTAGGAATCGTACTATTGTCCATGCCCACGGCGAATCGCAACAGGTTCGCGAACAGAACCCGCGCGAGCAGGATCTTGACAGGCGTCATTTCGTCCTAACACCCCCAAAATAGTCGAATAAAATCGAAAAGAGGGTTAATTATTGATATCACGTATATCCGTCGTGTCTTGTTTTATGGGTTTTCTGCTTTTTCGAAGATTCCATAAATCCTACAAAGCGAGAGGGTTGAAGACAGTAAGGATGATCACCAAAAAGATCAATCCACAAAAATGAATGTTTATATTTTGGCAATCCAAAAAAACGAGGGTGGTATATCGAGAATTTGATGGCGTCTGTTGAGGTGAAAAGGAGACGAAAGGGGTGCAGGATTTTGAAGTCAGTTGAAGCACCTAGTCGTCAGGTCTACTGTCTACTTCTCTAAGAAAGAACGGCCTGTTGACAATAACAAATTAGAACAGGTAGTAACTGTCAAGGATTCAAGTAAAGGAGGAAATTCCACTGTGAAATGTTGAGATATTGGAAAGTACGATGGTATGGTACTATATGAGCCTATCATCAGCATTGCTGGCACCTGTGGCTTTTGAGCCAAGTACAATTATCTCACATCTATATAGTAGATTTATGTAAAATCTTAACAGTGGTATACATAAATTGCTATGGATGTATTATATCATATATCGTGTCATTATCCTGTATTACTCTAGCCCGATAGCAAGCAACATTGATGTGACAGGAGGTTCTAAATAGGCAACCCCTATTTTCTATCTTCGACTCTTGTTATACCGGCCATCTCTTTATAGGAGAAATATGGGATCATAAAAGCTGGGTGAAGTATAAACAGCTGGGAACTCCTGTGCAGAATGAGTATGAGTTTCTTCTTACTAAGCTGCTGAGTTCAGAATTAAGTAAAATATTAGTAAGTTGGAACTGTCGCTGACTTACTAAGAAATTAGTCAACGGACATGATATGCCTTTAAAAGATGATTATCTAAACAATGAATGCATTTAAGAGAAGTTAATAAGCTAATAAAAAGTACCGAAGTACCTATCCGCCGGCCCCATAACGCTAGCAAAACCGGTCGCACTGGGGTCCACTAAAATTTTCTGTCTGCATCGTTCTTGAGATTATCTTCAAATCTTCTTAGCCCATCGCGGTCTATTACTTCCCAATTATACAACATCTGCGAAAAGTACTCTTGCGGATACTTCCTTCCATTCCAAAATTCATTCCCACTTAAACTTTAAAGAAACCCAAAGTCAAAATGTCTTCCAAGAAGCGCAAGTCGGAAGAAGACCCCACTGCCGTCGCCGCGGTTGCTAGCGACAGCACCAGCAAGAAGCGCAGACGCATAAGCGAGGCCGCAGACGAGGACACCCCAAGAGTCGAGAAGAAGGTCAAGAAAGACAAGAAAGAAAAGAAAGATAAGGAAGGCAAAAAGGAAAAGAAGTCCAAGAAGTCCTCCAAGAAGGACAAATCCCACAAGCGCAGTGCTCCCGCCGACGACAATGAGGATGTCGCCGAAGAGACTATTGCGCCCGAAGCCAACGGCTCTTCTGAAGAAGCTCCCGTCGCAGAGACCGCTCCCACCACCGTAGAAGACGAAGCCGAGACCTTAAAGCCATCCAAGAAGAGCAAGAAGGATAAGAAAGAAAAGAAGGAGAAGAAGGATAAAAAGGACAAAAAAGACAAGAAGGAGAAGAAGAAATCCACCGACGAACCCACCACAGCCGAAGAAGCCCCCGTCACCGACGAAGGCGAAGAAGAACCCGCCCAACCCACCGGCAAAAAGTCGCGCTTCATAGTCTTCGTCGGCAACCTTCCCTACAGCGCCACAGTCGCGCAAATAACCGCGCACTTCAGCGCCGTGCACCCGACCTCCGTGCGTCTTCTCCACGACCAAAAAACGAAGAAGTCGCGGGGAATAGCCTTCGTCGAGTTCGGGGGATACGACCACATGAAGACGTGTCTAAAAACAATGCACCACAGCACCTTCACCAGCGCGCCCTCAAAAGACGGCCGCGCGCCGGAGGAGCGAAAGATAAACGTGGAGCTAACAGCCGGTGGTGGCGGCAACACCGAGCACCGGAAGGAGAAGATCCGGGCGAAGAACGAGAAGCTGAACGAGGAGCGGGCGCGACGGATCGAGGCGGAGCTAGAGGCGAAGGCGGAGAAGGAGCGGGAGAAGGCCGCGCGGGACGGGGACGGGGAGAAGAGGCCTGCTGGACGGAGCATCGAGGATGCTATTCACCCGAGTCGTAGGAGACGGGTTCACGGCGCTTGATGGAGTGGAGTTTTCTACTACAGCACCTCGACCACCACCACTACCACCACAATTCTCATTATCCAGTCACCTGCCCATCTACCCCTTTGCGTAAAAGACAACTTTCCCGTTAGAGATATCAGTTTTTATTAATACGACGACATGCTTTGCAAAAACACAACTAAAAATATTAGACCCGTGACACCCAGCCGCAAAACCATAAACAAGAACCAACAAAAAAAGAACAGCGACATCTAGTAGGTGGGACATGCAGTAAAATTTAGATTTCCTCTCGCAAATATGCTATCTACAGAATTGTGAAAAGGCGAGTTTGAATATCCTTTAGTAGTTAAGGGGGGGATCGCGAACTCTCGCCATCGTCTACCTAAGTCCAGTTCCCGGGGGGCGGATACGCGATACACTCCTGCAGAAAAAACGACTAAAACAACCGGTTATACCTGTATCATGTCCAATCCATTAAAGAAAAAGGAGCAATAGACAGGTCTTGTTGGTAATTTCCGTGTCAGAACTCTAAGCACAACGAAAAGACTTTCGCAGGTTTCCGCGTTTGGGGTATGCTCCGAGTTTCCCTTCTGCTGACGATCTCTTGCGATTTCTAGCAACTTGCTTTCTCTTCCTCCCTTCTCCCCCCTTTAATTCTGTCATGGTCGAAATATCCCATGGTGTGCAACAACAAAAACACGGCCACCAAAAATACGTCTGTGGGTATGTAGAGGTTTCAAATGAGGGGACGCGAAATATGGGTAGTCGGCCAACTTCGAAGATGCCTGAATACGTCGGATCCTCATGGAGGATAAGTAATCTTTCCTATATGTCCACCAAAAACGCCTTCATCGTTTCGCAAAACTTTCTGGCTCGCTCGACCAAAAAGTGGAAATTTATCAACAATGCAACATCAACCGACGCCCACTATCCGTTTATAGGATTGTGCACTTGCTCTTCTTGCTGCTTCCTTTCGTCGCGACAGGCCTGGGGTTGAGGACGGCCCTATAACTAAGATCAGCACATCGCGGTCTATTAAGATATGTTATTATCATTATCTTACCTGATAGCTTCGTCGAAAACGCTCTTCAGATTTCGCTGCGTAAGAGCGGAACATTCTAGGTATTTGTGGGCACGAATCTCTTTCGCGCAAACGAGGGCTTGGTCGTATGAGACCGGTTCCATCCTCTTAGACCTCAAGCTTTCTAGAGTGGAGGGGTCCTCTCGCAAATCCAACTTGGTTCCGACCAGGATGATGGGAATGTTCGGCGCATGATGGTCAATTTCAGGATACCACTGGGCGAAATTAGCAGCTATCACAAGATATGGATTGATATGGATTTGGTAGCTAGTAGAGTGTTGTTTGCCGTGCACGTACCTTGGCTTTTACGTTGTCGAACGACGGCGGGCTTACGATAGAAAAGCAGATCAAGAAAACATCGGTCTGGGGGTAGGAGAGAGGTCGCAGCCTATCGTAATCTTCCTGACCAGCAGTATCCCATAGTCCTAAGCTGATGGGCTTGCCATCAACCATGACACTTGCGGAGTAGTTGTCGAACCTGCATGCCAAAGATAAGCTAATGAACTAGGAAGGGATACGAAAGATGGCGAGAAAACTAACACAGTAGGTATGTATTCACCCGGGAAGGCATTCGTCGTATAGGAGATGAGAAGACATGTCTAACGCTAATGTTAGACTTCGGGAAGCATGAGAAACGTGGGAACATGACTCGAGTTCGACTAGATCGAGGTTGGTTAAGAATTGGTATATAAGACGGACCTTTCCGACAGCACCATCACCCGTAACGACGCACTGCAGGAGAATCTCGCATTAGTATAATGTACTTAAAGCTGGTGATTGCGTCGGTGTTCGCTTGATTGTTGTTCGAAGCGACTTAACGACGAATCGGCAAACCGACAAACATGAACTTACCTTCAACGATTGAACACCAGGAGCTGCCATTGTCGGCGATCTTAATATGCTTTATTCGATTTACCAGCAGTGTGATTGGCAATTGGAAACTAAACAAAAGGCGAATTGACTACTGCGATAAATTCAGCGATTGTTGATATGGTATTTTGATGAAGGTATGATTTTGAATATTGTAAGTTCGAAGGAAAGTCTGGTCGGCGATACGATCAGGAGCAAAAGAGGTGTAGAAGGAGCTTGCGTTGCATAAGGGTTAGAAATGTTTTGACACAGGGTCGGAAGGGTGTGGTGCCGCAGATCGCAGGAGGTGGGCGACTGTGCTATGGTGCTATGGTACTATGTGCTATGTGCTGCAATGGGCAATAGCAAATGGAAGCTGGGCTGCTGGCTGCTAGCCACTGGCCGATGGTAGGCTGGAAACTAGAAGGGGAATATGGGAATATCAAGAAATATGGAGCACGGCGCTACGGTCCCAGAGTGCCAGAGTGCCAGGCAGTATCGTAGGGGTATCGTAGGGGTACTGCTGGGTACTTCTGGGTATCGCAGAGGTTGTAGAGGAGTCTAGTGACCTGGAGCTATGCTGTATGCGTCGATTTGTGCTGCAGCACGGTTCGCAGACTGGAACGATAGCTGGTCGACAAGGCCTGATAGGGTAGTTTAGGGTGTTCAGGGTGTCCCGATAGGGATGGGGGAGCTTCTATTTGGCTAGGGTTGTGTGGGGACAACGCTTACAGACAGAACGGCGGTTGATTCGAAGGCTGGAAGGCTGGAAACAGTGGAAAGGCTGGCTTTTTTTGAGGGGGGTTTGAGGGGGCAGTATCCAAATGGGCGGTGGCGCGAGCGTCTTTTGGATGAGAATTTAGAGATGGGATTGATTGGAGGTTCGTTTCTTTCCTTTCTTACCATCAACCCCCAAACTTGAAGGCGGTAAAAAAAAAAAATAAGGATAGGTAGGTAGGTAGGTACCTAATGATGTCGTTGACTGACCTGACTTGACCTGATTGACGGGGCTAAGAATGAGACGAGAATGATACCTACTAGGTACCTTGCCTTCAAGGTTGGCACGTCGGAACTGGCGACATCTTACCGAGGGGACAAAGAAATATATGACAACTTACAAATAAAAACAGATAATCTGATGAAGATGTTACAACCCACAACGCGGCGCGTACCGAAATCTAGACGAGAATAAAAAAAAAACCAGTCAAAGTCGAGATATCATTCGATGTTGGAAACCAATTGGTGTGTGATTCTTGATTTATGATTTGTGATTTAAGAGACGCCGTCGCAATTGAACCCCTATAATTCGGAACTTATTAGCCCACTCGGAAAAAGTGAATGTGGAGGAGGTACCTAAGTATCTCCAAACTAACGTAAGGGGTAAAGTTGGCCTAAGCGTCTTTATTGGTTGCTCTTATCTTCATTTTCATCCATACAAATGACTGTACATACATCCTGGCCATGTTGGTGAGTACGTCTTACCTAATATACTTCGATCACTGGGCAATGTTTAAATATTACGATATTATGAGGCTATTTATCATAACTAGCATTACAATGTTTCTAAGATTTAAACAAATAAGATAAATATCTGAGTAAATAATTTCCTATATAATAGGTACCTACTTAAATAAGTCGGATAGGCATGTATAAGGGTAAAAAACATGTAGGTGGAGATATTATACAGGTAAGCTACACCTCTATAACTGGTTTACCCAATAGCATCTCATGGATGTATGGATATCCGGTTGTTTTATAGGACTATACCGAGATCGATCGTCGAAAGCTATCTGACTGCCGTAGGACTACCCGCTTTGCATGTGCAGTACGCATGCAAGTTAGCTAATAGTAGGAACCGGTAGGAACTAGGTATGTAGGCAAGCAAGATTGCATACATGAAGCACGTAAGCACTGAACAATAACGTTGTTTGTTTAGGCAAGCAAAGAGCTTATTAGAGAAGAACTTTCAATGAGGAGGACTCGATAGGTCGAGGCATCACCTGAAGCGTTACTTGTAACAACCAATCCCTATGGAACATCCGAAGACCTGTCGCTTGTCATAGAGGCCGGGGGTTTAGCCTATAGGACTTTCTTGCATTAAGCTAAAATGAAAATGGACGATTCGTCAGGTTGCCGAGAAGTTTTCGATCTAATAGTAACTATTCAGCAATACAAACTCTAGGGAGCAGTCGTTGCTCTTTCAGGGGCGCCTTAGGAGTTATTCGACGAGCCAATAGCATGTTAGAATGAGCCCTAGGGATATCGCCAAAGAACAGGAATCAAAACAGTTATCCCAAAACCGGTACTTTGTGTTCCAATACTATGGTAAAACTAGTTTGCTTCAATGTTGGTAAGTTAGATATCACATCATTCCACAAGATTGACTGGATTAGCAAGACAAAACTTCGAGCCAATGGGCAAGCCGAATACTTGGTATGTTATACGTACTTTTGGGGTTTTACGTGTTTCTGAGGTGGTAAACGCATGTATGGATCTGATTGCTGCTTCGAGGATTGCAGTTCACAATCGTTGTCACTATGTCGTCGGCTTTAGTAAGATGTTTGAGAAGATTTGAAGAAACAAATATCGTGAGATGTGAGAAACCCTGAAAACCCGAGCAAACTCAAATGAATCGAAGCCGTTTCAGAAAGTTCTGGCTCCAGTCTGGTGGAAGTTGCCCAGAAGTTGCCTACGGAAGTTTCCATGGTTCGGAAACCGGCAAGGGTAATCCAAGACACCACATCCCTGTAGATTATGTAATTGATTCTATTAGGTATGAATGACGTTTGAAATCGCTTTCAACCGGGCGAGCTGCCGAGTTGGTGCCAATCTAAATATTCTTGTCAAACATCAAATCTATCGACATTCTTCTCTTCAAACGATATCCCCATTCTCCCAAACTGCTTTTTCCTCCGTATTGTTTTCTTGGTTCGAGACTCTCTCGTGCTCGCCGACATGCTCCTCTAAAGACCAGGGACGCATAGCAACCCAAGGGATAATCAACGCTATACACCAAACTTCCAGTACGGGAAAGCAGTAAGGTCCGCTGGTGACACCACCCATTCCCTCCCCACATAAGTACTTGCATATGGCAGATTCAACGTATGTGGTCGTCTCCATAACGCAACCCACTGCGCCGATGAAGGCTGTGAGTCCAAAGTATTGCTTAAGGCATATACATACGGAGAAGTGTGCCTCCTCCCCCGAAATCCAGTGTGGCAGCGTTTGTAACACGGCCCCAATGATCGTCAACGGTATAGCAATGATTGCTGCACAACAGAAAAAGAGCCCGACGATTATAAGCAGGTCAAAAGGACGAGTGATCCCGGGCGGTACTGGAGCTTTGAGGTCATGCTTTGGTAGTAGCGGTGTTGTGTCCGACGACTTTTCTGTAGCGGCGGATCGCATAGGCCGACTTAGCGTAGGCTCGTAAGGCCGGGGTGAATACTGCGTCCCGGACATTTTCATGCCGGTCGCTATTGATGTATCCTCTAATTCCTATGGATTATACTGGCAAGTGGGCCTTAAGTCAAAGTCAGACTTGCGAGTAGGCGATTTTGTGGCTCTGGTGTTAGTTGGTAAGTATAAACTGTACATGTGGTGATTTTGTTTTTCTTCGATCGAAAAGAACACATCAAAAACCTATGAGGATATCCACATAGTGTGAGGTTATATACCTACCAAATCAAAGGGTCAACTCAAGTCTACTATCTGTGACGTTCATAGGGGCTCGGATAAACCTGAAAGTTTATTGGAGATCTAGATACCTATATCTTCTGTAAGCTGTAAGATGTATTTGACTAAGTTTCAAGTCTTAAGAATCATAGTAATCCCTAGATAGTTCAAGTTGATATTAGCACGAGCTTACCTTAGGCATACTGACTGATAGGGATCATCAAATCAAACATCGACTTCTATGACTTCCACAATAGCTACATACACCGCTTATACTGTTTGACTGCATCAACTAATGCTTTATGTGCAATTATTATTATATAAGCTAGTGACGCAACCCCACTAATATTTACAGTGGACCCCGCTGTCGAGTTCCACATGTAATTGTCTAATAACTTCAAAGTTGGACGCGTCCCAAATTCTTAACCGCGTTTAGTAACCATTACTCACGTCATTGTAGCCGACAACCGTAACTCTCGAGGCGGCATCAATTCACACCTCAATGCGGGACCGATCTTAATTTAATAATAATAGGAATTGGAAAGATAGGAGAATTGGCACTGCTATGAGCGAGGCAGAGCTCTGCCCTCCTCCCTATATTTCAACCAGGTGTTGAACTAGCCGGTAAACTTGAAGAACAGTAGTCGATACCAGCACCCTCGCCCTCACAATGTCGGACTCATCCAACAACAACACCGGCAACCACACGGGGCGTCTCCCCCCCCTCAGCACGCCGCGCAACCTCACGACCCCCAACCGCCGCGGCACCACCGGCGAGCCCTCCTCGAACCTCCGCCTCTCCGCCTCCGCCCGACGAAACCCAAACACCCCCCACGCGCGCGCCGCAATCCGAGCCATAGACCAGCGGCGCGCCGCGCTCTTCACACCCGGCCGCGTCGGGCGCCGGCGCAGCCTAGCCCGCGAGCGTGAGCGGGAGACGCCGCGGGATCTGCTGCGGAACCTTAGTCGGGTTCTAGCGCCGACCTCGACGGCAGTGTCGTCCTCGTCCTCGTCGCCCGGCCCCAACGCGAATAACAGCTCGACGTTGCAGACGCTGATAGAAGAGGATGACGACGACGAGTTTCCGATCGAACGGCCGCGGTTCTCGCTGCCGTTGGACCATGATGACGAGTATGATAGCGAGTTGAAGCCGCCGCGGTCGAGTATTCTGGATGATGAGAATTATACCGTTCAGTCGATTGAGCTGCCTCGACGGCAATATACGGAGAATCTCATGGGTAGAGATAGAGGTAGTTATGGGAGTGTGAGGATGAGTGATTTTATCGGGCCGGAAATCGATGATGCGGATGATAATGATGTGGGCATTGACTCGGGGTTCTTTCCACCGCCTGCGCTGGATGATACTGGAGAGGTGGCTATGGATGAAGATGCTATATTCGAACGGTATTACTCTATGACCTTACGTTTATAAAGGAGGGGTTACTAATGGTATGTAGTGTGGACGAAGAGACACGACGGCAGACCATGGGAGGTCGAGACGATTTTGGCCCGATTCAGATTCCTGATATTGGAAACGAGAGCACTTTTGTCATGGCCCCGATGGAATCGCCTACTCGAGACCCAACTGTAACCGAAGGGATCGAGACGGCAGATGCTCAATTAGACAATGACGACAATGACGACGACATAGGACAACCGTTCGATCCTTTTGACATGGATGATAGTGACGGTGGAGGTGATATTGGTGGTGGAGGCGATGGTGATGGTGATGGTGGCAACGAAGAATTAAACGAGACCATTATATCCCAAGCCCTAGATCCCTTAGCGCAAAGACGATCTAGTACGAGGAAAAAGAACGGTAAGAAGATATCAAGACACGGCATCGAGTATCCTTCCTTACCTCAAGGTGTGGTAAAACGACTGGCGACAACACTTGCGAAGACAGCCGGAGTTAGCAAAGCGAAGATTAGTCCGGATACACTGGATGCGATTATGCAGGCTACGGACTGGTTCTTCGAGCAACTAGGGGACGACTTGGCAGCTTTCGCGGGACACGCAGGTCGAAAGACGATCGACGAGAGTGATATGGTGATGCTCATGCGAAGGTATGTTATTATACATTTTGAAATATTTACCTAATCCTTGATATACATGTTAACTAATCATAAATATCGCAGACAACGACAGACTAATGCGTCGACAACAACATTCGCCCTAGCGCAACGACATCTGCCGAGAGAACTCCTACAAGAGATGCGTATGACGGTCCCGCCTCCCACCAAAGCCCCCCGAAAGAAAAAGTCACGACACACAGAAGTGGATGAAGAGGAGGAAGTAACGTGAAATCGGGCTGAATTCCGGATTCTTTAAATATTGCAATGAATACTTAAAGCAAGGAACCTATGACCATTCCTTATTCATCCGCACCCTACGCGAGATATCCGTGGGTGGCTTCTTAACTACCATGTAGAACATTATCGACGTTGCGACGGCGAGTCCATACCTAAGGTATGATTGTTAGTACGGTAGCCGAGGATAGGAATAAGGACGTGGATATGTGTGAAGGGTTAAGGCATACCATGTGAAAATGTACTGGGCGTGGTTATTCCTCAAGTTGACTTCGGCGGGTCTTCCAATGGGGATGCCCTTATTTTGCATGTCTATAGCCTGAAGCAAACTCGGCTCTGCAGAGTAAACGCAACGTTAGCCCAAGAAACACATCATACCAACCCCAAGCATCATGCCCGTGATCTAACTCTCCAGTGTAACATACCCATCGTCTGCTCAATCCACACGGCCTGGCTCCCCGTCAACGCAGCCATCTGCTTCACATCCGGGAAGTAGAACTCATTCTTATCCGGCCGATTATCCGGGGTAAACATATTCTTCTTCCACGGCTCGCGCAGCAACCCTTCGACCTCGACCTCCGCCGTCGGCAGCGACTCCGGCCGATCCCGCTGTAACCGGTGCTTCTTGCTGATCCAGCCCCGATTCACCAACACCGTTGACCCCTCGCCCTCCCGCTCCAACGGCGTCACGACCATAAACCCCTGCTCCCCGTCCCGCATCCGCGGCCCGACTAACATCTCCCGCTCGTGCGCGTACCGTCCCCGCGCCCGCACCCGCCGGAAATCGAAATCGTGGATCGCGTCTGGGTCGACGCGGGGAGGGAGCGGGAGCGGCGGGCGCACGATGCGGTCTTCGAATTTCGCGATGAGTTCGGTTTTCCACCCTAGCCGCTGCACTTGCCACGTCCCGAGCAGAAACGCTGTCACGGGGATGATGGCGAGGATTATGAGCCCGGGACCGTGACGCCGGCCTGCGCGCACTAGTTCGGGTGGGTTGTCGAGGATCGAGGTGAAGGCTGGGTCTTCGGCTGGGGGGCGGGCGGAGTGTTTTGTGCTGTGGGTGAAGGGGCGGCGGAGAGAGGGGGAGGGTTGAATGGTGGTGCGGCTACATCGTGAGGGTTTCGCACGGGAGGTGTAGTTGTGGGAGGTGCGGGCTTGGGCTTCGAGGGCGCGTTCGACTCGTCGGGCGAGCGATTGGGGGGTTGTTGGCCACCTGTATGGCGGCATTGTGTTGGAGGTGCCAGGTGCTTTTATCAGAGTAGCAGGGGCAATTGTTCAGAGCTACACATACAATGCTTCTTGTTGGAAAGGACCACAATGACGTTCATTTCTTCAGAGTTAATGCAGCTATCCTATTGGTGAGGCTTTGCAGCTACTGGGGAGTGGGGCGGATCGGGCAGGGGGACCCGCTGGTCTTAGCGTTTGCTTAGGTACGGAAGTACCTGCAGGATGATGTCCAGTTGAGTTTAGACGGCCTGCTGCAGCTTACATCGTGGCAGTTAAGTTAAGTTAACACAGGCGAACGGATCGTGAAGCTCTTGCCTCGTTACTTCATCAATAATATCACCTACTAGTTTTCATCTTTTTAAAACAGAACCGAAATCTCAAGCGTATTATTTACTTTTGCTGATGTTTATGCCCGACTGGCTAAGTTCGATTTCTGAGAAATAATGAACTGAGCATCTAAATTCATATTCACTGTCTACCAGCCTCAGTTCTCATTCGTTAACATCCACCTATCTTTCTTTCTTCTGTGTTTTGGGCTGCAACGATGGCGCACAAAGTCTTCTATGAAGGCAGCTTGGAGGATGCCATCTCACTTGCCATCCAAGAGTCGAAGATGGTGCTTGCCTTCGTAGATGGTAAGCAACACACTGAAGTTACATGCGTTTCTAATGTCCAGCTAACACAAAATTAGATAGTAGTGAAGAAAGTAAGCTATGGGAGACTGAGTTATGCACAAACGAATCTGTAAGCAATATCTACATACTTACATAAAGATAATAAATTTAAGAAGTTAGAAAAGCTGACTTTTACTAGCTGCAATCACCACTTGAGCATTACGCTGTGTCCTTACGACTACTCGCAAATTCTAGAGAGGCTGGTTTTCTGGAGGCTCTATTTCCCATCCCGAAGAAACCTACAGTCGTCATTATCCAGTGAGTATTCTATTATATATCTATGGTTTCTATATAGAGAATTATCACTTACGTATATGGTAGGAATGGAACACTTAAGGAGTACATTAAAGCAGGGACGACGAAGGAGGACCTAGTCCGCAGAATCGCAACTATTCTTAACACTGCCAGAACTGGTCAAAGTCAACAGCCAACTACATCTCAAAGAACACCAGCCACAGCTCCGTCAGGGCATGAGACAGATGACTTGTATGACGATGATGACGATGATCACTCTCAGCAGACACAGAGACCTCAAGCAGAAAGCCCACCAGCCAAGAAATCTAAAGACCGAGGGAAAAAGAGTCAACAGGATGCTGCCGAGAGTAACAACAATGCTAATTCCGCAGGGCGAACCTACGCGCAGGAGGTTCGGCAACGGAAGGTGCTCGATGCCGAAGAGAGAAGACGAATCCTGAGGCGCATCGAAGACGATAAGCAGGAGCGCAAGGAACGCGAGGCCCGAGAGAAGAAAGCACGTCAGCTACTTAACGGGTCACAAGATGGTGAGAGTTCCGCCAGTCAGACCCAGCCTATACCCCTACCTATGAGACAACCTGGCGGTTCACGAGGAGAGTACGCCAATATCCAGGTGCGACTTTTCGACGGCTCGATGATTCGCTCTCGCTTCAAGAGTGATGCCACGCTGAATAGCGAGGTCCGTAAGTGGATCGACGAGGATCGCACAGATGGTTACGCACCATATACCTTCCGCGTCGTCCTATCGCCTCTCCCCAACAAGGCCATCGAGCCCGCCGAGGAGATCCAATCTCTCTTAACCCTCGGCCTCGCCCCATCCGCAACACTCGTCCTAGTCCCCGCTAAATTCGCGTTGGCATATCCTCGCACAGGAGGATTCTTCTGGCAGAGCTTAGGTGTTTTCTTTAGCATCTTCGGTGCTGGATACGGTCTGCTGAGCGGAGTGTTCGGCGGGATCACGGGGATGATATTTGGTCGTAGACATGCCCAGCCACCTGGAGACGATAGAATCCCGCTCCGGGATTACCAGGGGTTGGGTGCAATGAGGACTTCTTCGCGGATCAGTGGGTTTCAGAATCCAGGGGATGCGCGACGAGATACACAGCTGTATAATGGCAACTCGGTAAGCTTATCCATACAAGTTCATTCGTAACTTTTGAAAACTGACGCTACATACCTAGTTGAACTTTGAGCCACGAAGAGATGATGACGAGAATAACTAGGTACCTAGTTAGGTGCTTTAGTCGGAGGCTGAGACTTCATGGAAAGCTAGTGTGTTATGTGTGTTATTAGTGGTGATATCGGCGCACACTCGGTTGTGTATGTGTGCGTATATCAAGTTTACCTATTAGGGACTTGGGCATGATCAGATAGGAAAAATGATATGACTGTTTACGTATGAATCTGCCTGCCTTTATGAAGTGACTTATCTCGTTTCGCCGTCTATTCCATCATATATTTACTATCCTCGATTATGATAACTATAAATAAATTGTGTTTAGGTAAATTGGTATCCGAGTAGGTTACGATCAATATCTTCGCTTCAAAGATATGCGGATTAAACGACCAACCATTGCGGAATATTCCAGTCAAGAGTAATCCTGCACCCCGGCATCTCGAAATCCTCACAATCAATATTTCATAAACTAGGTATCAAGCGAGAATATTGATGGCACGAAGAGCAAGATTAATGGATATATGTTACTGAAGAACCCAGAGTGAGGTATTTACTAGAGCGGCCCGTCGAACATAACTGTACAATGCAAGACGTCCTAATGCTGATTTTGTTTGTGCCATGGGATGTAAGAACATGCCGTAGACTACACGCCAGCTAGAAGCGTATCTTTTTATTTTTTCCCTTCGTCCTAAGCCTAATAAACCCATTCAGCCCATTCATTCACCCATCCATTTCATCCTCATCCTGTTCTACCCTTTCTTCACTCATCTCCTATTCTCTTCATCTCATCTCAGGATAGTTCGGCACTTAGTACTGGCTAGCGGCAGCCTGGCAAGCCTTCAGCTGGTCGAGGTACCATCCGCAGATCTGCATGTTGCCGCCCTGCTCGTCCATGCACTTGGTGAAGGACTGGGTCGCGCCCTGGCAGTTGTTGCCCCACTGGCCCTGCTGCTGCTGGGCTTGCGCCTGGGGAGACGCCTCGGCGGGCGCGGAGTCGCTGCCGCCGCTGAAGAGACCGCCGATGGCGTGGCCGATTGTCGAGCCTACTGCGACACCGCTGTTGCGAGTGTGTTAGTCTTAGAAATCTCTCACACTCTCTAGATAGGTAGACATGGAACAAAAATGCGACATGAGGGAATAGAAAGGAAAAGCAAAGACGTACGCAGCGGTGCTGGCCATCTGGCCGAAGAGACCGGGGCCCTGGGAGGCCTGGGGAGCGCTGGCCGTGGGTGCGGGAGCATGCTGTTGTTGCGCGGGGGCGTACGTCGCCGCGGGTCGGGTCTGTTGGGGTGCGGGCGCTCTCGCAGGAACGGTAGGGCGAGAGGGAGCAGATCTAGCGGCGGAGCGAGAGCGGGCCATTTTGATTTAGATGTTTCGTGGATTTAGACGGGAGATACGTTTAGCTGTGGGAGATTGAAAAAAAAAAACTGTCGGAAAAAAAGTTGACAGGTTTGGCTCGGCTTATTGTAGGGGCTAGAAAGTTGAAAGTAGAAGGCGACGGAAAGGTTGAGACCGGGACTTCGGATTTAAAGAAATTGCTGCAAGTTCGAGAGCGGCAGCTAGCACTGTACCTAGCTGTGGCGGTGGCCAATGGGATAGCGTCAATCGGTCATCCGTCACCTGCAGTCGGCATAGGGTTCCTTCCCCAGATCCGACGAATTGACCTATCATTGTATCCGTATGTTATGTAATCATGCATATACTGGGTATGCATACAACGATTTAGAATTAACATACGGGGATCCATTCAAATGTTGAAGCTTACCTGTGAGCTCTCACCTTAGCTCAGAACATACGATGATGAGAGAAATATTCACGAAATGAACACCATTTCGTGAATTATATGGAATGATAGTAAGGGCTACACCTTCCAAAGAACTTCAAAATTCGAGCGGTTAGCGGCTTTCAGAGTCAACATGAAAACCCTCACCCCTCGTCTAAGCTCCCTATCGAGCAAGTATAAGCTCATTCAACAGGCCTATCACGTGCGACAGCCACCCCTGGTAGCAGCAGCAGCACTTTCATCACACATAACCAGTGGAAGTAGCAGCAATGGAACCAGAAGACCATTCTCAGTCCTCAACCGGCCACCGCCAAACTACCCAGGCCACGTGCCCCTAACCCGACTCGAGCGCGCCGCCCTCGCCGTCGGGTCAGGCGTAGTATCCTTCTTCGACCCCTACCGGCACGACATGATCGCCGCGCTAGGCGAAGCCACCGCCTCACCGTACTTCATCCAGCGGCTGCACCGAGCCATGCTCTCCTCCGCCACAGGGCGTCGTATCCTGCGGGACCGACCACGGATAACCTCCGCGTCACTGAACCTCCCGCGTCTGCGCGCGCTGCCGGCAAACACGGTAGGCGGGACGTACGTGTCGTGGCTAGACCGGGAGGGCGTGTCGCCAGACACGCGGGACGCAGTGCGGTATATTGACGACGCGGAGTGCGCGTACGTGATGCAGCGGTACCGGGAGTCGCACGACTTCTACCACGCGCTGACGGGGCTGCCGATCGTGCGGGAGGGCGAAGTCGCGCTCAAGGCTTTCGAGTTCGCGAATACGATGTTGCCGATGACGGGGCTGTCGTTACTTGCCATCGCGACGCTGAAGCCGGTTGAGCGGGAGCGGTTTTGGAGTATCTACGGCCCGTGGGCGGTGCGGAATGGGTTGAGGTGCGAGGAGGTGATTAATGTGTATTGGGAGGAGGAGATGGAGACGGATGTGGATGCGTTGAGGGCTAGGTTGGGCATTGAGAGACCACCGGATTTGAGGGATATTAGGAAGAGGGAGAGGGCGGAGAAGAAGAGGTTGAGGGAGGCGGCTGGTGCGCAGGTTTTGGGTGGTTAGGGGGTTAAAAATCTGGGTTGAGTCTTATGTGGACTATATGGATATGGATACGGATTTGATATGAGGAATGAAGAAAAATAATTGTGTCATTAGGAGTTGTACACTATTGTACTATGATCGTATAGAAGAAGTACTCCTGTTTTCCTACAAACGCCAATGCCATGCCCAATCGTGCTACGCTCATTCACCGTGATATCATCACTTCTCTGCCTTTGCACCTCTGCCCTACAAGTCCAACAGGTCATCATCGTCTTCGTCATCCCAGGCCTTGCGCCTTGCAACCACGATCTTCTCTTCCTCCTTCGTATCCGCGACGGCGTTTAGGAGCTCTTTAAGTTGGGCCTCGGTCACTTTTTGTCGTAGTTGGCCCGTTCGCGCAAGCATGATGAGCCGGTTCTCTACGTCATTCGCGCGCTCCTCTTTCACGAGTCGGATGCGACCTAGACGATCGGCAGCTTCCGGATGTAGGATCTGGTTTAGGATGGACTGGCGCGCTTCGGCTTCTTGTCTATTCGATAGATATATTTGGTTAGAATAAACTCTTCTTCTCGTAACTAACATATAACCTCCTAGGTAGGTAAAGATATACTCACTGTTTCTGTTGTTCTGCCTGATTCGCTCCCTGGCCGGCCCCTGGTTTACTTGCCCCGCCACCTTGCGCCTTCAGTTGCTCTAGTCGCGCTTTGCGAATCTAGACGTTGCCTATCAGTTCTTGATTCGAAGGAAGTTTTGTAAGTAGGAAACACACCTGCTCTAACTCAGCGTCTGCCATCTTGTTGTTGTATTATAACTTTTAGGTGTATGTAATTATGGATAGGTTAGGCAAAGAGATGAGTATAAGTTAGTGGGGTATTCTAGAAAACGGTGGTGGGGTGATTTAGCTGCGAGGCTTTATCGATATCGTTGTAGTTCTATGGCTTTAATGTATAACTCGGTATTACTAAATATAGAAAATCGTTATAATAAGAATATCCGACTAAACATATTGACTCTTCTTGTTCAGATCAATATTTTCGAATGTCATTAGATATCGTATCAAGCATTTCGTAAAACCTCATTGAACTGAATGGAGTAAGTCATGTTTTCATTGACGTTTCTAACGATGTCTAATTCGGTATACATTTCTTCTGTGTTTATATGTACAATGTATATATACAGTACCGATGAAATTCAGAAATCGATCTCGTTGTCCAAGATCGGATCATCTCTGGGTTGGCCACCCCCAACCTTATCATAATCTTGGAAGTAGGGCTGTAAGCCTAATGGAATATCCATTTGCAGCTCTTTGTATCTGCCTGCTTGCCGTCCTTTTACCAAAGCTATTACTTGGCTGTTCAAGGCATGCCTCATTCCAAGCTCCTGGGCCCGCCGAACGAAGTATCCGTTGGTTACGTCTACGGGAGGCATCTTTGCTTTGCGGATCATCGATATCCACTGGCTGTATTGGGGCTTTTGTAATTCTAACTTCCTTTTAAGCTTTTTAGGAAATGATTCTCGAGTAAAGAATCCAAGTAGGTCGGGATATTTTTGAAACTCGGGAAGTGACTCGATGATGAGCAGAGTCTCTTCCAACAATCTATCCCAAAACTCCATGATGTGGCTACTATCCCTTATTTGACCGAATCTGCAGCCTAGAATGACGGACAATGAATCGGCAAGGGACATGAAAACCATCCCCGGTAATTTTTGTCGTAGAAAGACCTCCCAGCATAGAGGAATCGCAGCTAGGTCGCCGGATTTGGAGAGAAGTTTCATCATATGGTTGGTATGTTGACGTCCAAGCCCTTCGGAAGTTCTTCTATCCAGGTCTACATCTTCATCATCTCTAGCGACGGCGTGAAGAAGAAGCTTCCCAGGTATATGTTTTATGGAATATTGATATGAAGACACCCTCGAAAATCTATGGTCGCTGTGACAGAGGACGTAATTTGGCCTCGAAGCTGGGTCCGTGAAGAGCGTTTCATTCAACTGCTCCATTAGCCCCAATCCCGGTGTGACTAAGCAGACTGTCGTTCGGCGATCGATAGAATGACTAAGGGCAGCCAGACTGGGGATAACTGCTCCAGTAACGGTACTAACTATGATATTGTGTAAAATAGGCGGTCGTTCCCACCTCTGAGCGAACTGGCGGCCGATATATTCTGGACATGGGACGGCTCGGGTCGTCAAGGGGACTCCTTTAATATTATATACCGTAACGGCCTTACCCTCTTCTCTCCATGTTTTCATAGATTGTATGTTATGAGTGAGCAGTTGAACGGGAGGTAATCTATCGACGCTGGAAAGAGCTTGTGCGGCAAATCGAGCATTTGCGTCAAACCCAACGATATGAATCTTGTTGTAGAGTCTGACTTTTGGTATTGGCTTTAGTGTTTCTGCTTCGGCTTCGACATCCAGCTCCACGTCCGCTTTTGCCACTGCTTCTGCTGTTGCCTCTAACTGAGAAGCAGACATAGGGATCTTTACAGAGGTCCCAACACGCCGAAAAGAAACTTCGGTATTTGGCGGGGGTGGTGGTGGCTTATAGAAGAAGTTGTCGAGTAGTTTAGTATTTGGGTCTCTCGGGTTTTGACCTGGCAATGTTGGGGGGTAATAAATAGGAGGGTCGAGGTGGAAACCATCACCCCGCGGCGGTACACCTAGTCCTGCGGTAGCAATAGCGGATAGATGTTTGGTGGCCCCCCGGCCCACAAAGAGGTTATCGTGAGTCCATGTCGAAGGTCTGGAGGGTATTCGCGCAGGAGCCCGCGAAAGCGGCCGGCGAAAAATATGAGAATACAGGGTGGAGATTTGTCGTGATGAGACCTTTAATTTGATATCATTTGACCGGCCGACGTTGGAGTCGCGAGACTATAAGACGACGGGCCGAACGTCAGAAATACTGTGGCAGACTTTCTACCATTTGAGGGAAATAGAAGAATTAAGACTAGAAGTAATTGAGCTAGTTAGAATATAAAACATAATCCGCAATTCGATGTGGCAATATCCAATACCTTGCAGAAAGTAATCCAGACCGTTAAGGTCATAGACTCAGTAGGTTGTTTTGTATACGAAAAGTCAATAGACTTCCGACTGACTGATTTCATCATCTCGATTTTAATTTTTTTCAACTTGAATCGGGTCAAGGATTAGCGCTAGACCGATCAGAATTGGGAGAGCCGTAATTGGTTGAACCAGTATCCATAGCTGCCACAGCATGACCCATAGTTATGGTAAGCGCTAAAATCTTTATCCGAACTCTAATTTTGCCCTGAATTACCGCCAAATTTCTTGAATTACAGCTGCGACCGACCGCGATTTGCGATTTGCGATTTCCTACATACAAAGTCCAATTGATTTTGGTTCTGTTTTTTTTAGGTGGGCGCCCAACCGTCAATTTTCAACCTTTCAACTACCGACTCGCGACCCATCGAGATACACACTATCTCGGAATCTTGTCTTCAGCAAACTTGCATACCGTGCATCATGGATCCTCCGAATATCTCACCCCAATTGGATCGACTAGATGATGAAATAGATAACCTCGAGGAAGCCCTACAGCCCTTCCTTAGTAATATCTCGGATGTGGCTAATAAGCTACCCCTATTGGACAAGGCGAAGTTGTTTGTGCTTGTGACATATTCTATTGAATCTATGTTGTTCTGTAAGTATTATTCATCATGCGCCTTGTCCTTCTAGACTTGCCTGGATCATTTCAAATCTAACTGTTCGTCAAGCCTCTCTTCGTCTCAACGGTGTAGATGCGAAGGAACATGCTGTCTTTAAGGAACTTACTCGCGTGCGACAGTATTTCGACAAGATCAAGAATGCTGAAAACCCCCCACAAAAACCCGAGAGGCCTGATCAGACCCTGAATAAGGAAGCCGCTATTCGATTCATCAAAGCTGATTTGTCGGAGAACAAGGACAAGCTTGTAAATACCAAGCTATCCGAGATGATTGCTAAGGAGCGCGCCAAAGCTGCCCTTAAAGCCGCTCAGCTCGGTAGCAAACGCAAAGCCGAAGAGCCTGCCTCAGCCGATCAAGCAAGTGCCGCATCTAATGCCGAGGGAGCCGACTTAGAGGCCTCGCAGAAGAAGAAGAGAAAGGAAAAGAAAGATGGCAAGAAACACAAGGATAAGAAGGGGAAAAGACGTCAACAAGAGACTTAAAAAACGCGACCCCTGCCATTAGATATTCCAAGTCAGAACTCCCCCGGGATAGTGATAAGTCCCTTCTACTTTGATTGTAGGAATTTAACTGAGTAAGTGCGTCGCTGCTGTTACCATGGGACCTTCGAGATTAATAGGAATCTAACACGGTGTTCCAGCTGTGCTAGTACCAGTACAAAGGCCATATCATACCCTCAGTATGTGAGCTTTATATGTTTGGAGACCATTAGGTCTCCTGCGAGCATCGGAGCCTAGATTATGGCATTAATAGCGCTAAGAAGCCACGCCAGTTATCACCAGTTATGCCGAAGCCACATCCATGGATACGCCTAGTATCGGCTTCGCTGCTCCTTAACTTTAGATAGTAGTGGGCCAACAAATATACCCACAAACATATCACATACAAATAATAACGAAACATTTCACCTATTTCTCTTACAAGAGTTCAGATCACAAGCCTCTGAATGATTTTCCCAGCGCTGTCGGCGCATGTAGCTTGGCTATTGCGATCCACGGTGGTATGGTTCGAGTATGAATGAAGTGATCTAGAGATTTATCTTAGTCCTCGGGACCAGACGAACTCCGAGGCGGACTTTAGGAATTAGCGTCGTATTTGTTAAGGAGAGGAGAGTAGATTCAATTTGCCTTTCCGAGTGACTTACAATCTTAGAGATAGACATACAGAGGTAATTCTACTAACATTTTGATGGCATTATCCTTGAATTAAATATTATCGCCTTCTCATACTTGCTATTTTCTATCTATTTGCAATTTCATATGATCTTAATCTTTAATGTGTTCGATAATGGAATCTGGATATCTAAGTGACGTAAGAATAGGGGCTAAACAGGTAGCTTTGACGGGAAACTTGTAGAGCTCACTACTAGGCACTTACAAGACACTGGGTATATAAATGAACATAGTAGTAGAAATCTTCACGTACGACCATAGGAGCTAGAGAACTCGGGATCCCGTCCGCTCTCCCATAGATAAGCTGGCTACCGCTGGACTAGTAGTTGGGTCGGTGACGACCAGCGAATCCCCAGTGTTGTACGTTTATTTTTGTTTATTTTTCATTTTTGCTACATTTTACTTAGGTTAATAGTTCTAGGGTCAGTTGCTTTCTTTTTTTCTTTCACTTAATAAATCAGAGTTGTCTTGGTGGAAAATGGGTCTATTGACATGGGACTACGGTATGAGCCTCAAATGAGCAAACCACGGTAACTCGGAGTGACACCACCCTTCGCGAAACCCCAATGAGCGTAAAATATGGCTCTCGCGGGTATGGATTATTCATGTTACGTTTCAGACCTATCTGATGACGAAGCTGTACTGGCTTACAGGTCCCCTATCTCGTTTCTCACAAAGTCCTCATCGGGGATTTTAACGTAGCGCTGTAGAACGGAGTATTTGAGGTAGTGTCTAAGTTGAGACATCCCTCGTAGGTAAGTTTAATAATTAAGTCAGCTGGATTAGGTAGCTTTCTTAATGGACGATGATACTTGATGCTGCTCCTATACCTTTGGTATTGTCCGATGGGTAGGTACATACGTCAATAAAGCTTGGCCAGTTAATATCCGATCTCATGAACCGCATGAACGTAGCCCTCATTTCTTCGCCACTAACGACACACAAGGCAGTTGAAGTTATGTCCGGCCAATCATTGTTTCAGACACTTGAAACCTTTAAGCCAAGATGCTACGGTAATCTGGGGGTTGTATAGTAGTTTACCATTTGGTAGATAGGAGAGTAGCATCGTGTTGAGACGAGTCACAACGTAGGGCAGGACGCATGTCACAGCCATGTAATATACGGTTGTTTTCCACAGTTATCTTGTTTCCTGTCTTTTTATTAGGTAACAGATAGCAACTCCTTGCTCGTCAAGTCGTGTGATGGGAAATATTTTATAATATAGGATGGTAAGCAATATCGGTCAATCAGTGTGAACTAGTTGAATCTTTCAATTGAAGTGAAGATGAAGACATTGGAAGGAACTCTAACCCCCGATAGACATTCAAGATTATGGATATGTGAGTATTTATCGGGACAGAAATAATATTCGTATCATGAAGGTTTAAGTTTTACCGAACCTTTACCGGAGCCCCCTACGTAATTGACTTTTGTCCGTCCATCGATTTCCAAGTTTCTTCTGTCACTTTTCTTTAACACTACCAGATCTCTATCAGCCTCATCCATCTTCAATCACATTAACGATCACATTAAGGATATGCAGCAGGATTAACCATACGTAAGTAGTTAGTTGATCGACCGGGAACACCGAGAATCCAATCACAACCCGCGACCACGCACACCGAGCGACTAGGGACGATGATCACCGAATATATCTTTTCTTCCGAATGTTAGATTGATTTCTACAGGTTTCCTATTATTATAACCAAATATTTCATATAGGCAACAATTGCCTGAGGCTTCGGCGACTGCAATCCAATCCTTACGGGGTTTGATATGCTTCCTTTTCTCCTATCAGGTAGCATCTCCATTAATACCTAGCTATATACCACTACCTGTCTACCGTCAACTCGCTAGGCATCCGATCTTTCGGGCCTGACAAGGTCGTATCTCGGTATGCGGGTTACATTGTCCGGACAAGCATCGCCTACTGCTTCCCGTTCAAGCCTTGTCCGCTATGCAGAACGGCATCGAATCAGGTCGAGTCTTGTACCTGAACAGCATAATTTCACATTCCGTCCCGACATAGAGACGCCCGTGGTACCTAGCCTTTGCATTACGCGTTCTTATGCCTATACTGCTAGAACATCACTCAACAAAGGCAGAAGAGGAGACCAGTGTTCCTCCCATCTCCTGCATACCTGCAGTCTTATGTTTCGAAATCCAGCCAGGAAGAAGTCCCTAGGAGGCACGTGGACTGCATGGCGAATGGATTCTAGCTTATTTCTATTCCCTTATCTTGGCCTGCGGCCCGATTGTTACCTAAACCTGACCGACTTTCGATGCCTTCTACCCGGGTCATCCGTTTGTGAGACCTGACAGAATCACATTTGCCCGCCTCCCGCATCGGAGGTGGCATGCAACCTCTGTGTATGATGTCAACTGCGTCTGCCGAAACAATGCAATGCTGCGTCTGAAAGAGTGGGCTAAAACAGCTCAGTACAGTACAGCACAGCTTTATAACCAGATTGTACTTCTATTATCAGTGTCATCTATCAAAGTTCTCAGCCGGTGGTAAGCGTGGTGTTGACGTATGTAAAGGGTTACAACTGGTGAGCTGCGAGCAAGATATCTACGTATATGGGCCGAGATGGCCCTGCTTTGCCACTGATCATGCCTGAAGATCTTAGCTCTATTTGGGTCGAGCCTCAGGTACTTATGCGCTGTAAGGGGAGAGCTTCTCCTGTTTATTCCTTTCCCTATAATTCTATTTGGTAATCTTGGGAAATCTCTATACAATCTGGGCAGGTAAGCAGGCAGGCTAGCTATTCGAATCCTGGGATACATGATTCGCGAATCGGAGGAAATCGACTTGTTTTCAGGACCGCAAAAAAGTTTCTCATCTAACCCTAGCACTGGTCTTACTATGTCCTTTCAAAATGCATCATGGTAAGTGTGCATTGGACATTCTTTATCAGTCATGCGTCCGGAAAATACGCCGTTAGATACTCGAGGTAACAAACCCCCACTCTCGCTAATCAGAATGGACTGATCTCCATATAAACAGTCTAGATTCCAAGGGGGTATCGTCCAATATGATTCTTACAGGAGCCATTAAGCTTTGCTTTAGAATCGTTACTATTATCAGCTCCTACTATACGGGAAGACCATGGGTCAGGGAACTCCCTATTTAGGACAAACACCTAGGAGCTACCCGCAACACCTGCAGGGTTTCGAATGTGGCCAGCCGAATGTAAAGTCTGGGGTAGGCACCCAAGTCCCGGGATGGCAGCATGTCGTCCACGTTACTGAAAACAACACGCGGTCTGAATCAGGCTGAATCAGAATCGATATTTCCAATTCGATGTGGTTTGGCGTATTTGTTACACCGCAGCGATGACTGTGACGACTTCATTACAGAATTTCAGCTGCGATCAACACTATATTAGTCGGGGGCATATTCAGAAGTCCAGTTGGCTACATTTTGCCGCTGCTTCTTGCACCTTGGCAGGCTTATGTTAGCGTAAAAGTGTTGGCTTCGCGCCATAGGCTGTGTGCTCACTCTGTCGCCGTCGTGTCTCATAATGTGTAGCTCTGACATGCAGCAAGAGGTTGCTTACCTCGTTTTTTAATCTCCAGGTACGTCTTCTTCCCCGTATATGCGCCACGGAGAGCATGAGACTGGCTATTCTAAGCACTCTAATCGAAAAGAGCAAGTCTAGAGTGCCGAATTTGAGCCATTTCTTAGCAGCTAAAGCAACATAGCTCATCAAACTTCCGCATGACCCCTTTTCATATAGAGTCGTACATATAGACCAACCGTTTATATTCGAGAACTAGGCTAAGTGTAGTGCAAGTGTGGCACCAATCACTTCAGAGATACGCGGAGCCAGAGTCAGCCTCTTATGAGGCTTTGGGGCCACATCCGAACTTAGCCATCCACAGGCAAGCCGACGGGTTTTACACATCCTTATTTGTCGGAAGTATACCGAAATTCACAGTCTAGGATATACACTTGAGGATCGCATATACCGACCAATACACACACGAACTACTGTAGCCTCTACCGTAGTCTCTACTGTACTTAGTAAGCTTAGAGGAAACTCCGAGGACTACTTACGTCTCAACGGCTAATTACTACGGTGGACGCAATGCATTTCACGGCCGTTACACGAATATCTAGAAACAGGAAGTGTATTCGACTATTGAATGGCTAACCAGCAGACGCTATACTTCCGTACCTACCTAGATCGTTCTATGGCCATGGACCTTGTTGCGTCTACCTTAACTCCTTTACACGAGTTTACCTAATAGACAGTAGGTAACAAGAAATGTAATTAAATCCGATAGGTACCTAGTTCTAACTTTACCATCTGCAGACATATATATGGATATCAGTTATATCTTGCATATGTAGGTACCTAATACCCTCGAAACTCGAAACAGCCCCTAATGTGTCTACCCGAAGCATTCGTGGTGTGTAAGGGCTAGGACTTACAAGGGGTTCATGGCGTTGTACCCACTTTCACCTCACGATTGATAATTGCATCACTAAATTATTATTTTTTCAACCCCTCATTTGCTTCACTTGCCCCTCCTTACATCTTACATGTATCTACTACTAGGTACCTACCTACCTAGTAGTATTCATCCATTTTCTTGATTTGTAAATCTACACGGAGAATTTCTTCCTTTTTTAAGTCAATTTTCCAGTAACAATGGCGCCGAATATCACGCAAGTATTTTCAAGGGACCCGACCTATCATGATTAATATATTATCATATATCTTGAGCTACCTTGCCTCATACTACAGATTACTTTCCTACTCTCGGATTCTCTTACCGGCGGCCTCCCTAACTCGCAATTCCATCAGACGTACTAGAACTACTGGTCGCGTGCTGTGTTGGCCATATGAAAATCAAAGTTCCAACTGTAATACAGTATTTTCGAGATAGTTCGCACCGTCTCCCACGATACCCAACTTGGAATGCTCGAGCCAAACGTGGTAAGAAAATCCTTTCTTCATCAACTAGAGACGACGAATTATGTTCAACTATATATAATACGTATAGATGCAGCCGTATTGTACCTACATGTAGTTCGTGACGACCTTGGAATGGCTGTCGGTGCCCTGGTAAGGTCTAGCGGCATGAACCCCACGGATCACGGATGAGTTTCCAGGACTGGCCTTCTTAGTTCTGCATTTTTTTTCTTTTTACTTCATCGACTTTCACCATCTCCAATGCCTTCTTGATTACCCCTGACAACTTCCCATCAGAGACTATACCGGTCCCCTTTTCTTCCTCTTCTCATGCTAAATGGTAACACTGGCAACTCTCTCCCACTCCTACTCCCACTCACTCGATCCCCCTTGTTTTTACTTCGGACTTAATTCTCATTCGTTACTCTATGGTAGCGCAGAAAGCGATTGGGATCTAACGACGACATACTTGTGGGTCATTTCTCCTTACACATTATCAACTGCCAACTCTGCTAGGGCCAGGGATAACATGGCGCGGCGTAACATGGACTTACATCGAGCTTCCAATCGTGGGACTGGCTCCCACATGGTCAGCCGTCCCGGTATTGCATTTACGTAGGCCGTTTATGCCTCTTTATAAAGCTCGCCTTCGGCGTACACCGCGTGTATGTCTCCCGGCATGGCTAGATACCTTCCTCTCCCGATATACGCTACTAGTAGTTACTAGCACTATAGTTCCCCATTATTCTTTACCTCCTCATCCCGTCCCCCCCTCTTCTCTGCACGCAATCGAAGTGCTACCGCTTCTTCAGACAGAAGTATTTACTTCCGATCTCTTTGCCTCGTGACTGATTGGATCCCTGGTGGACTCCGGTGCCCTGGTCCACTCAACGTGTCACACGCCTCTCGGTTTGACATGCTTGGGTAGGCTCACCGAGTTTAGACAAGGGCATAAGTGCCTCCCACGACAGCCTACAGAGCTAGTTACTTCTATCTCGACGAATCCTATTACAACTCGTTCACGCTCAGCCGTGTTCGGGGTCGCATGAACCGAGTGCTAGGAGTTTATTATTAGACCCACCTAACCTCACGAGCTCTCTGGAACTTCCTTCAAGTTTAGTTACCATGCTCCTCTGGGACCAAGGCAAATTTACGAACACGCCTATTTCTGCCTACTCTTTGCTCGCCTAGCTACCCTCTACTATAAATATATATAGGGAAAGCTTGTCCCCCCGCCCGCTAAACTCACCCTCGGCTTTCCCCTTTCGGTCTACATAAGAGCTTTCAGGTGTTTTTATCCCCTTAGTCAGTTGGATTCCTTGGAAAGTTGTTAGTCTGACAGCCTTGGCCTGACCCAAGATCCGGGAAGAGCTCTCTCTGCGAGTGGGAAACCTTTTTCCCTTCACCTCTTTCCCTCAAGGGAACTAGGTAGACTATTTTCGTGAGATTCAGCTTGTCTATTGAAGGTCTTGCTATTGTAACTTTAGCGTTCTTGACTTTGGTTCGAGTTCAGATCGCCTGGCACTTCCTAGTTTGACCGTCGATACAACCACATTTAATGTATGCACCCTAATACATACACAATTCAAAATCTCTATCTTAAACTCGGTCCTCATGTCGTTGAAACACTTTGCTGGGCGTCTCCCCTCTGCTTGGAGACGCAGGTATTCTATCTCGCCATCATTAAAGAGGCCTGTCACCGAAAATGGATCGGCTGCCGGACGAGGGTGGTCTAATGCGGCAGACAACAACCCGAAATGGTCAGGCCGCTCTGTGTTCGCCCTGTCGGCCACTGCTGGTTTTTTAGGATTCGGACTTGCTACGGCGTCGCTACAAGGGCCCCCGAAGCGTGCCGTCACACTTCTTGATAGTAAGATGCCGACTCCCCAGTACGCATCCTTGGTCGAAATGGAAGATGTAAGCATACCCTTTGCCATAATTTAACCAGAACGACGCTTTCGCTACCTAGGATAGAAAGAGGATATTGCAGACCTCTTACTAAACGTTTTTCTAGGCATTAGATGAAATTCGTCGTGAGATCTCCAAAAAGGGCGGAGAGGACATCATCAGTACAGATCCGGAAGATCTTCTTGCGCACGGGTATTCTGAATGGTCGACTGTAAACCCCGATGGGCTACCAGTTGCCGTTGCGTATCCGCGTTCAACAGAACAGGTCTCGATTATTGCCAGTATCTGCCATAAGTACCGGATACCTATCATCCCCTATTCCGGAGGGTCTAGTTTGGAAGGAAACTTCTCGGCCCCTTATGGTGGCATCAGTGTCGATTTCGCGTACATGGACCAGATAATCCAGTTCAACAAGGACGATATGGATATTGTGGTTCAGCCGAGCATTGGCTGGCAAGATCTCAACGAAAAACTGAGCAGAATGGGGAGTGGGCTCTTCTTTCCTATTGACCCTGGTGAGTAACCCGTGCAATTCGCGCAAAATTATGCCTTTCCTTATATCAAAGGATATGAGATAAATACCTATTTGAAAGAATATTTCTCAAAACTAGTATGAAGATGGACTAATTTGTACTCTGAACTACAGGTCCAAGCGCCAAGATCGGCGGTATGATTGGTACCAACTGTTCTGGCACGAATGCAGTTAGATACGGAACCATGAAAGATTGGATCATCAACTTAACTGTCGTTCTAGCAGATGGAACGGTAATTAAGACGCGGAGACGTCCGAGGAAGAGTTCCGCGGGATACAACCTCAACGGCATATTTGTGGGCTCCGAGGGAACTCTAGGTCTGGTTACTGAGGGTAACATTATCTCTTTCCACATCCACTAACCGAGGTTTCTAACGTAATATCAGCTACTCTAAAACTTGCTATTGTTCCGGAGGAGTTCTCTGTCGCCGTGGTTACATTCCCCACAATTCGCGACGCTGCCTCAGCCGCAGCTGGGGTTATGCAGGCCGGAGTTCCCGTCGCAGCTATGGAACTCATGGACGAAGTGCAGATGAAGGTCGTCAATATAGGGGGAGCAACCGCACCGCGCGTATGGAAGGAAATGCCGACGCTGTTTTTCAAGTTCTCGGGGACGAAGGCGGGCGTGAAGGAGAACATCAGTCGCGTCCAAGCTATCGCTAAAAATAACAAGGGCAGCAATTTCGAATTCGCTAAAGATGCCCGAGAACAGAAACTTCTGTGGTCGGCGAGGAAGGAATCTTTGTGGTCGATGCTGGCTCTGAGGAAAAATAACGAGGAAGTTTGTAAGTCATCCTCCCTGACCCCGCCCCCTAAACGTGCCAAGCTTTGCCGCACAGTGGGTTACTTAGGTCACACTCAATACCTGCGCGCAAATTGAATTAAATCTAATTCATGGGCTTTCATAATAGGGTCAACAGATGTCGCTGTCCCATTCAGCAGGCTAGCGGATATCATCGAGATCAGCAAAAAGGAGATGGACGAGCTAGGGCTTTTCGCTAGCATCTTAGGGCACATCGGAGACGGCAACTTCCACGAGAGCATCATGTACAACCGGAAAGATAAAGACGAACTTGAAAAGGTCGAGAAGTGCGTTAAGAACATGGTCAAGCGAGCATTAGAAATGGAAGGGACATGCACGGGAGAGCATTCCATTGGCTGGGGTAAGAAGGAGTCACTTCTGTTGGAGGTTGGCCCGGATACTTTGGCCGTCATGAAACAGATTAAATCGGCACTCGATCCTCTGTGGATTATGAATCCTGGGAAGATTATGGATATTCCATGATCAGTTCCTCGCTTCCTGTCGGCCCTGGCTTCGCGCCTACCGCCCCTCACCCCTCCTGAACTTCAGGTATCAACAGGCATGGTGCGATCAACAAAGCTATGAGCTCACTGGATTAGAAAAGTGCGCATCATTCTTCAGCTATGAGACATAGCACTTTTTCACGAGCAATAAGGAACCGCACTTACGGCGTACAAACGGAAGAGCAAAATTCGGAAGGGGTTCATTAGTTAGCATTGTGGTCTTTTACGTGTGGGTTATTGATGAAAAAGTATTATTCCTCTTATTTTGAATACTATAACAATAGACAGACTCTGAAATGCCTTATCAACCTGGATTGCATTACTCGAGAATTTTTGATATCTTTTCGGGAGACCTTTCGTCATTCGAATTTTGATGCTGTAGTGCTAGGAGATAGAGAAGATGGTAAATATAGGGGTAAAAGTGGGCCTGCTAAGAATACCCTCAGCGTATAAAGGCTTCGATACTTGTATGATTCCTAGAGACCATCGTTATTCAATTAGCTGAGTATATATTTCTAGGTAGCTACCTGTATATATTGTATCTTAAGATTTGAAATGTGAGTTTATCTCTGATGAGTCATAAAGCTATGAGCTATTAGAGCTTTTGTTGAATCGGATGTTGATGAACATAATGGAGAAAATTCCATACTCAATTTCCTACCATCCTTACCTAAGGCTTTTCTAGCACCTAAATATAGGAAATATATCTTTAATCTAGAGTGCGATATTTAACCTTGAAAGCTTCTAAATAATTTAGTACCCTCGTTATTCAGGTACACCCCTTCTCTAGAGACCATCTTCTCCATGCACGACACATACTGATACGTAGCCAGTAGGGGCATGCAGCAGAACTACTAACTAAGATAGATGACATAGTGACTTACGGTCCCAGTTATACGTCCAGAATTTTGATGCGTCTGAACCTGTGGCCCGACAAAGATTGTACCAAGACTGTACTGAGACTGTACCAAGAACTCAGCCAAATTCATCAAAGATGATGAGCAAACGTGCTGCAGTGTTTCGGCTGGCTGCATGGGATCTTATGGGGCTAGTAAAAACATTACTTGCTACTCGTCAGCACTGGCGTCTTTATCTCGTCTATAAAAGCTTCTCGTCGTCAAGGACAATATTTATTTCGGCGTGTAGGAATGACCAAGAGCGGATACTAGTGCCTTATTTTCAAGGGTTCCAAAGCACCTACCCCGAGGTAAATATCTATGGGCAAGACTGCTCTGTTAAAATAATGATCAGATGATTAATAGACTTGGAAGTACCTAGTATCTACCTCGCGGCTACTACATATTTAGGCAATCACCACTGTTTACTTGAGGTGAACGGGGCATCTGGGTACCTAGGCGATTCACGCCAGGAACGTTCAACTTTATATGCACATGTTAGTATCTTGTTTGTAATTGACTCACTCAAGAAAATTCAAAAAAACTTGCAACTTTATTACTACCACTGTTTATGATCTGCCTAGCAAATGGCAAACCTCACCATCCCAATTATCACTCTGCTCATAGATGCCTCGATGGTTCCTCTTCCCTTTCCATTCATGATAATATCAGAGCTTAGGTAAATCCAATTCCTATCCTATCCTACTGCTTTACAGTGGCCTCTATCTCTCTCATACCAACATGCGCTTTCAATTGGAATAACTACTTTATTCCTAGTCAAAACTATTTGTACTGCACCATACCCCTCACCAGTTCAACGCTCACCACCATCAAGTGAACTGCGACTCCACATGGAGGCGGGAGCCTTGATTATTCTTTCCATTCAAAAAGCTGACCTGGTATTAGTTTCCTGCCCTGAATCAGCCCCAAGATGAATCGCAACAGAAGTGAAGCTAGGAGAGGCCCGCACCGGATGCGACCAAGCATCTCTGAGTTCCTCCAGAGTAGCATTATCATACCCGAGAATGGAAACGGCGCGCTCCCGGCGGGCAGTAACCAACGACCTTCCGATGGCAATAATCTTATTGAAGATGTAGTTCAATGTGAGTGGCCTGAATTCATGGCAGATATTCTGGGGTTGTCGACTAGCAACTAATATTTTATCATAGCTCGAGAGACACATGAACCTACTCCTTCTACTAGCGCATCTACGTCGTCCGTCACAGCCCCTTTGGGGCCATCTGATAATCATCGTCAGGCGGGCTCTGTATTGCGCAAGCCAAACAGAAGACAGCAGCCACAGAAGAGTTTAAGTCCTAAACCGTACGCTGGAGCTTCGAAACATGAGGCTACTGAGAGATCTACTAATTCAAGCGCTAGCTATGGACACGGTTTGCGTCAATCATCTAACACAACTGGTATTAAACCTCAGTGGGCAGACTGGGAAAGAATCTGCCTTCGTATACACAACCTCCCTTCCAATATTACAACTCGTGACATATGGACCGTCTTCAAAGGTTATGGCGAAGTTGTCACCATTGAGCTCTTTGAGAGAAAGAACACTGGAGAGCGGGACGGAAGTGGGCGTGTTCATTTCAGGCCACCTCCCACCACGCAATTCTGGGAGGATTTCATGATAGTCAACATCAGGGGTAAACCAACCAAGATCAAAGTTGAGCTTCAAAAGGAACAGCCATTGCTTAAAGTCCAAGCCGCAAGTGGCCATTCTTACTCTAGCTTGATACACGTCAAGATGGACTCTTTGCAATTCGGCGTACTTGCTCATGAGAATGGAATGATTCCCCTGAGAACAATCCAGAGCAACAGCAGACGACATGGCTTTTCCTTAGACGCCGATCTCCAGCACAAGAGACTTGAGATTGTGTTTGCCTGCAGGATTCAAGACCCGCGTCGCAAAGATCCTAGCATACAGCACCCTGATCCTATTGGAAAGGAAGAAGTCACTCAAGAGTATAAGGCTCAGATCCCGTTCGCACATCTGAAGAAAATCATCTTCGTTGACTTTGACGAGGGAATGTGGGCCCTCGTCATCCCCCTACCAACACCCCCAGCCTTCTACGTGAAGCATGATCTTGCAGGGTCTCACTCGGACAGCAAGACCATATGGTCCATACGAGATGCTTGGGATCGGACTGTCGACATTACTTATGACACAACATGGTTCAAGAATGACCCGGTATCGTTACCTAGAACCAATCAGTTCATTGATATTGGAAGATGGACCGTGTACCGGCTCATCTTCCCGAAATCTGCCCTCCCGAATTGGGCTGTAATGAAACCCGCATTGCAGGATTTCAACATCAAGATAGATTATAAGGCACCAGGCGAATTCTCAACCGTCACGACGCAAGTCCCGAGCTTCTGGAGCAAGCTTGAACCACAAAGGCCGAGCAACTTAGGACCTAACTCTAACCTATCTCTTCTTGCTGACACGGAAGACATCCACCTTCCCTATAATGTCCGATATCAGCTTGAAGCATGTATATCCCAAGGATTTTTGAACGAGGTCGACATAACAACTGAATTTTTGCAAAGATTAGCGGATCTCTCGAAAGATCATACTAGGCGACGCGACAGGGCGAATGATCTCTTGATGTACATCTCACAGCCTCGCACTGGAAGCCGTCTCGAGGATAGAGATAAGCTTGACGAGAAGAGGATCTATGACCCAATGAAACTCTTCAAGGACAAACGAGCAATGAGCCATTATCCCGAAATATCGCTTCCTGAAAACACTCAATGGATGAGAAAAGTTGTGGTGACACCAACGACTTTGTACCTCACTAACCCAGCGCCAGAAGCGATGAACCGTGTCTTGCGCCAGTTTTCAAAGTACCATGATCGATTTATTCGCGTTCAATTCACCGATGAAATATCCAGGGGCCGCATTTTCCCAACCCCAGGCAGTGTGCAGGATAATGCGTTATTCAATAGAATACATCGAACTCTATCAAACGGTATCCGGATTGGTGGTCGACATTTCGAATATCTTGCTGCTGGAAACTCGCAATTCCGAGAGAATGGCGCTTATTTCTTCTGCCCGGACGACTTCCTAACTTGCGACAGTATTCGAAACTGGATGGGTGATGTCACCCACATTCGGATCGTAGCCAAGTACGCAGCTAGACTTGGACAGTGTTTTTCAACAACAAAGCTGCCTAGGTCATCACCTATTGGCCAAACAATCGTACAAATCCCCGACATCGAGCATAATGGTTGGTGCTTCACCGACGGAGTTGGGAAGATTGCGCCTAGCCGCGCCAAATTTCTGATACAAAATCTCAACACGAGTAACATCATCACTCATATTCCGGCTGTCTTTCAATTTCGACTCGGGGGTAGCAAGGGAATTCTAACACAATGGCCCGAAGTGCCTTTCAATGAAGTTCACCTTCGACCCTCGCAAAACAAGTTCAATTGCAGCTCCCAGGGCCTCGAAATCATCAAGACATCTAGATTTTCCGTCGCGACATTGAACAGGCAGACTATTATGATACTGAGTTGCCTAGGCGTCCCAGATTTCGTATTTGAACGTAGGATGAAGAAACAGATAGCAGACTATGAGAGTGCAATGGAAAACCCGCATGTCGCTATGCGATTACTCAGCAAATACGTTGATCAAAACGGCGTCTCTACGACGATAGCACAGATGATAGCAGACGGATTCATGAGGACGAAGGAGCCATTTTTCATGACTATCCTAGAAGTCTGGCGTGCTTGGTCAATGAGATTGCTCCGAGAGAAAGCTCGGATTTTGATCGACCAGGGAGCCTTTGTCTTTGGCTGCGTAGACGAGACTCGTACGTTGCGAGGGTATTCGGAGCCAAAAGAATCTACCGAATCAACCGAACCTCGTAACAAAAAAGACCCTAGCACACTAGCACAGATATTTCTTCAAGTGCCCAAGACAGGTATTAAGCCAGGAGAGACGGGCGATTACACGGTAATTACCGGAATATGTATGCTTGGGCGAAACCCGTCTCTGCACCCTGGTGATATCCGAGTAGTAGAGGCGGTAGATGTTCCAGCCTTGAGACATCTTCGCGATGTTGTTGTATTCCCTGCAGTCGGCGACCGTGATATCCCTTCCATGTGTTCTGGTGGGGACCTTGACGGGGATGATTACTTTGTCGTCTGGGACCCCGAACTCATACCTCCTGAGTGGAATTACCCTCCTATGGAACAGGATGTCCTCAAGCCAAAGGCACTGAAGCGGGACGTAAGGGTTTCAGATCTCATTTCGTTCTTCGTGCAATACATGAAGAACGACTCGCTCAGTACTATTGCGCACGCACATTTAGCAAAATGCGATATGCTCACCGAGGGACCCAAGGACCCGCAGTGCATCGACTTAGCACGACTGCATTCCAAGTCTGTAGATTACCCAAAGACTGGCCAGGAGGCTCATCTGAAGCCATCGATGCGACCAAGACGCTTCCCACATTTTATGGAAAAGGCGCCAAACAAGACTTATCACTCGAAGAAAATACTCGGTCGGCTATACGATCGAGTGGCCAAGGTCGGCTTTAAACCCAAGCTTGATGGCGATTTCGACGAGAGAATTCTGCGTAGATATGCGCTTAAGGATGATACGTTAAAGGCGGTAAGAATGATCAAGAGACAACATGACAAGGCAATGAAGCAGATCATGAACCAACATGATATCCAAACGGAATTCGAAACCTGGTCAACGTTTGTGTTGTCGAAGCCTCGAGTTGGGAGCGAATATCGGAGGCAGGAGATCATGGAACCGGTGATGACAAGCCACAGAGAGCGGTTCAGAGAAGCATGTGTCAAGTTGGCAGGATCTAGAGACCCCAAATCTCTATATCCCGTAATCGCCGCCGCCTACCTCGTCACATGGGAAGAAGTGCAAATCGTGCTGGGGAAGGTAAGAGGGGAGGATCGCGAGCAAGATCTCGCTAACTATGAGATCCCGTTGATCAGCTTTCCCTGGGTCTTCGACTACGAGCTCGGCCGAATCGCTACTTCGGAGGAGCAGTTCGAGCTTGAGGAAGTACCGAAGCCAACTATGGGGTTATTGGATGATGATGTTGATAATGACGATGAGGAGTTCGAGCGTCTTGTGGGTGCTGGTATTATTGCGGGCGAGGGCGATGATAAGAGCGACAGTTCTCGGGGACAGGAAACATCGCCTCTTGCTATTAGCCAGACTTTGGAGGAACTGGTTGTGCTGGAGGAGGACGAAGATACGAGCATGGATGCCCTTGCTAGACTGGGTCTGAACTGAGTGGCTGACGGGACGGCTCTTCCGGGGGGAAGGGGGGTAAAGTTGCTTTTCACGCCTTGAGGATGGGATGGGGGGATCATTCTCATATTTCTGCTTTTCGCTGTAGCTAGGCTGCTAGGTACCTTAGGGGTAGGTACTAGGTAGCTGCCGACTTTAGTAATCTGATTTCCGTGCCCTTACTATGTACTTTTTATTTGAAGTGTCATCGTGGCGTCTCATCGCTTAGATTTCTTTAAAATTTCCTGTCGTGGTGATCCCGTGGCTGGCACGGACCGTGGTGGGGATGTCCGATGGGATGGGATTTGGGTCATGCACTGCGGGTGCTAAATTCTAATGGCTTGAGCTGTGTAAATTAGAATATTCTCTCGCCGTGTAGCATTTTTATTTAGTGGCTAAGCTCCCTGAAATAGGCTCAAGTTGTAGCGGCTATCCGCTAGAACTTAGCGGACAGATTACTGTTAAGTTTCAGCTTTAGCTTAAATCTGATATCCAATAGTACGAGATAACTGCTTGTTTAATCGCGTCCTGGACCAGAGACGTGACTGATGGTCTAAATTTTTGGCTCGAACCTTCGTGCCCCTATCCGATCCGTGCTTTAGAGATATCGCCAAAATTTATTAGGTACGTGACTTTCTTTTTCTTTGGGATGAGATTTTCCTAAGAGTATTCTGTTTGTAAAAAGTTGATTAGGTCAAGATACTTTCTATTGAATAATTGAATGCTTCATTCTGGGAAAAGCCGCGTAAATCAGAATATTTTCTCAGGTGGCGTTTTTCTTCAGTGGCCGAACTCCCTAAGAATACTTAGATTATAGCGGTTATCCACTAGGATTTAGCGAATGGATCACTATCAGGTCTCAGTTTTAGCCTGGACTTGACGCACTAGGTAAAAGAGGTGGCTGGTGGTTTGAATTTTTAGTTCAAATCTTCGTACTAGTTCTATTTCCTCAGTTTCCCGCGACAGGATGTTTCCACTGTTGCCATCCCACCCAAGCCTGGAAAATGCTTACGGCGAGGCTCAAAATTCCAAGAAAGATTGCTATGATCACACCAGCTAAAGTTGCCATCATCATATATCTGGAACCGCTCTTGCGCTGTAACCAATTTTCAACGTAGCCTCTAGGCGTCGGGTTATTCAACTCGTCGTATAAGTCGATAAGCCTGGAACCCCAGTACTCGTATCCGATCTGCTGCTCGTCCGGACTGCCATGAGATGGGGGTTCGAGGCGAAGAATATCTGGATCAAATTTTTCCTTGGAGACGAGCGACCGAAGAAGCGATCGTGACTCGGGGTCGACAGGGAAGAGGATATTTTGAATGGTACTGAGTGTCTCGAGAGCCAATTGTTGAGGAATATTTCCATTGCTGGATATAGACTTAGGGGTAGACTGCCCAAGTGTCTGCCCCATCGCTTCTTCCCTACAAGCGAGAATGTGCTCCTTCAGCACACTCGTATAGTGGTATATGGCAACAGTACTATTCTTATAATCAAGAAGCAGGTGGTCCTTGAGATTATTGGTAGGAATGGCCTTCAAGTGTGCGACCTTCCTCAATCTCTTTGCCGTTACTAGGGCCAGATGGACCTTCTCGGACGAGGCGACATCGTCATCGGGATTGAGTTTAGGTTGCTCTCGTTTAGGAAACGCAGAGTCTACGAAAGCCGTGAATGACTTGTCACTATGCCATGTTATAGGTTGAGTTCCTGCTTCTAATAGGCCGTCCGACTGGTTCTCAATAGAGCATTTAATCATGCTCGTAATGCGGGCGGCCAGACTGAAAGCCCTGTTCTGGTCGGTTATCGGTGGCGTCTGAACGCCACGCTGACTGAAATATTCAATCGTTAGCCTCGAACGAGGTCTTTCTGCATTTTTCTTGATCAGAGAGATAATATCAATGAGATCATCGTGAGATCTCAAGGCAGGACATGAGTCGCCAGTAAGATCGGGAATATAATAAGCCGTGACATCTCTGTAGAAGTCAAAGAAAGGCTCCAATCTTGCAGCATGCCTACATGGACAGTCATACGGCTGATAGCACGTCTTCCCCAAAATCCACTGCGCGCATGGTTTCCATCCCCATAAGGATTCACATACTCTTGCGAGGTTGTCCCGTGAAGCGTTTGCCAGTGGGTAAAGTATTTCGCTTGGTGTATCCATCTTCCCGACTCTCTTTGACAAATGAATTATGATCTCCAGGGCTGATTTTAGGTCGATTCGTCGGCATCGGATGGCTCCTATTTATATCTATATAATTGGTTACCTAACGAATGCTTTCGTATCACAGAAAGACATTTTGTCATCAAGCTGATATGCTTTATGATTGGCTACGACCAGAGGAAATATCATTTCAGGGCTGTGCCAAAATGTTACCATATGCCGGTGGCTACCCATAGGCAGATTTTGTTGCTCCAATCCGGAGGCATCCATTATTTCATTTCATGAACATCTTGGGACTTCAATCGATCCAAGTCTTAGTTAATCCAGATCTTGGGTATGTCGGAAGGCCAATTGAGGCGATATCTTGCAATATGACGTCTGCCGACTCCTCACAGACGACAGAAATTGTTGAGAACCATTCCCCCTCATTACAAAAGCCTCTCGAGGCTACCATCACCGACTCTGGATATAGTTCTCTGTCCACAACACCAAGTATTAATTCACCTACATTGAGAAAAAATGACGCTTACCATGGGCCATCAATCTTATCATCCTTGCGACCTGAAAATGGAAAAGCAAAGTCCATCGATATATCTTCCATTGCTTCAATTTCCTTGCCGAAAAAGAAACCAGCTCTTATGCGAGTCAATGTAGATGTCGACAAGGCTACCAACGAGAGATTCAAAATCGTCCAACCCAATTTTGAAACACTCCTCCTAAACCATGTCCGAGAAAATCAAAGGACTGGAGCAAACTACAAGCCAATGTCGACACGATTGGTGATGTTAGGTACCTCCCATGATGATGCTGCTCCTCATCTTGTTGTATTCTGTCAGCCTGGACAAAAGAGGCTCGTCAAACAATTCGTGACGAATCGCATCATTAAGGATATTTGTCAGCCCTCAGACCCTGGTGTGCCGTCCTTTGAAGTAACAGTTATGGGCAATGCCCCCCAGCTCAAGCATGATATTTCACCAGTGAGGGTCACGGTCGATTACATTCTTACGTTGCCTCGCGACACCTTATGTGGCAATCCTATCCGCTTCACAAATGGTTGTGACTCCAGTAATGCTACTTTCGGCGGGATCATAAAAGTAATAACGGAAACGGGAGACACCAAGTTTTATGGAATCACAGCTGGGCACGCGGTGGAGGAGTGGCAGAACGAACTCCAGCCAAAGCAGAAAATCACCAACGAACATGGCGACGATACCAATACCAAGAATGATGGCTCCCAAGCCGAGATTGGCAAAATACCTATTGACGAAAAGGACTCCCAGAAGTCTGATTCAGAGGCGTCAGATACCGATGATAGCGACATAGAGATAGGTCTCTTGACAAGGAATGTTCCGGCGAAGGTAAAGCCGACCGAGGAGAAAAAGCATTGGCGTTTTGCTACCCCTCTTGTTCTGGGCTCAGTTGTTACACACGCGAGTGCTCCGGTAGATATTGAGGTCCACAACAATCGATGCTACGACTGGGCATTATTTGAGACGAAAGTCTACAAGATGAATCGAATTCCCGATGACCTAGAATCGGAACTTACTCTCTCGGACAGGGAACCTGGGGTCACTGGCAATTGCCCCGTGTATATGACCAGCGGCTCAGGTTTCAAAGAGGGACAACTTTCCTCGACGCCCGGTCGAATTCTGCTTGGATCAGGGGAAGAATTTGTCGATGCTTACATGTTGACAATAGACGATGAACGAGGTAAGGTTCGCCTATAAAACTGTAGAACTCGGCTCTAATGTTGACCCATAACACAGGTATATGCGACGGTGACTCAGGCTCGTGGGTTATCGACTCTTCCACGTTAAAGGTGTATGGTCACCTCGTTGCGTCGGACATCTTTGGATCTGGATACGTTATACCGTTGAAAGATATATTCTCCGACATCAAGCAACGCCTTTGCGCCCAATTAGTTGAACTTGCCAGCTTCTCCGATCTACTCCCCATACCTACTATGGTCAGGAGCTTTATACCCGATGATTCCGGGTACAATTCGAAAAAGAGTACACCGAAGATAACACCGAAGATAACACCGCATACTAGTCCAACAAGGTGGGATAGCTGTCCATATTAAGTCTCTATTATACAGGCGCTAACTTGAGTAGAGTAATATATGAGAAGAACCGTAAGAAGGACCTTGAATCTCTTGAGTTGGGAACCGTGATGTGTATTACAAACTCCTGGCGTTAGTGGAACGTACCTATCATAGTGTAAGTACCTAGGTAGGTATAAGCTAGGTACATTAATGAATTTTTGGCTGGGCGTCTTTTCGATATAGTCGGTAACATTAGGTAATTTCTAACGTTTCTGTATCTATCACCATTGAACTACGGTTATTAAATGTAGAAGTATGCGTCTCCTGGTGACATCGTAATTTGAGTCGGAGTTATCGGAATTACTAGGATAGGGGTACTTGAATAAGTACATGTGTATAAGTACATAGTATTACGGAAGAGGGTTGATCCTCAAGCGAAAAGTCAAAAAGTCTTGGCAACGCACAATTTCCCAGTGCCGGACGAGCCCCAACTTCAGGCCTCATCGCCCCGATTGAGAAGCTACGAACGATATTCTTCTCGACGACGGTAAAATTTCGCAATTTCTCTCAGGGTAAGTTCAAGGGTTCGATCCTTTTTTGTTTTGAGTTTTGGCATCCGTCGTCTAATTTCGAGATCAACCCCTCAATTAGAAAAAACCAAATCAAAAATTACCAAATCGTTAAACCGCTAACTCATTCAAACCCCCACCAGTTTTCCGAAGGTTCTTTTACCTGCCACCCACAACCCAGCACCACATCGTCGCGAACACCGACAGAGAGACCTCTTTTTTTTCCACACCTACCTACAACCATGGCGGACGTGCAGGAGATCTTGAAGAAGAAATTCGGTGGTGCCGCTCCTTCGCGAACCGGTATGTAATAATTATCGTCAATTACTTTCCCTTTTTTCGACTTTCATCTTTTTTCTTTGGTGGGGGATTGATTATTAATTTTTGGACTAGGTGGAAAGGGTACCCCGCGACACAAGCAAAAGCGAAATGTCGCCCGAAGCGCCAACGACGACAAGAAGCTCCAAGCGACCCTGAAGAAGCTTAACACCCAGCCCATTCAGGCTATTGAGGAAGTCAACATGTTCAAGAGCGATGGAAATGTCATCCACTTCTCTGCTCCTAAGGGTGAGTTGCGAAAATCGAAGAGTACAAAGAGTCGACATCGTCCGAGCTTCGGCTTGAGCGACCTGTCATATTTGACTTATTGTCTCAACTTAAACCATATATCTGAGAAACAAGAGATCACATAGCTAACATTGTACTAGTTCATGCTGCCGTCCCCGCCAACACCTTCGCCATCTACGGAGCAGGCGAGGACAAGGAGCTAACGGAGCTCGTGCCCGGTATCTTGAACCAGCTCGGACCTGACTCGCTCGCCTCTCTCCGAAAACTGGCCGAGAGCTACCAGAGCATGTCGAAGGAGAATAAGGAAGCCGACGACGATGACATCCCCGATCTGGTAGCCGGCGAGAACTTCGAGAGCAAGGTCGAATAGACGGACAACCTAATGACGCACCTTTACAAACGGACCAGGCACCAGACTCCCTCCCTTATCTAAACGAACGGAATGATGACGGAATCAAATCACAAGCAAAAGAAAAAAATAATGGGCATGATAATGGCATTTGGTCGACTCGGTTGATGGTGGTCCTTTTCCCTCCCACACATGCGTCGCGAGATAGGTCGGGAAGGGAGTTCTTCGGTAGTTCATCCTTTTGCAAATTCATCACGAAGGGGGTTAAGGGGGGGATTTTCTCAAACACTCGTCATTTATCAGGTAGTCCAGCAGGTGGTTCTGTCTCTCGCCTTCTTCTTTCCTCCCCCCCTGGCGAGGGCAGACAACTTCCCACACCTGCTACTCTAGCAAGCTTGCGCTGTGGTCTGTTTCTTCGTCAAGTTGTGCTAGTAGGTCACTTACCTAGGTGCCCGGGCTTTCGCTCGTAGGTGCCCAAGAAGAAAAAATTATTTCATAAATGTGTGGCTTCTTTTGTGATTTGTATGTGTTTATTAAGGAGGGTGGTTTAACTGACGGTTACGTGGTGGTGCTTATAAGTGGAAATATTCATCCCCTAGATTCCGCACCCATCCTTTCAGAGCCTCCACTCTTGCTTCTTCTTTTACTCTCCTCCTAGCTTCTAGTAATGATGACCCTTTCATCTCACCATACGTCTTGGCGCCGAGCGCTTTTCCAATTTCAACTTCTATCTCTCCTTCTCCCTCTTCTGGTCTTATATCCTGTAAGAGCGGAGGCAATGGTGAAGTTGAAAGTAACCCAACAATCTCAACAGCAAGCCCCCACAGCTTCCTTCTCGAAGCAAAGCTAGCTCCCCGCGCATCAGCGGCCGACTGCTTCCTCCCTTGCAAAACACCTCCCAACGTAGCCTCTTCAAGACCCGACAGCGTCCAAGCTAGGGCTAAGTTACTCGGGGCTATACCCGCCGCTCCTGCTTCTTCTTTCGCCTGTTTCTGGGAGAACGCGAATTCGGATGTCGTGGTTGCGACGGCGAAGGGGTGGAATGCGTAGCCCCCTTTTGTATTACTGGTTAGGTGCGCTAGACAGCTCATCCGGCCTCCCGGGGACACGGAGAAGGCGCGGTGGCAGGCTACGGCGCTGTACCGGGATAGGGGTAGGATTAAGGTGTGTATGTACACGTGGTTAGGGGAGACGAGGAGAGCGGTAGTGGAGGAAAGGAGGGATGTTAGTTGGTGGAGGGCGAGCTTGTCGGAGCAGGATTTGGAGAGCGTGGGAGGGGCGTCTGGACGTGCGGGCTTGCGGCGGGTTATTCCTAGGTGGGAGAAGTAGGCGCGGCCGGGGAGGGTTGGCGAGGCCGTAGTGTTGTTGGGGAGGAATTCGGGTGGTAGGTCCCATGGCGTGGCGTCTTCTTGCGAGGCCATTATTAACTCCATGCTTGCGTCGCCGCAGGGGGCTTCGGAGCAGTACATGTGTAGGAAGATGTCTTCTTTCCATGTAAATGATTGGCCGTGCCATGATATGTCTTTTTCTATTTTACCTATTTGGGAGTTTTTTATCTCGCCTATGGTCCGCCGTCGCAAGAACTTGGAAGAACCCCCCTGAGCTAGGATTTTGCATTCATCTAGCACGAAGCGGTTGAAGGCTCGTATAACTAGTACTTCGGCATGCCAGTCATGTAATAAATTCCCTTGTGCTTGTGCGACTTTTGAAGAGGGAAGGCATTTCATGCCCGTCCTGTCCCCTGTTAGATATCTCTTCAACTGAGCATTACAAGTTGCGAATGAATGCTAGGCCTAGCCAACCTACGCAATAGATAGACACCATAATTCATCATTTTTGTCTGCCATTAGATATTAGGCCATGTCTTGATATATCTAAATACACAAAACCCAGATGTACCTTGAGCGACTATGCCAGCCAGAGGCACCCATTCTCGTAGTCCATTACCTCGAATCGTTGGTTTCCTCTTCGCCGGTAGAGCATCGTAGTGCTTTTGTACTAACTCTGCGATAACATCTGGTGAGATGGTCATCGAGACACAGCTGACCTCTTACGAGGCATCGATTTGAAGTGATGTGCGGAATAATCCTTTAGTCGAAAATAGATCTAATAATAAAATACTGTATGCATCAATGGAGATATTACATTATAGGGGCTTACCCCCATTCAAATTGAATTAAATTTGCAGCCACATTCCTAGCGCACGCGCCACATCAAGCGAGACCCTAACAGCAAAAAGCGGCTTAGTCATTCAACCCACACAAGTGCGCAACTTTGAGATTTACGAAATTCGTCTCTTATCCTAATTCAATCAATCAACCACGAAACTACTAACACAACAGCAGTCCACCTAAGTTCTCACCACACAACAACCGTCACCATGAGAACTTACGACGACACCTTCTCTGGCCAGAGAATCTACCCTGGCAAGGTATGCTTTCCCTTCATCGATTTCCGTCATTCCGATCAGAACCCGTGAATCCTCAATCATCATCATCGCGCGTTGGGAGGAAGAATAAAGAAGTCCGGAGATGGATGTGACGGATTGATGGCACATACTACAATACCCGACCACGAACTTCACACCCTACTTATATCATATATATCAACGCGATCGACGTCTAGAATTCAATGCTAATTAAATCGCAAAATAGGGCAAGCTCTACATCCGAGGCGACAGCAAAATCTTCCGATTCCAGAACGGCAAGTCCGAGTCCCTCTTCCTCCAGCGAAAGAACCCCCGCCGAATCTCATGGACTGTTCTCTTCCGACGACAACACCGCAAGGGTATCTCTGAGGTATGATTCACAGATTCACATATTCACATATTATCCAATTGTGAAGAATATCTCTACAGGATATAGAGATATTTCAACACAATAGAAATGGAAGAATCCTACGTTAGAATAGTGACTCACAAATACTACAGGAAGTGGCCAAGAAGCGCACGCGCCGCACCGTCAAGTCCCAGCGAGCCATCGTCGGCGCCTCTCTTGATGTGATCAAGGAGAAGCGATCGATGCGACCGGAGGCCCGCAACGCCGCCCGCGCCGCCGCCATCAAGGAGTCCAAGGAGAAGAAGGCCGCCGCCGCCGCCGCCAAGAAGTCCGAGAAGGCCAAGACCGCCGCCTCCAAGGGCCAGACCCAGCGCATCGTCGGAAAGCAAGGCGCGAAGGGTGCCCAGCAGAAAGTCCAGGCCAAGACCCGTTAAGCCGTCGCCTGTGATTTTCTAGTCTGGGGAGGTGGGGAAGAGAGCAAGCGGGATGGACATCAGATGGATGATACGGACGATTGGGAGAGGACATGACTTTCGAGGGGAGAGATATAGTGCATATCACTAGTGTTGCCTCTTGCGTCTGGCGGCGTCTTCGGTGGGATATTTCCTCGATTGCGAATAAAAGAAACCTCACACACACTTACACGCATATGCAATTACATCTTGTTCGGTTGGGGGCAATGCATGGAATGTCTCATGGGTCATGGGAATTCTAAACCTGGTAGCTTCATAATACCAGTTCGTTCTACGGTCTGAAAATTACGTCTCGCGGGATTGTTTTTTTATCTTTCTTTTTACCGTTACCGGATTACCGTTTATGCCTTCTTCAACTTATCCCTTAAGTTGCTTACCCATGCCAAGTCGTCGTACCTAATTTAAGGTATGTATGACTTAACGACAATAATCGCGCGGCTAAAAAGGGTAAACGATTTAGACGCTGCGGATAACCACACCAATGAACAGGTACCATATTTAACATGCATGCCACGCCGTGCTACAGAGTAGGTATGTGTGCTAGGTAAGTTGAGTCTATTGAGTAGTCTACCAGCTTTCTTCAAAAACTCCGGTGCTATGAATGCTCGTAGCTGAGGGGAGCTCGTTCCGGAGTAGCTAGGTTAAGCCTGTTTCTCTGAATTTCGGGGGAAAAGGAGTAGGTAAATCCACCTTCTTCCCTTTTCCCCGGTTTCCACAACGCGCTGTTCTCACTCTACATTTGCTGGCGCTGTGCTGAATTGACTGTTTCCCTTCCCTTTCCATCCTTTCCCTTCTTTTCCCCTCTCCTAGCTTTCTATATGTGATGTGTGATGTGTAGATAGATGGGGAAGTAAGGGTGACTGTTGTTTTTCTGATCAAACAAGTGTTTACAACTTGGCTAGGACGGCGTCGACGCCGGAGACGCTGACGTCCTTGGCGGGCTCCTTCTCGGCGTAGACGACCTTGCCGTGGTCGATGACGATGGCGTAGCGCGCGGTGCGGGCTCCTAGGGTCCAGCCGATGCTGCTGCTGAAGGGGGCGCCGTCGTCGGATGCGAAGATCTGGGGGGGTTTTATGTGGTTAGCCGGGGGAAGGGTTAGATGGAGGGGATGTTTGGTAGTGGTGGTGGTTATGGCGGGGTAAAATCGCGATCTACAGGTTCGCATGCAAGCGGGCACGGGATGGGGAGCCACTATGATAGGTAGGTATGTTGCGCATAGTGGCGTCCAATGGCGTCTGTGTCAACCGCTCTTATTCGAGAGGCTGGCGAGGGGTGATACAGGATTTATATACATATTTATATACTAAAACATGAGGAAATTGAAAAATTAGAGGGAGGGAGACTTACGATCTCATCTTTGATCCCGTTGGCTTTGGCCCAGGCGGCTTGCACCCAGGCGTCGTTGAAGGAGATGACGATGACTTGGTCGACGCCCGCGGCCTTTAGCTGAGGTAGCTTCTCGATGTAGCCCTGGATGTGCGTGTTTTGGCACGTCGGCGTGAAGGCACCGGGCACGGAGACTAGGACTACTTTCTTCTCTTTGAATTCTGTGTCGGGAGTTAGTTTTCATTGTCTCTTTTTTCTTGAGGTACTCGGTAGGGAACAGTAGAGAATGGACAATTACCCTTGCTGGCATCGTACTTGACGGGCAGACCGCACGCTGTTACGGCGCCTTGGTCGGGGTTGTAAGGAACGTAGGTGAAGGTGACGCCTTCGGGGAAGTCATCTCCGGCTTTGAGGGCAGACATTGTGGTGGATATGTTTTTTCCTTAGATTATCTAGTTATAGACTTCTGTTTCTTTTTGTCTGAGACAAGTTCAAGACACTTAGATATGTCTTATAGCTGATTTATATGTTCGTTTGGATTATGGAGTATATTAAATAGGTAGACGGAAAACAGACAAACTCAAGATGCGGGAGTTTGTCGCCTACTATATACCTTTGCAAGCTTCTAGATCTTTCAATGGGAAAACTATTTCGGTTGTTACAGTAATATCAGCCAGGTCTGTCCGATAGACGTATGTATGTACCTAGGTAGAATCAATACATGCTGCGAATTCGGAATCCAAGGGTGCCGTGTAAATCAATCCCACCTGACGTTATGTAAGTAGCCGTACCTGCTGTGTTAGTAAGTGTTTGCCTTGGTTGTAAACCGTTTTACGGTTCAGGTAACCCATGCCAAGACTTCTGCAAGACCGTTTATTCTGGAATTGATGCTTCCGGATCACGACATAACAATGGCATGGAAGTACCTACCCGTATACAGGTACGTGGTGGGGTTTGCATTGTTGGTGGGGTAGGCAAACCTTGATGGGCAAGAGGGAAGGAGGGGTTTAGGGGTTTATTCAATTATTCGCCTATCTTCTTCAAACTCTTCCTTCTGCTTTCTACATTCGATGCAGAATTCGTAACAAGGCAAGATCAGATGAAGTCTAGTTCGGTCTAATTTACCAAGCTAAGTACAAGTGCTATACTCTTAAACGCAGGTGCGGCGTCTTTCCGTTCGTGCGCCCAGGCAAGTATTTCGTCATGCGCTATCGAGGATCTAGGTACCTAGTAGCTATAACAGAATAATACATACAATGTTATCTCCTACAACAATGAAAATGAAACTATTATCCCCGAGAGACCCGCACCACCTACCAGTATCCTTAGTAATACTTATCTAGTAACGCTCTCGAAATTCGGCGAGTTGTTACTCTCGGCATAAAATGAACCGCCCGTCAACATACGACATGATATTCAACGTTTGGGGAAAGAAAACATTTACAGACACCAGGTACGGACTGTGAACTATTCCGGAAACATAGGAGAGCTGTCCTGCCCTGTCAGCTATCGACCCGCAAGAATGTGAAGCTATGTGGGGGCCAGTAGGTAACTATCAGCTGCCAAGATGAAAGGGGCATGTGAAAATCTGAAAATTTGGAATTGTTACATGTAGATAACTCGCACCGGTGTTTGAAAAGACGCGCGTGTAAGGGCGCGACCCGGTGTGATGGACAATGTGCGATGTGCGATGACATAAAATGACGAAGGATATACGGGCATTAGCTAAGAGGGTAACAATATTTGGAATTTCCGTCGATGTCACCGACGATGTGACCTATCGGCCCCCGATTCCAAATTCTGGCCAGGCAACTACCAGCCTAGTAGCCTACGTGTATCACGATAGTCTGAGCTGGTTATGAGTCAAAAGCTGTATTTGAATTGTTCGTGACCTGTCGAATTTTGGACCGCGTTTTGACCGTCGTTCTCAGCGATCGCGTGTCAAGAGAAATGGATGGCGAGTGCGGTATAGGACCGATGTAAGTCGCCGAAATGATCATATTCGCCGTCTGTGGGAGTCAGAATCGACATGGCTGATGATGGAATTATCCAACGGTGAGTTCCTCATAATATCACTAATAATAGAGATTAATATTGGAGTTTAACTGGGTAACAGAGCATCAACTCTAGCCCGACCGGATGCCGCTTGTAATTTGACATCGGGTCTCGCCGGACGGGAATTGAAACAGAAGAGAGGGACCCTTCGGAACCCGAGGAGAAGCAACCAAATTGAATTACATAATCGCGTACGCCTTTCCCATTCGGACTTGTCACTTTCTCCACCAAATTATAACGTTCCGGTCATCAAGTCCGCAGAAGGATCACTTAAGTCTTAGGTTAGAATAGGTTAAGATATACTCAACTTTTACGCCCTTGGTATTCCCGAAAGCGACCGAACCAATTCCGGGAGGCTAGACGCCAGCACGTAGACTATTCCGGTATGTCGTTTCGACACTTTGCTTCATTCGCCGGGACACAACTCAGCCGTTACACATAGTCCTACATGGTACATTACTCATCGACATACATAAAGACCAAGTTTGAGGGAATATAAGGGGATATAAGAGTTCGCGACAAATGGAATATCTTGTGGGAGTGTAGAACTAGCAGCAAGCTGATAATTATCCTCGAAACAGGAGAAAATTGGAAATAAACATACCACGATGGCAAGTGAGGAACAGCCAAGACCTCCATACCCCCCTTTCACGGCGGAAAGCGCCCAGATAAAAGTGAAAGCGGCACAAGATGCTTGGAATACCAAGTCAGTATCAATATCTAATTTCCCCAATTAGAATGCCTAGATAAATCTGAAAAGGGGCTGACAAGACCAACAGAGACCCAGCGAAAGTGAAGCTCGCGTATACAACAAATTCGATTTGGCGTAACCGTGACACTTTCATCAAAGGACGGGAAGATATCGAGGCCTGGCTTACCCAGAAGTGGGAACGCGAAAACGGATACCGGCTTCGTAAGGAGTTGTTCGCGTTTACCAAGAATAAGATCGCCGTTCAGTTCTGGTATGAATGGTATGACAAGGAGGGGCAATGGTGGCGTACATACGGACTCGAGGATTGGACTTTTTCTGACAATGGGTTGATGAGAAAGCGGCAGAGTGAGTTTATCCCATTTCTTGTTTTAATCTATAATAATTGTTGACTGATATGATGCTAGTGAGTGGAAATGATGTTAAGATCGCCGACGATGAGAGATGGTTTAAGGATGGCGTGGACGTGAATACTGTCGACATCTCCGAAAGACATTGGTAGGAAGGGGAAACTCTTCTACCAACAGAGGAAATACGTTCATAGGCCGTTTTCTCTAGCCTTGCAGTAATCCATTAAGAATACGACAACCCAAATAATATAGCTATTGCTTTGAGAGTTGGGAGTGCGAAATAAAAGTGTTTTCAATCGTCAATGACAACATAACTCTCACGTCGTGATACTTGGATAGTCATTCGAAGATAGGAAACATTATTGATCTCCCAACAAGAACGAGAGCGAAAAAGCGTCGTAATCCCCCTCATTAAAGCCCGGTTTGTAAGCATTCATTGTATCAGCACTAGTAAAAGAGGCGTTCGATCCAGCCTCTTAATATACACGCGCATATGCCTCCATAGGACATTCGATCCCTGTACTTGGTACCAGTCACATGGCATATCCTACCTCAACCACATGGCATTGGAATTCATCCTTGGAAGATGGCTAAAACCGGGATTGGCGAAACTGCCTGGCTGAAGTACGATGTGAACCAGTTTCTGGCCCCATTGACGGCCGCTGTCGACAGCGTTCTTGGGGCTGAAAATGGCGTAGATATCGTACGACAGAACACAAAACCCTCATTTCTTTTCACGAGCTAAAGCTAAGCCTTATACATAGTATCATGATGGGGTCGAAAAGGAGTGCCTTGTTTGGCAAGAATGTCCGAAAGGGCTACATATTGTGAGCTGATATCATGAATTAATGGATTACAGGTTCTTATTGTATACTAAGAATCTAGGACAGAACCCAACTACACGGTACGAACGAACTCTAGTTTGGGGTCGATTCACTAATGAGCAAGCCGACCTAGCCGATGTACGCAGTCAGGCAGCCAAGTAGGGAGGTAGCCCTAGAGCACTTCAAAACGCTGGAATGTATCCCTGCATATTAAAAGCATCGTGAACTTGGGGGGACATACAGGCGAAAAAAGAAAAGGGGTATGCTGTACGACGATGCAGGGAACCTTTTAGGGGCAAGATTAAGCCCCGGCGATGCATGACATCAGTACCCCTGTATCCAATCAATCGTAGATTTTCTATCACCGGTTGTATTGTGGAGACACAGGGGTATTTCCCAGATCTCTAGATCTGGGCCAGGGGTTTCTTCTTTTCCAACACCATCCGATTGGAGTATCAGCTTTAGACAATAGCTGTTCGTTCCTTCAGCCTTAGCTTTATTTTTAACTTTCGTACTTCATTGTAATATCGGTTAATGTGATTTCTATTCATATTTCGGTCCTGTGAAACGTCGAGTCTATTATTACAACGGCCTGTGCTTGTTACTCGGCCTTACTAGGTATCGTACTACGCTGTCAATAAAATCCCATGATCCATCCACCAAGTCAATTCCATTTCTCGTGTCTGAAAATCCATCTTGGGGGTCTTTTACACAAATATTTACCTCATACGGATATGACCGTTGGACAATTCTCCAGTTCCCACTGAGCTGGTTGGTCTAGTATTGGTCTACTTCTTAATGAACTATACTGAGTCATAACTAGTGGCACTTATCCAATGAGGTAACTCATCCGGACTATTCGCTGCTACTGGCCTTCAAGTGTTCGATGGCTAGCTAGCCTTTAAGAATATAGCTGCGTGGCAAGCAAGACGTTGTCTCATACCATCATGGTGTCTTCTGTATCAGCAGGCACCGAGCTATGACTGGCTGAATCGGTTATGAACGTTATGTGGGTTCGTAACCAAGAATCTGAATATGGAGTGTATCACGACGAGAAGAATACCTATACCCGAATAATTTAACACGGGCTGTCAGCTAGCGTTCAGCTTTAATGGCGTTTCTACGCTAACTTCAAGGCTTCATGATGAATTAGCAATGGGTAACTACGCGGACATGAAACCTAGATTACGTGTAGGTCGCCATCATCTTAGTTGCACTTGTCCTTTGGTCCAAGACATAGCCATATCCTCCAGAAAGGGGCAGTTATATCTATCAGGCTCTCTAATGCCCCCATTGAGGCAGCTTTTTTTCGGTATTATATACGTGAGGACTTCCAATGTATCTCATTTATATTCACTTGCTACTGGTTTCCCAACTTTGACATTCAATCATACATGAGACTGTCTCAACAGTTGAAGATTCCTAGTTGTCGATCCCTCCAAATTCCAAAATGGGTCTTCTCTCACTTATGTATCGACGGCCAAAGCATGTAGGCAAGGAACAATTTATACGTCTCAATACTACCCTTTCAGAAAATGAGAAGAGCAATGCTTCCCTCAAATCAGGCTATTCAGGACCTTCATCCGGTATACCTGACGCTCTTACTTTTGACAGGATCATCAACGGCGGAACTTGTCCTGTGAGTCACTTCTTCAACGTTGAGTCGCGATCTACATATTAACAAACTCATGTCTCATAGCCATGCACCATCCGCGATTTTATGAACTACCTAATCTACATCGAGCATGCAGCCGAGAATCTACAGTTCTTCTTATGGTATCGCGACTATGTCAAGCGCTTCAATGAGATTAACATCTCCGAAGCCCAACTCTCTCCCGAGTGGACACAAGCAATGGAAGATGAGGCGACTGCCAAGGTTCAGAAAGACGTCATTGACAAGATGAGAAGAGAGCAAAAAGTCGTCTCAATTTTCAAGGGCACAGACTTTGAAAAAGGGGCGTCGGAAGTTGTCGTCGAAATCAAAGACCCCTTTTCAACACCACCCTCAACTCCCAGTCTTAACGAGACTCCATCAATATTCTCCAGCTCCCAGGTATCTAACCACCACATCCAAGCTCAAGATGCATTCATCGCCGCCGGCGCCACACAACCATGTAAGTCCTCAGTACCCACTTCCCATTTCCTAGACAAAACATGTCACACATCTAACCTCTCACTTACCTACCTAGTCACAATCCAACCCTTCCGCGCAGAAATAACTCGCGTAATAAGCACCTACCTCGCCGACTCCACCCCCCGCCAACTCAACCTCTCATCCCGCGAACAAAAATCCGCAATCCAAGCCCTAGCCTACACCACGCACCCCTCCGCTCTCCGCTCCATAGCCCGCAGCGTCGAAGACACCTTACGCCGCCAGGCTCACCCAAATTTCATCCGCTGGAGCATCTGCAACGGCAACCCATCGCGGGTAACCTTCGCAGTCGGCCTAGGAACCAGCATAATCACCCTCACAACAATCGGCGCTATACTCCTAACCCTCAGCCGCGCCCCACGGGGATGGAGAGCGCTATTCGCAATCTTCTGGGTCCTCGGGATCGCAACCCTAATCGCGGCACAAAAAGGAATGTGCGTCGTGCTACACGGGCTGCACCATCGGCACGTGCGGCCTTGGGAATTATTCGAGACCCCCTCTCCCTCCCCCTCGCCACCAAACTCGTTCGACGGGTCGGAGTTAGAAGAACAAGGGGGACGGGGTAGAGAGGGCAGGTGTTTCGACGCGTTCGGCGCGGGGAATAGCTACGAGGACGAGCCGTGGGTGGTGCGGTATCAGCGCCGGAACGTCGTGCGCCGGGTCTTCGACCGCGAGGTTTGGATCCGCGAGCCGGCGCTGAGGAGGATCCAGGATGTCATTTTCGTGCAGGCTTTGCTGGGCGCGTTGTTGGGCGCGGGTGTGCTTACGGCTGTGTTTGTGAGCGCGCCTGCTGGGAGGTTCTTTTGAGGGAGGGACTAGATAGGTAGGTTGGCTTTATTTGTGTTATGGATATTGAGTAGGTATATACATAAGGGGTTCAGGGGTTAGGTTGGTCTGCTTGACTTTAGAATCTAGATTAGATACGTGCTAGATATATGTCTTAAGAATATGACTCCATCGTATGTACAATTTACTCTTAAACTTATCAAGACTCGAGTATTTATGAGCCATCTAGTTGCGTTCGGCTTACTCATATTTAACAGTTAGTAATTATTAGTTGGCTTTAGGTTTCTAATTAGTTGCTGACTGGTATCGAAAGCTAGACAAAATTTGTCAAAATACTGTTTCGTATTATAGAAGTGACTTGAACGAAACAATTCCCGTGTTCATCATGAATGTTTAAGAAAATAAGGCAGCTGCGGATCTCGGTCGATTTACATAACAAGTCTCGGTTAGGTGCATGGAAGACGGCTAGGCCCGCAGATTGGCACGTTACACGGTTACGTATGAGCCTATGAGGGGTTTTGGCAGCGGGGAGCTGTTGGGGCATTAACCTTGAAATTTACCCACGCTACCCATGCTGTACCTAGTAGGCAACCCCGGTATAGTTATCGATAAGGTGGTGGCATGTCACTGCGGAGTCAAAATGCTAGAATCATTTAATCTCATTTGTTTAAACTGTGCCTCGTCGTTGAAACTAAAGGATCCATAAGATACGATCCAGTTCCAATTGTCCCACCAAAAAACCAAATCATTCTTTTAAGCCTTACTCCGTTAACCGGATACACCTTTAATAATACAGATGTTCCAATTACTATAGCCATAAGCCGTCTCTCTATCTCGCCGAATACAGATCTGACGCTACATCGAGAATTCATGCCTCCCTGACCATCTTCCACTTTTAGGCTTCTGAGCCAACAGAAGCTTCCAATTCCCTCTTTTGATTATATCTTACTTCTTTTAACCACTCCCGAGCTTGATCCGATACGAACGAGCAAAAATGCCTGAGGATCACTATCAAGCCGAAGTTGCGACTAAGTTTGCGACAGAAGTGGCGGTTGAAGACGGAGAAGACGATGCGGCGCAGCAAGCGACCGGAAGACCGCGAACCATGACGAGCACCGCAGAGATCGATAGCACAATCACCCATCCCGGTTCCGTTCGTATAAACGTCAAAGGCGCATTCATCGTCGATACCCCCGAACAGCCTGGTACCCCGGCGAACCCATCCGGGACTGGGAATAGCTACCACGAGACAAAGGACATTCGCCTCCCCAATCATACAGCTGTTATTAGTCATATCGCTGTCGATGTAAGCTTCTCGTAATATTATCGCGAGCTTGCGACTCCGTATTAACCGAGCTTACCATCCGTTTATTGCTTTTAGATCGGTGGATCCCTAGCGAAAGTCGTATATTTCTCCCGCGAAGCGCATTCCAACGACCCAGGTGGGCGACTCAACTTTCAATCTTTCGAGACCGATCGCGTAGACGATTGTATAGAGTTTATGCGACACCTCAAGGACAAGCAATTGGCCCTCAATGGCTCTAAACCGGGTGAACTGTGCGTGATGGCCACTGGGGGCGGCTCATACAAATATTACGACAGAATACGACAACGACTCGATGTTGACGTCTTAAGAGAAGATGAAATGGAGTGTTTAATTATTGGTTAGATATTTCTGGTCATCTCGATTTTAAAAGTAATAGGGGTCGATATACTGACATTGCGACAGGCCTTGATTTCTTTATCACCGAGATACCCCGCGAAGTCTTCACATACTCCGAAACGGATCCTATGCACTTCGCGTCGCCTAATGCTAATATATATCCCTATATGCTAGTTAATATAGGTTCTGGTGTTAGTATACTTAAGGTATCTGGACCGCGGACATATGAACGTGTGGGTGGTACGTCTCTTGGAGGAGGTACCCTTTGGGGTATTCTTTCGTTACTCACACCCGCCGAATCATTCGACGAAATGCTAGATATGGCTGCACATGGCGACAATGCTAAAGTCGACATGTTGGTTGGAGATATTTATGGTACCGATTATGGTAAAATCGGACTAAAGAGTACTACAATCGCTAGTTCCTTCGGTAAGGTTTTCCGCATGAAACGGGAAGCAGAAAACGAAGCCGAAGACACAGGTGGACTTTCCAATGGTGATGATCAAAATCGAAGGCAAGAGCAGCAGAAATTAGATCAAACCTCCGTATCGACTTCCTCGCAACCACAACAGCCACCGCAACCTCGACCCACCTCCTCTAGGGCCAGTGAATTAGCCCGGTCGCGATTCTCTAGCGCTGATATTTCACGTTCTTTACTTTACGCCATCAGTAATAATATCGGCCAGATATCCTACCTGCAGTCGCAAGTGCACGGCCTTTCCCGTATTTACTTTGGTGGATCTTTCATTCGCGGCCACCCTCAGACCATGAACACCCTAAGCTACGCCATCAAGTTCTGGAGTAAAGGAGAGAAGCAGGCGTACTTCCTACGCCACGAAGGGTATCTAGGTGCCGTAGGCGCATTCCTTAAGCACCAACCCCGGAATTGGGGTCGCAGAGGCAGTTTCGAGGAGAGTCGGTAATCCAAGAAAGGGTTAAGTCTAATAGAAGAGGATACCCCATCTTGACTATTTGACAGGAACCGCCAAACAATTCCTTGGTGATAATGCTCACAACAAATCGTGAGAAGAGGAAGTATAAAAGGAAGGAAGACTTGAATGGACAATAAAATGTCGTCAGGTCGGAACGATATGCAATGCTGAAGAAATCTCAGCATCACCATATCGTACCATGCCTACCTATCTACCTACTCCTTGCTCATTATCTACCAATCTACCTAGGTATATGTCTCACCATACTCGTATCGAGATGACACTAGTACGGTGAGATAGCATTGTTTTATGCAGCAAATTACTGAATAGGATATGCATCGCAGACGTGGATTAGACGTGGAAAATACAGGATACTCAATAGAATAACCTATCAATTCATGAGCTACGTACTCTATTCAGCACCATAATAAGTAGACTAATGTGTATATTCTTGCGTATAAATGAACCTATAATATATCAACTAAGAAGCAAATCCATATACCTACCTCAAACAAGCCAATTTCTGCGTAACATAAAATTCATCTCACACACCGCCCCAATGGTTTTATAATAAATCATATATCACATCCCCAAAGGTCTCCGAGCACAAGCTGAAATCCAACGCACCAAAAGAGTATCGCTACCAAAAGCAACCTTCATAGACGCAACCCACATACATCCGAGACGCAAGTCTCACATGTCAAAAAGCAAATGGATGATCGAACCCAGGCTCGAACTGGGGACCTTCAGTGTGTTAGACTGACGTGATAACCAACTACACCATCCGACCGATGAACGACGGCTTTTTATTGAGGCATATACTGCTAGCTAGTGTGGAGAAATGCGATTGATTCGCTGGAAGTTCGCTGTGTGTGTGTTAAGTGGGGGTTTAAGATAGACTAACGCCCTCGCGTATGTGTAGTGCTGGTGGGATCTATTAGGGGGTTCCTTACTATTATAGTTCTGTTCAATTCGGGAATGGAGATAATTCACCGTAGTATAGGTAGATACATAAGTGATATCTATAGCGCTTCGAGTTAATTGCAGGGAGAGCGGATTTTCTTTAACATATATAAGAAAGATATATCCGTATAACCTCGTAGAAGATAGAAAATACGTCGCTGCCACCCATGATAAAATTCAGAACAAGTACTCCCATGTGTATCCGCCAGAGTTTCTTAATTCATCCATCTACTCTCGCATTGAGTTAATTCTGGAAGCATAGAACGCGGCAAGTTAAACTTCCATGTCCTTCGGTTCTGGAGAGCCGTAGTGTTCAAGGCTCATATAAGAACTCGGAATTGGTTCCTCGACAGTCGAGGTTGAGATGGTTGAACCTGGTAAGCAAAGTCGATCCACATCGTCAAGCTCCCCCAGATCAATACTCTCCCATTCTGCATAAAAATCGGATTCTGACAGGTAAGCTACAGTTGGTGAATTAGCAAAAGCCGGTTCGAGATCCATGGGGAATTCATCATTCATTGCCTTCCCCGTGTCTTCATAGAAGGCTTCAACATCAGCACAGCAGTCCGCGCCGTAATCTCTCTTAAAATCAGATTCTATAGCTTCCGATAGATGGATGCAATGCTCGTGCTTTTCTGAAGAGCCAGTTATGACACAATCATCAGGCGCATGGTCTGCAAAGACACAATGCTTCGTGTGAGTTGATCCGAGGGAGCATTCTTCATCTGTACCATGCCGGTGGCCCGGGTATGGGTCAAAACAGGTAGGACGTAAACCAGGATATTTGCAATCGCAGGTATAGAAACGCTGTCAACTGCGTCAACGTCTTCTATCTCGTATACAGTATAACTCTAGTTGATACAGTCAAGATTTGGAAATGTCGTACCTTCGGGTCTACTACTAACGACACGTACGTGGGCTCGTCGTACAGTGATTCATCGTCGTCGTCGCTAGAGCTATCGGAGGAACTCCGAGAGCTACAAATGGAGTGGTTACGTCGAGGAGCCTCGAGATCTTCAGATAAGACCTCTTCTAAGCTGAGCCTATCGTTTGCAAACCTATTCGGGGAAGAAAATACGCGATACCCATTCGAAAGAAGCATCGACGGTGGATTGGATCCTGTTCGGATGTAAATAAGCTGGATGTCAAATAAAGCCTTCTTTTGGTCGTGACTGATCTCGTCGTAACTAGCGAGTAAAGTTGGATCGATTGTAATGAATCTAGCTTCTCTTGGAAATCCGACTTGCTGAGCGAGGGCCAAAACTCGCGTCTCTCGCAATTGTTTCCGTGGAGCACCGATAACCGTATACAACTTGCCATCAGGGGCTTTAAAGCTTGGTACCCAACATATACGGGCTACAGGAACTTTGGAGGCCTCGAACGTCGTCAAGTTTACAACATAGACTTCTCCCTCCTTACATTTATAACTATGTACGGGCACCCAGACTGGGAACTTATCGGTGGCCGACGGGCCTGTCGATACTGACACGCCGTGTGCCTCGGTTTCGTAAATGTCGTCTTGGATATCGTCTCTCAACTCGATTGTGTTGCTAAGCACTCGCGGCTCTTGCTTATTTGTACCTTCCAACGGTTGAACGACCAGCGTTCGTACGGGTGCTGTGAGATCCAAAACGGGTGACTGCACAAGAGTATTTTGATGGGACCAGTGATAGTTTCGAACGCGTACGGTATAGTCGGCCATGGTTATGACTTCAGTTCTTGCTGTTAATTATACATGCCCATGCGTCAACACTTAGGTATATTACTATCAGAACTTGACAGATATGTTGAGCACGTATGCTAGTACCATCAGTCAATGGTCTCGAATTACCGAATGCGGATCCTTGGCGGACGTGCACGTAAGTGGTCTCGTAGATCGAAGCATGGCAATGTATGTAAGACCTTGGAAAAGCAAATAGTAACACGGATCCGAAATCCTTGAAACCCGTAGCATAACTGGGCACACTTAGCGACCTCAATATCCATAGGTCTTTCGAAATCCGCACTTGCAGCATAACCTAAACCAAATTTAGCTAATTGCTTTATGAAGACTAGCTCTATGAGAAAGAGGCTGAGCGGTGAGATTGGAGTAGACCAGATAGACTTAAGTCTTAGGTAGCAATGCTCGATGACCAGCATCTGTAGGGTGAAAGCGATTGACTAGCTACCAAGGTAGGCAATGCGACTCCAAGAGTGATGAGGAGCAGGATAACATCAAGGCATTAATAGATGTATGATATAGATACTAAGGTATTTGTACAGGTACCCAGCTCCAGATACAAGTGCGTCTTTTAGACCGCGGGAGGTTGATACCTAAGACGAAGCGAGATCGGGTGGCTTGATTAGCTCAGGATCTTGCCTGGTCGAGATAACCAATCGCCGAATCGTCGATGACATGCCGATCATGGCCAGGCATGCGTAACCAGTGGGCTTACACCGCATTAGTTCAGCTATTGGGCGTCGGGCGTCAAGCGTTGAGTATCGTGGCTGTCCTTATATGTATCTTAGACATAGATTTAACTCCCTTACTCGTTAGCTAGATGTCTAGCTTGCTCGAATTATTGGTGACGTTTAGTCATTCTTTGAAGATTTGGCCTCCTGCTTCTCCTTTTCCTCTTTTCTCCCAAGAACGCTGGCGATCCATTCTTCGATCTCTCGTTCAGCTTCCTCGTCAGTCTGACCACCGCGAATTCCGTAACTTCGTCGTGCCATCGCTCTTAAATCATCAACACTAGAGACATCAAAAGCCCATGCTAGGCCACCAGTAGTCATGATTCCGAATCCCATGACATTAAGGGTAGCTAAATTCAGAGCCTCTAGAGCTATTAAGGAACCGTCGGATGGCGCCTTGATTGCTGGTCGGTTGCTTTGGTTGTAGAATTTAGGTACTGTAGCCATATATTTCCTAGTTACTGAACGCCTCGTAATCAAGGTTGAAAGAAACATAAAGCCTGCGCCTCCGAAGAACAACCCCAATTGTTTCAGCGATCGTTCCGAAAATATCGGCGGTCGGGGTTGAAATGGTTGTATCGTGTTTTCAGTGGACTGGGAAGGTTGAAGAGGCTGTGAATGTTGTGAGGGTGGAAGAGGTTTTTCTTGAGAGGGTTCTCTATCCTTCGCCATGGTCATAGTAGTTCCGAATGACCACATTGATGTTCGTCTATTTCGAAATTGATCTATTTCAAGCAGAGAAAGGCGAAATATCAGTCGAGAATTGAACGAGTGACGATTATTAAGAAGCCAATTACTAAATGATTGCAGGTTAGCTTTCCATGGAAATGGTTGAAAAGAGTAAGAGTTAGAGGTCGTTAGTGTCGTGTGCTAGAATCGAAATTGTTCTTTCCTTTCAGAGATCTCTGTTAGTCCCGATTTTCAAATCCGGGGTAAATAGGTGGGGTAGAGGTAATTTAGTCGGATTTCAAAATTCTTTGAAATGAAATCGGATATCACAGTATTTATTCCGTTTAGATAGATAATTTGGAACACTAGGTATCTAAGCATGAATGCCTATCTTTGATATACGCATAACCATCGTCATCTTGAGTTTGAGAATTCTAACTTTTGACCCTTTCCTAAGTTTGACCTTGGGTTTTACACGACATACATGGATTACGGCGCTATGGATATTAGTGTAGTACATCCTCGCATTAATTACAGGAGCTATAAGCTAAACAGTGGACCCTTCTACGATACAGGTACAGGATATCGTATGAATGCAGTGTTTTATAATTTCCTATTATACCTCTTCTTCCTTCTACCATGCCTTCTTGTCAATTAAGTATCTATGTATCTCATTAGCGAGAATCACGACCGAGACTTATAAAATCGAGAACTAACAAATTTTAGATACTTAGCTCTTATATGTTCATCATTCTAGCTCAGCCTAGGGAGCTACCAAGTCGATCCTAGGAGGTTATGCTGGGGTTCGAATCTTTCGGGGGGTTGGTGAATCGAGGACGAATAAGAGCATCCATTGCTTCCTCCTAAAGCTCTCCTCACATTCATTCCACCACTCAGAATAACCAGGAAGCAGGAGCCTCAAAATTCGTACGAGAAAGATAAGGCATGGTCGGATACTTTTTAGCTTGAAATGAAGCCAGAGATCCTGCGGCGACATAGAGCACGGAGCATCCTCCGTCGGAAATACTTCAGACCAGTGAATAGGATGGTCATCGTCATACTCCTTTAATGCTACCATGATTTCGAGGGCCGCCGCGAGACGACAAAGGGGCTTTCTAAGATTCGAAACAGTCCCAAACGGCGCCCCTACCCCCTCAACAGCAACGTGGGCAGAGATTACCCTGGCCGTGAATTTCCTGTATAATTCTTTCCGTTTGTCATCTAACCTAGATTGATCAACCTCGGCTACCAGGCCTTTATAAAAACAAGCGATGCGGCTAGAGTGCGCTACTCCGATGAGTGGGAATTGTATTAACCCTCTCCACAGGTGGAACGTTGCTAGATGATCCGGGGGCGGTTCACCATCTAAGCACTTTCGAGCGGTGACGGTCCACTCACAATATGTCGAAAACCTACTCATCTTTTGGCTGAGGTGACGATGCAAGAGTAGTCAGAGTGGATTCATGCATGATATTGTCTGTTGAAGACCTTGTCTCAATGTGTGAGGGTCCATCAGGCTCTTTATACATGGATCTCTTGTCATGCCAGTTTCCAGGCAAATACCCCGGAATCCGACGGTCATCATCGAATCCCCTAGAGCTATTGTAATTTCCACTTTGACTAAGGGGTAGAAGCATGAAGCAAAAAGAAAAAGGGATAAAAGCCAATCATCAATTACTAAGAAGGAAGCTTAGAAAACTTCCGATAGGTTCTATCCACATTAGTGTCTGCAATCTGACATATTTGTCTCTCTATCACGCCATAATTGCCTCCCTACTGAAATGATTGAATTATGAAGAGGGCGGTGAGAATATGCAGCCGTATTGTTATTACCGGACGGCTTACCTTCTCGAAATTGATAATTTTGCTCAGGCAGATATATGATCTCAGGCCAATTAGGTGCTTATATCAGAAATGCCATAGTTGCAGTGCATTTTGTAACTACCCATAGGCGCTCATGTCACTCGCATGAAGCAGAAAACATGTGAGGGGCTTGCAGTTGTACAGATACATGTCCACGAGGTTGCTATAGTAAAACCGAGTACCTGGTAACAAGATCAGATCGATCAAGGTAAAATACGGGAGTTAACTTTATCTTGGAGGGGCCAAGCAGCCAATTTCTTTAGTGCTGATTGACATGCAATTTAGGGGCCGGGGCCGGGGTGCCGGGGACGGGGTTCCAGCACCCCAGTCCACTAAATTATATCCTACCAGAATCCATTTACAGTAAACGGACTCAACCTTATCTGTGGATGTCATCTTCTTCCCTTAAACCACCCAACTTCCAGACCACCCAAAGCTGAAAATTCACCAATACTGGTACCTACCTACCTACACACCTGAGTACAAAGACTTAAACGGGGCTATTATGGGGAAGGATAAATCAGTCAAGAAGAACCAACCTACATCAAATCCTACGGTGGCGTCTGCAGCCATTGCTAAACCTCCAAATTGGCCCCCATTCAGGCCCCCTCTACCCGTCTTAGAACTTAGCCCAGAAGCTCCCATCCCAGGATTGGAAGACAAGATTATTCTTGTGAGGAACTTTTGGCCGAAAAATCTATGCCGAGACTATGTCAATTTTCTTAAGACATTACCTTTGACCACTACTCCCGGCCGACCAAAACGCGGCGAAGCGTTGAGGGTTAACGACAGGTTCCAGGTTGACGACCCTCGTTTCTCTCAGAGACTCTGGCTTGAAACCGGGCTCAAAGATGCTCTTCTGGAAGAGTCCGTTAGGCATCTATGGTTAGAAAGCAACCATGCTTCAATCACATGTTAGTCAACGGATAACACTAATGGTCTACAACAGGGGTGGTGATGTGGTGGGCTTGAATCCCAACATCCGAATATATCGTTACACCAAGGGTCAATATTTCGACTGCCACTGTAGGTACTCATGACCACCTTCTTCAGATTCACAATACACACCCATATTTTTCGGGTCCGGAGCATACTATGCAAGCCAAGGCTACGTGGCCTAAGGAGCGACGTTATTTCTGCAGCAAGTCTTCTGCACAGAATTGGATTTTTAACGTGAAGATGCTTGAATATGCAGTACACCACCAAAATTTCTCGCAGATATCCATGGCCATTGGAGATAATCACATCATGGTGTGGGCACCATGCGCATCTTGGAGTCGTTTTCTTTCAGATGGTGAATCATTGGTTACTAATCACTCAGCCGCAGACGACGATTTCAATCTAGTCACTTTACCATACACCAACGAGTCTCCCGGTACCATCAGCACTAAAACAACCTGGACATTGTTACTGTACTTGACCTCGGCCACAGAAGGCTGTGCTGGTGGAGAAACTGTATTCTACACCCACGATCGTAAATCACCAAAAGAAGAAATTGCTATTGCCCCAGAAACAGGATTGCTTCTCCTCCACAAGCACGGTGATGATTGCTTATTGGTAAATACAGAAACATCTTTACCCCCCTCTCCTACAGGACCTGCGAGACTAATGCGCCGGCTCTCAGCATGAAGGTCGGCAAGTAACAGCGGGGGAAAAGTGGATAATTCGCACCGACCTTTGCGTGAAGAAGTAACATTTTCACTTCAAGCTCGTGGATTTCGACATGGTCTAAAGGCGGCCTCTCTCAGATACAAGGAGGAAGTTTCCTATGCCAGATTTCAAGACAAGCCAAGACGAGACTTATCTGATAATTGCGGGCAAAATATCAAAGGAACGGGTACAGCAACCCGACACTCCCGTCTCGCGTACGCAAACAAACCCTTCTAGATCCAAGCCATCCACATGAAATGATCAAAAATACGAGCATCCCGAATATGCCGAGACAGTTAGGTCAGCCAACCAAAATCTGGTCCGGGAATTCCCTTCGATGAGTTCCAATAAGCCTCAATTCTTCAACAATCTATCAACATTATTCACCGAGGAAAAGCTAGACTTGCTTGACTCGAGTTCACCCAATAGTTACACGAGATGTGGTTTCACCTAATTCCCGTATCAAGTTGAATCCATTGGCTAGAACAAGTGACTAGATATGTCCAATAACTTTCCTGATCGCTGGTACTTGCCTCTCATTCGCCGCTGGATAGCTGGTATCAACGAACTTAGGTAATAAGATTTCGTCACTAATGTAAGTGTTTCTCGACCGGAAAATAAATGACAGCGGGATCTATCCGCGGCATGTCTTACTTAGACGACAACATGAGCGGGAGCTTCAACAGTACCTACAGAGCGGGCGGTTTCCAGCGGCTTTCTCGAACGTGAAACAATCATCGATTATATAAACATGTCTATTTGAGGTGGCTTGCCACCGCGCGTCTAATTCCGTAGCCATATGTCTAAGAAATCCGTCATCTACGGACCCCTAGCTCACGTCTCTTGCGTCTTATTTCCTGCCCCTGACGCATCTCTGCATATCCTCATCTTACCTCTAGCCTGCTTAGAATCTCGCTTCTTAACTTTTGATATCAGCCATACAAGCACCCGAGAAAATAAATATGAGGAGGCTATAAAACCAAGCTATTCAGGATATTATTATCCAATCAGATATACAGCATCACTTCCCCATGGTAAACCGCACGAAAGATGATGAGAAACCCACCTCCTCCGGATGTATTCCAAATCCTCAATAGATTACCAGACAAGCTGGAACCTAGGTAATGAGACACGGGGGCTAGGGCTGACAGAGCCGCTGAGCTAGTATCAAGCCATTCTGGGCTATCCGGAAGTGGAGTCAATATCAGCCTCTAAATCAAGCCGGGGACCGAGCCTGCTTCCTTCGTTCTTTGATCATCTTAAACACTAGGAAATCTCGGTACGAACTACGGAGCTTACTTTGTTTCGCATTTATAACTGTAATCATACTACCTAGCAGCCTAGGCATACACATCCAGGGATCTTGTATATAAGTCTCAGCTCAGGTATAACTACAATATAAAGAAAGACATGACACGTACCATTAGATAAGCCAAAATACCATTAAATATATGAGAGCACTAGAGCCTGATCTTGGCTGAAACCTAGGACCGCCAATATAAGCCAGTATCGACCTCGACAAGTACCTAAAGTAGAGTGAAGGAAATTCCAAACTCCGGGCTCAACGCCACAAGCTTGGACTTTTACCTACCTAACCAGCACCCCCGTTATTTTCTAGTCCGTCCGATTCTACCCCAAGAACCCCTAGGATATACCTACCTTGACCACACGAATCCCCCAAATTCAGTAGGAACTAGAATCTGCTCGACCAAAGTTAAGGAAAGGACTAGATCAGGTTAAAAGTTGTCGTGACTTTATGTTTTTCCTTTCGTGGCAAATATGGAGTGGGACAAACAACATAAACTAATAGTAGACCTGATGGTTTGGAGAAAGTAGCGAGTTATTAGAAATAAAATTAGTATACATAGGGGCGGGTGGCGCTGTGTCTGAAACAATAGCTGGCTACGGGTAGGTCTTTGTAATATAGCATTCCACTTGTCTCCCATCTTTAGGTCATACCAACCTAGAAGATAGTATTAGACCGGCACAGGGTAGTCGAGAATTATGTTTTACTAGTAGGGCATGTCACGATAGTATAAGGTTGAAGCAGATGATTGAAATTGCAGATGCCACAGAAGGGCAGGATCAGGGTCAATTAATTCTCATTCATCATTGACCTAAACCACGAATCTTACTCATTTGGTAAGAGCGAATTGGTATGCCATAGACGCCAGTTCCCATGCGTTGTGAAAATCAACCCTCTGCCAGATCCCTTTTTGTTTCATTAATAGAAGATGCTTAGTGACCAGCCAGGGCCTGAGCACGACGTCGGTCACGCTCCTCGGCAATGGTGAGCTTGACACCGCGGCCCTTGGGTAGGGAGACCCAAGGCTTCTCGGAGCCGATGACGAAAACGTTGCTCTCACGAGTGGCGAAAGTGTTGTCAATGGCATCCTTGATGTGGACGATGTTGAAACCACCATCGTGACGCTCACGGTGGGTGATGACACCGACACGACCCATGTTACGACCACCGGTAACCATGGCGATGGCGCCAGTATCGAACTTGATGAAGTCCGAGACCTTGCCAGAGGCTAAGTCGATCTTGACAGTGTCGTTGACCTTGATAGAAGGGTCGGGGTAACGGATGCTATAGAAAATATAATGTTAGCATAGGTGGAGGAAGGGGGTACATACAGCCATCAGTTCGAAGCTCGATCCTATCACAGATGGTAAAAGGTGGTTCAACCAAAGCTTGATCCAACGGCTGAATGATGCTTAATAGAACTTACGTTCTCGCATCGTGCGTGACCAAGAATGGGATTCCGCCCTTGCCAAGCTGAACGCGCTTGACCTTGCCCAGCTTGTATTCGGCCTCCTCGGTCTGAATTCGGTGGATTGTGTAGCGGCCCTTGGTGTCGTAGATGAGGCGGAAGTGCTCGCCAGTCTTCTCGATGGTGATGACATCCATGAAGCCGGCAGGGTAGGTCATGTCGGTTCGGACCTTGCCGTCGACCTTGACGAGACGCTGCATGAGGATGGCCTTGGTCTCGCGGTAGTTAAGGGCATACTTCAGACGGTTGCGGATGAAGACGATGAGGGGCATGCAGTCGCGTAGCTTGTGAGGACCGGCGGAAGCCTTGGGGGCGTAGACACCGGACAACTTGTCAAGAAGCCAGTGGGAGGGGGCGCTCAAGCGCTTCTGGTGCTTTCTCCTGTGAATCGAAAATCAATTAGTATAGGACATCATCAATTTAAATTTTCGGTAGCGAAATTCCAACGTCAATGCGCGCTTCGCGACAGCGACGGCGGCTTTTCGTGGAAATTCTGTATGTCGATATTTAAAATAGTATATGCTGTTCTGTAGAAGGTATACTTACGGTCCGCGAGCCATTTTGTCTGTTCAACGATAGATGATGAGGATATCGTGAAGTTGGCAGGTCGATGTGGAGGTTTCTCAAAGATGAGAAAAGTTGTTAGATTGATTGCGCCTAGGTTACAATTTCGATAGAAGCGAAAAGTTGTGGGTTTGTGCCCTAGTGGGTCTTATGGTTGTGGGATGGTAATCTGCGTGGTCTGTGCACAGGAACTTGTTATTGATTTCTTGGCATTTTCTTTTGCCGGGATCGACAGGTACGTACCATTCTAGACTCCACTACCCTCACAGAACTATCACCCTTTTCAAGACAGAGAAGCAGTATAAATACGGCGATTTCAAAGATCTTCAATTTTTCTATTTGTCAATATACAGTAGGTCAGCTACATATTATAACTTATGACTTATATCTAAGAGCCGGTAGAGTACAGAAGATTCTCCGAATATTCTTCATTGTGTGGGAACACTCAACGAGAACCGATTCTGACGATAGGTTCATTAATACTTAGATATGAATATCGAATCTTGATCTGCTTTCACCAAACCACATTTTCTTTTCTTCATTCCGCGCGTGTGTCATACCTATTCATCAGATTCACTTCCTCGACTGATAATACATCCCATACATACCGCACATGGCCATTCTGTAACGACTGAAGCTTCATGCTGAAAGAAGCACGAAATCGGGTTGAAACCCGTCTTAAAGTATGCCCTCGACGTAATTTGAATCGAGTTATGGCAAGTACTGACTTTAGTTCTTCCTCACACCTTTGGCCATCTTGTAGTCTATCCCCTCGGCGATGTTGTCAGTCGCCATGATTTTATCTGTCATATCTGCAGCAAGATTGCAATGAGTTCCCTAGACCTTTTTAGGCGTGGTGGACAGAAAAACTCCCCCAATATAGTTGATATATGTCATCCTAGACCTCGCCGCTCTGAGGACGGCTCGTTTGTGGCTTGTGTATCATCAAGAAGAAGACGTGATATATCCATCTCTCCCATAGTACCTGAAGTAAGGCCCGCTGCGGATGCCTCGTTCCAATATATACCGGGATGGGGCTGTTGGGAGGGTTCTCCGGATTCAATGAGATGAGAAGGCATCGGCCATCTTGGTATGTCTTCTCTTGAGTTGGTTCGATTAAGTTGCGGTTCGAGCAAGGCCGACTTAGAAACGTGCAAAGAATTCTCGATAGCCATATTAACCGAGGGTTCCATCAGGTTGTTGCCCCGCCCTGGCTCCCTCACTCCCATGGCCGTCTTTTCCGTACCTGCAAACTTCTCTGGGTACTTATTACGTAGTCTGTCACGTAGATCTGTCGGTTGTCTAGTAGATAGGTTGAATCTCGAATCCCTCTGGATCTTTGTCCACTGAGGGCCATAGTGTTCAAATCCTTCTAGTATCTCCCTATCATCTTGTTCGGAGAATGGGCGTCGCTCTCTTCGATGCGACTTTTTAAATGGTCCTCTAATGCCTAGTTCGACCAGGTCTTCCATCTTCTTCCGATGGGCCCGGCTCTTGCGCTGCCTGGTTGGCGTAGGATCAGAATCATTCGGACCCGACTGGGCCTGTTCAATCTCGACCTCCTCTTCTGTTTCATTTAAGATATTCTCAGACATGAGACCTTTCCTTGGTCTTCCTCTAGTATTCACGACTGGCTGTTTCTCTTTGGGCGTATCACTTCTAGCTGATGGACTGGCACGCAGTTCCTCGGGGCAACAAGTACGAAACCTATCTTTCAAGTCTCCCGCCGTCCTATCGTTAAACCTATACTCCGGATCTTCCAATATGTCCGTCCATCTTCCGACACCATGTTTACTCACACCCAACAATAAGTGATTGGTCTCTTCTTCGGACCACTTGCGTCGTGGCTTGGCAGCCCGCCGTTTGACTTTCCCTGTTGGGGTTCGCTCGGGTTCAGGCGGAGGGCTCGGGTTTGTCTTTTCCTCTACCGTATCCGATATATCGGGTGGTTTAGTGATGCTGAGTGCCTGCGGAGGCTCGGAATGCGGGCGGTTGTCGAAGGATCCGGAGGAGATTGGTGGGAATAGGGAAGCATCGGATGGTGGCTCCAGCAAACCTACTATGATTGGAGGGAACATATGTTGTTGAGTAGTCGCTTTCTGTTTCTTCAGCGGCTGAGGTAGCTGAACGAAGTCTTCCTTCACCGGCCGCCTCTTCTTTCCGACATCTTCAGTATTATCCGGCGTATCATCCAATATCATGCGCAAGTCCTGAGACGAAATGTGGCTTAGTAATGTTCGATCCGATGAATAACTTGCATCGGTCCTGAAAGCTGAGTTCGTAGTAGAAGCCTCGTCTACCATCGAATATAAGGAAGGCATGGATTGAGAAGCCAATTGACCCAGGTTTGTGTCTGATACCTCAGGCCTCTGGCTGGCATCGGGCTCGATAGGGTGTAGACGGCCGGAAGTCTTGGGAAGAGGCAGAACCTTGATGGGAGGAAGCTCAGCATGGTGAGGCCGTGGAGTAGAAGCCGATTCGTTCAGCAGATGAATCAGTCGTGGCTCGATGGTGGCCATCGTGAGTCGATGGTAGCGGACAGGAGATTGTCATTGGGAGAGAAAAAGGTCCGGACGGACTCTTAGTTTTCGCACCGAGGGGGGAGGGGGGGAAAGAAGATGGAGGCGAGAGACAAAGGCGGGACAGCGATAAGAGAGAAATGGGTGGTCGAGACTCGGACAAGTATACGGGAAAATAGTGACGGCACTACTGTTTGATCGAAGAAAAAAAAATGGTACGAGAATTGAAAACAGTACGATACTGTCTACCCGTTTATGGAAGATACGTAAGAAAAGCGAGGGAAAAGAAGAGAAGAGAAGAAAAAAACTTGGATAATGGCGCGAAAGAAGAGGAAGAGAAGAGAAAATAGGTTTTTTTTTTGTAGATGGCAATCTACTCAGATAGGTAATCAGCGCCGATAAACCTTCACCGGAGATCCTCGAATAGTTCGTGGCCCCTCCTCTCTACATCTATTCAGAGGGGAGGGAATAAAAATCAGGAAAAGAGACAGGGAACGAAAGCGAGGGTGAGAGAGAAAAAAAGACTTCTTCCTATCATTGATACATACTATGCAGGTACTAGGAAAATGGAAGCGGTATTAGTGCGGGTTGGCCGCGTTTGCGTTTGCATTTTCCTTTCCTCAACCCATCTTTCTCTGCTCAACCTTGGAACTGAAGTACTTCACGTGAAAATACCAATACCAATACCATTACCATTCAATATCATTACCCATGAAGGAATGATTCGACCCCAGGTCTAGAATATTGATGTAGACAAGTAGGTATATGTGTTAAGCATGTACTAAACTAATAGAGCAATAAACCAGACATATTAGGTTATGTCGATTAGAAATACCATCCATGGATGTATTGCCTATTGCTGCTTCTCTCTCGGGGTGTCGGACTGCTAGGGGGGTTTGACCTGCAAGAATGACAAAATATTCGATCGAATTTATTTTATGATGTGGAAAAGAGGAAAAAAAGAAGAAGGAATGATGTCTGGTTACACTAAAGATAACGCATTTTCTAAGGATCATCAGTGCCCACGGTGGGAATTCAATTAATCATCATGCCTTCTCGGCTGGTAAAATGCCAAGCATTTCTCTAATCTACAATTGCCTGCAATTGCGATGGAACTGTCTGATGCATTTTTTTCTTGTCACCTACTACCGTTTGATCCTTCCAGAGCCGGGGGAGACTTGTACCTGTATTGTTGCCCAATCGGGACGATGCCGCGACCCTGACCTAGCTGCTCTTTCCCCTATTCTGGATATTACGCTACACCCTCAGAAGACAACCACAACCCAACCAAACCACACCTAAGAAGTAGGTACACGCGTAGATATCATTCCACTTTGACTTACTCATCATATGTTGTCTATAAGCATAGCAAAGATCATCCATGAAAACCTAGTTCTCAGTTCTTATTTCAATCTCATAGCCTTCTTAAAATAAATAAGTCGATTCGCCTAAGAATATTTATTACCTAAGTGAATTACAAGTTGTGTGAGACCGATACATATTCCTCAACTCCGAGTCTCCAACTTAAGTCTTGTAAGCACCTATATTAAGAAGAAGTGCATAATACCATCACCATTAATATCCTATCTCGTCAAAGTACCTACTCAATATCCAATATCCAATCGACGATAGCAACGTTTTCAATTATATAATACGAAAAGCAACAATGGCCTCTCAACTCCCACTGTTCCCCCGTACCATCTTCACCATCGTCGAACCCCTCTCACTGTAAGCTATAGTCATCCCACGCACTATACCTTATAAACACTCAACACAGTTTATACTAGAATCGGCGGGTTTCTAGGCCCCTTTATAAACCCAGACTGGTTCATCGCCTCCCAGCTCGACAACCCAGACATCAACAGCGTCCCGCCAAGCGACGACAACGCGCGCCTAGCCGTCTACCAGCTCGGCAACGTCTATGCGCTTCTCTTCCTCCTCGGCGTCGTGATCCTCCACACCACATCCGAGCTCAAAGTCGTCCGGAACTATCTCATTTGTCTAGGGTCAGTACTTACCTACCTGTCTATTCACCCATTCCTTCATTCTAAAAGAAAAAAAAAGTCTCCTAATTCTCCCGATCCCGTAACGAGAAGTGCCTTCTAAATCGCACAGCGCGGTCGAAAACAAGAGCACGTGCATTTCGGTCACTTACCCATTTGTTACCCTGGTAATATACATCTCGAGTCTAGACTGACACGGGAGATATAGGGTCGCAGACATAAGCCACGTCGGGGTGACGTGTTGGATGCTCGGGTCTGACAGGACCATGGACGTGGGTTCGTGGAACGCTGTGACTTGGGGTAACGTCGGGTTTACTGTAAGCTCAACCCTTCCCGTCTTCTCCCGGTATTTCACACTTTTTAGGAAGAGGCTGCAGAAATACGTGAACAGAACCTGTGCTAACGGATAACCCCAAAAGGTTTTTCTATGCTTGACCAGGACCGCTTACCTTCTAGGCCTCTTTGGACCGGATCGTCAAGCCGTTACCGCGTTCAAGAAAAAGGCGTAAAGAATGGCCTAGGTAAGCTCAATGCAGTAAGTTACGCGGCAATGGTCAGCTGTATTCGAATCACGATCATAGCGAATCCGATAGTAATTAGAAACCCTCGAATTCATTAGAATTTTATGCCTCGATCCCTCTAAAAATGGAGATGGGTATTCCGGGGACGTTACTCGTAATTGTACAGCACCATATCCCAGCCCTCAATGCAACTTGCTTCGATGTTGAGAAAAGAACATGAATCCTCCCTTACCAAAGCTATGCGTACCTATCATGTTAAGTCCCCCATGTAAGCAATGTCAACCTCGTCCTCCTCGCCATCCCCGCCATCCCTAATTCTCGCGAGGTCGCTTCGCACCATGGGGATTCTGCCAGTCTGATTGTTGATTTCCGCCGAAGAATGCCGGGTTGAAGTGTGCGGGTTGCTGGAAGCCCATCATGGGCATTCCCATTGGACCCATGCCACCCATCATACCGGGGTTCATGGCGGGATTCATGCCGCCACCACGTCCGCCTCGCATGCCACCCCCGCGCATACCTCCCCCACCAGGCATCATACCGCCACCGCGGAAGTTGAAGCCGGGACCACCACCGCCGCCTCCGCCCATGTTGCCAAAGCCACCTCCACCGAAGTTGCCGCCTCCCATGTTACTGTTAAAACCACCAGGGTTGTTGCCATGGAAACCACCTCCCATATTACCCTGATAATTGCCTCTAAATCCGCCTCGGGGGCCATTGAAACCGCCGCCTCGGCCACGGAAGCCACCGCGGTCATTGTAGCCTCCCATGGAGGAACCTCCTCGGGAACCTCCATCCTTGTTAGCTCTAGCAGGAGCATCCTTAGGAAGGGTCTTGAATGGGTTTGTAGTGTGGGAAGTGTAGGTGATTGTTATCTTCTTTCCACCATGAGTAAGTTCGGATGCGACATTCTCAATCTGGCGCTTGGCTGCAGTTGCAGCTTGTTGGGAGGTGAATTCTACGTAAGCTTGACTATGGCACTGTCAATAAACCATGCGACAATTTAACTCAAAATATGAAATACAACTTACCCTTTGGATTTGCCGTTAACCTTGTGCTCGCTAAAGGTGATGTCCTTCAGCTCATCCTCGCAGGATGCGCGTCGGATCCAGCCTCGGACGTCATCATCGGTTGACCACCACTGCAGCTCGGAAAGGAGGAGGGCGCTGGTGGCGCCGGGATCGATGGGACGGTCGTCAGATACCTCCTTGCGCTTCAAGCTCTGGCTAGGAGTTGCGCGTTCACTGTACAGATGCATGTCATTCTGTTCTTCCTGGCCATCGTGATGAGAGTGCGCCATGGAATCGGGGTTAGAGCCGTTAGCTATTGTGATCGAGGAATTGTTCTCGTATGCGTGGTTGTTGGATTCATCAGGTTTAGATTCATCTAGAGTAGCCGCATCTGCATTTGCTGAATCACCGGCGTCGTTCGCGTCAGGCGCATCGCCATAGACATCGATCTCGAAATCTTCGTCCGCCATGTTGAATTATCCGAAATCCTGGTTTGGCAGGAAAAGAATGATGATTAAGGAGAGACTAAGAAGGGAGAGATTGGATAGAAGGTAGGTGTGATATCTGTAAAGTGAGGATGTATTCAGAGTAGATACAGAAGGTGCCTGTCGTCTTCGACTCCATATCATCAGTCAACCGAAAATACATGATGCGGAATCCTCAGCTGGAAAGATAGAATAAATAGCAGCAGGAGGAAAAAGAAAATTCTCACAATATCGAATACGTACAATTCGCAGCCTTTGACGTGTAACGTCCCCGGCGTGCTGAGCCCCCCTTTAGCAAGTATTTCCTCTTTTTTTAACGACGACGATGGGGCTCTGAACAAATAGAGATATCAAAGACGAAGCTCTGTGCTTGCAGTCTCCTTGCACTCTTCCTCGAAAGAATATTGCTGGCAGGTCCCCTTTTCCCAATATGTTATATGTTAAACCGTTATGCGACTCCGATAATGATGGTGTTAGTTTAGAGTACAGATAGATTGATGTCCGACAGGTTAAAAAGACGTAGAGCGGATAATCCCCAACTCCCCATGAATCTCTCTCGCTGCTATGGTTGTATTAGTACAAGATTTCCCAGCTCTGTTTTATTATCAGATAATGAACAGAGTAGTATGGGAAAGGAGGGAGGAAGTATTAAATTCTCCTGTAGAAAAGTTCACCAAATTCAAGAGAGGAAGTGAAGAACAGGGCCTGAAGGTCCGAGAACCAGGCAAAAAGGGAATGGAGAAAGGAGTTGTAACGCGTCGTAAGCGACTCAAGGGGTAGAGAGGGCTACTCCGATGCGCATAGTCGAGAAGTCGGTCAACCCAACGCGCTACACTCGACCAAGACGGAGAAATGGGGTGTCGTATGGGTCAGATTGGCCTTCTCTATCAATGTGAGTCAAAGACCTGGATAGAAGTGGACGTTGTTTTTAGTTTGGATTGTTTAAAAATCGCTGATGGAAAGAAAGTTCAAGGGTGAGTGTAAAGCCTGAAGGGAGTTTAGCGCTAAAATGGACAGAGCTTCGGGACCCGTCCGACCCACTATAACAGACCCTAAGGAGCTTTAATATGGAATGAGGCTGCGGGCAAACAAGGGGAACAGATGGATACATGCATAGCCCATCTTAGCGCTGTACTTTTTTAGAGCTTAATACGATAGTACAAGATACATAATATCCAACTCACGTGCAATTGTGCATTGGGGACATTTGGAGAAGCAGGACTCAGTGCTAGCTGGCAGGCCAGATTTCACCTGCATAAAGTAAACACTAATCCATTCTTGGAAATAGCATAGAATTTGTGGACCTTAACATTTACCAGGAAATCTGGCCCTTATCCATCATTTACAACTCCAAAATCTCCCAACGCCAGCAGCGATTCGATTTCCTCTTATCCTAATTATTACCGACAACATCACTCTCCTTCGCTACATTCTTCTAAATTAATAACAACTTTACGCCTAATCCTACCTATTCGCAATGTCGGAAGTACAAGATCTCCTCGAAATCCCCAAGGACTTCGTCAAGGATGGCACGCAATTCATGACGCGATGCACTAAGCGTATGTCAACCTTCGCATCACATTGCCAATTCCCAACTTTAAGCCTCATTACTCCTTCCTTGGAGCTCGTGTCGCAACCTCAGTAGGCGAAGACGAAAGAGTGCGCAAAGAGAAGTGGGGAGTAGAACAGAGAAGCAATGGAATGAGCACGAGAACCAGATTCAGAATACTAATCAATATTTATGCAGCCGACAAGAGAGAGTTCATCCAGATCAGCAAGGCCGTTGGTGTTGGCTTCTTAGTCATGGGCGCAATCGGATACCTGATAAAATTAAGTAAGATATCCTTTCCCCTACGTACAACAAAACAATCGTTATTAATACGTATGTCGCAGTCCACATCCCCGTCAACAACATCCTAGTCGGCGCCGCATAGAATAGCTTGAGGAAAAGGGGACCGGTCACTCTAGGGGGGTGGTGTGATGGCGATGGATCACGGCGAAAGGGGGCTGGCGTTTAGTGGAGGAGCGTAAAAGTAAAAAGACGCTTAATACCACGCTGCGAAATGTCGACAGTAGTGTGATCTTATACGATATACGAATTCATCGCAACCGAGGTTGAGGTCGAGGAAAAGTTATGGTCTTGTTAGATCATTAAGAGGCACTCGAGCTTATGGAATTATAGGACGCCTCTCTATACTGTCTTCCCGAGTTGGGACTTTACTACTTACTAAGCCACTGTACAAAATTTCATTGCAATATCCGATCCAAACGAATGATGAAAAATACCATTCCCGACGCCTTCGTGATTTTCGTGCTCAGAAGCTTCCCAAACGCCTGAATGTGTCGTGCTATATATCTGCTAGTCATGAATCACTTACAAATATACTAAATCGTATGCTCGACATATGAAATCTATCAAGTAAAAGTATCGTCGTCGTCTTCATCGTCATCATCTTCAGGGTCTAAGCCATACCGGGCGATAGTACGGCTGATGCTCATCGGCCTAAGCTTTTCGTCATAGCCAGCGCCCATCCGAGGTTCTCCCTCGTCAAAGGAGGATTCGTTATAGGAGTGCAACGAGACCGTGCCCATAGCATCATCCCAACCATTAAGCGACGAAGCTATTTCATATCAGTACCTATATTTTCCCCTGTTTGTTATATTGATCAAGCTTACCGGCAATGAATGGAGCGTTGGGGTGCCAACTCGCATCCCTCACAACTGTAGACCATCCAGGTAGTCCACCGTTATAAAATTGGCGGAACGAACCACCTTCTTGTGGTAAAGCCCGAGCTTGAGATGTCGACTGTTTTACGTCGACGACTGCAGCGATCGTTGCATCCATATTGTAGATATACACCTTGCCATCGTGGCTACCCGAATACACGTATCGGGAGTTGGTGCTTCCAGGGGGTGAAAAGTGACATCGGATCAGTGTCCGGAGAACCTTGTGCCCACGGAACGTGACGAGTGAGTTGTCATCTGGGTGTGGGAACCAGTCTGCGTCATCAAACTGTCCCCATCGATAATCGAATTCGCTATACCGAGTGTGGCGCCGCGGGTTCAACTCTTGAAATTTTGCCGTCGTATACATCATCTTGAGATCCCATAGTTTCATACTCTGATCCTTTCCGTTGCTTATCAGATACCTTCCGTCGTTCTTACTATCAATGTACGTAAGGCCTTCGATGTGGCCAACGAATGCGCCGGCCTCACGCCCATCACCCATACTCCGCCTATCCCACACCTTGATCGTGGTGTCATCGCTTCCCGAATAAAGAATGTGTGGCGAGGACTTATCAGCGAAGCACACAGCATTGACATCGTCATCATGCCCTTCGATCGAATGCAATACTGTCCGGGACTCAATGTCATAGACCACTATAGATTTTTTGTTCGTTCCCGCAACAAGCTCCCGCCCATCACCAGAAAATCGAATCGAAAAGATACCGAAGTCACCGTGCCACCCTACTCTCCCGGATGATGATAAATTTAACATATAGGGATCTCCGGTATCGTTAGGATCTGTTGGCGCCAGACAGACATTGCTTTGGATAGAAGTGTACGCTAGCCACTTATTGTCGGGACTCAATGATGCATCCGTCAATGTCCAAGATCCGAATGTGAAGGGTACTGTCTTGTAATGCCGCCAATTGTAAGGATTAGAAGTGTCGTACATCCGGACCTTCATATCCTTCACACATGCAAAAAAGAAATTACCATCGTCCGAGAATTGGCCAGAATAGACATTGTCATCGTAATTGATTACCATCTCAGCATCCGAGCTAGGAATCATAGACTGGGCCATCAAGCCTTGGTTGATTTGACGAGATGATCTGTTCCCTATGCCTAATTCACGGTCCAATATCCGGCGAGCTAGCTGTTTCTTTGCAAGAATAGGTGTATATATGTCGTTGACACCAAAAGTACCGGAATCCATCAACTCTCTTCCTTTATCGCTTGGAATCTTAGGAAATCTGTCCGGGTCTAATTCGCGCCTCCGTCTCCGATATCCTTCGTCCTCGTCATCATCTTCGCCGAATACAAGGTGTCCAAGGTTCGATCTTCGGAGGAAGTCTAAGACCTGACGTTGCGATAATAAACCAGTGCGACGACCTACTTATGGAGATAGTCAGGACACAAGTGATCAAATACTAAAAGATAGGGACGCACTACTTATTAGGTTAATTAGACGTTGTTGTACGGCAGTCTGCCCAGTACTAGGTGATTGCGACCCTTCTTCGTTGCCATCCTCATAGTCGTCGTCGTCGTCGTCATCATCATCATCATCATCCTCCTGGACCAAGAATTGAATGTGTCTCTCTTCAGCATCTGTGTTAGTTAGCCTAGTAACATTGCGACACGACCGTAAGTTTGCCGAACCGTGAAACTCATCCTCTTCCTCAAATAAATCGTGCGCCATGTCATCTTCATCTATTTCGTCATCGTCGTCGTCTTCACCCTCTGTAAAATCTAGCTCAAATACGGCGTGATCGTTGTCTTCGGCATTGGAGTCGTTCTCGGGATGACCACCTTCGGCATGTTCGGAGGATCTTGGACTGCTCATTGTATCTAGTCCGTAAGCTGTAATTCTAGATAAATAGCAGCAGCTTAAGAATTGGCGCAAGTTAGATGGATTATTACGGTAACGGTAGCCTTGTTGGCAGCTATACGGGTAGTTAATTGGACGTTCGGTAGTCAACTAAAGGTGTGGTAAGATGGCAAGATGGCAACACAGCAAGATAATAAGGTCAAGGATTAGATTAGGTAGGAAGAAGATTAGTTAAGTAACTGTGATTAATGATTTGGACCTGCCGAATATGGAGTACCTGATATTCCTAGGAAGAAAAGATCGAAGAATGTACTTTCCTAAACCTTACATGACGACACCGGAATTATGAATGACTTTATGTTAACTCAAGCCGATCTCGTTCGGCGGGGTGGTTTCCAAACAGCTTTATCGGGACTGCTAAGATAACACTTTAGTTCCGGTCCAGGCTTGGCTGGCTTGGTAAGAGCTCTCTGAGACATCGGCTTTTATGCCGGACTTAACAAGAAACTCCAATTACCTCTTCCGATCTCCGTTACAACACCCGTTTTGCAATTAATAAAGAATGAAGCTGTTGGAATGCTGAATGTTAAAACATACCCACCTGCGGCAGGTAGGAACTATATAATACGTTAATTAAAAGTTTTGCAAAATAAACCAGGCTTTCCAATAACATACTGTATATATATATATTATGTCTGACCTATCCGGTGAGTACATGTTGTTTCACAGATCCAAATAACAGGAGGTTACCTACATATTACTCCTCGCAGTCATGAATCTAAAGCAGTTGATCTGTAGGTAGAAAATAAAAATAAAAATATCCATAGAGTGTAACAGGAACGATATCGTTTTATCGGATTTCATTTAATGTTGTTAGTCAGGATCCTTGATAATTTCTGGAGGTCGTGGTTTCCACGTTTCTTATAATAATCAGCCGGTGGTTACGAAACACAAATTTCTTCACCTTTTCCTCTTCTTTAGGTCACCCTCACACCATCTTTTCCAACCCAACTCAATGCTTGCCCAAAGTGTAACGAAAATGACGACTTTCATCATCCATCATGAAAGCCAAGAAAAGTTATAGCCTTCGTAGTGTTTTATTGCCTTTCCCTGCCTTTCTTTCATAAGCTCAGGTCTAATTATTACGAACCATTATTTCAAACCCGGACCCGTCTTTGATATCTCACTCTCAACCCTCGAATATGGAGTCTCATGGAGAGCTTTTGGACTGGGCCATAAGCCACGGTGTCAAGCTATCTGGCATCGAACCAAAATGCATTCCCGGTCGGGGAATAGGTCTCCTCGCGACTCGGGCGATTGAGGTCTGCCATATCCTCTCCACCCAATCTCAGAAATCACAACTCTTGTCTTCAAACCAGACTAACAACTGCTAGGCCGGCGAAATTATACTGGAGGTGCCTACAAAATGTCTACGCAGCGTAGACACAGTACGCAAGTCAATAACCCGCCACCTGCCTAAGGCGATCTCCATACACGGCCTCCTAGCCGCCGACCTGGCTTTAGACGCATCATCTAAGTACGCAGCTTGGAACGCCGTGTGTCCGAAGGTGGAGGACTTCCTCACCATGCCGATCTTCTGGGCTGAAGAACTACGCGCGCTTCTCCCCCGCGCGGCGCGCGACATACTGACGAAGCAAGAAGCCAAGCTCGCCAAGGATTGGGCCGCCGTGTCGGCTGCGTTCCGGGACAAGCTGGACGAGGAAAAGTACATGTACGCGTGGATGCTGGTCAACACGCGCACCTTCTACTACGTCAACGCGAACCTGAAGAAGCGCGGTAGGGACGACCATATGTGTCTTCAGCCCGTCGCCGATTTGTTTAATCATGGTGATGAGGGGTGTAATGTGGCGTTCGACGACGAGGGGTTTGAAGTTAAGACTCTGCGACCTTATGAAAAGGGTGAAGAAATTAAGATTTGCTATGGTAGGCATAGTGGGGATTTCTTGCTTGCCGAGTATGGGTTTGTGATGGATGATAATGGCTGGGACGAGGTTCTGCTTGATGATGTGATCTTGCCGCGGCTGAGCGCTCGGCAGAAAGAGAGGTTGGAGGAAGTTGGATTCTTAGGGAAGTATGTCCTAGACAGTGATACTGTCTGTCATAGGACACAGGTTGCTGTTAGGTTACTGTGCTGTGGGATTAGGGAGTGGAAGAGGTTCGTGGATGGGGATGACGACGGCGAACGTAGCCAGAGAGCAGTGGACAAAGTGCTGTTGGATTTATTACAGGAACAGGAACAAATTGCCGAGAAGGCGATATCTGAGATCGAAGCGTTGAATGTCGGTGACGAACAACAAAGAGATGTGTTAATGAAGAGGTGGAGACAGATTCAAAACTTGGTTGGAATCAATATTACACATCTTCAGTAGAACAATAAATAAGCACAGAATGGTTTTTAACGGCGAGAAGTACATCCTGATCAATACAAGATGGATCATTAAACATTGATGGGCGTTTATAATAGTATCTTTACAAGGCAAGTCACAAAGCCGACTTGCACCCAAGCTTTTCCTGTCCAAACGCCTCGTAGTGGTGCCCCCTGAAAACCCGTCTCCTTATTTTTGATTACGCCGTTTGAGTATTCATAGATCTCATGGTATAGGAGTAATTCGTGCGCCATTTCATCAACATTGATAGCTTTAGGTCGTCTAAGATAGGCCTGATTCCTTTCTCATGGCCTCTTTTCTCGCCTCGGCTTCTTTAGCGTTGAGGAAGTCTTGCCGCAACATGTCCTCCTTTTGTTTCCTTATGGCTTCTTCTTTTACTGTCCATACTGTTACCTCCATGTTAGCACATCTCCGTATGATCCGCGTACCCGATTTCAAAATGCGCCGCCTAACGTGTAGTATAGAATTGAGAATTATATGTGGATATTTGATATACGGGGAAAGGGTGGGGGGATCTTCCACGTACTCGGCTTGTCTGATTTGGAGTATTCCTTGAGTTGGGTAACGAAATCGTCGAACTCTTTCTGCCTCTCGTACCGCCGTTCTAAGCTCTTCTTCTGTAGATCGGGGTTGTACTTCTTGAAGAGCTCCTCTTCGGTTGGCTGCACCCACAGGACGAATGCTGGTCCACCTACGCAGACGACGCCGCCACTATGTATCAAATGTATTAGTTCTCTTGTTGGGTCATGTGGCGTCTAACGCCGTTGTTGGAGGTCTTATGCGCTTAAGATAGATCAGGTGAGCAAACATGTTAGAGCACGCTTACTTACATAGCCAGCATTTTAAGCCATGTTCCAAGTCTCCCTGACTTAGCCGCCATTTCCGGTGGTTGTGGTGATTTCTCGAGGCGCCTATTGATTGGCGCGGGTGAAGTGTTTGGAAAGGCGCGCAAAAGCTTGATACTGATGCATATCAAAGGCGATTTGAACTTTGAAGATCAATGACGAAAGTTCAAGACCCACTGTTCACCGTCCAGGACCCTCATTACATAACCTAGTGTGGCTGATAATCGGTGGCTGATAGAACTTTATCACAAATCATAAATTCTGAAGATTCCATTGGGTCACGGACCCGCGGACTTTGGGTTTCATCCCATATCCATGTCACACGCGAGCCTTGCCAAGTTTGATATTGTCTAAGTACCTAGGTACTCTTGGGAGCCTGCTTGTCGGAGGTATAGGCTCTTTATGTATGTAATCCACCCACAATCTCATAAAAATACAAAATTCTTTTTGGTAACATTAGATACCATGAATATATAAAGACACCTATTTGTTTGAATATGAAAACAAGTTTGATCTGTTGAGCGATTATCTATTGTTTCAAAACTTTCAATCGATCTAACCCCACATCCGCAATGCGGGACATCCAATGTTGGCATTTTTTGTACTTCCCAGTGGGTTGGATTATCTGTTAGCGCTTTCGTTAGCGTCGTAACACAGACAAAATTGTTGTATTACCATCCAGAATAGATGAAACCAGCAGGCGTCGACTGAAAATTCGAGTCGACGTTTTACAACTGAAAACATCCGTCTAATGAAATGACAGGATGCAGGATGCATCTCTACTTGGTAAAGGCAGGTAGGTAATTTTCCTCTAAAGTGCCCGATCGTTCAAAACACGTTATGGTTATCTATTTAACTATTCTACGAAGTAAACTGTCGGGTCATCCCGCTGCCTACCATTTTCTTCAACAGGAGCAAATAATAATCACCCGAGAATTATCCCTTAGTTCCATTTCAGTTTGTACAAAGAGCAGCACAATAAACTTAGAGCATTATCCGCCCCCCGGCATTACGTGTTCATGCTGGCAGGGGACGGGTGAGGCTGGCTTCATCTCTGTGAGGTACCCGAAGGGGTTGTTACGCCAATCAGATACCGCGGCTACAGTAACCCTTGTTAGTTTTGATACTACGACTCTGCTTCACTATGACTGGTGACTTCTATGTAACATATCCCGAAGGGACCACGAAGCCACGAGTTCATTTCCACCTTTAGAGTTTCAGCACATATGTAACTTAACAGCTCGCAGATATTACCTACCTTAGGTAGGTAGGTATGAACAGTAATTATGTATGTAAATAAGGTTAGAATAATCTTTTGAATTTACATTACTCTCACGTTGCAGATTTGACAAGCGCACAATGTGTTTGTTCAATGCACTACTGCTGCTGTGTACCCATCCTTGTTTTATCTTTAAACTTGCAGTACCTGTATTATTCCAAGTTTGGGATTTGGGCTAGGGAAGACCTAAATCAAGAATATACCTAGATAAACCAAAATTAGATATTTATGTTGGTAGATACTCTTCACTTGACCCTCTGCCAATAACGATTTCTTTCATCCAAGATAATCACTTGATCGGCTGTGTAAGTAAGTTGTTGAGAAAAAATAGGAAAAAAAAATGATGAGGGATGGGAGAGGCTTGGGTTTTCGGTCTAATATGCAGAGTAAATTGTAAAACAACTCATTTCTCAAGCCTCCTGATGAGGTCTTCTTGGCATCGCACCAACTCAAAGAAGTGTCATCGAATGAACCAAGCTTATGGCTATTCTTATACAAATATAAGTTGTCGGAAAGTCACTTCTCCAGCTAAAATAGCGTGTTAGATACTTAATCCAATGTAACTATTTAGCGCGTGGCCTTCCCGCCTGAACTCGGATAGCTTAACCGGCACACCTGCCATTTGCTTAGAATAGCGGGAGGCCTGGGGAGGGGCAGCGCAACTAAAAGCCCAAAGTAACCTTGAACGTTTAGTGCCATAGTGTATTCCATTTAGATAGGGCAGTGGGCAGCCAAGCAGCCCTGGAGCCAAGGGCAGGTACGATTCTTCTACCTGTGTTCATTATTAGGATCCTCGAGTTTCCAATTGTTCCCTCATTGTTACCCGAATTTCCGACTCATCTCGAACTTCACTTCCACTTTTTTTTCTTCCTAATTCCTAGACGATCGTCCTCATTACATACTCTCATATTCTACTTTTACCCTTCTGCAGAGCAGACATAATAGTAATAATCGGGACTGGAAAAAAGGGTCATGCTTGTTATCTAGATACTTGCGCGTCGACCACAATACATTCCTTTCATCACCAACCTGCCTTTTTCCCACCACTCAAATCATTCACATCATTCGCATCATTATTGGATCATTTGCGAAGCTTCGTCCTTCCATTCTCTTTCTTCAATCCCGCTCAATAGACTTTGCTGCCGAGTCTGACGATTGCTACACGAGGCGCTACAGGCATAGAGCTTGTCACTTGTAGTTTACCAAACTTCCGAGGTTCCCCTCCAACTCACAATCGCACGCATTCACTCTTTCGTATGATGCCTTAGCATCTCCTTTCTACATCACGGCTATCTTAAAGAAATCTCGTTATTCGCAGGTGGTACCAGGTCGTTGATCATCGAGTGATTTTACTCCCTAATTTCGCATGCGCCATCAGCCCGTGCCGTGACATCCTTTAAATCTTCTGGCCTGCACTGCGTCTCGGACAAAGCTTGTCAGCCAATCCCGAGCCAAGTCTCGCTGCGTTTCCGCATACATTAGTCTCCCGAAACCGACGATCATTACTGAGCCGAAACGCTCAGGTACAACTACAGATCCACGACTTAATACCCTTGCGACAGCTGTTAGCCCGATTCTGGACTTGACTTTTAATTGTTAGATATACCTTCGCGCAATCCGCCAACGCTTCTAGTTTTGACTTCACTCGGCGCTACAGGAAGAAACAAGAAAAAGCATCGTGCTTAGGGGACCAGTGACTAGGCCTCAAGCCATAATTTTTGTGAGCCTCGTCTCACTGCCCCCGAATTGAACAGCGCGGAAGAACCGGTCTGCGAATTGTAAAGATGGCATACAACGGAGGATACCAAGATCAACAACGTCCTTACGCCGGACCGGCAGCACGAGTGCCTCGTGGCCCTCCTCGAGAAGGATATCCCCAGGGACCTCAGCAGTACGATCAATATCAGGATGGTTATGATTATGGTTATGATGAATATGACAATGGTTACCAACAAGATTACGGCCCGCCGCAAGACATGAATTACGGTAGACGACCACCTCCCAACCAAGGCTATCCGCCGCAAGATATGTACGGCTCTCCTGGACCTGGCGGCCCTGGTAGAGGAGGTCGCGCTCCCCCACCCGGCGCTGGAGGAAGAGGCGGGCCAATGCGAGGTCCTCCCTTTCCGCGCGGTGGTGGCCCTCCGAATCTCGGTAGAGGTTACCCACCTAATCGAGGAGGGCGGCCAGGGCCTCCAGAGCGGTCCATGACATCGGACCCGAATGGTGAGAGGGTACAGTTTCCAAAAATGAAATGCCAAAGCTGATGTCTATAGTAAACCACCACGCTCCTTCTATCACAAGCCCGAGCGAACAGGATTTCGGCAGCGCATTCCCCGTCTTTCCCGGGCATGGCAGAAGGACAGACCTGGATGAAGAAACTGATATCTTAAACCGGATGGGGGGGATGGATTTGAATGGAGGACGACCCGGCATGCCACCTAAGAATGGACCGGGACCTGGCCCAGGAAGAGGACCAGGCCCAGGGCCAGGGCCTAGACGAGCGCCAACGATGGATGACTATGGACGTCCATCTATGGACAGCCAAAGGAGCGGACGAGGACCTCCACCACAAGGATATCCCGATCCAAGGCGAGGCCCGCCGCCCGAGCAAGGTTATGGATATCATGATGATGGATACGGACCCCCACCCCCGATGTCGCCTGCAAGAGATGGATTCGGACCACCAGGTCGCAGCATGACAATGCCTGCGAACAATGAATATATGCGAAATGGTATGCCACACCCGCCGCCGCCGCCGCGTATGGATAGCGCCCCATATAATGGCGGCCCTCCTGGACGTGGTCCACCACCTATGCGGCCTTCTACGGCATCTGGTAATCGGCCCCCTCCTCAAAGAATGTATCCCGATCAAGGCCCGCCTGGCCCGCCTGGCCCCCAAGGTCCTCCAGGACAGTACAATAACGGTTCGCTTCAACCGCCGGGATGGAATGAAGAACAGCCAGATCGAGGCTCTATCGGCGATTTTTACGATTCGTATTATGATCAGAGAGTGAGTGGCGAGCAATACCCACCTGGAAATCAAATTCGTGAAAACATCCCAGACTTCGATGCGGTTCCTTCACAGGGCCCACGGGAATCATTTGACCAGCACATGCGTCCCGCCCAGCCTGGGATGCCTCAACCCGGACCTGCCCGTCAGCCCGAGATGTCGAGAGCCAAATCGCAACCGAACTTACGAGAGCCACAAGCTGCAGTTTTTGAGATGGCAGGTGACATGCCACCAGTACCGCCGGGTGGGTTTCAGGCGTACAAACCTCCCGGTGTTGGTGTTGGTCCTGGCCCCGGCCCTGGTCCTGGGTTGCCCAGTACCCCGAACCCTCCAAGACGTAGTTCGGGAGGAACACCTCAGGGCGGTCCCGGCTCTGGGCACCCGGCACCTATCAGGCCCGGCCTCATGCCAAATTCAATGGTCAACCTGAGTGATAATAAACCAGCTCCGATTCGTAATTATATGGGTGGTACACCTCCCGCAGCTGCTGGAGCACAAGGCCGAACCCCGCCACCCCCGGCCCCGCAGAATGGAAGACCAACATCTGTCGCCGAGAAAGTCCCTGTCACACCCGAAGAACTAGAGCATTTGCGCAGCACCATCAAGAATGATCCAAATGATCAGCAATCTGCTCTTACGCTAGCGAAGAAATTGGTTGAAGCGGCGGATGTTCTAGTTCCTAGACTCCCCGATCCAAAAGCAAGGGCGAGGTCCCGTGAACGGTACGTGATGGATGCGCATAAAATATTGAAGAAACTGGTCAGTGCGCAAAATGGTGATGCCATGTTCTTCTTGGCCGATTGTATGGGTCGCGGTGCCCTTGGGGAAACGGATAACAAGGAAGCGTTCACGCTTTATCAATCTGCTGCGAAGATGGGACACGCCGCTGCAGCTTATCGGACAGCTGTCTGCTGTGAGCTTGGCAATGACGAAGGCGGCGGCACACGTAAGGATCCACTCAAAGCAATACAGTGGTACAAACGTGCCGCAACACTGGGTGACACGCCGGCGATGTATAAGGTTGGAATGATCATGCTCAAGGGACTGCTTGGTCAGCCTAAGAATCCCCGGGAAGCTGTCGGGTGGTTAAAACGAGCGGCCGAGCGCTCAGACGCAGAGAACCCTCACGCTCTACACGAATTAGGGCTTTTATACGAATCAGCACAACCAAATGACGCCATTTTACGTGATGAAGCATACGCTCTACAATTATTCGAACAGGCGGCCCAGCTCGGGTACAAATTCAGCCAGTTCAGGATGGGATGCGCTTACGAATATGGCTTGATGGGATGTCCCGTCGATCCACGGTTATCTATAATGTGGTATAGCCGGGCTGCGACACAGGAGGAACACCAATCCGAACTAGCTCTTAGCGGATGGTATCTGACCGGGAGTGAGGGTGTACTACAGCAGAGCGACACCGAGGCGTATCTATGGGCTAGGAAAGCAGCTCAAGCTGGCTTAGCGAAGGCGGAATACGCCATGGGTTACTTTACCGAGGTTGGAATCGGCGTTCCTGCCAATCTAGAGGATGCAAAACGTTGGTATTGGAGAGCAGCAAGTGAGTTCATCCCGAGCATCCCAGGCTCGAGTCCATCACTAGGTCGCAAGACACTAACAATGATATAGGCCAAGATTTCCCTAAGGCCCGCGAACGGCTGGAAGATCTTAAGCGATCTGGTAGGAATGGTCCTCGCCAACGTGAACGCATTTCCCGAAGCAAGATTGGCAAACAGCAAGAGGGCGAGTGCTCCGTGATGTAGAACGTTCGGACATCGAGTCCCCAACTTGTAGTCAATCAAAGTGAGACCGAGGACCAATATCCGAATTTCTCCCGTCCGGGTTCGAGGCGGAATACACCATTTGCAAGCAGTAATTCGATAAAATCGACGAGGCCGATTAAGAAAATCCTGGGGTGGATTCGTTAGACCTCTAATAGGCAATATGCCAAAGAATAAACCAAGTTCCATTTTAAGGGTTACATGTCGAGTTGAGTGATCGTCGTAATCTTATTAGTCGGTACGCGGAGGAGGGAGAGTACCTCCTTTAGTGTTTTCAAGAGACCGAGTTCTACTCTAAAGAGTGAGGATTTATACCCCCGAGTTGGACAATTACTTAGGTTAATTGGTTGAAGGCTCTTCTGCAAGCTTAGACTGTGGAAGATAGTTTAGAATAAAATGTTTTCTCCGCACTTATACTCGCTGACTATTTTTTGAATTGTTCGACAATTTGCATGAGGAAGATGGGGGTTTGTGGATTAGACGGTCTTTGGTTTGGTTTAAGACGTTCTCAAAACGGCGTCGATGGGTCCCGGGACTGTAGCGTCTCCCGGACCCATATCGGCCTCGGGCTTGAGCTAGAGTCCTCTGATAGGCACTTCTCGCCCAAATAATACTAATGAGATAACGTTGGGAGGATTGCATGTCTATAGGTACTTATCCTACCTTTTCCCACATAGTTACCTCCTAGGTAGTTGATACAAGAGACATCTACTTAATACAAATTCATTACGCTACATGTGTAACGGCCCTGGCAGTGAAAGTTAGCAAAGTATCTCGGTGGAAATTTTTCTATACGATCTACATATAAGAGTACTTATCAGGATTCCTACGTTAGTAAGATATTTTAAGATTAAGAGAGAATTTCTCTTCATAAAAAGCACTTTGCTTGTGGCTGGTATTCTCGTCAATTCAATGAGGGGACCGCCTGCGGATGCCGGTAGTGTTCCATTGAAGGTCCAGGAGGGCATTCTCGCACACCAGAACCAACCAATCGTGTTCATTACTTCGTCTGATAGGTCGCATATTTTCACCACTAGTATCATCGACGTACTTTTTACCAAACTCCGGTCCTTTTCTTATAATTACCAGTTCTCCCTCCAACTCAGTCCTTCGTTTTCTTATTCTCCGTTATGACTTTCACACTTCAAAAATCCGAGTGGGGTAACAAACCATGGTCTGTATGTAAGGATCTCTTCGATTCAATCTCTTATCCTTCATTATGTCAACGAAGATTTTAAGACAGCCATATACCAAATCTTAGGTTCAAGATGATGGTAAAGCTAATAGTGGACTCATAGATTGTGTCCGCATTATATTTCAGCTCGTCTAAGCGATATAAGACTAAGACCAAACTTGACTTAGCCAAACTCGTTTACCTCGAGGCTATATTCCATCTTCATTCTTATAAGCCGCTCAGGCCTTCTTGTGAGAAATCTCAACACAGGCGTGTTGTCATACAAAAGTTGAATGGTTCGGAGGACCTTTCAGTAGCCAGTAACGGGATAGTGGCATTTTCCGCTAGGCGAGTAAAACTAATAGGGAAAATATAGATATACCCAGTAAGTTCTGTGTATCTTCCAAGGCTTGTTCGCCGTCTCCCTTCAATTCTGAGCTGACTATGGGTCGAAATCAGCAAATCCCTTTGATCTCTGCATTTATCTTCGATGTTAATATCGTATAAGGTATAAGAAGAATGTCATGTGGACTCGTATGATTAGTGATGGCTATGAGTCGGAAGGGTCACTGAGCGACTCTGACAAGTTTGATGATAATGATGGCCGTGTATCGACCTCGCAAACCTCTACCAAGGAGCTATTGTCTTTCCAACCAGGCAATCACGGAGATGACGGCTATAGTAATGATATAATAGCCTCCTACAACGAGGTATTTGATCAGAAGAAGGGGATGTCCCGAAATAAGTCATTATCGTCGGAACCGGAATCGGGCCAGGTAATTTCATCGATACAGGCTATCCCTAGCCAGGGAAATGCGGTTTATGAGTTCAAAGGAGTCACAACTGACCTATTTGAGATGGATGTTGAGAATGTTTCGCCTGTGGCTGCAAATTTTGAACAAGTGGGAGCTGTTCTCAACCACACCTCGCGTTCCACTGAGCAGATAAGAGCCCTTGCACCGCGCCAGAGAGAAGACCTGGATTCTATCTGCAGTATAAATATTGGAATGGACGATATTATCTATCGATGGAAGCTCGGATCTGTGATCAAGTACAACGTCAATAGGTCGAGCTTCCCTGAAGTTGAACAAGCAACATATGCAACCAAGTGCCTCGAAAAAGCTGCAGGGAAATGGAACGACGGCGACGTTGGGGTGCGATTTGAACGAGTTTCAGACGATGCCAAAGCCGTGTTCCAGCTTGTGTACGAGCCTATCGACAAAGACCACGGAGGTCGACTAGCACACTCGTTCTTGGCCTGGTCGCAATACACACTGGAACGACTGTTAGTGTACAAATTGGCTTTTGGCCACCCACACTATTCGATGGTCAATGTCTTCTGCCACGAACTTGGCCACATCCTTGGGCTACGGCATGAATTCTCACTTGAGAGGGAGATGGCCTGCTCGTCGGTACAATGGGGATCGAGAAACTCATTGTCGATCATGACCTATCATAAGTCGTCTAGTCTGCAGGAGACGGACATTACCGAGTTAAAGCAGTTTTATGAGTTCTCCGGTAAAGAATACAAAGGATTCGGAATCATTGACTTGGATCCGATGTACTTCTAGACTTCATAAGTTTGCAGTCTTTGGCTTTGATGAGACGGTTTTCTAGTCCAAAGTAATGTCACGTCTCTGGCCTTGAGGTTAAGGGATTGGGGATCATATGTCACCTTTTAAATATATACTTTTATCCAATCTCACCAAATACTTTCAGCGAAGTGATTGTGCAATACATATTAGAATCAAGACGGCTATCCAAACAAGTCAGTACTTCGAATAAAATATGATTTCCATGTTGAACTCAACCAATGTATCGGATGGTCATGTGATGGTACAAACCAACCCCCTATCTCCAAATTTACCAAGCCGGGAGAGTAAACGAGGGAACTCCCATCCGTACCATCGTCTATGCTCCTCTCGTTTTGAGGTAAAGCTGTTTTTGTAACCCGTAGTCTATATATATATTTATGAAATGCTTGAACGCGGGTTCGACTCCGAATTTACGGGACAGTCCCTGCACTTCTGTATGCAACCATCAATTCAAAATGCTCTTTCGTCGTTTCGCGTCAACATCACACATCATCGCCTCTCGTCTTAATTCTACTGCTTATGACTTGACAACTTCCTTAACCTCTGACTCGGCAGCCGCAGGCAGGTTCTTTTGAGAGGCGCGATAGATGAAGATACGGGTGCACTGGGTGATGCCGACGCAGCCGAGGAAGAAGTTGACGGCGGCGAGAAGATAGTTTTGGGGAGTGATGACGAAGCACCAGCGGGTCCAGATGAGGCCGGTGGCAGTCAACGCGCCGTTTTGAGTTAGGGACAGCTTCTCCGCGGGTCGGGTGAAGTCAGAGACGCCGGCGAGGACGAGAGCCCATTTCATCACGGGTGCCCTGTGGTACGAAAACACATACATCGTTAACAATGGTTGCGCTCGTGACACAGACGGAAGGGAGGGATGAGCGCGGCTTACCAGAAGTGGACGGTCTTTAACCCGACGGGACTATCCCACATGCGCTTAAACCAGCTCTGAGAAGCAGTCTCGCCATTTGCTGCTGTGCTGGCGAAGCGGCGACCGGTCTTGGGGAAGCTGGAGCGGAAGACGGTGCGGGATGCGGACTGTTGAAATATCGGCCGGGCGGCGCGGAAGAGGGTAGTTGTGGCAGGCATTTTCTTAGGAATTGATCGAACTTAGGGTCTAATTATGAATTGAAGCTTCCGATATAATTGATGGCGTAGAGGCGAAACACCTGAGCCTTTTTTTCCCTTGTCAGACCTTTCCCGTCGATGGATAAGTTGTGAAATGTAGTCAGAATAAAGAGATTCTGGCTCCGGTATTGGGGCAAGTCTAGGATAATTTTAGTTGGGGCAGTTGGGGGTCCGGAGATAAGATACTGCAGGGGATCATGTTGAGGAACATTTCTGGAATACTTGGGTACATCCGTGCTTTGTGCATGCGCAGGTACCTAGGTACAAAACTCACAGTCTGCATAACATTCATAAATTGTTAATGCATACTTCTTCATTGGAGAGAAATCTTATGCACGTCCGACGTCAATTTATCGGCATCAACGCTCCAAAGCTCCAAGCTCTCTAAATCATTGATTGCGACAAACCCTCGAATACCCTAACCCAACCTGCCATTTTCGATCGCAAGGTGCCAATCTCGAAGATGTCGGGCAAGTACGCTTTCACTAAGGCCCTGAAGGAGGTTCGCTTCGCATTCTGCCACACGGGAGAGGGTAGTGCTGCGATAAGGTGAGCGCGAATTCGAATAGTCTCATACCATTATACCAAAGATTGAAGCTGACTGTTTGCCTTTCTACCTCTAGGACATTCCTGACACGGTCATATCCTACTATGAAGAAGAACAACCCCTACACACCTATCCTAATGCGAGAAGCGTTTGGCACATTACCCAAGGTCTATGCGAGATACGGTCCGTCTTCTACTAGTGATAATGCTATACGATCGAAAATACTGACGAAGTACGGCTGGCAGAGTTCGGAAAGGAAAAGGCAAAGTCATTAGAAGGTATACAAGGCATTCCAAAAGTACAATATGGGTTTTTGGGCAATTCAATGCTAACATGTGGTTATAAAACAGGGCTCTCGGACAAGGAAATCGAGGAAGCTGTCACGCAATTAGTAAAAAGCGACGAAGCCGCATGAATATCTACCTATAGCCGGAGTTATGGGAAGTCAGCAGTAGACGATACTGTCATGCTATGTTATTATAATGAGATCCGACCTTGTGAATATTACGCACCAAGCACCTAACATGCTACCATAATCATTGATCCCTTGTCTCTTTGTCTCGTTCCTATTTATTACCTATACCACGATTCAGATATCATAAAATCTAGATATTTTAATGCTAATTTCATCTTATAGCATAGGATCACGTAAGACCGGGGGTTTGGTTTTTAAAATTTTATTAAACATTAAAATCAACAAGCAAACAGCTCTTAGGAACCAGCATCCGTGAACAGCAATATCAGGTAATCCCTTCTTGGAGAAATCCGTATAGTAAAGAACGGATAGAAAAAGCAAATATGTGAGTGCTTCCCCGATTTGTCCGAACTTGTGGTTGATGAAGTGACAAGTTCTCATCGTCGAAATCGAAAGTGCAATGAAGGGAACGAAACCATAACTAGAGCATAGCCGTTATACCGTATGCTCTCTTCAGAAGAAATCGTGATCCGAATTCAGTTTCGCCGATCATATGCGGCGTTCGGGTCTGTTATACGGTGTCCCGTGTGCGAGATCAACCCTTCTTACCACCCTTGTTATCCTTGCTGTCCTTGTTGTCCTTGTTGGACTGGTCTTTGCGACCGCCGCCTTGTCGAGGTGGGAACTTGCCCGTTGATCGGACACCAGATGACGATTGAGGTGGAGTATGGGGTGAGCCGGACTGTTCGACTTGGGAGGATGCCGTGCGTGCGTTTCGGTGCACAAGGGAGCGTGGGTCATTTGGCCAAGTAGCCGATGCTGGCTGGTGTTCGCGGGTTGGGACCGCCGTAGGGCCTAGAGAGGGCCAGTCGTTGTCTGTGAGAATGGTTCCAGCCGTCGCCGACTGTCCTGCCTGTCCTGCCTGTCCGCCGGTCTGCTCGTTCTTCTGTCCGTTGGGCTGCTTTGCAAGCTGTTCACTACTCTTCTCTGCGACCTTCTCACCCATCTGTCCACTAGCCGGTCTACCCGCCTGCGCAATCGGCGACAGTGCTCGCATTGCGTTAGCAGCCGTAGTGCTAGATGCACCACCAGTAGACGAAGCGCCTGAGTTATTCTTGAAATGCTGGTTCCTATAAGTGCGTCCCCGTCTTCCAGCTCGACTCACAAATCCTCTGTTGCCTCTACCTCCATCCGACTGCTTGCCGTGGCCTTGACCTTGGGTCTGGCCACTGCCGGTACCGCTGTGGGACATAGCTGTCATACCCGTGAGCTTCGCATTGGCTTTACCAAGTTCAATCTGGCTATTCGTCTTTCCATGGCGAGGCTTCTTTCGGTTCTGAGGGACGGTGGCCTCAGTCATGGTAACAGCTCGCATACCGCCCTTGTCTTCGTGATCAGAGGAGTCCACGTCGGCGTCGCTTTTCGCCTCCCACGTGAATGCAGGTGCTGCAGGGTTCAGGCTCCGGGTCCTGCGCGGGGCAGGAGTCGGGCTTAGCTCCGTCGTGTCCTCTTCTCCCTGGCGCTCTCTGTGACGACGGACTTCAGAGATCGGATGGGGCGTCTCGGCGCGCAGCTTGAAATCAATGATAGTGTTCGGTATACCACGTAAAGCACAACGAAGCTGCTGCATGAAAGATCTTCGTTGTTCTTCATCACCGCGAACGTGGAAACCTCGTTGGAATAGCAGGTTATCTGTTGTTCGACGGCCACGGAGAACTAAGATGACATCATAATTGTTGAGATGGGGCAATCCTAGTTTCTCAAGAACAAGATTCACTTCGTTAAGCCAGTCTGCAGTCACTGCCGGATGTAAGATAGTCGGTGTCTTTGGTGAATGGACTGACAGAGGTGGACTGGGTGTCATTGCTGCAACTCGTGACGACGATCCACGCGAGCGAGAGGACGTGACTGATGGCAAGGGTCGAAGGGCTGACGATAATTGTTCTTGGTCGGAATCGTCATCAATCTCTGTTGCTTTGCCCTTTCCCTTGTCTAGCTTGACTTTGGGAGTCACCTCTGCAATACTCTCGTGAGCTTTCTGAGATTCTGGGGTCTTAGGGGGCTCGCCGGTCCAGATCTGAGAAAGACGTGTGTCTCTTCTTCCTCGGCGCACGATGACAGTGCCATAGTCATGCGCCTCGTCATTCTGACCTTCACCATTGCCACCTCCTTGAACACTTCCAGTAGTGGGTTGCGTCGGAACTATGTCTCCTGCACTCGGCGTCATTCGCTCAGGGGGCGTGAAGTACGCACTCGAATGGCGAGATGCACTTATCGACTCTTCTTTTCCCTTGCCCTTGTTAGCCTGGGCGCCCTGATTGCTAGACTCGCCCTTCTCCTCCGCCGAAGAGATCTCAGGTACGAAGTCTAAGGGAGGCATTCCTGGCGGAGTACCCATGGGATCTTGTTGACCCCAGCCTGACGGCATTGGCTGGCCCACCCACGTTGGGTACTGACCCGGGGCATAACTATGGGAACGGTGACCTGCCGGGTCAATTCTTACGCCTAACGTAGCTAGACCTGCGGCCGTCGAAGACGCTTGAGGGTATAGTGGATGGGTTGGGCCATTGCTGTACCGCGGTCTCTCATTGTGGTCCCATTCAGTGTTCTTCAAGTAGAGAGGCTTGAAATACTGAGAACCTACACGGAACCTAACACGTAGGGGCTTCGATGTGACACCTGGGATGACATGGCGGCCGCGAACGGCTTCTAGTGCATGCTCCGGACAGCCAAATCTGCGAAGGATAATTGGTTAGCTATCAGCATATAATAATACCAAAGGGGAATGGTCTAGGTGAGAGATAACTTACAGGATGATCATGCCACGGGATCCCTTAACGACCCATGTACGAATCGCGGGTCCAACGCTCATCGTAAAATAGTCGAATACCCTATCTCTAGCATCCTCATGCACAAACCCCGGGAACCCATCTATGTAGATGGAGCAGTCGCGCTCGACACATCTCGCACAAGGACACGGGTCATAATGCTCCTCCCTAGGGGTAGGACTGTTGTACTGAGGCGCGTTGACGCACGGCCTGTCCGGGAGTGTGTTGACGTAGGTCCGGTATCTAGCGGGCCTAGCGATGCTCTCAGTTCGCACCTGGAACTGGCCGGGGTCGTATGCGTGCGGTGGGGAGTACTGCGGGCGCGGGATCGCGCTGAACTGATGGCTCGTGTACCGCGGCTCGAACTCGCTCGGTGTGTTACTCGTGAACGACGGTCGTCGAGCCGTCGACTCTTCCGATGAGCGTCGTGACCAGCCGTTGCTGCTGGTGCGGCTGAACGCTAGGGGCATATCTACACTCGGCTTGTACTCGTTAGGCGAGGTGTTCTTCTTATCCGAATCCGCCTTGCGGAACACCTTTGTCGGGCCGTGGAGTGGGTCCTCGCCGATGGACTGCCAGGATATCGCGGGTTGCGTGTAGTTCCTGGAGTTCTGCTGAATTTGGGGCTCGGATGCGCCCTTCGCCTGGAGTTGGTTCCAGTATGGAAGCATGGGGTACTGTCGCGATTGGCCGTATCCATTGTTCTGATAGTTCCACGGGTTTGCGGATTGCTGCCAGTATGGGTGCCCCATTCTAAGAGGCTGTGGTAGATATGCGCCGACGTTCGGCTGCATGTAGAATGGCACCGGCTCTGGTGCCGCGATCGATGAGGTGCCCTGGTTGTAGTGGACAGGCTCTGGGCCTGTTGCCGCCGGTGTTTGGTTCTGCTCCATGTGCTGTCCGGATGCTGTCTGTTGGGAACCAGTGGTCGGCGATGAGGCGCCGGTTCCTTGAACCACAATCGGAGGCTCTTGTCCGCGGATCGTGCTTGAACTATTCTGCTCGCCCATCACAGGATCACCCGACTCAGTAAGCTTGGCGTCCACGGCGTGTTTGTGACCGTCATAGATGTTACCCGGGTGGGCACTGCCAGGAACACCGAATGCGGGAGCACTGGCGACTCCTTCTTGTAGATTCTGATCGTGAGGAACTGTGAGTTCGGTTCGAACAATATTCTCTTCTGTCGATTCAGTTGGTTGAGTTGGTTCAGGCATCGACTGGTGATGTTGCTGCTGAGGTACTGGCTGCGATGTACCATCTGCAATGACGATACCTCTCACAACTCTGCCTTGAAGGTTAGTGGCGTTACTCTGGGGAGGTGGTTGAACGGTGCTCTGCGACGGCAGTGCTTCGACGGTGCTACGCGAAGGAGGTACTCTCTAAGAACCTCCTGCAGAAGGTAGCGCCACCACTATTAATGGGTTAGCAGATGTGATGGATAGGCAATTGGAAGTGGGTGGGATGTACTTACTGTTAATCTGGTACTGAGGCGCGACCGGATGGCCACGACTTAAGGTCATCCAGTGATTCATCATCAATGAGCGGATGGTGTCGTGATAGTTCGGTGCAAGATCGTGGACCGGTCCTAGTTCGCCGTGGCTGAAGACCGACAAGATGTCATTGCCGCTGTCAGAGCTCCAGCTTCGAAGCTTCTCCTGGTTGCTAGGATTGTAGAGTGCCTGCTGAATGGTGGCGTCGATCCAGGGAATGGTCTTGTCGCCCTGCTCAAAGGCGTAGACCTGGTTCTCATAGTGCATGTGATGGATCACGTTCCAGAGGTTCTGAGCACCGAGGTGGTATATGTCGTGTGCATCAAAATAGATGTACATATCTTGATAACATGACAATGGTTGAATGTACATGCAACGGTCAAAGAACTTGCTACGAAGCTGGTCTGCGTAGCTCTGGATGCCTCGGGCGTCCCAATAACCCATCTGGCGAAAGGCAAGGGGATTCTCAACATGGCGAAATTGGGTTTCACCATTGTTAGTCGAGAAGAATGCGTGGGCAGTGGCAGGATTAATGTTCTGGAAGAATTCTGGGGACGGTTCACCATAGCAGGCGTGCTCGTAGCCGAACATGGCGGGCGTGGGTGCCGGACCGGCAGCGTCAATCGCGTCCTGGAGCGTGAAGTTCTGATAAAGGTATCCAGGTGCCATGTGTGAAGGGAAATGTGAACAAGGAAAATGCAATGGGAACTTGAGTGATATCACGAGGCGCAAAGAGCTAATGCGAGCGTGAGGACGAAAAATAGTAGAGTAGCTTCTACTATTTACGTGTAGTTGGGTTGGCTTGCACGAGTCTAAGATTGTGCGGGTATGTTAGACGTGAATGAGGAAAAAGATAATGGAAGAAAGGGTGGATGAATGAAAGGAAGGAATTCAGCGTCCTACTACTAAGAGTGGGTTGCTAGTAGTAGTAGGGTGCGAAATGCGGTTGGAAAATTACTTACTTAGCGTCTGTTTTCAAGGCGAAATTGGATTTATACGTTACGTATTTTAACTTGCGTTGATGCGAGTGGGTGATGGAGATTTTATAGAAGGAGATGGTTTTTAGAAGATTGTGTGTGGGCGTGGGTGGTGGGAGGATATGAAGGGAAGGTGAGGAAACGAAAATGGGAAAAAGTTGTGAGAAAGAAAGAAAAGGAAAAGGATTTCGTGTTGAGGTTAAGTAGAAGATAATACCTACACATTTGAGTGAGTGGGTGATTAAGTGAGTGCTGTTGTGTGGGAAGGTCAGGGTCGAGATAGTACCAAGTAGTTGCTCAGGGAGTGCACGACAACCAGATGAGTGATCCAATAGTGCGCCGAGTAGCGGCCACAAAGCGGACGCGCCTGCAGACAGTCGCTATAACGCGACAAAAACCCCTGAAAACACGGCAATCTCGTCTAATAGACAGTGACTCAATACTAAATATACCTGAATACGTATAGTGTGTATTGCAATCAGTAACGGACACTGGTCCAACTAGATCTTATTGGTTACGATATTGGGTACCTGCCTGGACTGGAGCAATTACCTTCCGTCTTCCACCTGAACTTGCCGGCGGAGGCGGACATATCATTGATCAATGGCACATTTCTATCATCTCATCAAGAAATATATCTACCAGTGGATAAATATGGGAATTTAAGGTTTGTATCTACGTACTTAGGCCGCTATTTAATAAAGGGGCTCTTATTAATGGGAAGATTGGAATAGACGCGTTGATTCCGACTAACTGGCACATACCTGACAAGAATACACTTATACAAAAAGTACCTAGGGTAATAAATAGCAAAGGACGTGATTCACACAGTGATATTAAAGAGATATACCGTAATAAACTTGAGTGGATATTATTTCTTTATTACAGAGTGGGATCTATTTAACTATGAGTCCATCCATGGATGTTTCGCCTGACTAATGTTGATGAGAAATCAATCTGGTCCCTATGTGTACATGATTTGGCATTATTCCTTATCTGCTTGTGCTTGCTCCAACATCTCGAGAATCTTGGAATTTGAGCTAGCGATAACGGCTCTTCCATGATGCCAGTCAACAACCTATTCTCATGTCAGTCTGTTATAACCACATATGAAAAGAGGAAAAGAAGACATACTAATGGTGACGAGAAGGTGGAAGCATTCCGTCTGAATCTCTCTAAAGCATCCTTTTTCGTCGTAGCACCCTGGATGACCTTGGATATTTGATCCTTGCTTACATAGTCTAGGATAGTCTCGAGCTGGTCGGCTGTAGGAGGAGTTTCCGTGATGTCTAGCTCAAACACTCGGCTCAAACGCTTGGACTGTGTCTGGTCGCTTGGAGCTGAGTCTGAGGCATTGGCTGCTGCTGTTCCACTGGCGGATGCCTCCTTTAAAAGCTTTGCTACCTGAGTTGAAGCTGGTGATTGTGCCTTGTGGAAGAGGGTGACGATGTCAAGGGGTTTGTGCTATTCATGTATAAGAATTCAATACGTTTTACGGCAGCAATCGCTGACTCAGAGCTCAAAACTTACAAAACGGAACATTGTTGCTGTATTCTGACTGGACGTGACTGGATTGATAGATTCACGATATGGACTAACTGGCGATACGGAAGCGGCAAACCAGTAGAAATCGGAGCCGGCTTTCAAATGATGTCGAATTTGCGTTTCGGGTCTCGGGGCGATGTTGGAAGCTGCGGGCAATGAGTTCTTACTACGAAAATGAGGTGACGTCGGTGCCGATCGGTTGATCAGCCACATGCAGCTCAGGAACAAAATCTTCTATTCCCAAGAGGGCATGGCTATGTACCGTTGTACTGTTGTACTGTACTTTGATACTTTAACGGTATTAAAAAAGGTACATACATATTGTACCTGTCGAGGTACCTGCAGACCTGGATGCCTTCAATATTAGGCCAGCACGCCACGTTCTTATCCCCAAAAATGGACCGTGCACAACCTAAATACAGGTACATTTAATACGCACTGGCCGGACTGGCGCCGTTGCTGGGGTAGGTACGGGCACAGTTTACATAGCGGACCTAGAAGTCGCGTTGCAGCTACTGTACGCATATTTTTTCTGGTAACGTCTTTCTCAACGTTGCTGTCAAAATTCAAAATCTTTCCAATCATTTCAACCGAATTCTCGCAACCACCCGAACACTTCCATCCACTATCTAAACCTGGATACATACTTAGGTGCATTAACTAAGGCGCTTTCGTTTGCCTTAGTATCTTGTGCATCCGTTTAGATCATTGTTTGATTAATTCTCCGTAATCACATTCATTAAACAACGAACGGATCGACCGAAGGACGAGGACAATGAGGCCATTGATCCTGCATAATGTTCCGGACGAGGAACTCTACACCGGCGACGACGGTGTCCAGCGGCCTTATGCCATGGTATGGCCCGAGTATGTAACAGATTCTCCGGATCCCCCAGGTTCCCCATCATCCTCCAATAGGAAGACTACCCATAATAAAACTATCACTCGAACAACTTCACTTACCACCATGAGCAACGATAGTGGCGATCGCCAGCGAAACCTCCCACGTACGCGCGCACGAGAGGTGACAGAATCGGGTTCTTTCGGCAAATCGACTAGGAGATCAAGGTCGCGGACAGGCAGCGCGCCTCCAAAACGCGAAGATGCTACTATGCAAAGTGCCGACAAAGTCTTCACCAGTTACTTCAAGAAACAAGCTACCGCTACGACTGCGACGACGACAAATACAACCACCTCTTCCGCACAGCGAAAGTCTGGTTTCATCGGCCAGGCTACTTCGCAGGCGCAAGAAGATTCTGCTTCCACTGCGCCGGTATCAACTTATCGAAAGGAACCTACTGAAGTCATCTTAAGAGGCTACTCATCAACGTCGCAACAATATGCAGCCATCAACCACTACGAACAACTAGCAGGGAGGATCTGTGAAGACTACTCTAGAGAGCCTCCGATAGAATCGCGGCGATACAAGTCAGATCTACGAGATCCCGCCTTAACAAGGCGACAACCATTAACAAACCTTGAGCGATCTAAGGTTAGCAGAGTTGCTGGTGGAGAGCACTGGGTGAAAATCACATTTGAGTCGGCAGAGGCTGCAGAGACTGCGTTATATGCCTCTCCACAGAAGATATTCGGCTACCTGGTCTACGCTGAACCATATCACGGCTTGCCCCCTAAGGAGGACGCAGCCGTATTGGACGCAGTGGGCGACAGTGGTATGATCGATCCGTTTAGATCGAGAGGTGTGCCGAGACGGTCATCGCAACATCGCGTAGAGAAGGCCGCAGGATTCCCTAAACCTGCTCCGGCTCCGGCACTGGAACGCACTATGAAGCAACACGAGTCCCCTACAGGATCGCAAAGTTCGACCCAGACGTTGGATACGGCCACCGCATCTACAGTGACTGTAACGGGAGCGGCTCTAGAACATACCCAGAACCCGGAGCAGCAAGACGGCACCTTTTGCCGACGGATCCCCGAGGCTCGGCGAGTTAAGCTCTTGCCGGCCGAGCAGGCCCTTGCTCCTCAACCCACTTTTCAGCAGTGGCTGCTTGCTTGGATCCCGTTGATAGGATGGTTCGGTGGTTCTATGATCGGTAACGAAGTGCCACGAAACGAGGTCGGGGAATTCGACTTCAACAGAGCCAGCCTGTACTGGAAGTTGATGTTCTACCTCGACCTATGGTTCAGCCTCTTCGGCCGCGAGCTCGTAAGTGGCGATAAGGACGACTAGGGTACCTTGCCCACAACGTCGGCTCCGACTTAGGCTTTGTATATGACGTTATAAGGGGATGGTAACGAGAAGGCGAGGCAGTCTCGCAATTATGCATTCTGGAGTTGAGGGATACGGCAAAAGACAACAGTTAATGAAATGCGAATGCGTACCCAAGGGCTTGTTGGTTCAAGATAATAAAGTATAGGGGGTGATGCTATACTTGGTGTTACGATTACTATAGGCAAACTGGGCGTGCAACGGGAGCTTAGGCAATTACCTAAGCTCTTGCGTAATATGCGTGCCATAATCGATTAATAAGTCTACTTTATGATGGTTGTATATAAAATTCCTGATCGCTTAATGATTTGTACTATCTTCCCATCCTGTAATTCGGTTACCTCTAATGCCATGCCCACATGCCACATATAAGCGTGTATACCACGGGACTAAAGAAGCGAGTTATGAAACTGGAAGTGCTGTTGACATGTTTGTTCTCTGTTCATCCATCGTTCGTCTAGCGTAACAATTACTGGGCTAATCGATACTTCCACAAATACGTTCACGCCATCAATCATGACCACCAACTTACACCGATCCGGTTTCCCATGTATCATCCTTAATGTGACCGGCTTTCCTCTCCCCTGTGTCCTGTGTCCTGTACCAGTACCAATAGTAGTAGGTACCGAGATAGGTTAACTAAGTATACTCGCTTCACAACCAAGCTCCAACTATCTATCTATTATCCACCTCATCCTTAGCACTCGGCGGTAACGGCGGCTCCTTGCCGCTATCACTGCTACTCGTACTTTCCTGTTTCCGCCTCAACCCCTCGTCTTTCCACGGGGACTCAGGCTCCTCGATATCATTCTCATCCGCACCTATCCTCAACCCACCCAGCCCCGTTCGCTGGGCCGACGTATCCCGCACGCCCCTAACCGTAGCAGCATCGTACGAATCATCATCGTCGTCATTATCGTCATCCGTCCTAAGTCCTTCTTCGCCAACGAGCAGGGACTCAGGATCCATCACGACATCCATCCCGCGCCTCCGTATGGGCTGCGGACTAAACGGACGCACGCCGCGGTTCTGACTAACATTCGATTCGGAGAATAAACTCTGAGAATCCGCGTCCCTCCCGCGATCCTTCTGGTCCACGGCCCCCGTCAGGCTCTGGTACTGCACGTCGTCGGAATCGACGAGCAAACTGTCCGCGCGGCCGTGGCTCGGCGCCGTGAGCACGGAGTCCGATGTCGAGTCGTTGGCGAGGATGCTCTTGGGAGGCAGTATACTAAACAGCTTCGCCCCGCCGTCTCCCGCGCCCCCTACACCGCCTGCCCCGGGCACTACCACCGCGGCGGGCACGTCGTCCTCGCTCGCGAATAGGTCCTGCCCCTTTTCTAGGAGATCGTCTAGGCCGCCGCCTGTCCACCCTTTCCTCGCTAGCCCTTCGAATATATCTACCTCGGCGCGCACGAGCGAGCAACTCGCGTCTAGGATCCGCGCACTGGTCTCTTGGGAGTCGCGGAGCAAGCTGCGCGCGTGATCGGCGTGGAGCGCGGTTAGCCCGTCGAGTTTGCCGGTCAGCGCGACGAGGTGCTCGCGGAACTTGGCGACGTCGCGGCGTCGGCTCTGCCTATGCAGCTTCAGCCCTTCCTTCTCCAGTCGCCTGATCTCCCGCGACCGCGTCGCTGCTTCCCGCTTATACGTCTCGTCTTCGTCTTCGATCGCTCGTCGCCATCGGTCTAGCTCGTGGAGCAACGGTACTTCGAACGAGCGGTACACGGTTTCGGAGAGGATCTGCTGGTGGTTCGCTACGAGGTGGTGCACCCCGCTCGCGCTGAGGAGCAGGTCTGCGGTGCATGTGTTCTTGGCTGTGAAGCTGTTCGTGAGGCTGGCGCCCCCGGGGGGCCCGAGGGCGTCGGCTCGGGATTCTTTTAGACGCGCGCAGGACTCGAGGGCGGAGCCGAAGGCGGATGCTGCGGTTGAGAGGGTCGATAGTGCGATTCGGTAGGATTTGGCGGTGGCGAGGAGGTCGGAGTACGCTTGTTGTGATTGCTCGAGGTCGGATTTGGTGAGGACGGCGTGGACGGGGCGTGGTGGAGGGGGAAGTGGTAGGTTATACGATGATAGAGGGTTGGCGGTGGAAGCGTAGGAATATGTTGGAGAGGCGGGGAGAGGGACTTGAGAGGGTGAGGGAGATGGTGGTCGAGCTGGCATTGCCGTTGCCATCGTTGCCTTTTACCCGTTGGCTTTTGGTCCTCTTGTTTTTGTAACTATTGGTAGATACTAGGTAGATATGATGTTGCTGTTGTTACTGGTTGGCGGGGTTTGTTTACTTCGTAATCTCTAAAGCCAGAATATCCGATACGGTAGCGTAGCAACGGCTGTGCGGAATCGCATGTGGTAGTGGATTAGACGATATCGAAACTATTGGAGCGATAGAAGGATTAGGTGTTGTTTGTTAGGCTACGAAGTACTGTAATGCTGTAGCGATACGTCTAATAGGTGGATGGTCTGATAGTGGTTTAGGCCAAGAAGATAACGGAACAATATTACGACAACCGGACACACCGGCGTAAAAATGATGGTATAGAGACAGAGGTGAACACCTGATGGAAAAAATGAAATATTGTTTCAAGAAAAAAAAGTATTAGATAAAAAAATAAAAGACCAGAGACTGGGTTAGGGATGTTAATTATTAGCTGGAACCTAATTGGAACCTTCTTAGATGCTTACGCCGGTCTGCAGCTATCTTGTGATCCGACTCCACCATCTGGCACCGTCCCCAACTATAATGATAAGATAAGTCGTCGCTCCCCCCCTATTCATTACATAGTATGTACATAACAGCTGCATACAAATAGGTGGGAGGCGTCCAGTATTCTAACCTCTTCTATCAAAACGTGCAGTTCTTGTCTCCTGTGGGTGGGCATGTGGATTCACTCAATTATTTGATGGCGCACATGGCTAGTTTTAATTCGTTATGAGATTTCGAATTCTCCAGGAAGATTTACGGCCAAGAACAATTATACGAAATGCAACGATAAAGTCTTGTCCGGACTACCTAGTAATCGATGGATTGAGACCTGCTGAATGAATTCAAGATGCTATTCATTCGTAACGAGGCATACTCCATCATTTAATACTTCTGTCTTGGCGGTAGAAATCAACGTTCTATCATCTATGTCTAGGTATGTGGGTTGGAGGTAGGTATCTAGAAACATAGGAACCTCTCCTATGACTCCGACTTTTGTACCATCAAATATCATGAGCAGGACATAATAATCATTCTAGACGCGATGATCTAGCAGTGTCTTGTACCCCTTTTCTTCTACCGTTCGTCGCTTCTTGCCTGAAATAACTCATAGCTCTGATTTCTTATCGCCTTCAGCAGGTAAACACGTTCCTAGGAAGGCCTCAACTTCATTAAGTTCCTCCACGCAAGCCGAATGGCCCATATCGCTATCACGAAGTGTTAGTCAATAGACTAATGCGAAACAATTTCGACAAAGAGAATCAAACGTACGGGTAGACCTTCATGGTGACTTTGAAACCCTGCGACTTCAACAGTTCATAAGATATCTTGCCAAAGTTCGTCGGCACGACCTGATCTATGTCGCCATGGCACATTAAAACCGGAGTCTCGTGGTTATTGTCATTCTCTTTGACGAAATTGGCGAACTTAGGGTCTAATAGCAGATAGGATGACAATCCAATTATGCCAGCAAGCTTATACTTCGATGTCAGTCCGGTGAAGAGGGATATGGCACCGCCTTGGGAGAAGCCGCCGAGGACGATGCGGTTAGCCGGTATACCGGAGTCGATCTCGGCTTGGATGAGTCCGTTAAAATATTCCCGGCTCAGCAGAATGCCGCTCTCATCTTGATTTTTCCTAATATCATCCGTCTTTCCACTCAACGCGAACTGAGACAATTTATTAGATTTAAGTAGTAAGTGAATATCTGGGCAAGCACTTACGATATCATACCAGCCGGGCATCGCCATCCCTCCAGACTGTTCTCTTAGTATAAGTGCTCATGCATAATGCCGCATACATAACAGCATAACTTACAGCGGTGACGGGTATGGCAGGAGCATGGGGTAGGATGAACTTGATCTCGTCTAATCTCCGTCGCAATCTCCAGTTCTCGACAGCGGAGGCCCATCCATACCCGGAGTCGCCTAACCCGTGTACGAAGATGACGGTAGCCGTATGCTTGGCCGCGGCCGGAAATAAGAGAGGTGGGGCTCTTCTCATCGCCATGGCGGGATTTGGGCTTATGCTAACAAACGCGACGGCGATAAAAAGAAATAAAACGAATGAGAAAATAAGCTTAGGCGAGGGGAAGGATGTAAGCATCCGCTAGATGGATCGGGTTAGGGAGGGGACGGGATATGATTGAGGCTCAAAGAAGGACCTTGTTGAGACCGGATGAAGTTTCAGTTTCTTGAGTGTGAATTGAAATATTCGGATGCGCATGAGGGGCACTAAATTGTGGGGTGCTCCGATGTGTGCATTTGGGGACTAGGTACCTTCCTCAGGCTACCCAGGCTACTGAACTGTATGTCTCTGTTATTAAAAGCTGATTGGCTACAAACAAACGCAACTTCCCGGAACTAGACGGCTATTTTATGCCGATCCACCTCCCACATAAACCTCCCACATACTCCCACATTCGCCCGAATCCTTGGAATCTCTAAACCTCGTCTAGGTAACGCCAACGGGCAAACTCATTCCCTAACGATTGGATGCTGACCGATTTTTGGTAATTGCTGAAGAATTCAATATGTGGTTGCTATAGTACCGGCCTCCCTTAGCGACTTGCACCGGACATTTCGGAGAACGAATAGCTTGGAGTGAGTTACCAATCAAGTTCCCAGGTTACCAATCAACTTTGAAGTTACCAACGAGTGTTTGAACCTTGAGTTGTTTCATATTTTTCTGTTCAACAACGACTCAACTCACAAATAAAAGCGTCTCATGGATTCTCACCGATTATATACAAGACCACTCTTGATTATATCACTGATTGTCGCAGTCGTGGCTTTCTTATTTTCAACATCACTGTTTCGTGTTACATTGCCCCTTTTCACTTGGAAGTCCATATCCTCTTTTACGCAACACCGACTATCAACGAACTCCTCACCAAAAATGGCGAATAATAAAATCCCAGTTTATTTCTTCAGCCATGGAGGTGTAAGTCATTGATATCTATATCAGAAGTTCCTAGTCTAACACACGTATCACAAACAGCCAACCGTCCAATATGAGACGGAGCATCCAGCTTACCCAATCCTACAAAACATTGGGAAAGAAATAACGGAGAAAGTAAAGCCTAAGGCCGTGGTTGTCTTTTCAGGCCATTGGGAGGCTGGACGTAATGTGATCGAAGTGAACACTGCCGAGCACACGGATCTGATCTATGAGTATGTTCCTACCCTGTTGTACAATTTCATAAAAATTATCTAAATTTTAATACTTACGAGTACCAATAGCTTCTATGGGTTCCCGCCCGAGTACTATAAGGCACAGTATCCGAATAAGGGAAGCCCCGAGCTCGCCTCTCACATACTCGATCTTCTGACTAAGGCTGGGATTGAGGCAAAGGGAGTGACTAGGGGTCTCGATCACGGAGTGTGGTCGGGGTTCCACGTCGGTACGCCACTTATCACTTTACCGCTGCGCCATGTCTCTCGCTAATGTTATCAAGCCTTCCACCCACAGGATAACCCCCTCAATGTTCCCTTGGTTCAAGTGAGCTTGTACAACAACCAAGACGTCGATCTGCATTATCGGCTAGGACAAGCTGTCGCTTCTCTACGCGATGAAAACATTCTCGTCATCGGCGCTGGGATGTCGGTACATAACCTTAGGGACTATTTCGTAACGCAAGGCGACCCAAATCCATTGCCTTACGTGCCGGTCTTTGACGAGGCCCTAAAAGAGGCGGTTGAGTCTCCTCCTAGCGAACGCCAAACCCGCATGAGCCAAGTTGCTAAGCGACCAGATGCTAAACAGGCCCATCCCGTAAGATCCGAACTTGCTAAATCTAGAAGACAGACATAGCTAACTCTCCTTAGCGCTTCGACCATTTGATGCCGCTGTATGTGGCAGCCGGTGTGGCTGGTGATGACGCAGGCAAGAGAACGTGGACGCTGCACGAGGGTAGCATGGGATGGGGGCAGTATAGGTTCGGAAAAGTCCCTGCATCCTAGGAGGATGATGCAAGATGCTTTAGGCGGGGATAATAATTGACATATACCCCAACCCCTCCAGAAATAAGTAGAATGTCAGGTAGGTATACTTTTAAAAAGTGCAATATGAGCTGTTATATTTTATTTTTTCTCGTCACAGTAGACTTACTTAACAAATGGAAAGTGTTATACGGCTACTAACCCCCCATCCCGAACGCATTAGACAAAGCTATTCCTATTTAAGCAAAGCGCCTCCTTCCTAATCGGGATATCACATCAATAGGAAAAGAAACTCGTGCATAACCACCCACCCTTCCACAGCGTGGACAATACCTACACCTCGTTTAATCGTCTTACCTCCAGCTAACTTCAACTTTCAGCTCGCTTGAGCAAAATTTAAATCTGTCTCTATGTGACGGCCGTCACTTATAAACGGCGGGGATCAGAAAGGATGACGAGCATCATAGCTTGGATATCGCATCGATTACATGCTCGTTACACGATGCTTCCCCAAACAGAGAACGTGGTCGTCAACGAAGTGCGATCCTCCCCGGACATCCACGCAGACGCTCATCCCCACGACATCTCAGCGCGCAAAAAGTGGCGTCACCGCGACCACTACGCAGGAGCCCTACTCTTCAACATCGGCGCATTCCTGCTCCCGGCCCTCTACAGCACCCTCTCCAAGCTCTGGGTCGCTGACATCGACGCCTCGCTCATCGTCACTACAGACGTGTACACCTACATCGGCGTCGTAGTCGAAGTCCTAAACGAGGGCCTCCCCCGCGCTTCCTGGTCCATCATCGCTGATAAGGCGTCCCGGTCCCCAGAGCAGCGTCTCGGCCTCGCTTACACCCTCATCCTCTTCCAATTCGCCCTCGGACTTATCATGAGCTTCGCTTTCCTCGCCGGCGCAGGTACCTTCGCGACCGGCTTCGTCCCTACCGAGGTGCGCGCCGCGAGTGTTAGGTATATCCGTATCTCCGCGTTCTCGGCTCTTGCGTCTGCTGTTGAGACCGCGGTCGCGGCTGCGACGAGGGCGTTGGATATGCCGGATATTCCGCTGGTTATTAGCTCGACGAAGTTCGCGGTGAATATCCTGCTCGATATGTTGGTTATTTCCCGTTTCCATGTTGGGAGATTCAAGCCGACTGTCAATATGCAGGCTGCTATTCAACTCGCCTGCGGGTTGGCCGCGGCGTTTGTGGGGCTGGGGTATTTCCTTTGGAAGACGGGGGTGCGGCGGCAAGGCCACTGTGCGCGGACACGTTCTGATACTGGTGATTGTGGGGATGGAAATGTGTCATTGGGTGGTGATGGCGCGGGGGTTCGCTTGAGTTGGAGTGCTTTGCATGTGTTGATGCGCCCTGGGATCCTGACTTTTGCTGAATCCGCTATCCGCAATGCGTTTTATCTCTGGTTGGTTAGTACGATAGTCGCGCTGGGAGCAACGTACGCGACTGCATGGTCGATATTCACGACGATCCGCTGGGGTCTTGTTATGGTTCCCGTGCAGGCTTTGGAAGCGACGAGTCTGGCGTTCGTCGGCCATGGGTGGGGTGCCTGGCGTCGTCATATCGGCAAGACGACACGGAGGCCCGGGCGTGTGCCTCTTCGGACGATAACACATATTGCGAGACCGGCTCTTGTATCTCTTGCCATTGCGCTAACGGTCGAGGTTCCTCTCGCTATATTCTTGTCGAGGTGGGGTGCTAGGTCTTTTGCCTATTACCTAAGTCAGACGGACGAAGTCGCTGATATCACGGCTTATATGTGGCGCACCATCGATTGGTGCTATATCTTCTACGCTGCGTCGACGCAACTCGCTACGGTCCTTCTGGCTACGCAGCCGAAATGGTACCTTTACCAGAGCTTGGTCAGTAACCTTTTCTACGTCCTCCCGTGAGCTATTGTCTGCCAGGTAATCGATCTAAATGTGAATAATGCTTAGACTTATCACGCACTGGTTTTCGGTGGAAGCTTGGTGTTTAGCTTCGTTGATGTTGTAATTGTTAATGCGATTTGGGTGTGGACGCTGGTTACTGGTAAGGCGAGGCTTGAGACGTTTCGAGAAAATTAAGGCCTTGATGTGGGATTTTATATCCGAAGTCAAGATTTTTTTCAAATGTGTGTTTACGAAGTAAGTGATCACTAGGTTGGGAATAACTCCTACTACCTACCTATGTAACAAGGATTGAAGTAACCAGGAGCGTCGTACCAAGCACCATCATCGTAACTTCATTCTGTTTCACGTTGCTGGTAGAGACAGGTTTGGCTACAGCGGGGGTAGCCTTAGCAAGAAGCTTATCCACACCCTCAGTAATCGTAACAGGGTACTCGGCGTAGTTTTCCCCTGTGATGACGTGACTTTAGGTAAGTAGCAGAACTAGCTTGATATTTATACTAGGAAGTACTTCAGACTACTACCTATCATGATAAATCACTTGACCCTAAGAATAGATACTTTCTATGTGTGTTGGGTCAATTACATGCGTACATACGTCGGCTGAATAACAAAAATAGAAGCCTTAGTTTGGTCCTGATATATCCAGGACAAATGAGGCTGATAGATGCGGCGAAGCATAATGGGTGAAGGTACCCTACTAGGTATATACATGATACGATCTTCGAAGAATAGGGGCCTTCGTAGCTTCAATTTCGTCAGTAAGTAGATACATTGCATAGGTAATATATTATCTTACTCTCCTTAGCCCTGGCCTTCGACACCCGTCTTGTTGCATTCTCTGATCTCTGTTAGGCTTCTAGAGGTCACCAACACAGACTCAGAAGCACTGGTTTGTCATTTACGCCATATCTAATCGATATTCAGAATATCAAAGGTTTCCATAGTCGTAGGGGAAACATATTACATAGTCTATAGCGCGATATCCTCTACCTAGTTACCGCTGCATATCGAATCTATGCTTCAACGTAGTATGTATAACTTCCCCCAAGCTGATGAACCTGACAATCCTCAGACAAATGAGATTTCAGAGATGTCTTCCCTTCGACGCATCAGCATCTGGTCCTCTGGGTGGAAGTAGAGGAACTCGTGCATAGCACTGCGCGTCAATGGCTGGTCATCGATGAAGGAAAACTCGTACTCATGCAATAACTTAATGAGTAAAATCTTTGCAGCCATATCGGTGATCAAACGGCCTGGGCAGGACCATCTCCCTGCGCCCCAAGTAAGAATGTTATTATCAATTTCACTAAAGGGTCGCGTTCGGCTTTCCCCGGTCTTGTCTTCGGCACAGAAGCGTAAGCCCTCATATTGATGTGGATTCTTGAAGAGAGTTGGGTCCATAGTCCTCGCAGCGCCGGAAATGGTGACGAATTGGCCCTCCTTAAGCTGGAGGCCGTTAGAGAGCATGTGATCCTTCTTGACAACGCGACTATATACCAGCAGTGAACCGGGTGCTAAGCGCGATGACTCCTTCATCGTCGACTCGAGTTTCTCCAAAGTTGCTAGAGTTTCCATATCCCACTTACCATGAACTTGGTCTTGCTTTTCCTGGATCTCTGAACGTACGGCGTCTAATACGTTTGGATGTGCCACCATATCTGCAATCGTACGGCAACAAAAGTTAGTGATGCTATATGTGGACCCGGCAGCAATGGATCCGACGAGAGTAGTCAGCACAATAGGATCCCGTTCCATCTCGTTTCGGCCATCTTTTACCATCGAGGAGATGACGTCAGGGTTGACTGTAGTTGAACGTTTGCTATCATTATAGCTATAGGCTTCCTTCAGCTGTAGTACCCGGGGCACAACATAGTTCCTTAGTTTTCTCCATCCGCTGACCAATCTCCATCTTGCTGGGAGAAGCCAGACAAGGAACGGCTGCAAGGGACGCGGTACACAACGCATCGCAAAGCACACCTTGAATACTATAATATGTAACTTGTCAGTTGATTGAGATTTTCTAGGTTTTAGGCACCGGTTTGAAGCCCTACCGTTATTCGTATGCTCATGTGTAAGACGAACCAGTTCGGGATTGCTAGCAGTCATCTCGGCGCCATATAGTGTAAGAGCTATTGCCTCGCTGATGCAACGTACTATGCCCTTATTTAAATAAACCTTAGTCCACTCATAACCCTGGGGGAACTCGTTCCCAATACCTGCCGAGATGCGAGCGCCTGCTAGAGAAAATAGTGTTGGGAGAGCTGGGCTAATATATGATAGCAATACTCGGACATGGAAACTTGTCTTGCGAACAACATCCATTCCCGTAAGATGTCCAAGGAGGCCAGTTGCATGATATTCACGACTATTCAGCACATCCATTCCCAAGCTATTTAGCTCGGGAATCATAGCTGGCGGCAGGATTATCAGGTCAATATCCCCCCGCGAGAGGCGATACGTGCGACCTTGAGACTAGATATATCACATTAGATTAATGACTCAGGCTACAATATTAACGTTATCTGTCCAGTTATACCTTAACATCTGCATCATTCATGATCTTTTGCGCATTGGTGATCCAACGGAATCGAGCGAAGAAAGCAGGTTCCCAAGAGAACCGTTTATTCGCATTCCAAAGACCATCATTGCTCTTCCTATTAGATCGGACAAGATAGATGATGCTCGCGATGATAGTGAAAGTAACTATATATGTTAACAGGTGCCGGCCGTTAAAGGTATGATCAGTAATCTCGGTGCGAAACCTCAATGGGTGGGAGACATAAAGATCATCCATAGCAAAAGATGTAGTAAAGATAGCACTTGTTAAACTCAACAAACGATAGTGGTGAAACTATAAGATTTCCTTTCGACATAAGTCCCATAGTATTATAAAGGCTATGTCCATAGATTCATTCAGAACGTCCTCTGCGCGATATTACCAAAGTTTCTCTGTTACTTAGGTAGTAGAGGTACCTACCTAGGTATCTACGGACATGGACATTCGCGACTTATTCAAATTTCGGTGTATCACGACACATTGAACATGTACAAACCAGTACAAATTTAGTACTTAAAGACCCTTGTTAAGTACCAACACCATGCGTATCCGATCCATATGAATATTAATTTGCTACATAGTGCTACTACTAACACCGATGACGCCTCCCCGTGTCCCCGGCGCTTCGCTGCAACCGGGGAAAAAAGCACCTTTTCACCTAGGCATATCAGAAGAGAGAAACAATTTATGATAGAGGTTACACCAAAAGCCAGTGTATATCGGCTATCATTCGGATATGTCCTAATCACTACTTAGGGTGGACCATAAGCCCGTATCCGCTAACCCGCCAATTCAATTAATATATTAAAATGTACACTGTATAAATAAGCAGTATATATGGAACTTACATTATGTTTTATAGTTTATAAAGCGTTATTAATGTTTAATAATAATATTTTTAATATTTAAATAAATATATATTTATTATAAATAAAAATATTTTTTATTTTATAAAGTTTTTAATTTAATAAATTAAAACGGAAAAACGACGTTAATTTTTATTATTAAATTTTACGGTTTATTAATAAGGGAAAAAATAAAATAAAAGTTATATAAATAAGTATTTATTAAACTTAAAAAAAAATATAATTTATTTTTACTTTTTATTAAATATATATTATATATTACTTATTTTTTATTTTATTTTTTAGTTTTACGTTAATATTTAAATTTTATAATTTATTTATTTAATTAATTTTTTTATTTTAATATTATATTTAAGTAATTATTCGAAACTTAACGCGAGTTAATATTAATAAAATTAATCGTTTAATTATAAAAAAAATTATAAGCTTTTAAGAAAAAAATAAGTTATTTAATTATTTATATTTAAATTCTTTTTTTTTTTTAAATAAATATTATTAAATATTAAAATTATAAAACTTTTTATTTTAAACATTTAATTTTTAAAAAGTAATTAAGAAAAATTAATGTTTATTATATTAAATTTTTAATTTATTTTAAAATGAATATATTTCATTTTAATAATAAGTTTTATTTAAATATAAAATATAATAATATTTAAAAAAACTTATAAATATAATAATATTTAAATAAAAATTAAATAATTTTCATTAATTATTATTTATATTTTTATTTATTATTTAAATTTTTAATATTATTTTTTTTACGGTTAATATTTAATTTTTAAGAAAAGTTATTTATTAATTTAACGTGTTTAGTTTAATTTTTTTTTTAATTAAACGAAATAATAATAATAATAATAATTAATATTAACGTTAAAAAATTATTATTTATATAATTATTTTAAAATTTTATTAAAAATATATTAAGCGTATTAAATTAAGTTTTACATTTTACACTTAAATATAAAATTTTTATAATTTATTTAATAATTTATATTTTTAAATATACGCCGTAATAATTTATGTTATATTTTTTTTATTAAAAAGCGGAAAAAAAAAAGCGTAAAAAAAACGGTATTATTAATAAAATTAAACACGTATTTATTTAATAAAAGTTACGTTAAATATAAATTTAATTATTTTAAAATATTATTATTAATATATAATATCGTTTTTTAAGTTTATTAAAAATATTATTTTTTATATTTTTATAACTTTTTCGTAATAATAATAATAACGATAATAAAAATTATAATAATTAATTTTATTATAAAACGAAATTAAAAAATTAAGAAATAACGACGTTATTACGCGAAAAGTTTTTAACTATTTTTTTTTATAAAAAATACGGTATATATATAAGTGAAATTTTTTATTTATTTTATTTTTAAAATTAATTATAAATAAAACTTTTACGGAAATTTTACGGGTTTAATTTTAATTTTATAAATTTTTAATTATTAATTTAAAAAAAATTAATGTTTAATAAATTTTTTTTACGTTCGGGATTTTACTTTTAAATAATAATTTAAGTTTACGTTTTTTTAATTTTAAATATTTTTTAATAAAATAAATAACTTTTAAATATTTATAATAAAAATTAATATAAAGGCTTAAAATAATATTTTAAAATTAATGTAATAATTTTTTAAAATTTTAAGGTTCGTAATTTTTTTTTTTTTTCGAAAGGGATTTTACGTTTTTATTTAATAATAATTTATTTAATAAACATTGAAATTATATTAAGTTTTAAACGTTTAATAATTTCGTGTTAATTTTAATGTATAATTTTTTATATATTAATATATTTTTTTAATTAATTATATTTTTAATAATATAATATATAATTATTTAATAATATTTATTTTAATATTAATAATATTTAACATTAATTTTCGTATGATAATATATAATTATTTAATAAATAAGTTATTATAAATAAATATTATAATTTATTTTTTTAAATAATAATTATTTACCGTTATATATTAAAATTATATATATACGTTTATTTAATAAATAAATTAAACTTAATATAAGTATTAAAAAGTTAATTACATTAAAAATACACGTATTATTATTTATTTTATTTTATATTATTTAAATTACGAAACGAAATTAAAAAACTTAAAAATAATAACGTTATTACGTAAAAAGCTTTTAATTATTTTTATTATAAAAAATACGGTATATATATAAACGAAGCTTTTTATTTATTTTATTTTTAAAATTAAAAACTAACGGAACTTTTATAAACTTAACGGGAATTTTATAAGTTAAATTTTAATTTTATAAATATTTAATTATTAATTTTTTTTTTAATTAAATGTAAAATAATTTTTATAAATAAAAATATAATAAAAAAAGTAATAAAATAAGTAAATATTTAATAAATATATAACTTTTATAATTATATTTAATAATATAAAGTTATGATATTTTTTTAATTAATTAAAATTAAGCTTTTATAAAAGCTTTATTATTTTAATAATGTAATTTAAATTTAAATACGTGTTTTTTAATTAATCGAAATATTTATTAATAAACTTTCGCGTTTTCGAAATTAAGCTTAAATAATTAAATATATAAATATTATTTACGTTATATAAAACCGGAAAAACACCGGTAAAACGTATATATATTATTTTATATATATTAAGTAAAAAATTAAATATCGTAATTTAAGTTTTTAAACCCGATTTTAAAATTTATATTTTTTTATAATGTTAAATTTTTAATTAATTATTTCGCATTTAAAATATTTTTAAAAGTTTAATAATTAAAATAATTTAATTATTTTTATAACGCGTTTTTAAATAAACTTAATTATATTAAAATTAATGAGAAATTAAATCGAAGTTTTACGATCGAAATTAAATTAAGTTAAAATTAATTCGAATCGATTAAAATAATAATTAATTTTTAACTTTAAATATTATAATTAAATAAAAGTTTAAAAGTTAAAAAAAAAATAACATATAATTTAAATTAAACACTTTCGATTAAATTAAATTAAAAAAATTAAAACGTTAAATTAATTAAATTACGAATAATTAAAATTAATTAAATATATAATGAAATTTTAATATAATTTAAAACGCGTTCGAATTAACGTTAAGTTTTTTTTTAATATAATACGTATATTAATTAAAATTATATAATACGAATAATATTAATTATAAATGTTTTAATATTTAGTTATTTATTTTTTTTAATTTTTAACGAATATATAAAATTTACATTATTTTTAAAAAAAAGAAAAAAAACTTTATATTATACGAAGTAATTTATTTAATTTAATTTAATTTAATTTATAATAATATATTTTATTATATTATTATTAATTCGTAACGTTATTTACGATATTTAAAATAAAAGTCGAAAATGTTTATATAATAATTATAATTATATATATAATTTTAAATTTAATTTAATTTAATTTTAAACGGTATAATTTTTATTTATATAAAATTTCTTTTATTATATATATATTAAAAAGTTTTCATTTAAATATTTAAAAATTTATTCGGTAATAATTTTTAAAATTATTTTTATTATAAAAATATTATTTATATAATAATTATTTTAAATTTATATATATTTTATATATTTTTTTAAATACATTAATTACATTAAACTTAAGTTATTTTTTTTTACGAGTTAAAAATATAAAAATAAGTATTTAAATATAATTAACACGATATAACGCGTGGAATTTTTATTATTTATTTTTATAAAAATATTTTTTTAAATAATTTTTTTTAAAACTTTATTTATTTAAGTTATTAATTTAAATATTATTTTTTTAAATTCTTATTTTATATTTATTATATATATTATAAAATTAAAACTTTAACCCGATTTTTTAATTATAACGGAATATATATTTTAAATTATAAATAAATTATCGTTATACGATAATTTACTTATAATTAATTATAATTAATAAATCGTAATTATTTTTTAAAAAATAAAAATAAATATTAACATTATTAAAAATAATGTTTACACGTTTAATATTAATTATCACGTTTAAAATTAACGTAATAAAACTTAAAATTAACGTTATATTTTTAAAAGCCGATATCGTAATTTTAAAAAAAATATTATCATTTTTAAGGTAAATATTACCATATTTAAAATAAATATTATTATACTTAAAGTTAATATTATTACCTTTAAAGTAAATATTATTACATTTAAAATAAATATTATTAATATTAATATTCGGTTTAATATTTTTAAGTTTCGTTTTATCGTTTCGTAAATTTTTTTTTTTAATTATTATTTTTATATATTAAAATATTAATTATACGTTTATTATAAAAACGAAAATATAATTTCACGTTTTATTAATAATAATATTAATAATTATATAAACACGTTATAACTTTTTAAAAATTCGAATAATATAATTATTAATAAATTTAAAATTATAATTAAGAAAATTAAAAATATATTAAATAAAAGTTTATATATTAATTTATA